CAGTGTAGAAGCGATTTGCAACAGGACCCAGTTTAAAGTGACCCCGGTTTAACTGCTCATTGAGGGTGCCTTGCTAGCGCGAGTGCGTGCCCGGTGAGGTCCAAGCTGGCGCATGTCTGGAAAAGAATAACTGAATATGTTGACTTCGATGATTACCCGTTGTTGCGGCGCGGTGTGCTCTCGGTTGCCCGAGGCTCAACGCGTAGCGGGAGCATGACTCATTGTAGCAATTCCTTGGCTTTCTCTAATATTGCTTTAGCAACTCGTACGGCCTGCTCACCAGGCGGTATCGCGGTCTAACCCGAACCCTAACCGTACGTGTTCTAACAACGACTTAATCGTCGTTATATGCGATAACTGATTACGCTTTTATAGCTAACCCGAACCCTAAATCGAACCCAAACCAAAACCCGAACCCTAACCGAACCCTAACAGGCGGCACAAGGTATATTTGGTATATCACGTGATGTTACATCATAGGAGATCTCCGATCGATTAGGTGATGTCATAGCCTAGACCGTCGCGTCATGCGCAGCCTGGACCATGACATCATTCATGGCAGATCATCAGCATTAGTCACAGCACGGGAGCTGTGCGCCGATGACGGGAACAGCATCAGTAATCAGATACTATTGTTAGAACAGCTCGAACAATAGCAGCCAATCGCGTATCCGCGATTGGATATCCCATGTAAGCAATATCACGCATCGCGCAGGCCGTAGTTCCGGCCGCGATGCCGGGAAAAACCTTATCGGATGAACTATACAGGACCTGATGAGACTGTTAAAAGTCGAAACAGGATGGGTTGGAGTTTTCTCCATCCCCTGTTGTCCTAGTTCGACTCCCCACTCGTCGTCGTCGTCGCACAACTCGCTTCGCTCGTTGTGCTCCTCCTCCCTAACCCTAACCCTAATCCCCTGTTGTCCTATTCGCCTCCCCACTCGTCGTCGTCGTCGCACACCTCGCTTCGCTCGGTGTGCTCCCCTCCCTAACCCTAACCCTAAGTGCTGGTCAGCTCGTCCAAGATGCTTCCATCGTTGCTGGAGGAGCATGCCAAGTTGGACCGCATCTATGGACATGGTATTTGGGTAAGTTGCTTTCTTACCTGCAGCTCTATGCTTGCTCACAGTTTGTTTAGCCTGGCGTGGTCGGGTTGGACGTTGGAATCCACCAGCTCCAGTCTCTCTCACACCACCACAGCCAGCTCGCCCTGCACCTATCTCTATAAAACCTGCCACTGAGCTCACTGGCTAGATACAAATGATGCAAATTGAATACAAGCACATTTGCAAGACTTTTAGGCACCTGACATGGCTATTCTTTGTTGCTTTACGTTAGGGCACATCTATTCTATCCTGTTGCCTTTTTCTGAGCCTATCCATGCATGTTTCGAGACAGGGCAGCCTATGCACAGGAACGACCCTCTTGTATTGGCCCAAATTCTGCAAGCGCTGATAGCACCGCCACCTCTCGCCGATGCAGGCGCCCACTCTCACTTCGCCCGGATGTGTCCCTCGAACGTCCAAACAATGCTGTAGCCACAAAGCAAAGGGACAGGAGAATATTACCTGTTCAAACTGTGTCGCACTGGAGGTAGTGAGAATATAACACTGTATGTGTTCCACTATACAATGCACTCAGCGATCCAGCAGGCCCGCTCATGCCCGCACCACCCCGCACAAGCGCGATCGGGGACTTCACCCTCTCGCTACCAGGCCTATTGCGCAAATTGACGAGGTGCTCGCTGCACAAAGGGCACACGCAAAGAGAGGACAGAAGCCACAACGAGGTGCGGACACATCACAGCAAAAGTGCTGTGGTAGCGACATGCAACGATACACGAAGGGCATCACCTCGGATGGCGAGCCTGACAGGGCATGCGGAGGGGGTGGAGCCAAGTTGCACGGCGGGCGGCGCAGTACACAGTCGCAGAGACCGTCGAATCCCGAGCCATCCCACAAGATCAGCGCCACAGCAAGTCAATGGATCTATACAAGAAGTCCGCATTATGTTCGGGGATGCTGTACAATACATCGTGAGGTATACGTTATATACACATAGACAGGGAGCACCAGTTGAATAGAGCTTGTAAAGTCGCAAGCTACTCACTGCGCGCTGCCATCCGTGACCGCGGGCTTTCGCTTGCCCCGCCCGAGACCCATCCCGACGCGAACGAGAGTCTCGAGGCACGCGCGGCTGTTAATCAGCAAGTCCTCGTCCCACGCGATACCGGCGGCCTTCTCAAAGAGAACGACGATGGTCGAGCCACCTGCGCGCGGAAGCGGAAGTCAGCGATACGAACAAGCGTGATGTCAGTGAGGAGACGACGCACCGAACGCGAAGTATCCAAACTCCTCGCCGCGCTTGACCTGCTGGCCCTCCTCGACCGTCGTGTGGATGCTCCCGACCATCATCGCGCCGATGCACACGCACATGACGCGGCCGAACTGCGGGCTATCGATCGGGACAATCTTCCGCACGTTCTCGCCATAGACGTCGAGCGCGGTGCGGATAGCTTGAGGCTATGACACAGGAGTTGGCTACGGCAGCGCAGCGCGAGCGAGCGAGGAAAACTCACGTTGACGGTGTAGTACTCCCCCGCGATGTCCGTCATAGGCCCGATAGTCCCGTCGACAGGCACGTGGAAGCGATGGTAATCCTGCGGCGCGAGGCGGAAGATACACAACGCGCCGCCGATGTATTTGTCTGCGTCGGCGCGATGCGCGTCGCCCAGCAGGCGGGCGACTGAGAAGTCGCGACCTTTGATCCATAACCGCGTCGCCTCGCTGACGGTCTCGAAGACCATCAGTCGACAGTCCGCACCGCTCACAACGCGGTACGGGTCGTCCGGGTTCTCCACGGGGCGTGCATCAGCTTTGAGTTTTCTATACATACGCCGTCAGTCTGAGTGGCGTGTCATTGAGACAAACGAAACACACCTGTAGAAGAACTCGTTGAACGTCTCTGTACGCCCGTTAGTGCTGCGTCGAGGCGAAATAACACGACACGTACTGAAACTGGTCAACGGGTCGCGGACCTCATCCATGTTCAGTCGGTGGAATGCGATAAACGTCGGGATGTCGCGCGCAGATTCGGGCGAGTCGTACTTGATACCCTGCTTGATTGACAAGGACTTGAGTAATCGTCGCGCTATGATGGTAGTCAGCGACGCGCTCTCGCCGTCTCAGAATGAGACATACCTCGTCCGCCCTCCATCCGGCTCTTCCAGCCCTGTAGAGAGGCGTTAGTAAACCGCGAGCGGCTCGTATCAGATGGAACTCACCTTGTACAGCAGACGGATGCCAAGCCGGACATAGACGGCCATCTTCTCCTCCTCGAGCTGCCCGGTCATGCGGTTTTGTACGATGATGTTCGCCGAGTTCTGCACACACCAGACCCGTCAGTTACCCCTCGCCATCGCACAACCAAACGACGTACCGCGCCGAGCTTGTAGTTGCCCGATGACACCTTCGAAATGACCTTCGTGTACCATTTCCGCTGCGCTTGACTCGCGGTCACGTAGTTGCCGACGACGATCCGGTCCATGCGCGCCCAGTCCTGGCTCGCGCACACCGCTAGATGTGTCACAATGTCGACCTCCGCCTTCGAGTTCAGGCGTGGTCGGTGGCAAAGCGGGCAGTTCTTAACGTTGATGACCCGCTCGACCGAGCCGTCGGGCGACGACGACCCGGACGAATCTTCCGCGTCAGACGAGGACGTCGAGCTGTTCCGCACAAATGAGCCCGGGCCAGGCGAGGGCGACGTTCCGGGACGTCCGGGAGTGAGCGCGACGTCCACGAGCGGCTGCTGCATTGGTTCGGTCGCCTGCGCGTGGGGCGCGTTCGGGAAACGCGTCGCATCCTCCTGATGGTCGCGGCCCATGGCGGCGGGGTTTGAAGGGATGCCGGAGAAGTCGAGCTTGTCGAAGTTGAGCGCCTGCTGCACCTCCATGCCGCTGGTGATCGCAGGGGTAACTGGCGCGGACGTGTCCATCGCACTGTCCTCGGGGTCGATCCGCTTCTTCTCGCTCGCGGGGCGGAAGAGCTCGGTCTCGAGACACTGGATCGCCTCGTTGATCGTGAGCACGTCGGTCCGGGATTGCTTGTTGAAGCGGGTCCAGAACGAGTTGACGGTCTCGTGCGAGAGCGTCGATCCTAGAGAGTCCAGCATGGACGTGAGCTCGAGGTGGGAGATCGAGCCGGTATCGTCGGTGTCGTACTGCTTGAGGTACTCGCGCCAGAACTTCTGGCGGAGCGCGTCGTACGGCTGGTACTTCGCTCTGTCGCGTGGTTCAGAGCAAGCACCGCCACGCTGTGCAGTGTACGCACCTGAATATGATCTTCGGCTTGTGTTTCGACTCCCACGGGACCTCCTTCGCGGTCTGCAGCGGTAGTTCAAAGCTCTCCATAGAGCGCTGCCCGTCTTCGTCGTCCGAGTACAGCGCGGTCTTGTCGTCTCGTTTTGGCGCGTTCTCGAGTAGCTTCGCGACGTCGAACGACGCCTCTGCGACGTGGTCATTTGACGACAGCTTGTCCCAGTCGAGCACGGTGAGCTGCACCTTGAACGCGGTTTCGTACCGGCGCACGTGGAACAGCATCTTCTCGTCCCACTGCGGGTTGAGCGAGTGCCGAATGACGCGCGTCCGGAACACCTTCTTGCCGAACGACACGACGACGAAAGGGTCCATGTCCCAGCCCATGCGCGTCACTGTACAATGAATGGTCAGCACGGTCCGCGCGCGCCTGTATAACGTATGCTCACTATTCTTAAGCTTCGGCAAGTCCTCCGCGCGCTGAATCTCTAACATCACGATGCCCACGATGTCGTTCGCCGCGTTAAAGTTAAACTCTTTCGCCTTCGCGGTCCATGACTTGCGGAACTTAGACTTCTGACCGGCACTGGGGCGCGCTTGCGGCGTCGTGCCCCCGGACAGCGAAGGCGACAGCGTCCCGGGTGAGGCGACGGCCGTCCCAGACCCAGACGCAGTGAGTGCACCGTTAGCCGTGGTTGAGTCGAATGAGAGCGAGCGCGGGGTGCTCGCGCGCTTCGGGAACATCTTCGGGATGCTGAAGCCGGGCGAAGGCGGCTTCGACGCCAGCGGCGTCTTCGTGATCGCGGCTGGGGTCGGCGTTACAGGTGTCTCGGGCGCAGCTTGGCGCGGTGAGGGCTGCTGGATGAGCGCGCCGTCGGACGAGATCCCCTGGGAGGGCGGAATATAGAGGTTGGAGAGATGGCTGCCAGGGCCGGAGAGAACGTCCTCGGCCTCATCTTCGCTGTTCGTCTCGCCCTCATCTGAACTCAGCCCATCGTCCTCGTACTGCGGGCCTTCCGCGTTGGAGCGGATAGTGCCGATACCTTCGGTCTGTACGTGCGCGGATCAGCGTAAGCACGGATATGAGGTCCGCGAGGTGGGAAGCGGGGAAGGCATCGGGGAAATGAAAGGACACTCACCGCCGGGGCAGACACGAGACTCGGGCGCGTACGTTTGACAAGCTCGGAGTAGATCTCGCCGAAGTCCATCAGGGTGGTCGTGTTCGGGGGCGAGACAAAGCCAAGCTTGAGCTGGATACTTCCAGATGGGGGTGTGGAGTTGCGCGACGACTGCAAGTTGCGCGCGATCATCTTCCAGTGCGCGCGCGATCAGTTCTAGGCATCGCACGGGCTGCGCGGATGACTCACGGTGTTGTTCGTGTCGTCGAAGGGGAACGCGCTGCCATCGCGGAACCAGTCCTCAAGCGGGATAGCGGTCTCTCCGAGGTAGTCCTTCTTGAGCATGTCCTTGTCCCAGATGACGAGCTCAACGACACCGAGGCGGTCGGCGAGGGAAAGATAGATAGGGAAGTCGAACGTCGCATCCTTCGGGTTGAACGTCGGATTTACGGTGCGCTTGGAGACGGGAGTCTGCTGGCGGTTGCCCAAGACCGAGACGACGACGAACCTATGTCCCGCACACCGCGCACACGACACACAAACATTGCACGTGAGCATACCATCGACCGGAGAGGGGGGGACGAGACGAGTGGCAGGAGGAGGGGAAGACTCACGGATCGCTGAGTCCATTCCGATCTTTCGAGAGGAGGTTCGTACAGCTGAGTACCTGCACCCTAAGGAGCACGACAGGAAGCTCGCCGGGAAGGGGCGCGAAGGCGTTGCCGTTCCCTCTACCGCCTGAGACGCGTGCGGGTAGTCGCTTGAGAGCACGGCCGATCTTGAGAGCCTTCTTCTTTGGCGCGGGGCCCATTACGGGCAGTGAGGGGGTTGAGAGAGCGTCGAGAGAGCGAGCGTGGATGTCGTGAGGGGGGACTCGGGGGTCGTGTTCGTGGTGGTGGTGGTGGTGGACGAGTGGAGGTGATGGAGCGGGCAATGAGGTCGGCGCCTCGCGCGCACGCCGCCATCACCTCCGCCTCTCCGCACTTGTCCTCTCACAGCTCCCATCGTAAATGACTTGATCGAAAAACACTGCTCCTCGGTCATCGACTCCCCCGACGCCCCCCTGAACGCTCGACAGCGACCCCGAATTCCCGCAAGAGCGATCACCCAGGTGGTGGTGGAGTGAGCGCCAGTGCGGCACCGACGTCGGCGCGCTGCGCGTCCGTCCAGGCCTATCCGTCCGTCGTCCGCGCAGGCCCTGCGTGAACAAGAGTAGGCAACATTCAATGCACCGACGCACGCGCAAGGCTACATTATGCTTCGCGCGATACCAGGTGAGCTCAACAAGTGCTGGACGCGCCCACAGTGAGGTCGGTGCCGCATTTCTCTCTCTCCCCACCTTACGCTGCTGAATCCCCTCTGTTTTGCAGCTACTCTACAGCGCATACTTGGCCTCTGTTAACATCATATACACCGGTTCCTCTGCGCAGCTTGAGGCGCGATCTCCAAGTCTGGTTTTCAAAACAAGCGAAGACTTTTCTGGAGGCGTCGATCCCGTCTTGCCATCCTCTGACATCTACGTCGTCCCGGATTTCGACGTTCAACGGGTCCCCGCCTCCCGGGACACATAGCTACTCAGACCAAGAGCAGCCTCGCAAACTTACACAATTACACTCGCTGCCGTTATCCGTGCGCTGCTTTTCTGTGATCTAACGACGGCCCTCCTGCAGCAGCTTCTGTCCGCCCTCCCTGACGAAGAGCTTCTTCGTAAATCTCGCCGCATGTCTGGCTGGCTAGCTGGAGATATGCAAATTCCCCTCGCTATATAACTGAGAGGTACTCTTTGGTTCAGGGTCTTCTACGCCTGCTATCTCTTCTCCTGCTCTCTCGGCCAGCTTCGTCCTCTCTCGCGCTCCTCTCCCTCGCGCTCGCGCTACTCCCTCACTCTATCAGCGTCCACCCGCGCTTCCTCCAGCTTCGCCAGCGCATGCTCTCGTTCAGCGTCATGCAAGATTTTCAGCACCTCCGCGCCGTGGAACTTCGCCAGTAGCCACGGCAGCTTCCGGAAATCGTCCACGGTGACAAAGTCCTTGCGCGACCGCGACGCGAGGATGGAGATGTACTCGTCGGGAAAAATCCCCGGCTGTCCAAAAAGTCGATGAGAGTACGAGGTACGCCATATTTTGGATCTCCACGTCCGCAAGCGTCCAGATGTGCTCTTCCTCCTCGGCGGTGCGGGTATCCCCGAGGCACGCGCGCCAGTCGCCGGGCGAGTAGGGATCAAGAGGGGTGACAGAGCGGCCTGCCTCGTAGGCTCGTTCATGGCTGGCTGTTGCGTGTCCGCCTGAATATATGACGGCCGAAAGGCAAGGGCAGCGACAGTGAACGGTGTGCCAAAGAAACAGAAATCGCCGAGTTTTGCACTCGCGCTTGCGCATGACCGTCCACGGATACTCGCGCCGGGCGCGCCGCTAGGCTGGCTTGTTAACTCGAACTTGTGCAGGATCACAGAGCGTTCACGTTCAGCTTGTTTGCAGACCACCCCAATGCCCTCCAAAGTCATCTGCGAGACGTCCGCGTCAGTGTTGGTCATCTACCGGAAAGCTCTAGCTAGTCACCAGCCCGCGCATATCGCCGATCGCACGCACAGACATGTACATCGCCGATTACCTCTCCTGCGTTTTCACTTAACTCATGATATCGGTTTTCGTGCCAGAAGACGAAACTCATCCTAGCTCAGATGGAAACATCCTCGCGCGCACAGCCCGCGTGTGCAAGACATTTTGGGACCTCGCCCCCTCCGTCCTCTTGTCGTCCCTTCCTAACCTTCGGTCGCTATAACGCGTCCCTAGCCTGCTCAGCATAGTATGTACGCGTATTCCTCTACACGGCTAACTCTCGACCGTAGCCTGCATCTCAACGCTAACCCTCGGACAGACTTTTCATAGCCCTGAGAAATCACATTCAAAACATGGATACGCATCCGTAAACCTTGCCCACAGGACCAGCGCCCGTACATCCTCAAGGAAAATGCTCTGCAAATTTAGGGTCAACGACAGTGAGTCCGATTCACGAGTGCGAGACGCAGCGTACCATCAACCCGCGCGGCCTCTTCATCGCCAGCCTCCACCAGAAACCGCTGCGCCGTATCCAGTTCCACCCCCGATATCTCCTCCAACGTACGCCCTTGCACGTCGCCGCCGCTCGGTGGTCGGACGCGCCACCATCGACGGTACTCGACATTGTCTATCCATCCGTACGCAACCTGGGGGCGCTGCACATCGATCTTCTCCGGGTCTCCCTGGTCCTCCATAGCCTCCATACGGGCGCCCCAGCCCGAATCCTCGCTTGCGTCCGAGTATTCGTCCTCACGTATGTCACAGTATTCGTTCCTGCCTGTGTCGAAATATTCGTCGTCGCTCATGTTGTAATCCTCGTCCTCATCCGCGTCAAAACGCATCTCCTCAGCCTCCCAAGTATCTTCTTCCGTGTCGTAGGCAGCATCCTCCTCCTCGAACCGAGCTTCGGGCTGTTCATCATCCTCTTCCGAATCCTCGTCCTGGGATTCTGTGTTCTTCCTGAAGCTCGGCCGCGCCTCGCACACCTCCACAAACTGTAGGGCCGACAGCGCATTCGCAAGGCGCTGTGGAAGCGAGCGCGCGGCGCGTGCACGATCCTCCTCGACCGTGGCCACGAGAGCGCTCCTGGCCGCCAACACCTGCCGCGTATCGAGGGGTTTTCTGTATTCCGGCATACGCGGTAGTAATATACGCACGAACACGAGCGACGCCGACAGCGGGCGGAGGGCGTCCGGAACGGCGTCCTGCAAGGCTCGGAGGTCAGCACAGGCGGCGCGATGCAGTACAACAGCAGATGTATAAGACGCACCAGCCACCCGAGAGAATCCAGCGTGACGCCCTCGGTGTCAACGTTCAGCTTGAGCTCGAGAACACGCAGGTTCGGTGCGCGCGCTGCGACCTCGCCCCAGAACGTCATGGGACACTTCCCGAGCATAAGCGAGAGGAACAACGCCCTCGGCTTCGTCCGCTCCACGGCGTCCAGCAACACATTGAGCCCCGACTGGCTTAGAGGGTCGCCCACGCGCATGTTCTGCCGGATCACCAAATGGCGTACGGGGCCGAGCACGCCCATCGCGGACGGGAGGTCTGCGAACTCGTGAACATCGAGGGAGCGCAGCGCAGGCCACCGCGCGCCCTCGCGCGGTAACCCTCCTGTCCAAAGCCCGATCTCCAGGTCAGTGAGGTTCGGACAGAGCTGCACGATGTCGAGCGCGGGGGGGCTGATTTTCAGAAGCACCAGCGCGCGCACAGCCGGGAGAAGCGTCGGCGTGTACGTGTGTCCGAGCTCGCGGAAAGAGGGCCCCATCTCGTACAAGCACTTCAGGCGGAGCGTGTGCAGCGCGGGGAACGCCGCGATGGTATCGAGGAGGGCTGGAAACGTCTTCGGCTCATGGTAAAGATAGAGCCCCGAGTCTCCTATAGGAGCGTGATATTGAAGCTCGAGGATGCGCAGCGAGCGCGGGAGGCGGGGCACGATCGTGTTGACTATCGTGTCCCCGACGGTATCCAACTGGACAGAGATGAGTTTTGGGAGGGCACAGAGGGCGTCGGCGAAGCGCGGGGAGTCATATAGCATCGTCGGGTGAAACAAAGGGAGAGCGACCAGGCGGAGGTTGCGCGCGTTCATGAGGATATCGACGAGGAGGCGGACCTGGGACCAGTCGTACGCCTCATCATCCCACGGCGGGCTGCGCGAGCGTGATTCATAGATATCGTGGTCGAGTTTGAAGGCGTAATGCAGAACAGTGAAGCTCTCAAGGTATTGGACGCGAGGGCGCGACCCGAAGAACAGGTGCCGATGCGCAAGACGAAGATGGGGGCCGTCCGGGCAGACGATGACGGCGGAGACACGGTGTATAGCGAGGTCGTGGATGCGCTTGGAGGTGAGTGCGAGGTTGAGCGCGTTCTTGCCATATAGCTTGTCTGCGATGGAGCGGAGGACATCGTCGTTGAGCGAGAGAAAGTCCATGTGTCGCAGAGTCAGGGTGGCGTTGCGCTGCAAGTCGTCGAGTGGCGCACCTTCGTGGTCGGACAAGTAGAGCATCGCCCAAGACAGAACAAAGGGTGTTGTCCCCTCATGCCACGTGTATGTGCCACTCCGTAAAGCAGTGGCACAGCTCGATTCGCAGGCATCCGTGGATATTGCGGTAAACAAGGACATCCGAAAGCGTGCACTCTCTCCGACCATATGTGCAGCGGTCTGGGCACTTCGGAGTCGTGTGCACGGCTTCCCTCCAGATTATATTTGACTTCCTTGTTCGATTATAACACGACTTGTCCTATTAAGTGCAGATAGCAGTGAGCGTACCTACACCACAACCCTCTCTCATCAATCAAAACCACAAAAACCCACCCAACAACAATCCTACCGTCCCACCAAACAAACCCTCACACATTCAGCGCATTCCGCCACCTCGGCCCACCCACCTCGCCCAGCACCCGCTCCACCTCCGCATACTCCAAGTTCAGCGCGACCCGCCGCTCGCCCTCCGCCCTCCGCGCCACCGCCGGCCCGTCCTCACATATCAGCGCATGCGCCGCGAGCAGCGCATCGAGCACCTGCCCCAGCTCGTCCGCGTTCGGGCGACGCACCGGGTCCGGGTCCGCGTCGTTCCCCGAGCCCCCGAGCAGGTTCAGATACACGAGGTGCTGGTGCTGCACGCTCGCCCACTGGATCTCCTCGACGCCCTCCTTCCTCACACACCTTAGCACCGCCGCCAGCATCAACCGCTCATGGAACGCCAGCTCGCGCAGGTACGCCGCCGTCGGGCTGTTCTGCATCTCCTTGATCACCGCCTTCACGTCCTCCGTCCTTGCCGTCCGCTTCCTTGCCTGCACGAGCTCGACCGTGCGCCGGCAGATGTCGAGCACGCGCCGCGCGTCGCCGCTGATCGACGACACCTTCATCGCCGCAAACTTGAGCGCATCCGGGGCAAGCACCTCTTGGGTATCCGCGGGCAGCCCGAGCCTCGCGCCCGCCAGCCGCGCGCGCACGATCTGCTCGAGCTGCGGCGTCGTGTACGGCTGGAAGTTGATGCGCACCATCCCTGCTCACCCGCGTCAGCATTCAGCATCTACAGCTCGAGAAAAAGAATACGGGAAGAGGGAGGGGGACGCACCGAGCCGACTACGAACCCGACCAGACATGACGCGCTCAGGCAGGTCCATCGTGTTCGCAACCGCGAGCACGACGAGCTTCGAGCGCGCGAGCGTCGGCCAGTTGAAGAAATTATACACCACGTCCTGCTTCGTCGTCATCAGCTGGTCGAGCTCGTCCATCAGCACCACGCTGTCCCCCCACCAGTACCATTAGCACACAGTCGCAGGGCAGCAAGAAGGGAAGAGGGAGGGGCGCACCAGGCGTGGCCGCCGGCGGGCCCGACGCGCGCGGCGCCGCTGAAGTGCTGCGAGAGCAGCCGGAGCGCCTCTTTCGCGCCGATCTTCATGTGCCCGTCGCGCGCGGCGTCGTGGCCGGAGACGGCCTCCCAGAGCAGGCCGTACGCTGCGGCGGGCTCGGGGATCTTGAGCCCGTTGATCTCAACGTATGCGAACGGGTTTGCTTCCTAAACAAAGGTCAGTTACGTCTCCGTGAGAGACCACGAAAGGGGCAGCAAGTGGACGTACATTCTGCTCAGCCATGCGCTTGAGCTCCCGCACAACAGCATGCACAGTCGCCGTCTTCCCCGTCCCCGGCACGCCCGAAATATCTGCCCGTCAAACCCATCAGCCAACCCTCTTCCCCCACCTCCCACCCCCACACCAAAGAAACCCGCACTCACAAATACACCCGCCACTCCCCTCCTCCAGCAACTCCTCCACCGCCCTCAACACCCGCCCATACTCCGCCTCCCTGCACGGCAGCGCCCCCGGCCTTGCCGCCACGTGTAGCACATGCATCGCCCTCAGCCAGGGATCCTCCCCCAGACCTCGCACCGCGTTTTCGTCCATATCGAGCATCCCCGCTGCGGCCGGAGGCGGACGTACAGCAAGCGCGGTCTTCCTGCGCGTGCGCAGCGCGGCCTTCGAGTGCGGCGTCGGCTGTGCGAGCGACGCGTCCTTGCCGCGACCGCGGCGGCGGGGGGTGGTGGCCGTTGAGGCCGTGCCTGTACGTCGCGGTGTCCGCGGGGTAGACGTCCCCGCGCGCTTGCGTTTCCGGGAGGGTGTGCGGGGCTCGAGCTCGGCGACGACGTCGTCCTCGTCCGCATCGTCGTCCTCGTCTTCACTCTCGTCTCTCAGCGGAGCTTCAAACTCGTCCCCAGACGCGTCGTCGGACGACTCGGAGCGGTCCTCATCGTCCACGCGGCGTTTCTTGCGCGGGCCATGTGCGCCATCGCGAGTAGACGAGGAAGCCTTCGCTTTCGCCTTCACCACCCAGACGTCGTCCGCTGGCCACTCTGCGTCTTCGGAATGCAGTGAGTGGTGGGCGAGCGCCTGGAGACGGAAGGAGTCCCAGTCGAGGGCGTAGTAGAGGCCGCGCATGGGGTCGACGGCGAGGTGGCAGTAGAGGTCGTCGGGCGTGGCGTCTTCGGGGACGGTGACGCGTTTGGCGGGGGAGGAGGAGACGGCGCAATGCGTGAGGATGGCGGAGGGCGGGAGGGTTTCGCAGGCGGATATGTTGTACAGCACCTCGTTCTGTGAATCGCCAAGTCAGCAACTGCACAATGCGCAACAGCATGGCTCTGAAGGAACGTGAAGTAACGGTTACATCCCAGAATATCATCCATAAACGATTCTCAACAAGCATTCAATGCGATGTTGAACAACATGACTTCTCAGGTTAGCACTAGCGCGACCCCAGTTGTCACTGGTGACTAGCTGTTCGACTTAGATCGCCAGTCGATATCATACACCACGCGCTTTGCCAGGCCCACGCGCCGTCTCGCTATGTAACTTCTGCTTAGCTCGCCATCCACGACAACGCTGCCTACACCCACATAGCGTAACTCCGACACCGCCCCGCACAAGCCACTGCTCACTCCGCACGTCGAGCTCCTCCTCAGAATCTCCGACGCACTCAGTGAACAGCGGGCGTGTGTCCCAGACCACGGCGCGTTGCGCGGCTGCGTCATGCGAATAGGGTTACGCGGCATTATGACTAGCCAGTGTACAATCGTGGCTGTTCCGTTGTCCCGCAGAAAATGTCCTGGGGAGGGGAACAACCAGCTCAAAAGATAGAGACAGGCGTACACCCTGGCCCTCCCCGCGTCGCCGCCCGGTACAGCTGCCGCACTATATTCTCCAAGGACGTCTCGATCCGCGAGCGGCCACATGGGTTCCTCATTCAGAGAATATTGATGTACGCCAGATACCCCCGTCGCCCGGAACGCGCGCGAATGCTCCCCAGGACGTGTCCAGCCCGTTCGATGGAACAAGCAGAGAACGCCCTGGGGGCTGCGGGATGCGTCCCGTGGAACATGTTCTGCGTTCCGGGTGACAGAGTGAGTCAAAGCTATGGTAGGCCAAACCACACAAGTCGAGGACCTCCGGGGCAGGTGCCTCCGTGCGTCACCGAAGCATCCCCTCAAGCCTTAGTACCTGGCGCAACATCGTTTGCAGCCGGTTCACAGGATCACATATGTACACCGACGGGAATAGCGTGCCTGCCGTGCTCGACGCTGGTCAGTGGCATCGACCACATACTCAGGCGAGCGTACAAGGTCAAGACGCGCGCCGCCCAAGTACTCCCGTTGGAGCGAGCAACACTGCACACAGCGCACGACACTGATACCTGCGTCACTCGACCAATCCGCCAGAACGCGGAACATGAGCCGAAAGGTGTTCTGCGGGACATCTCTCCCCCACGGGGACTTTCTGAACAAGCGCGAGTCGCCGAGGCGCATCGTCGAGAGCGAGCAGCAGTCAGCGATGCTCCCCGCCCCGACGCGCCCCCACCCCTTACTGCCTCCTGGTCGACGCAGAAGATCGAACACACCGGCACAAGCGTTCAGCGGAACACATTGTTCGAGACCAGTGGAAGTTGCATGATCACTGAGTCGCGAGACGGACGCTCAGCTTGCCTCTGACGAGCACTGTGCTCACGCCTGCGATGTATGTGCGCGGCCCGTGTGGCTGAAGCGTGAAGCCATTCTGCGAAAGCTGCTCACTCGATATGTCGAGCCTCTCAAAAGGCTTATAACATAGCGAATGAGCGGCCAGTAGGTATAGCGGCGGGCGAGGATATGTGAAAAGTGGTTCGGACCGCGTGATCGAGGTTCGCCACGACCACCATGAACACGGCGAACAGGCATGGGTGCACCATGGTCCCTCTTAACCGTTCGTCCGTGCCGTAGAAACACTCGCTTATCTCGCAATAAAGTGTGGCTAGGAGGGAAATGCACGTACCTCGTCGAACTCTCTCCTCGCTCGAATCTTGGGGAGTTCTCCCGGGCGGACGAACCAGTGGACGCGCACGCGGAGTGGAGCCTTGGGGCGGAAGTCGTCTCCTTCGACCGTCCAGAGGGCAGTGATGACAGCGACACTAGGGACGCGTGAGGCGGTCTTGACGAGGACGGTGTCGCCGAGATTGAAGAGGGTGGGAGCATCGGCGTCGCTCTTGCGCGGGCGAGAGACGCGGCCATACGTCCGGATCGGGGCACGTGCAGAGGTAGGCTTGATATTGCGGGAGTATGATTTGTAGAAGTGGGTGTGGAGGTCGTCGAGGGAGTCCGGGTCGTGGTCCTCGTCCTCGAAGAAGTCAAGAGGGCCGGTCGTGCGAGAGTGAAGCGGGCCCGAGGGGATGATCTCAGCGGGCACAGAGAAGGAGGGCGAGGAGAGGTAGGCGACCACAGGCTGGCCCCGTTTCGAGCGGCGGCGGGGCGTGTTGGGCTCAGACATGGGAGCGTGGAGGAGAGAGAGAGAAGGAGAGTGCGAGGTCGCCAATATTGGCCACGCGCGCCTGTCACGTCCTCCCCGTGCCTGTGACGGCTCGCGTCCACAGCGTCGCCCGTGATTTCCGCGCGCCTCGTTCTGTTCTCGCTCATGTCCTCGTACCGTTCGTTCTGTCTCTCATCTCCCTCGACGCACTGGGCAATGTTTTCGATTCTGTTCGAAGTCAACGCAGTCCGCCTCGACGTATTTCCACAGCCTGACTAGGCTCTAGTACGCTGCTTAGACCGCATACAACCACCGTCAATTCGACGCAGAGTCGCAACCCTAAGTCGCGACTCCCTCACTGACACTGTTGTCTCTGGTCAGGTACGTAGAGCGCTGTTTCTCGCTTTTTTTCTCTGAGAGTGCGATAAACACGGACTGCATGAACTCTCTGACACCCAACCGCACATCAGCAGAGCCTCCCTCGATAGGGCCCGTACGCAACTCCAGTGCAAGACTAAGCTCGGTGGTATGTCCACTACGCTGTCGTTACCCCTTGACATCAACTCGACACCTACTGCACATAACGCGCGCACGCACTGCCAGATGGACGGGGACTCACACTGACTATGCATCTCAGGACGACGACGAATATTTAGATGACGCACAAGCCATCCACGCGTCTTCCATCTCGATCTCACCCACGCGATTGCCCTGGCTTGGATTTGACTCCGCTGCCTCCCTGTGCTCTACCAGTGAGGGACTTCGCCAGGCCGTCCGCGAGATTCGCGTCTGGCAGCGAGGCTAAAACATTCACGAAGACGCCCCCGCCACGCGTACTTGTCGTGAACGAGCGTCCTTCGCGGCTTACAGTGTCAGACCGACTTCGCTCGGACCTAGGTCTCGCGGCACGCACCGCTAGGTAGACGCAGACTTGTACCTGCGGACGAAGGCGAATATCCCGATGACGGACAAATCATCCATACGCCCTCCATCTCGCTCTCACCCCGCACGTTTGGTCTGGCTAGGCATATGGCATTCGACTCTGCTGCCTGCCTTGTGCTCTACGAACTTCGTCAGACCTCCCGCGAAAGTCGCGCCTGGCCCTTTCCCTCCGACAGCCCATTATGAAACCCTCCCCTTCACGCGGACTTGTAGGGAGACGAGCCTCTTCTGCGGCTTACAGTGGTCGACTGACATCTTGGAGCCACATCTCGCTGCTTCCCATCTACTATTGGCGGCCTGCCTTCTGCCCAGCTCTCATGCTGTTTCTGGCTGCATAACCTAAGGCTGCCTGCGATATTCTCTGGCACGCGACCCCTCTCCCTACATCTCGCCGTCTTCTCATCGCGAAGGAGAAAGAGAACACCACGTGTGCCACTTCGTTCCTCGACGTTCCCCAACACTTTGTGCTCCACGCCACGGACGCAATCCCGGAGATGTGTCTAAGCTACGGTGAGTTCCGGAAGAATGCGCCGATATCAGTCCAATGCTCACGGTGCCACGCTTCGTGCAATTTTCTTACCGTCGAGGTCGCCATACCGACTACTATTGAGGGTGCTATAACACGCATCTCGGCAGGTATTGTGCGGCAACTATGAGCTTCAGCCTCCAGCCGAATTTCGCCACTACCAACCCGGCGGGCGTTATGGTACGCTTTTCAGAAGCTTATAAAGTGACAAATGTGCGCTATTTCTACGCGCTCCTCGCACAATGGGACAGACAGCATGTACCGTTTCAGTTATATCCCAGCCTTCATACACGGCTGTTGTATCAAGCACCCCCAACCTGTTATGCTCGTGAGTCGCCCAACGTCTATTCGTTCCCACACCACGTACGAAGTGCGATTATGAATCTACAGGATCGCAGATAGCCATGTTTGCGGAATGAGACCCATACAACCCATCAAAAGCCACGAGACTATGTGCGTACTAGTATAAGTACGTCTCTTCTGTGCGAGCTAACCGCAACTCTCAAACATCTGTCGCGCTCTACCACTCTCTTCGAGTCTTAGGAATCTACCGCAGACATGTCTCGTATGTGATCCGCCATCCCAATATTTTCTTTAACTAACTTGGCGTTCAGAGCGCTCTCAAACAGCTCCCCCCGACTCAACCGCTGACGTCACTGCCTCCGAAATGCCGGACAAGCCAGGGGTCCGGTCACCTTTGACCCACACCCCGCCCGTGTCCACTAGTCCCCCAGCAAGCGGTCTATGCATCGAAGATAATATGCAGGTTAACAAGAAGACTCTTCACGAAAGCCGTCAGTATCCGATTGACGGGCCTCGCCAAAACAATGTAGACTCACTCCGGACCATCAGTGACTGCGGGCTTGAGCGGCATGCCTCCAAACAACGACTACACTTATGAATATGGGTGGAACACGTGTGAATCCCCGTCCGACGGCCCTACCCGCCAAAACTCCCGGGACAGCGCCCTGCCCGCATTGGCCAACACACGGCCATCGACGTTCGGCCCTGTGCCCTCACCCCCGGTCCACAGCCCTACCCACCAAGATTCGAAGGACTCGGACGACGCCGGTGTAGGGCTAGCATCTCGGGACAGTGCCCTGTCCGCAATACGGTCATCGACGTTCGGCCCCGTGCACTCTGGTGAAGGCGAAGTTCCCGCCCAAGCTCTCGCAAATGTGGTGCCCGAATCACCTTCCGACATCCAGCAGAGAGGAGAATTGGCAACGTGATGTATGTCATTTTTTTGTTTCTGCACTTTTCGTGTGGTAGAGTGGACGGCGGACTCTTCAGCATTCCTCGACGCACCTCCCGTTGCCCTTGAGCTTGAATGCCGACCGTCAACCAGTTATGCGAGTTTGTCTTAGTATATAATGGTTGGAAATCAGCATGCGTGCCGTCTGGCTTCTGTGGACGTGTGAAGTAGCGGTTGCTCGTGCAAGTGCGGTCACATTCCGCGCACTTACCTTCCCATAATTTTCCCGGAGCACAACGCCATCAACACATACATACCAGCACGCCTCAAGTAGGCGTGGTTGCTCTACTGAGGGATACACCACACAATGACGCACACGAGGTAAGAGCAGCAAAAGCGCACAGTAGCTTCGATTTCCAACTGGCTCGAAGGGGGTCAGATCCCATGATTAGGTATACGGTATAGGGTATGACTATGCGATAGTACTAGTAATCCTACAACAGCGAGCTAATGCGCGACAAAACACAGCGAAAGCGTACAAGGTCCAACGATCGAGTCAAAACAAGATGTCCAAGTCCAGGCGAATGCACTACCCCGCGACCCCCGCAAGCACCTTGAACACCATCTCCTGCCGCTCCTTGAACGCGCGCAGCTTCGTCATCGCGAGCGCGAGCGCGTTCACCCGGTTCGCGAACGTCACCGCGCGACCCGCCGTGCTCGTTCTCCTCCTTTGAGGGTCCCCAGGGGCGCCGCGCGACCCGCGTTCTACGCTGTCCGCGAATGCGTGCCCAACGCCGCCCTCGATGATATCGCGCACCCGCTCTAGGCGCGGGACGGGAGGTTCCGCTCCCGCCTGCAGCGCAGCGACGGTCGCCTCGCTGTCCTCCTCCTCCATCGCATGAGCCGCGGCGCCAATGGCGCACAGCTCCGCCATGAACGGCTTGAGGGCGGCGGGGCACTCGGAGAGCGCGAGCGTCTGCCCGAGCACCCCACGGATGACGGGCTCCTCGGCGCGCGGGAAGACCTCGGCGAGCGCCTTGGAGGTGGGGTCGTGCCGCGTCGCGGAGGCGGCGACGTCGAGGATGGCGAAGGCGACGGCGGCGAAGTACGCGCGGGGCGCGTCGGCGCGCATGAGTGTGCGAAGGTGCGGCCGCCGCTCGAGCACGTCGGCGAGCGCGGCATACAGTGTTTCGCGCACGAACTCAATCCCGGGCTTGTCCTCGGCGAGGATCGTGGGTGATGGGGGGTTTTGGCTGTATATTGACGGTGGGAGTGGGGAGGGCGAGGTGGGGGGTGATGAGAGGTATGCGGAGGTGCGCGGGGATGAGGTGGTAGCGGAGGTGCGTGAGGACGTGCGTGAATGTGAGAAGCGTGAGGACGGTGCGGGCGAGGGCGGCTCGAGGGAGTGCGCAGACGCGGAGGGCGAGATCGGGGCCGGCCCGGCGCCGTTCTCGTCATAGCTCGGCGGGGGCATGAAGCTCGCCTTCAGGCGGCGCTCGCCGCGGCTCGGGCCCGTGTCGAGCGCGGCCTGGAGGTCGTCCGCGTACTTTTCCTGGAAGGTGCGCCGCATGCTGATCTCGATCGCGACCGCGCGCATGTCCGCGGAGAGCCCGTTGAGGCGCGGGTTGAGTGGGGTGGTGAGCGGGGGCAGGTTGCAGATGATGCGCGCGAGGTCGTGCTGATACTCGGGCGTGAGGCCCTGGATTTGGGGCACGAGCTGCGACCAGACGATGAGGAAGGGGCGGAAGGCGGGCGGGCAGTTCGTGAGGGAGAGGTCGGTCGCTGGAAGAGCTGCGCCGCTCTTTGCACGACGCGGAAGAGGTACGGATGGGGGATTTGTGGTGGAGCGGAGTGCGGCGAAGTAGAGGCACAGCGCGGGGCCTGCAATGGAACATTGTCAGGAACTGTCATGTTTGCAGATCACAGCGTACGCACCGGTTATCATGAGATCGGCCTCTGCGCTCGAGAGCATGTCAGGGTCGAGGAGACCCTCGACCTTCGCGTGGGACAAAGACGACTTGAGGTACGAGTGGAAGCATTCCTGGATGAACTCCTCGGACAGCGTCGGCTCGCCGCTGCCGGAAGCATTGGCGACAGAGGGCATCGGTTGGTGAAGAGCAGACAGAGGAGGTGGGTGTGTGTGTGGTATGGAAGGGTGAGTAAGAGAAGGGAGCGAGCGCTTTGAGCCGGGGCCGGGCATACTTAACGCTCGCGCGCCAGTGGAGCACGTGGGGCGCGCGCACCGCCTTTTTCGTCGGTCGGAGCCTCCGTGCGCGCCCCGGCATCCCGGCAGCGCAGGAGAAAGCCCGACGATGGGGCAATGCACACACAGCCTGGGGCGGGGAGCGGGGGTGAACGGTGCACGCAGCACGGGCAGGGCGGCCGGGGGGGAGCGAGTGGACTTTGGGGCCCACAAGGTCCCTCGAGGCTCGCAAGGCACCGTGTGGAGTCGTCACTTCAGCAGCTGCACGATCGCGGTACATGTGGTGCTTCGGTATGCCTCGGGAACCCAAGGCACAGGCCCGGGAGGAGTGGGCAGGGGTGTATGAAAAATGAATCCATCGATTGGTCCAGGACGCGAACTTCACAAAGCACGCTCTCTGGCCAAGTACCGTTACGATCTCGTTAGGAAGGACGGGTCGACGATGTTTGCCCGCTAAGTTCGCCGGTCTCCAATGCCATGCCATACTTTCGACACCGAGCAGTCACGAACTGGACGCGTTTCCTCCGGAACTCCGAGTGCTGCGCGAATCTCGGAGCGCGGCAGGGCCGCGGGCGTCGAGGAACGGACGGTGGCGCGCATGAACGAAGACTCTCTTCCCCTGCAGCGAAAGGACAGTGGGATTGGGCGAAGAAGGGTCGCGTTCGAGGTCCCCAAAACGCAAGGTCTTGTCGCGATGTTCAGCCTCAGTCGCCCCAGTTCTTGCGGCCGCCCCGCCCGGTTCCTATCAACCTCAGTAGTAGCCTATACGCTCGCCGGTCCCCCAGACATGTTCGAAAGGTGTGCGAATTGTCATCAGAGTGTCGATGGGATTCGGCGAGAGCCATCGTCCGACCAGAAGTATTAAGCAAGCCGGCGAAAAAGTATGGGGACCATACAAGAGAGAGGGCGAGCCGACTGCGAGCGCAAGAGGGCGAGCGACGAAGTTTGGCTAATGAAGAGCCAAGCGGAAGCTGGGTAAACATTCGCTAGCCTCGAGAAAAGTTCCTCCAGTACAAGTCCGTAGTGACGAGCTTCTCCGGGAGCACGTGCGTGGCGTGGAGCACAAAGTGTTGGGGAACGTCGAGGAATGGAGTGGCGTGCGTAATTTACCTTTCTCTGCAATGAGAAGACGGCGAGATGTGCAAAGACGAGTGGAGGAGATACCGCAAGCAGGTCGCATTTCAATGTCTAGCCGCAATCCTAGCCGTCCCCAGTATGTGCGCCAATCTCCAAGATATAGTCCAATTGCCAGTGGGTTGCTGTTAGATTGTTGTCAGGATATGGTGAGAACCGTCTTACGTCCTGTGAGGTCTCCCAAGCCCCCGAGCAAGTGCAGGAGGCACACAAGAGACAGCGAGGCGACAGCAAGACGCAGGAGGCGAGTGACGAAGCCTAGCTCCGAGCCAAGGAGATCGAGGAAGCCTGAAGGGAAGCTCCTCCGCAAGTCCGCGGTGATGAGGTACTCCGGGATCCTGTGTGCAGCGTGGGGTACAGAGTATCGGGGAGCGTCGAGGAAAGGAAAGTGGGGCGTGTGACTGCAGAATTTTCCTTTGCATTGGGATGACGAGGAGACGATGTGGAGAAAGGGTGCGTGCCGGAAACCTCACGGGCAGTACAATGTTGGTATCAATGCCCATGCTGTCTCGTCAAGACACATTCGTCCGGTTTGCAGCTCGCTGCCGAGTGGTCGCTGGGACTCTGCGCGAACTGTCGTAGGTTCTGGAGCATTTAGTGCGCCTATGCATATGTCACAGTGAGAGCTGCGGGCCACAAGGCGGTTCTCCGGCACCAAGGCACCACAGGGAGAGCAGCAAAGCATTTTGGGCCACCAAGGAAACGTCTTCTGTGCAAGTCCGCATAGGGGGGGGAGGGTTCCTGGAGGTTACAGCAGAGGCCGAGCAGACACGAGAGACGGGTGTTGTTGCAACGTCAGAGGGTGGAATAGACCTAGTAAGGGTGGTTCCGGGGAGTCAAGCAGGTATGGGGGTCGCGTACGGGCACCATGGTCCTGGAGGGGGGTCGGTTGAAAAGCGCCAAGTGCCATTCATGCGAACTGCACTTAATTCAGAACTCAGCATAAAAACGAGATAAAGTGCCCTACGTACGCGATGAATGCATGTGTCGCGGCCCAGAGTTGCGATTTTGTGTCTAATACACTGTGCTTGTATCCGGGATTGACGGCGCGTCGCAAGATCCAAGGTAGACGCAAGCACGAGTGGGGCAGACGCGTACGTCGACGCTAGCTCAGGCGCGCGATCGTACCGGCAGCTCCTCATCAAGTGTCATATTGACTTGTAACCGGAAGAACACTTACAACATAACCAAGGACATAGGATGTCGCGGGCGAGACGTTCTTTCGCCGGGGTGAGAGGAGTTCGTGACCGAGCCAGAACGACGGTGGCGGTCGAGGACGAGGGGCACCGTCGACGTAAGCGCCCGTGCAACGCGCTCCGGGTTACTTATTATTAATCTAGGCACCCAGCTTGTAGTGCAGTGCACCGTGCACCGTGTCCATGGCGAACGCCGCAGATGATCGCAACATAAGACATGTACCATTCCAAATTACGAGTGCGCCATAATCGATGTAGATGCATATCAAAATCAAGGAATACTTACACCGACTTCGACTCGCCGTGCGTGCAGTAAAAGACGGGAAATCCACAACGCGACTCGGCGTGTAACATGGAGTAGGTTGCAATGAATGCATAATCACGATGCACTGTGGGTGGTACGTATGCATAAGTATCGTCCAGAGTTAGGTTCTAGTCCGTGTCCAGCGACAGCGACCGGCTATCTGAAGGCATCCGCGAGCTCTTCCGCAAGATCTACATCGAACGATGTACTCCGCGCTGGGGAACGTTGAGTTTGAAACGCATGCTTGCCACTGATATCATGGTGTCGGTGCGACGGAGACTGAACATGGGCTGGGGATGGCATGTCAACTATAACCTTTACACAAGTGCTCGCAGAAGACGTACGGGAAAGGGTGGGCGTCTCCTCGGGTTTACCATCGCTCGCTCAGCGAAGGCGAACGCTTCGCAAGAAATGGTCGGATATGCACCATGGCAGATTTCGGGGCAATCACATAACAGATGCCAGACTTGCTGGGTGTTATGCGGGAGAGGCCGTTGCTTTCATTGGTGGCGAGCTTATGGGCGGTGGCGGCATTGCATAACGGGCGACTGGATGGGCGTGGTGTGTACTCTAAAAGCGTGGCGTTAACAGAGCGTGTGTGCATCATCGAGCGACGTACGAGTTAGTGCAGGGGCAATATTCTGTTCAGGCATCTCCAAGTTGTTGCGTTTAGATGGTTGGTGGCGAGTGTCGAATGTCAAGTGCAGCTGCCTCGCGCAGAGGAGGTACTTGTACTAGGGGCTATGCCTCATGTCCAGGAAGTCCCACGGACGGTATACTTTCCCTTTCCGTATCTCGATTCGGACGTGCAGCTCTCCCAAAATCTGCCCTACGCAGCTAGAGCCTGGAGGAGGTATTGCGGTGCAACGTATCGAGATTCCCGTATAGCATAGCAACCGCGTGGAGCGTGAGTCACCACAAGCGGTGAGCCTTATGACGCAAGGCCCGTCTGCTGCTTGTACGGAGCCGCGTAGCTACAAGAGAAGGCATCAGTCGTGCATGGGGGTTCAGGAACCGACTCGAACCACACTCACGAGGGGCATTGGCCCGAATTCCGGTCCTGAATAGGCTAGGAACAGCGCCTGAACTGGTCTCCTGTTACCAGACTGGTTCAGGTCCTGAATCCCGGTTAGTAAATTTACTTATCGGATAACAACTCACATTAGAGTGGCGCTTTGTTCGCCATTGTCTGGATTCCTAGCCTGTCTCCGGTCCTGAACAGGAGACCAGTTCGGGTCATATTCCTAACCTATTCAGGACCAGAATACGGGCCAATGCCCCTCGTGACTCACCTTGTATTTCACCACTAGCGAGACTTCTGTTTATTTGTTTGCTTCCCAATTTTACATTTTCGACCTGGACGGACGCACATACTTCCCTATGGTTCCGATATGGACACAGCATTCGCGAGTCAAGCGGTTTGCGTGCGCAATTTTGAATAGCACAGATCCAGAACAGGCAATCGAAGTACAAGCTGGCAGTGCCCATCTAGTCTCCGAATACGCCTTTAAGACGAGGTCCGAGGATACGAGTCCGTGCGTATATCACATGGAGAAATCCAGACAAAAGACAAGCATGACTCATGGTCGCGGTGAGCGGTGAAGCTGGAATGGAGAGTCGCGAAGCCGAATCGGAGCCGAGCGACGTGGGCGCCAAAGTTGGACGGCGTCGGCGCGGGCACGAGGCTCTTGCGCGCCTCTCAGCCGTTCTTCTCTTCCTCCAACAACGCGGCAGACTATTCGAGACGATATCCATGTCGACCGTCGGAGACCCGTGTAGAGTCTATCCTAGCAGCTCGGATGCTCTCACTTGCAGGCTGAGCAACATCGTGGAACTTCTCGCGGGAGCACGAAGACCGAAGACTGCCAGGAGATGCGCCCGAACCACACACAGCCAGCGGCCGCCGGGCGCCCGCACGTTGCTGTCCATATATCACGGTGCTGACATGTTACTTCTTCTGTGTGTCTGACTTGTTGCTGAAAAAATGTTACAAGCAGCAGAGAGTACAGCACTCAAGGATCTGGATTCAGAGGCAGTCCTAGCACGCGGAACTTCATCTTCGCCGAGTGAACCACCTTTGGTCCCAGTTTCCTCGCTCTTTCGTCGTGTTACACGTAAACCTTCCTCATCTGGAGAACAGAGCGGTCCAGATATCCGGTGTCGACCGCGGTTGCGCGAGCACTACCCAAAGCTGCCTTATTTGCCTTAATTCAAGGCCAACTAACGCTTCCAACACGGTGCAGGGACCGCTTTTGTGGTTGGACCGCGGATCATGCCGTTTAGGTACCCCCGCGCGCAGGTCCTGGATTTGGCGTCCAAGCGCACTCTGCCATCCGCCGGACAGGTACAGCGTTCTCACCATCCGACTACGACTTACCGCCGCCGCTGCGCCCGTTCTCCAGAGCATCGCCTCCCCAGTGGGTCCAAGCACGCCGCAAGAATGGAGCTCCGAACTTGGCTTTCCCCGTGGCTCAATAAGAAGACATGCGGACCCATCGCGCTCCTTCAGACACGCACACAGTTCCCGGGTGGTGGATCGATTGGTCGGTTACCAACAGCAGGCATTCGTCTCTACCGCCCCTTCTTCTCTCCTTCCTCCTCCGCACAACATGGCCCGACGGTGTGAATGCAACGTCACCGTCGTCCGAGGACCCGTTCACTCACTCTACTACCCCGTCCGCCTCCCGACCGACCGCCCCGCCATCCTCGACGACCCGTCACTCTCGTACCGCACCAAGGTCCTCTTTGCCCTCTTTCCGGAAACGCCCCTCATCGTCACTCTATTCCCCAAGCGCGCCCGCTCCGGTGTTGCCGCCGCCCTTCTCGCCCTATGGCCACTCTTCGTCGTCGCCCGCGAGGCCTTCGTGCAGTGGGAATACCTCACACTTGGCTGGGCCCTCTTGCACGCGGCTCTTCCCAACGACGCTGGATATAACGTCCCTTTCATAGACGTGATGCGCGTGGGCGCCGTCGGTGGCATGATGATCCAGGTCGTCTCCCTCGGCATCTTCGTTCTGTTCCCCGTCCTCGTGCGTGTGGCGCTCCGCGTACCACAATGGCAAGAGCCGCAAGGGCGCGGAAGCGGTCTACAGGGGACGGGGAACAGGCCTATAGTCAAGTTCAACGTGGTCCAGCACTTAGTCGCCGCCGTATTCATGGCGCCCTCGGAGATGGCGGGCGCGGCGATGGCGGGAGCTTGGGGCACGCTCATCCTGAAGCACAGTATGGTCGACGCGTCCTTCTTGATGGATACCACGCACGCCGTCCGTGCCGGCGTCGTTGGGGCCGTCGTACTGTGGGTCCCGCAGGTACTCTGGTACCTGCTGAACGTGTACTTCGTGTGGCGGGACACAAAGAAGGCGGACGCTCAAGCTGCGCACCCGGACATCGGGGCAATCGAGAATGCTATTCCTCAATGCACGGAAGGTAAGCCTTCTGTTTCAAAGGAGGTGGTTGGTTATGACATTTGATGAAAAACGAACTTTTCGTCTACGGACTGTTACTTACTCTACTATACCAATCTACTTTTTACTCCGTTATACCCATTCGTTGCACGTGTGCTGTCTCTCCGTATTCTTCCTGTTGTACGGGTTTTCCTTTCAGAGGAACGAAGGTAAGTGCCTCGTGTATTATTGAGGGCGCAGATGGTTAACATTCTCTTTGGTAGTGTAAGTTGCTCATGCGTTGGTACCTGCGACGTGTCGCAGTCCCGCAACAAATCAACCCACCGCTTGAGGAGTCTTCCAAACCTGCAAATAATATCTTTCAATTTATCTGATGTCACTATCGTCTCTTTCGTTGTCGTGGGCGCGTCCCGTGGGATATGTATCGTCGAAGCCAGCATCGCAGACTATGCGTCCCTGGAGGTACGCTGGTACACGCCGGCTTGCCGGTGCCGCACTGACGCCCTTCTGTCCACACAGAGCGCAGAAAAAGATGTCGCTGCCAATGGCAAGGTGGACTTCCTCATTCACTACGCCGCCCGTGTGGCTGACTGACGTAACTTTCTATGCATAGCCCGAGCACGGACGCTCTCGACGCAGGCTTCATCGGAGTGGTGCGTCTGCATTCCTTCCTACCCATTCTCCCGCCGCTCATCTCCCAAGCCCCAATTCAACTTAAGATTAACGCGTTTCCCGTCGCCCCAGTATCGCCGTCTTTTTTAATTCCCTGCTCGCCGCCCCGACGAAGAAGATCGTCATGATCGGCACGTCCACACCACTGACACCGTAGGCGACCTGAGTAAGTCGATTCTCTGCTTCTCGAGTCCGCTGACTCAGTGATGACTTTGTGTGCGACAGGTGACCTTGCAGTGGCGAAGGCATGCTCCCGGAGATTGCGAAAGAGTCCACCACGCCTACGGTCGAGACTCCCAGGCAGTCCGTCCAGGTGCAGGTGCAGGTCGTCGACCGGCGCAGGTCCTCGGACACCGGTGGCTTCCTGCCTCACCTTCGTGCGTGATCCGTGGGCGTGCTTCACACCACGCTTTGTGCAGCATAGTAAAACCAAAATTAATCAAAGCTCACCGCTCACTTGCGCGAATATTCAGGGGGGTTGTAATTTTGCAATACTACTTGAGGCCCCGCTGAGGGTGTCACACGAAGGTTTGCCGGTTTAAACTGACAGCAATATCGATAAGACAGACAATCCAGCGACTCGACAGTCTCGATAAGCTTGCAGGTTTTAAATCAGCCCTGACGGCGCAGACGTCCTCGGATACTTCCGATCAATACGAACGAACCGTAGTACACCGATCGGAGACCCACTGGCAGGTAGGTGCCTCCGTATGGTTTCGTACAGAAGCCAAATGCTGACTTTGCCTTTGTCAGTACGCGTTGTGGCCTCCCAGGCTTTCCATCGCCGTTGGGCTCCTCATGATCAAGTTCCCTGGTACTTGCTGAACGTGTACTTCGTGCCGCGATCGTCCGCGGTGGCGAGTACCTAAGCCGCGCATCCGCCGAACGCTAAGCAACCTGTCGAGAAGGCCGCCCCTCACTTCGCGGCGCGGACGGTAAGCCTGCTGGTGTCACGGACACGGTGTATCATGAACTTGGCTCGATCATGCACGGTGAGGTATGGATCCTGATTTTGTTGTTCTTGGGACTTCTGACTCATACGGAAGCCAGGATTTGCATTACCTTTGTCAGTATGCAGTGCGCCCTCCCACACATCACTCGCGCGAAGACCTTCCTTCATCGCCGTTTTGGGACATGATCCTCGGCAACCGCTTGACTCAGGCTGTGTCTCTCACGGAATCCATATTGGGAACGTACCATCAATAAACGAACCGAGGCGCAAGGCACTATGCTGCAATACCCGCCATCGGCGTCCCTATGCACTAAGATCCACGTTTTGGCCTTGAGCACACCGCGGCGAACCAACCCGTCTATGTGGACGTCATGTCTCGCTCATGGCCGCTAACCGAGCACCGACCACTGGGTTGCGATACGGGCGAAGAGGCCCTCAGTCAGCGTAGTAAGTCTTCTCGCCGCTTGCTACCTCGGAACCCCGCGGAGGGATGTACCAGTACGTACTGACGCGTTTCCTGGCACAGTCCGCCGCTGTGGCTCGTGGTTCACGGTAGGAACGCGCCTCAGGAGGATGTGCTATAAAATGCACCGCGCAAGCACCATAATTTCCGCACCGATCCAACACAACGCTCGGCCCACCTCGCACTACAACCCCATTCTTTCGAAACCTCTGACACCATGACCGTTTCTTACGCAGTTGTCGGCGCGTCCCGTGGAATTGGACTCGAATACGTCCGCCAGCTGGTTCGTCGTAAAATCGCTCCCGGTCGTCGCACTCAGAATGCTCACTAGCACTGCGCCTCCCATACAGGCCACCCGCCCGGACACGATCGTCTTTGCGATCGTCCGCAACAAGAAAGGCAGCTTCCACCTCACTGCCGCTATTGCGAACTTCAAGAACGTACACGTCTTCGAAGCCGACGTCGTGGACCACGCGTCTCTGGAGGTGCACCAGGCTCCTCCTCTACCCGCTGAGCTCATGGTAGCCTGACACTTTACTCGAAACCCAGCGTGCTGCGAAGGAAGTCGCCGCTATCAGCGGTGGGAAGCTGGACGTCCTCATCCACAACGCCGGCCGCATGAGCGGGCAGGCCGTCTGGATGGGTTTCAAGGACTAGTAAGCGGGTCACCCGACCACACAGCACATTCTCCGCTCCCCGCTGACACAATCTCTCTACACAGCCCGAACATGGACGCGCTCGACGCAGACTGCATTGAAGCGGTACGTCCCCTTACCCTCTTCCTCCAGTGACCCGATTCCCCTACTGACGCTCCGCGCCCCAACAGTACAAGATCAACGCCCTCGGCGTCGTCCACGGCATCGCCGCCTTCCTTCCTCTCCTACGCGCCGGCCCGACGAAGAAGATCGCCGTGCTCGGCACAGACGGCGCTATCCCGAACACCGTGTACGCCCTCGGCCTCCCGGACCTGTGCGCATACTCGATGTCCAAGGCCGCGAGCATGCTGGCCACCGCGAAGTGGGCCTTGCAGCTCAAGGACGAGGGCTTCATCGTCGTCACGCTCGCGCCTGGGCTTGTCGACACCACCGACACGGTCGGCACGTCGGGTACGCGTATTGTTCCTTCGGCACGGTTTCTAGGGGGTACCTTTTTGACTGTGTGACGTCCGACAGGCGACCCGGCGGTGAAGAAGATCCTGCAGGACATCGACAAGAACCACCCGGCGTTCGTGCTGGAGACCCCAGCGCAGTCCGTCAAGTCCCAGCTGCAGATCGTCGACGGTCTCAAGCTGTCGGACAACGGCGGCCACTTCCGTTCCCACAAGGGAAATGCGGTGTGAGTGCTCCTGGGGCTGCTTTTAACAATAGCCTTGTACTACGCGGTGTACGTCCGTCGAAATGAGTTCCTATTGAGTTGAGAGATCATGTACTATTACAATGAAACCCCAGTTTATCGCTATGGCCTCATTGGGTTCTACGTCCGATAGATGCAAGCCAGCAGCTCACGTTTCGTACGGGGCCACCTATTCCGTGAGGTGTTTCACGCTCGAGCTAAATGTTCGACGAAACACTGTCCGAACGATGCACGGGCCGTGAAGTCCTAGGTGGCCCATCCACTCGCTACGACCCCAGTATGCTAACGTGTGCACGGGTTGGCATCGCGACGTCGTACCTGCTGGTTACTGCACTCCATGTCGCTGGAATAAGAGGATGTGAACACCTCAAGATATCGATATTGTATTTTATTAGCTCCGTGCTTCAAGCGCCAGTACAAGACAAGAGGTGGCAGCTTCGCTCGCGTATCAGCATGAGCCTTGTGCATCGGACGATGCGTATCCGTGACAGAATAAGCACCGTGTCTACCGAACATCCAGACACCCCAGCTCGCGGGAACGACGCCAGGACCGCCGGATGGATCGGGATATCGCGCGATATAAGGGTGGCAGCTACAAGAGGCGGGAGGCGATAGACCAGATACCGACACCTATACCCTCAGCCATATACCCGACGACAGCACCAACATGAGCCAGTATAGCCTCTCAACATGCGACCCTCTGCAGAAGGCGAAAGGTACGTTTATGACGCAACCCTCGCACCGGTACAACTCGATACTGAGGCTCAGCTCAGCGGATCGCAAGGACGTGCGTCGCGCGCCACATGTAACGGGGTCTGTCAGCACCGTGCTCTTCGAGACTGGGACTATCGACACCTTTCCCCGTTCTCCGAGCCGTAGAGACACCAGACGCTCTACGCAAGGACGCAACGTGTTCAAGACACTCCCGCCTGCGCCGTGGAGACCTACCAGTGGCAGTATCTCAGAGAAGGCCGATGAGCACAACACGACGCGTGAGTACATTCGCTCCCAGGCTATTTCCTCCGTCTATCAGGCAGTTCTGACACGCACCTGGATATCCAGCAACGAGGGATAGGTTTGGGGCGGAGGTGGTGTTCGGCGGGCCTGTCTTCGACAGCCCGTGCCACTCGCGCGCGAGCACCATGGACGAGTCTGCAGCTCTACTGGTGCAAAGCCAGATAGAGCAGGCGTTGTCTTCTGGGATATCCCGCACAGACATACCAAAGCGCTGCAGGAAGCGACCATCGCCCCTGGGCGCACTGTCGAGTGCGAAGGACCCGGCCCCAGAGACCTTGGACCAGTTGACTCCGGTGGCGACCCCGGCATCGCCATCCGCAAAGTTTGCGCGTGCGTTCGGGGTGTTATTCAGAACCAGGCGGTAGTCCATGCGTATTGCGATGTTGTATTCCCGATACTTGCGAAGTGGGTCAATATGTATATCGTATCGTTTCTCTGGTGTTACCTGTTTTGCTTCAAGAACACCTAATTAGCCTGCTGAGAGTATCTACTAGACAGTACCCACAGCGCTAATATCTCTATCTCAGTGCATGAGAATACGAACAATCAAAGAATGATACTGCAACCGGGACCGGTCAGCTCGAAAGCGCTCGTACCCACATGGTTGTGGCGTACAGGACACCGAGAACCTCCAATCACTCATATCGCATATTCCATTGTTAATGTTATATCTCATACATATCTCGGGGACTCTTCGATCACAACCTTATAGTCCTACTTGGGAATCAGTCCTGAGTCCCATTCTGTCTATGAATACGTGGAGACCGCATGGCCGGGTTGGGGCACGGGCTACCCGTTGAAAGCACAACGAAAGGTGAGTACATCGCTCTGTTCCGACGCGCGGGCGGGGGCGCATAAGTTATCGCGACTGCACTGGACGCGCGCGGGCGCCGCTGTTGCGTCCCAGCAAGGAGTGCGGGAGGGCGATGCTCGCGTACCGTACGCGCGGTCTTGCACGTCGCGCGGTCTTTGCCCGCCCTCTGGTGTAATCGTTGGCGGCGTGTCGAAGCAACGTGGGAGGAGGGAGACTGGCGAGTTTGACGATGTGTCGTGCATGCGCAATCAATTTACTTACCTGGTGTTTCCCCAGCAGCGCGGATGATGCGACAGACACATGTCGAGGCGGTAGCCACTTTGCCCAGAGCTGCCTCCCGGCGCGAGGGACGTTGATCTCGGGCGTGGGGGGTTCTTCGGGCGTCGCGGGGAATGTTTGGGCATCGGATGCGGGGGTGTCGTCATCGGTGGGGATTGGAGTGGGCTCGTGCTCTTGGCCTTCCGGCGGGATGAGGATGTTAGGAGTGGCGGCGTCGCCGTCGACAGTGGGCTCGGGCTCGACCTCCATCGGAGCAACTTCTGCGGCAACGGCAGTGGGTGCGGCTTCCCAAGGGTCAACATCTGAATATTCGACTTGCATCGCCGGCTCCTCCGACGTAGGCTTGGGCTGTGTGACTTTTGCCGCCTCAGCCGGCACAGAGGACGCCTCAATCTCAACCACGTGCGGGCACCTACTCCCTCTCGCATCCAATCCACCTCTCCACGCGCTCCGCCTCTCCCTCAACCATCCGCGCCAGCTCGCGCTGCGCCGCGCGCATGCCCACATGGCCGCGGCTCTCCGCCGCATCGAGTGCGCCGAGAACGTAGCTCAGCTCCTCGTACGCATATAGGAACGCATTTGTGAGCGTGTGGTGACGGTGATGCGTGCGCGGGTCTCGGTTTGCGTGCGGGGGACTCGTAGTCGACCATGGTTGGGAGCATGAACGCGGCCTTGGCGGCGAGGAGGTCCGTGCGGGTGTTGGGTTGGTGAGCGGTGGGAGCACGTCCTGCTTCTGCTTCTCCGCGACGGGGACTTCGGCGGGGGTGGGCCCGGGGGACAGGATGGAGATGGTGGTGACAGGGGCGAGGAAAGACGCCACGGGGCAGGGGATGTCCGCGAAGGTGGAGGTTGAGGGGCGTGCAAGGTTGTTCGGACTTGGTGGGTTGGATGCGGCTGCGAGGAGCGGTGCTCGCCCGACGGGGGTTGAGAGTCGACGAGTCTGAGTCCATCACAGTGCGCACGAAGTAATGGTACACATGTAAGGTGAACACCGGCGGTACTCCACTGTTGTCATGGCTCTCAGTGGTTTGCATTAAGTATTACGAAAGACTTGATAAGAACCTCGTGAGTATCCCACAAACAAAATGACTGCACACACCTCTTCCTTCTCTCGTGTGCACATTTGTGTCGACAAGGACGCAGGTGCGCTATTCCTTAGGCGTGAAGATCTGCCGAGGAGACGGCTCGCCGCGACCTACAAAATCGTCCGCTGCAATCGTGCGTCGCAATGATCGTAGCAGGCGTGCCCACGAGCGCGCCCACAAAACGGCCTGGCCGTCCGACGCGGCAGGGCAGCGGTACAATTATCTTCGGCTTTCGTGCCCTTGCTGAGAGCTGTCGAAGGCAACCTGCTCGGAATACGTCAAGACTCGACCTTTCAGAATCATAGAGCTCACAGTTTAGTTTACGAGAGCCTTGCTTACGTCGTTCGCAGGCAGAGTCGACTTTATATAGGCACCCAACTCCCGCTTCTTACCGCGACGTCGCGGAGACACAGATTCAGCGGGTGCAATTGTAGGATCGACGGAATCAAGGACGGGGACGCTAAGGCCTGCATTCTCATAGCTGTCGGGTGATAGGACGCGCCGGGACAGTGCTGGCATACGAAACAGCAGAGACGACTCGGATTTCGCCCGCGGATCATGCCAAAACGTGGGGAGTGTTCATGAGCCGGTTCATGAACCTTTACGCTCCATTCTGAGAGGGACGCAGCGAGGTGTGCGGGCGCGAAGTCGAATTCAACGGCCGGTATAGGTGCCCGTCTGGCGGCGACCCTTGGCCAACGTTGCAACGTCGGAGGTAGGAGGGCTTCGGCAGCTTCGTTGGCGCAGAGAAAGGTCCTCTGCTGGGCCTGCATGCGTTGGAGACGTCACCACGGGTGCAGTGGAGTGGACGTGTAAGGCGGCATGGCTCTGGGGCGCAGGACGCGCGCGGGGCACGCGCGTCCATAGTTGCGAGCTCAGTTGAGCCATGAAATCGACTCGACTCGGAATACTTTCTTCTCAGATCGTGACGACGAGCAGGGGCGTGTACGCACTGGCGCATGAACTGCGCGATTCCATTTTGGGCGGCACACGGCTCAGCGCGTGCGCAAAGTCGAGTTCAACGGCGGGGTCACGGCTCGCCTGAGAATACTACATAGTCAGCGCATTTCACACGCTTCCAGGGTGGGGGGCGCACCTGATGTGCACCCAAAACAAACTTCTTGCAAGGCACAAAGGGAGGCAGAAGAGCGTAAAGTCCGCGGAGCGAGGTGCTTGGCGGTGTCAGCCCGAGCGTCCATCCCACTACGCCGCGGGGTAGCGTCGACGGCGTCGGACGCACTTCGTGATGAAAGAGGGCTGTTGTAGACGGCCACGGCGGTGTGCTGGCCAAACGGGATGTTGATATGGCGCAGGACGGAGACGGCGCAGGCACTGGATGTGAGATGTGTTGGCCGAAGATGGCCTTGCGAGTGTGTGATGCGGCACCGGAGCTCAGAGTCTGGACCAGAGCATGAGGTCGTGCCCGTCGCATGGCGTCGTGTGGGTACTATTGACGAGCGGCGTCGACGTCGTTGCGGGTTGCGGGTCGATCCTGTGTGTAAATGCTGGGGAGCACCTGCGCGATGCAGGGGGATTTATGCGTTGTTTTTGCGCGCGGGTGGCCTATAATCAAGAAGTTGTGAGCGTAGTTCATGTCGACACAGGGCGCCAGTGCACAGACCGCAAGATATGTATGCTGTGGACCTTGGCGTCAAGCTTTGGGACATTAGAACGCACGCCATGTCGCCCGGGGCAGGTTGGAAGTAGGCGGAGTGCTCCGTGCACAGAGAACGCCGTGGTGGGCGCAGGACATGTGCGGCAGCTTGGCATGTCCCAAGTCGAGTGCCATTTCCTTGCGTGTAGCGTGTGGTAGGAGAACCTCGCGTGGCGCGTGGGGGTGACACATGCTGAAGGCCATATGGCCGGAGGCAGCTGTTTCGAAGATTGTGAGCGCAGTTCAGATCTGCACAGGGTGGAACCTGACCGGGACCTTCAGCAATAGTGTAGTGCTATCGAACGTACCACGCAAATGCCTCACGGAGCCACAAGATGATTACAGGAATGGTAAGCACGCCGATTCCGCAAATGACACGGTACTCGCAGCTCCGACAGGAACATTCCACGTGCCATGGCGTTGTTGATGAGCGCAAGCATTCAATCTCCTGCGCACCCTGGCCCTGTGGGGTTTTTGCACCTGATGTACCTGGAGATGTCAACGTCGAACGTAGTACACCGCTAGGTCGTAGTCAGTAGGAGGCTCATGTGAGTGTGCGCGCACCTGTAGCGTCTTGGTGCCCGTTCAACAGCGGACGTCACATAAGTAGATACATCCCGTGCAGCGTTTGACTCGAGACCTGGAGAACAGGTTAACATTGAGAAGGGAACGCAGTGACATGGTATGATGATGCCTCGTACTTAATCGATGATGGTCGTCGCGAAAGCTCAACCCTAACCAGGATGAAACGCACTGGGCCATAATATTCTAGTCGAAGAGGGTGCCAGAAGACGAGATCAGGAATCTCGCGTGTTTAGGGCGTTTAACGGGCGTTTAACGGGCGCTTTCGAGCTGACCGGTCCCGGTTGCAGTAGAATGAGCTCGACTAGAGCTCGACAGGCTAGGAGTTGGTAGGAGAGTGGGAAGAGACAAGACGCGTCGGCCGCGCTCGAGAACAACAGACGCCGGCACAATCGGCCCGGGTCGCTTCCGAGGACACAAGCTGTACAGCCAGTGCCCCGCCGACTCCTTCCTCTCGACTTCCACGGTTCGACCACTAAGATGACAGGCTGCGCTGTCTTCGGCTTCACCGCTTCCGTGGATGATGCTTCCCAAAGGTGCACTATGCTGTCAGTAGAGCATTGGCACAGCTCGTGGCTTTCACGCTAAGTTGACGCACGGCGGCAGTGCTTCTAACGCTCTGCCCGCCAGTGCGCGTGTCCAATGAGTCCAAGTTATGGAGAGGAAGGTACGCATATCTCCATCTCTTGCAGTGCAACAATTTTGAGCACAGCCCGACTATACGGCGGCTGCACAATAGCTATTCAGGTGAGTGGATCAGGCTAGGGTCCATGCAAATGCGCAACGGCCTAACAAAACGGATCTGAATAGTCGCGTCTTGTCTATGGTTCAGACGGAGGTCCCACCCGTCCGGCTGACTTCCTTTTTCTCACACACTGAATTTCTGTAGGCGCTTTGGTCCACAGCTGCGTGGCTCGATATATAAGACGCATCCATCGCAATCGAGACAAGCACTCGCGATATCGTCCCCCTTCCAGAGTCACCCATCCACCCTACCCAGTCAGACGAGAGTACTCCCCCGCATCCATCTCAATCTTTAGACATGTCCCTCGAACTCAAATCTCCCTCGTACACCGATTCCCTGCTGCCGCGATACAGCGACGACCTCCCCGCCTCCCCACCCCGCTCGCCACAGTGGCGCGCCAAACCCGACACGTCCGACGAACCAACGTCGACAAACGCGCCCCCGCGTCGCCCATCCCAGATATTCCGGCGCATAGGCATCGAGCTCGGCATCACGCTCTGCCTCGCGCTCTGGTGCATCCTCGTCACCTTCATCTGCGCGCTCGTCTTCGGCGGGATCGGCGTCGGCCTCCTCAAGCGCGGCCACTGGCGCGACCCGGGCCCGTACATCCAGGCGTCCTCCGGGAACGGCACCCTCGTCGCGCTCCTCGGCTCCGTCATCCTCGGCGCGGGGATCGGGGTCACCGCGCACCTGCTCTGGCTGGCTACGCATCCGCACCACGAGCCCCTCGTAGAACGGGGCGTCGAGTTTGAGGGGCACCCGTTCGCGATCGCCATCACCGTCCTCGCCGTCATCGCGGGCGGCTTCGCGCCTGCGCTGGGGGTCGTGCTGCATCCTCAGCATCTTGTGTCGTTGGGATACACTGTGGCGATGGCGCTGAAGGTGTATGGGATCGGGTTGGGCCTTATTGCGGGCATTGCAGTGGGCGTTCTCGCGTTTGCCCTGCTCGCATCAGCAGTCTGCGGGGCGTGAGATCTGAGCACATCTGGATACTCGTATCATTGGACTTATATATGTACGCGCGTTCTGTATCATGCTCGATTGTTATCTCTCCGACGTAATGCATTCTCTTGCTGGGGCGGACGACGCGATGCCTACCACTGAGACTCGATTCTCGGACGCCCGATCGCCTCCGGTTCTCTTGCTCTTCAAGACCGTCACCAGTACTCTAAACTCACACCACGACGGATATTTAAGACTACTCATGCATAGCTTGTCGGTTCAGGGATGCGTATACGCAGAGGCCTGGGCGTGCCCTCGGAGTCGCTCGTAGTAGCCACTAACGTGAGATGTGTGGCCAGGTAAAGTTCAACGCTATAGGTGCATTGAAGGTACAGTTCTGTTCTCTACGTGAGTCGACGCTGATACCGCTCAGGTTAAGCCGATATTGTTCGAAGTCAAGGCCCTTTTGACTCGGCGCGATCGTCGCCCGTGGCTGGCTCTTGACAATGATATCTACAAAGGGATATCGGGCCATACTTCGTAATGAATGCGAGGGCAAAGCGGGACTCGTCTAGGATATCTCGTCAAAGCGGTCAGGTATATAACGAGCACGTCCACGCACCTTGTCGAACAAGCATCCCTGTATTACCTCTTGTTTCCCTCTCCAGAAACGCCACACTCCTTTCAACGCCGTTTAATCGCCCAAGTCGACCAGATCCCCGAAGCCTGCGACTGCATCTAGAATCGTCTGTCGGTACGAAATGACCCACTCCGGACTCAACCGCGCCGCGTCGACCGCGTCGAGCATCACGCTCTGCGCCGCCCACCCCCTCTCCGACCTCGAACGCGGCACCAGAGCCCCCGCCTCGCTCTCCGCCCGCTACCCACCCGCCCCGCACCGACACAAGCCCCGCGCCCCCACCCCTCCTCGCCGCAGCTTCATCCGTCTCTTCCTGCGCAATTTCCGCTCGGCCTGGTTCATCTACGCCCTGCTCCTCTCCGTCGCCTTCCAGCTGGTCGTCTTTGAACTCGCCTCACTCCTCAGCCGCGCCATCCTCGGGCCGTCTACCCCCGCAGGCCTCGCAGTCAGACGCGCCGGCATGGAGGCCAGCCTCACCGGATGGGCCATCCTCGGACCCCCTAGCGCGCTGTTGGGCGGAATCGCCTGGGCCGCGCTCGACGCGCGCAACACGTACCACAGCGCCCCGCCGTACCGCGGCCCCTACATGCGACACTACACGTATGTCGGGGTGTGCGCCTCCCTGATACTGTTCGCGGTGCAGGGCGTGGGCGCGCTCGTCAACAACGTGATCTCGGCGAGGACGAACGCGGGGCGGTCTCCTGCGGATCTGGCCTGGGACCCGCCAGCGCCGCCAATCTCCCCGGAGGAGGTCCGCTATTTGTTTGCAGCGGGGGCGATCGCGATGGGGGTTATGTCTCCTGTTCTGGTGCTGTCTTTTGCGGCTGCCTTCTTTTTGCCGTGCGCTCGCGATTTTGCGAGTGAAGAGTGACCGTGTAATGTAACACTGGCCGACGTCGACGTGTGGAATAGGGCCTATTTCGTACGCGTGCTAGGACATAGATAGATCGGCCGCGGCAGGCCGCTAGACTGTAATCATCGAACATAATTATCAGCAATACATGGACCACGTCTACTCAGCATCTTCTCAGACCCACGAGTCGTCGTGGGAGGTGTGCCATCCGAGCCGAGCTTCGATCGTCCGCAAAGAGGCACCGCTTTTGTACACGTGCGGAGAAGTGCTGCTGTAGCCGAATGTTCAATTGTTTTGACATCATGGACCTATTCTGAAACCATTCAGACGTCGCTATAAAGTCGAGAAACGTCGCCAGGGACGACGCAGTCTGCAGCGTCGGATTGTAAGTCATCACAATCGAACTCGAGAGGGTCGAAGTCGAAGCCGAGGGCGTACCTTGCACGCCTTTGTTTTCGCGGTTGTTGGGCGGATTGGAAGATAAGGGATTCTATCTTGCGCCTGCTCGAAACTTCGTATTTAAGTCGGTCGAGGTGCGTTACGATGGTCCCGCGACTCTCCGCACAGAAGACTTACCTCCTCACTTGTCATACCCGTATGGATTCTGTGACCCGCGGCCGACCCGCGACTCGAGGCCGTCAGTGAGTGCAGGTCTAGCGGCGCAGTGCGAGTCTCTGATCTCACAGTCTGTTCAGCCCTACGCCACAAGAAATGTACTACGTCCACCGTTACCTTCGCGACCTCGAAGCCGCCGCGTCCCTCGAGCCTGAAAAAGACAGTAGAAAGCGGAGATATCGAGGATTCACGAGTTACCACGACTGGTTTATCGAGCTCTCTCAGCACATCCCCAAACACCTCGCAGTGCTCGAAAGCGTACTCGCCTCGGCGATGTGGAGCACATTCGTCTGCACCGCCGCGAGCACCACCTTCGCGCACTTCGGCCTGTTCTTCGTGCGCAGCGCCCAGCACCCGATAATCGCGTTCGTCGCCGCCTTTGGCTGGACCGCGCCCATACTCGGAAGCATGCCACTCGGGACCATAATCGGCATTTATGGGCACGACCAGTATCAGGCGATGATACGGTCCAAATATACGTTCGGAGAAGGCGAAGGGAGGAGCATCATCGCGTGGATGACGTTGTTGAGCGTATACGCAGGGCTCGTCGCACTTGTGCTTGGGGCGGGCATCCTGCGTTTATTGGGGGAAAGCGCGGCTGAGGAGGTCGGGACGGCGAATGTGGTGATGTTGGCGTTGAGTGGCATGGGACCGGTGGTTTACGTCGTGTGGTGCTGCTTTGGTATGATGCTTTGGTACAAGCTCATCTTCGGATGAGGTAGCTACCTTAGCACGACAAGTTCCTGTATTTTGGCGGGTCAGTGGTGTTGTTATCGTAGAGGGTGACGATGTAGAGATGCGAGTGCCAGTGGTTGTCACTGCCGATCTCTGCCGATGCGGTCGGCAGCGTGGGAAAGTTTGCCACGAGGCTACCAGACGCTTTCCTCGACGTGTTTTTCGTTTGCTCCGAGCAACCACAACAACCTACGAGCTTCGGGACAAGTCTCCTTTTTAGGTCTCGTTGCATGCATAGAAATTCATCAACTTCGTCCCTATCTCTCTTTATGTAGGTGTACTCGGGCCACTGCTCGATCGTACGTGCAACAAGGGCTGGCCTAAGTAACTTAGCGGCTACGTGCCGCTCAGGACAGCTGACAGCAGGCGAGTACTTCATTTTTAGAAACATCAGCGTTCTGTTATAATCATCGCATTTTCTCAGATATACTACCAATGCATGGACTGAGCGAGCACTAGACGATGTTCACTCGGTTCGTCCGGCGCTTGCCACTACCACGCCATCCGATGAGGCTATCGGATCTCAGCCTCTCGTATACAACAATGCGACGGTAGAATATCTATGCGTGAATCTGCTGTCAAAGCATATGCGAACCTGTGGCCTTTGTTTTGGCAGTCAAGCGGCGATCGAAAGCTTAACAATGCCCCAGCGTATATAACCTATCCGTCGGCATACTGGACGTCAGCTAAGCACTATCCCGTTCATATTCTGCGTTTACCCCTTCGGGCCGCACCTCGCAGCTTATCCGCTCATTCGACTCTCTTTTCGTACCTTACGCTGGTCGTTCGGACCAGCCCTTTCAAACCCCTCGGCGCGTTCAAGCCGGAACACCTCCTCGACCACAGAGATGTCCCCTGTCCCCGCGGAACCCACCTCCTTCGTCGAAATTCCTCTCCATGACCTCGAACGAGGTGCCGTGGCCGGCCGCACCCCCGCGCTGCCATTGAAGACTACCAGAAAGCCGAACCCAAACCGCGCGCGCATCTTCTTCCACGTGCTGTTCTCGCCACCCGTATCCTTGGCGTGTCTTCCGACCGCCGTAGCGGCCCTTCTAGTGTGCCTCCCCGCCGTTTACGTCGGCGCCACTCTCCTTGGATCGAACTCCCCTGTGGACGTCCCAGTCGACAACCACCCCAACACGGCCGCCTTCGCCGCGGGAATTACCGCCTTCATCCTCTTGCCGTCCCTCGTCGGCGGGCCCATCCGCGCGGCGCTCGAGGCGCGTCGCGGCACATACGACGACGAGACGGACGAGGAGCGCCACCCGCGCCTGCTAGTATGGATCCATTGTGTCGCGCTGCTCACGGTCATGCACGCGTTCTTCTTCTACCCCGTTGGCGGGCTGCTGGTGAACGCGGTCGCGGCGGCGCGCGACCGCCCGCTGCCGTTGTCGGGCGAGGATCTCAAGCACTTGTTGGCGGTGGATGCAGTGGGCGTGGCGGTCGTCGTGCCTGCGTGGGTGATGTTGGCGTTTATAGGCAGCCATCCGGAAGCCTGTTGCTGCATAGCCGTAGGTTTGTTTAGTCAGTAATAGAATGAGGACTCTTACCATTTGTGCTCGTCAAATTTCCCTTTCAAGCCCTCAATGCCAGTGGTCATACACCGCATCTCTGCTCCCGCTACGATGCGTGGTAATGGGGCGATGAAGACAAATACATGCGCCTGGTATGGAAGGTCCCGCACGCGCGCGCCCGGGCCTGCTACTGATGTGAACGGGTTCGCCCAGATTCATCTACAGCGCCCAGTGCATTCGGTTATATCGCGATGGCTGATCTCGAACCCTGGTGCAATTAAGTGTGCTGATAAACCGGTATAGCCGTGTATAGAAGTGGTGGTGAATCACAAATGCACCGGTGCCGTTGTCCTGTTACGTATACAACCTGGTAGCGACAGGCCCTATAGCAATAGACCTGTAGTATATAAGCCTTCGCGCCTGCGCCCTGACCCCGCCAGGCACCTCTTCAAGGTTCACTCCAAGATATCCCATTCGCCTTCTCGATAGGACCATACCACAGCGATGCCGTCAAACACGGATGCCACTGGCAGGAACGAGCCGTAAGTCCGCGCCTTCAAGTTTTGTCTTTTCGGACGTAGACTCACCTGTATTCAATATTCAGGCTCGACGCGGTGCAGGAACCGACTCGTATCCCTGGGGAAGAGGAAGCTGAGATCAACAACGCGGAGAACGAGGCATCAATCTCCGACGACTTCGACACCTGGTTCCACCGCAAAGTCTACGAACGCTTCCTCCCCGAGAACCCCAGCGTACTCCAGAGCCCGAGATCTGCCGCGGGATGTAGCGTGCTCATGTGTCTCATCGCAAGCATCGTGTCCGCAAAGTTTGGCGTGCTCTTCGTTCCAGAAAACCACCCGGACGCGGTCTTCGTCGCCCGTCATGCCGAAACTGCTGCCGCCGCTGGGAGCGTGGTCATTGGCAACCTCATCGGGAACCACTGGTATGAACGCTACCGTATGGCGTTGGCAAATGGACAGACACCTGCTTTGCGGCCCGCGAGGGAAGCGGGTCGGCTCGCGTTGGTCTGGATGGTGACGCATAGCCTTATTTGCGGACCGGTGGCGGCACTCACGCTCGGGGCTGGCATGTTGCGCGTGGCAAGAATGGGGACCCCGATGAGGCACAAGACGCTGGAGATCTTTGGACTGGCCATGCGTGGAGTTGGAACGATGGCTTTTATCGTTTTGTGCAGCTTTGGGGGCACAGTTCTGCTGTGGTACAAACACAGGTGCCTGTCTCGCGTCAGAGCTGCGCATGCGGTCGCCGCTACGTAGCTAGTACCTGTGTACCTATGTATCAGTGTTGTCTAAGTCAGCCATTGTCATGTCACTATGAGATCATTACCGTCAACCGACCTAGATTGACCTGCATCATGGCAGCAACTTGCTCGCCAACGCTCCAAGCTCCAAAAATGCTCGTCGGAGTCGAAGGAGTGCGATTTAAGGTGGCTGAAGTGGCGAATATATCTTTGAACTATAGAAAGACTGACATGGCTTCGGCGTCGTATTCTTATGTCGTAGTCAAGACTGTCGAGCGAGCAGTTCGGAGAGAAGCAGACGCACCAGTCTCCAATGTTTCGCAGCGTGGGAAACGCAGCCACGAGGCTCTTTAGCGCTCGAAGGAGTAACACCGTTGTGGCGTTACAGCAACCGGTGTTCCTGCCTCCACCACCACAAGTACTGTCAACACATATCTAGGGGATCTTGTCCCGTACACCGCGCATCCGAGCGGCGCCAAAACGCGATACCAGTGGACGACCAAGGCGAAAACGCATCGTGACACCGCAGCAACTTATGTATCAATCAATACAGCTCCTGAAGAGACCAATACATTCGGTGCTGCGCCCCCTTCGGTTACGTCTATCCGGATTTTCTGGTAATACCTCAGAGTCAGCCTGTATTAAAGGCGAATACTTACGCAGATACCTGTGCAGATAGTCGGAACATTACCGAACAGCCCCCGTATGCCCTTTTACTAGGACTCTTCTCGTTCTCCTGCGTTATTTTGACGTTCTCGGATGCATTATAGTACTGAAACCCTATAGCAGCGACAATAGCTATGATGACGACGCCTCGCATTGAAAAGAGGGCGCTATAGCAGGCCAGTAAGGTATGAATACACGCTACAACTGCACGGCGACATGATGAAGCCATGTCTGACTATTATGTTCAGATCTGCACCAGTATCATCAAGTCAATCACGAACGTGCGCGGCGCGCCCAACCAGTCGTGGCGCAGGCGGTGTGAAGGCATTGTACGCATTATTTCCCTACCATTCACTCTTTCCCTTTCTACATGCGCGCCACGGGCTCCCGAAACACAGCTATTCTTCTAGCTCAAACCGCCGCCCACTATGCACGTCCGCCACCTGCACGTGGACCTGACGATATATAAGCCCATGGAACGGACCTCGTATCTCCAGTGGCCTCCGAGTCTTGCGACGAGGTCCACTCCTACCAAGCACTTCTCATCATCCCCGCCTCAGCCAGCTCGCATGGAGTCTCCAGACCCAATACACGGACATAGCCCGTATGTGATTCGCACATAAACGCTAGGTCACAGCCGACTGACTTTCGCGCCACAACTGCCAACTCGAACAATTATTCAGATTTCCGATATACCTGTCTACGCTGCATACGGAGCCCTCCAACATATCGGGTGCCTCCGAATCGGAGATCGAGTCGCAGACGGATCGTGCGGCCGACACTGATCGCTCCGCCGACAGTCAGACCATACGAGTCCTCAAGCTCATCGGGTGGGCCTGCGGCCTCGGCCCCTCCCTCTGCTACTACCCAGGCACAACGTCTCCGTACATCGGGGCCGCACTCCTCCCAGGAAACAGCCCGCTCCAACGGGGACTTCCGAAGTCAATCTTGGCCCAAGCTGCCCCTTACGGATGCTTCGTCGTGGGCATGCCCCTCGGTCTTGCTGGATACGTGCTCTACTATCGCTACCTGGACAGGGCCGGGCCAGGATGGACCGAGCGTAACGGGAACCGCAAATGGCTGTGGGTTTCGATAGGTGTAATGGCTGGAACAACCATCGGCGCCTTTCTGTCGACCGTCATTGGCATTGCCGTTCTCAGACGCCAGTCCTACCCGGAGCATTCGGGGACCGTTGGCGACGACCTCGTGGTGTGTCTGGTCGGAGAGTTGATGTGGGCACTCTTTACGTCCTCTATCGTGCTCGTTGTGTTCTTAGGGGGGCTTCGTACTCGTGCGCACCGCCTGAACAACGCGACCGCTTAGCGGATGGGGAGTTTCGCGGAAAGCTGTACTTACGGATTCTGTACGCGGTGACTTGACCGCTGCGTGGACGATGGGATGTTTTGTAGCGTTCGCAATCGCATTTTTGTTTCGGTGTAACTACAGCATCAGTTGTTTTTATGTCGAATGGATGTGACTGCCCGAAGAGATCTTCGCTGCGACAGAGGCTATGAAATGCGGGCTAGTGCGAAGGGGTGTAGCGGGACTTTGTGGCGCTGCGGCGTAGATGGGACTCTCTCTTCTTATCTTTTCAAGATGACTACAAACAAATGCACCCGGTATGGAAGCTCCCGCACGTACCCGCCCGCTGTTGATGTGAACGGAAACGCCTTGATTCGACTTGTATGTGACGCTCGGTGTATCAGGCCAAATGGTGCGGGCAGATCTCGGACGCCGGCGAATAATGTACTCGTATGGATGCGGTAAGTGGGTACCTACACCGATTAATCACGGAAGCACTGACACGCGGAGCTGGGCCCCAAACACCTCCTATATGCGGTTTTCATGCGCGGACGGATGTTGCCCCTCCAAGCAGCACAATCAGGAAGACAATACGTACTTCTCGTGTATAGCGACCTAGTAGTGGCAGTGGCCTAGTGGCAAATCGAGATGGCCCCGGCGGCGCCGCATTATGATGCGGCAACAAGAACCGATTATGGCCAGTCCGGGGTGGTATATAAGGCTATGAAGTTACGCCATAAACTCCCCAGTCACTCCTTTCAAGTTGAAGTTGACTCCGACACATACCGCCCGCCTTCAGCTCAAGATAACCTACCTGCATCGATGCCGTCAGACACCGGTGCCAGCAGCGAGCGGTACGTACCCTTGCAAAGAGTGCCGCGCGGGTAGTATGATGCTGACACGGCAATGGACTGTACAGGTCCCATGAAGCCGCCCTCTCCTACCTGGGCCCGTACCCATTCACAAGCAGAAAAGACGCTATGATATGGGGCGCAGTCGTCTGCGGTATCGCCAGCATAGTATCCAAGCTTCTGGGCGAGCTCCTCGCGCTAAGAGGCGGCGCTTCCGCGGCGTCTGTCACTCCTCTGCACAAGGCTTGGGCCATATACAGGCTCCTGCCTTTCGGCAGTCTCGTTGCATTGTGCGGGCGCGAGCACTACCTGGCAGCCATGGACGGTTTGCGCCGGGCCCCTGGAAGGCAGCCTGCGCGCGAATCGGGGATGCCCATACTGGCATATGAGTGGATTGGAAGCACATTCTATGGGGCGGTGGGAGTGCATGGGTTTGAGACGAACCTGTTGTTCCTCGTGGGGTGCGGCGTCGGAAGTATCCTGGTAGGGTACACCCTGTGGCGCATGCGTTCTGCCTCGGCCACAGTCGCTTCTGCTTAGCATATGTATTGTCCATTATCCAGTGCGTTACTATCCGCCGACGCATACACCATGGACGATTCCGACTTATCTTGTGGTAGCAACTCTCTAGTCGATGCTCGAACAAATTTCAAATGTCCGCACGAAAGCAGCCGGCAGAGTTCCGCTAAGTCTTCAAGCGTCATTTTACAATATTGAACGTAGAATAACGCACATTTGGCGTGCGTTGTAGTACGGACCGTACGAGTCGTCGCCGAGTACACAGTTCATGAGGGGAAGCGAGGGGAAGCGACAGCTCGAGCGCCGTGCGAAACGTCGACACGAGGCTCTCAGGCGCTTGTACGACACTCCTTCTTCAACTCACTCTACCGTCACCACATATTCAAAAGTCTATATCGTCAGTCCATTTTGGCCCCATATACTTGCCGTTTTCATCCTGCGCACACAGTTTTTCATAGTGTGCCACTTGGCTGAGTTGCGCATCGCGCCGACTCCGGAACGCCAAGGACGGGCACGAAAGGGTGCGCCGCAAACCAAGAGACGAATCACTACATCGATCTACGCTACATGAGAGACCCTTGAAGCAGTGCGGCTCGCTGTCATCAAGATCATCGGCCGATGTCCTTGCTACAGCAGGTGCTGCAGGGTGCTGCGCCCCGTCCGCTGTGCTAAACAGGATCGGGAAGGACACCGGAGTCAGCTCATATGGAAGGCGAGCATGCGGATACTTTTTAAAGCTAGATGAGGGTACTGTATCCGGAGACTATCCGGAGCCAGGTTGCATGGCATCACGTTACGGCGTGGGCGGCGGCCCACACCTTTTTTCTCGCCCCTCACCTGCCCTTTCCGAATCAACAGTACGCTTGCAGGCTCCTCTGAGGAAGGCGTGGCAATAGATCTTCGCTTTGAAAGGAGGCAGTACGGTGCGCCAGTGCTTTTGTTCCCAATCCGATCGACCACGCCCCAACCTGCCTCCTCCGTTGTACGTCTGGCCCGAGGATATCCGCCCCAGCGGCATGGAGACATAATGACTCGGTATGTATATCTGACCATTATGATTATATCCGTCCCAGCGCCACTCTGTAATAAGCGCCCCTGAGAGTGATAATGCGGGCGTCGTGAAGGCAGTGTACGCATTGGGTGGGTTTCCCGTTATACTCTCTTCCCTTTTATCGTACGCGCGCTCAGATTATATCCCAGGTCGTGCCCATCTCAGGCTTCTAGCCAATCCACCGCCTCGATGTGTCTCTATTCACGACCGCCACATACACGTGCAGCTGCGATATATAAACCGCGGAGCACCACCGCCCTAATTTCAGTGTCCTCCGAATCCTTCGGTGAGGTTCACTCCTACAAGCGCGTCTCACCATCACCCAAGCCAGCCCGTATGGCATCCCAAGACCCAACACAGGAGAATACCAGGTATGTTGTTCATTCATGGACGCGAGAACTCGGTTGACTGACCTTCGCGCCACCTTCAATGATCGTTCAGTGACGCGATATCCGTGCATACGACGCGCAGGCGACCGTCGCGGATCGTGCGCCTCCAGGCAATGGCGCCCGGGGGCCACATCGTACGGGATCGTCCTACCGCCGAAGAACAGCACCGACGCAACCCCCACGAGATTATCAGAGAGCTCATGAACGCCACCGTCATCGGCACTGCCCTCTCCGTTATTCCAAGCGTGGCCGCCCCGTACATCGGCGCTGCACTCATCGCAGACAACAGCCAGCGGGGTACCGCAGTACGCGCTGCTTTCCGTGGTAGCCTCGTTGTGGGCCTTCATGCCGGTCTTGTGGGGCATATCATCTATCGTCACCCGAACATGCCGGAGCTCCGGGATTTATGGAGGCACGCGACCCCCCGGGAGCGCATCTGGATCGGCGCGAATCTCACGGCCGCACTGGCTTTCGTGTCGACTGCCGTCGGCCTAGTCATCACGCCAGGCCGGTCTTCGCCCAACGCCTTGGAGGTGATGTGTCTCTTTAGTGAAGGGGGGTTCGTTCTCGCTAGGGTCTTTATCTTTCACGACGTTCTCGCAGGAGTTCTGTGACAGTGTGAGCCGTCGGAACGATACGTTTGCTCTATGAGCGGTGTATACTCAGGCTGCGATTGTGCGTGGTGGATTGGTCGTTGTGTGGACGATGGGCTGTCTTGTAGTGCTCGTGATTGTGATCGTGTCTATTTCGATGTAGTTAACGTGTCGTTTCTGCGTTGAATGGATGAGGTTCTTACCGATAAAACGTCGCGGCGCGCGACGGAGGCTGTGATTGAATGTGATACTCAGACTTGTGGGAAAGGTCGCTTTTAGCGCTACAAGTCGAAGAGAGCCTCTGTCTCTCGTACTCTCTGCACGAACACGTTTCTAGCTTGACTTTCGGATGTTCTATCAAGTTTCCTCTCTGGGGCTCACTGTGATACAACGCGCCGTAGTAGATGGTGGTCGTCTGGGTCTCTGATTCCCTGACTAGATCACGCAGCGCTTGACTTAATTGTGGCGTCCCTTCGGGCATCGTACAGGCTATTCACTGAAATGCATTGTCCAACACAGCCGTGCTTCGCTTGCGTCAGGAACGAGATGAATAGGACATATGTCTTGTGAATGGACGTGCCTGAGCTGGAGAGGTCCTGCTCGACGTCTTTCCGACCTGTTGCCATGGTACGCATCCTCACACCCCGATACACATCACAAAAGAAAGTTCATGCATAGAAGGCTATGTGTACATAGCAACATTCTAATTATCTGACCTTCCTGCACTTGGCAGAACGCCTGTCCCGAACAGCGGCGATCCATCCGCTGATCCATCCAGGAAGTGGGACAACCTCGGCGCCCTATCATCGTGAACAAGTGCAAGATTTTTTACTCAGACTACGGTGGGGATTTAGCATGACGCTATAAAACCTCTACAATATCATCGGTATCTTGGCGACAATCGCTACAATGTGCTACAACTACTTGGCATAGCATCTCGTGCCGCATGAACGGTACGCATGTTTTTTGTTGTTGTGCCGCTCCATTCTGACATACCTCAATTACACCCGTGCGCTTCTCAGTGGCGACGGAGAACCCGATATCAATGCTTCGCTTTAGGAGATGTCACCGGGGGCTCGAGCATATAAGGATCAGACGTCATGAGCAACTCTCTCCGCACCCCCGAGTTTTTCAAGCAGGCCCACTCCGTACACGCCCCATCATGCAAGTGCCGCTTGACTCGATGTCGTCCGCTGTGCAGACAGAAACCTCTGATGGGTACGATCTGCTCCCATAGTCTCCCGTGCTTTGCACTGACCATGAGGACATTGTCCTTTCAGGGATTCGTCACCGCCTCCGTCACCCTTCCTTGAAGCCAACGGAGTCGAAGCTCAGCACGACACTGGGAGTCGCACCGTCTCTCTTCTGCGGCGCCTTGTTTTCGTGGTCTCCCTCGCGATCGTCGGCTGCGAAGTCCCGGCAGTCGTGTTCCCGATATGGGGGGAATCCGCGCTCTCCGACACGAGGCTCGCAAGCGTCGGGGAAGCCCTGAAGACAGCCACTGTAGGGAGCCTGATTGTCGGCGGTACCACGGGGCTGGCCTGGTTCGCGCTGTTCCAGTGCTTGAAGCAGCGCCGCGGGGAGGAGGAGTCCGACGAGAATCGTCGCCTGACGATATTGCGGTACACGTTTGGTTTCACCCAGCCGACTGTGGTCTCCGTCGCGGCATGGGCTGTTGGGGCTGCCCTTGTTCGCCCAGGGGGTACCAGCGTCCGAGACGCTTTGGTGATTTATGCAGCTGGAACCGGGCGGTTCGCCATGTTCCTCGTGGTTGGGGGTTTGGTCATCGGCGTGATTCATTATGCCAGCAGTAGCTAAAGTCGCCTTCCTGACTCCTAGTATATCTGCGGCATGTGTCTCTAGCTAGCAAACCATACATGTGTTGTGTACGATTCGATGACCGACCTATGTCAAAGAGCCCTTCCCTGCCAGTGGACGTCTAGATCCATGGCGAGGCTCTAGTTCGTCAGTAAAGCAGGCCTGGGGCCCGTCAATTTTTGCCCAGTCTGATTGAATTCCAGGTATCCCGCCACGTTGCAAAGGCATGGCTTCAAGGGTGGTGGCACAGGGAGCGGAGTCCCAATTTACCGCGAGGTGTGAGAGCGACAACTAACACAGTTGCCTATCCGGGAAGTGTTCATCGCCATGTGCCTGCGAAACGCTGGCGGAGTTTCGTACCCGCTTGCCTTTTGTACCATCCTTTGTTCCTACCTCCCCTACCGCTCCCACCACGATGTTCGTCGTATCCGGGCCATACGAGCTAGTCGTATTCGCAAGCGTCTGCGAGTATTGTCTAGATCCCGCGACAGACCGACATCACAGCAAGACCTAGCTCTGCACGACGTTAGCGGTATCGGTGCCCTTGACTTTTGTCTGAGCAGAATAATTGCTCACAATTCGTTGCCATTTGCTCTACCCAGATTCCCAAACACCCACACGAAGAAGCGGGCAGTGCTATTATATCGATGGCCGATAATCGTCCCGCTGGGTCCGTCGCAGAACACGCCCCCCAAGTACAGCGGGCGGCACCGCGCGCTGCCGTACGGCCGCACTGCCCCGCGCACACTTCTCCTGCTCAAAGCGTGTATCCTCGGCCTAGCTTCTTTTGTATCCGCCTGCCTCCTGGTCTCTTGTCTCTAAGGCGCTGTATTCTTCTCGCCGCCTCTGATTCTTCCGCCAGCGTGGTCGGTCCTACGCCCTGGGGCGGTGCTGCATTCCCGCTCCAGATAAATAGGGCGCGCGGGCGGACGAGGAGGGCCAGGACAGCTCTCAGCACCGTTCCTTCAAGCTCTCTCTTCGTTCGCCCCACAACACCTCTTTTGACTTAACGCGCCACTTCGACGACTCTCAACAGAATGTCTCACCTTGAAGAAGCACTCCCGATGTACACCGTCAGTGCGGTCACCGTGACCGACAGCCAGTCCGTGCAGGTTGCGCCCAGAATGCCGCCCCACAGGCTCTTCTTCGCCCTCGGCCGCCTGCCCGCTTGGGCTGCCCCGCCCCAGCCGCCCCAGTACGAACGCCTCCCTTCGTCCGAGGACGACGTCGAGCTCAAGGACGTCCTACCTTCCCCGGCGACCGCGAGTGGCGCGCCCACTCCCGCCGTACCCAACGCAACTGTTACAGTGGTCTCCACGCCCGCCCCGACCGACTCCACCGGAAACCCCGCGCCCGCGCCACACTCCTGCGCCGCCGAAGCCGTCTACAACGCCGTGTACTACGCCCGCATGCTCGTCTACCTCATGCTCGTCGGCGCCGCCATCTCGACCGTCGCCAGCCTCATCGGCTTCGTGCTCTCCATGGTCGCCGTCCTCGGCTTTGTGTCCCCCACGAACCGTCTCCCAGGTGACGCCGCTCTAATCGCGTGCCTCGCCGGCGGGCCCATCGTCGGCGCCCTCGCCGGCCTCGGCGGCTGGCTGCACCTCTGCGTCCTGCACCTCCTCGCCGCGCGCGCCAGCGCCCGCACAGCGCTCCCGACGTTCCAGCGCCTGCGCGCCGCGGACGAGAACGCGGCGGACAAGGAGGAGGTGCTGTACGTGATGGGCGGCGCGGCGCTCGCGAGCGTGTTCGCGCTCGCCGTCGGGCTCTCGGTCGTGCCCGCGCTCGCGGCGGTCGCGCGCGAGGTCGGGTTCAGCGTCGGGCTGGCGCTGGGTGTGGGCGTGTGGGGCGCGACGGTGCCGTTCGTGCCGGCGATCGTGGGTGCGGTGTTCACGACGCTGTCGGACTGCAACCCGGCGTCGGGCGCGGAGTGCATGTGCTGCTGCCTGCACTAGGTGAGCATGCCTTCTCTGAGATAGGTAGGACGGAGCTGACATGCGGTGGTTGCAGTGGTTGTACGTCGCATCGGAAGTGTTCCTAGAGGATGCGTGCCCTTAGTCAAGTTGGACACATCGTACCGTGGACGCTGGTTCTCGCTCTGTGTGTTTCGTCGCGTTTCGTCTTGACTCCTGCTCTGTCGCGAATATGGACGCTGTGACTGTTGTGTGCTGTGTTGTGTTGTGCTGTGTCGTGTTCGTACCCGCCGCTGTCCTCACGCTATGAATATATGCCCATATGCCCATATGCCCATGTATCGCCCCGAGCCCACGCGCGCGCGCCGCCGTGAGGTACCTGAGAGGAGGCTGCGATACGATGCAGGTTGCAGTAGTAGTACAATGCGGGATCTGACAGTATGTGCGCACTAGTATGTAGTCCCCGACCCCCGCTCACAGCCCCAGTATGCGCCGCTGCCACTGCCACACCGCATAGCTGACCGCGGTCATGGGCACCACCTTCAGGTAGCCGATCGTGAGGCCCACGTAGAACCCGCGCCAGCCGCTGACGCCCCAGATCCCGCGCACCGTCTCGCCCCAGCGCAACCAGCGGTCCGGTCGTGTGACGCCACCAACCTGCATGCGCCGGCGCACGACCTCGAACGGGTACGAGACGGTCTGCGCGAGCGCGCCCGAGACCGCGCCGATGGAGAGGTCGGCTATTGGCGTGGATGCGCCCTTCGATTTGGGGTAGGGGAGTAGGCGCGCGCGCAGGAAGCCCCAGGCGAGGAAGGAGGTGCCGGCGTAGGGGATGATGCCTGCGATGGTCACGGTGAAGCCGCGGTAGAACTTGAGGATGGGGAAGCGGGTGAATATCGAGGGGTGGGGGGCGGGAGAGGAGGATGAGGCAGAGGGGGAAGCATTTGCGAGCGGGGCGCCTTCGCGATATATTTGGCGCATGCTGGAGAGGAAGGATGGACGGTGGTATGGCTCGGAGGGTCGCGCCGCGTTGCGCGTGCTAAAGGCCATGCGAACGCGAATGAGCTCTAAGGGGTATGTGAAGAGTACGGAGGTCATTCCTATAGAGGGCATGAGACGTGTAGATTGAGTATCATAGGACAAGGGAGCGTACCGGAGAGAGCCCCCGCAGCGAAGCGACGTGTATTCGTTTGGCTCTCTCGTGTAGGCATTAGCAGCTGTGAATCGGGTCAGAGTCATCCGAGTGAAAAATGGGTGCAGAGACATACGCCTTCAATCTGGTCATATGCCATGAACTTGATGGCAGCATATGGGAATATGCGGAGGAGTGTTGCGGAATGTCCCTGCAGGAGGCCACGGAAGCCGTTCTCGCCGTATATTTGCGAGATGGCACGAAACGTCCCACTCCAGGTTCCTGTAGCGCACTTTTGGCCCCGCGTAGCGAAAGGATAACGTAGGGGAAGACGCACCAGCATACTTCCGAAAGTCGGGGTTAGAGGCCTGGAAGAGGATCTTGACCCTGTCAAGCGGCGCGACGACGGTCTTCGCCTGCACAAAGTGAATACACGCGTCCGATCAGCGAGAAACGCGCGACGTACGACACAACCAGCGACGCCCCCCGCGAAGCCTGAGCGGGCGATGTAGCTAAGGCTCTGCCGGTCTTGTGATGCATGGGCGGGCATTCGAGAGGGCGTGAAGCGTCAGCGCATGCAGCCTAGGCGTCGAGTCTGCGGGCGTGTGCGCGGTCCGAGAGTGGGTGGACGGCGTGGAGGGGAGCGTGGTCGCTGTGCGGGGTGGGTGTATGCGGCGATGAGGGGAGAACGCGTGCGGGGCCCCGGGCGAGGAGCGAGACGGAGGTGTTTTCCGACGTCAAGGTCCGCGGCAGGCGCCCCGGATGGTCCGGCGACCGTGCACGTGACACGCGCGCCGCCTCAGACGCGTCGCGTCCGCCAATCCGGGGACGCGTATTCTCTCCTTCATTCACCCTCTCACTCCGATGGCATCCAAGGCAAAGCAGGCAGAGGCGAAGGTCGCTATCATCAAGGGCAAGGAGGGTACGCGCATCCCCGCATGTCTATAGTTTACTGTGTGTTGACGGCGAAGGCAGCGGAGGACATGATTCTCGACTATATACGAAAGGTGCGCGCAGCTAGCATACATCCACTCGCATGAACGCTGACAGAGCATATACCCAGATGAACCGTCCATTCGGAGCCGTTGACGTCTCTGCAAACCTCAAGGGCGCAGTGCCGAAGGCTGCGACCCAGAAGATCATGGTCGCTCTTGCAGAGAAGGGCGACCTCGTCCAGAAGACATATGGTGCGCATATAGTCACGCATATAGGCCGCAGTCCGCTTGTTGATACACGCCCGGCAGGCAAAACGACGTTCTTCGTCGTAAATCAAGCAAATCTTGAAGACATGCCCTCCGAAAAGCTCGCCGCGCTCGAAGCCGAGGTAAAGCGGATCGACGAGGAGAACAAGTCGCTTGGCGCGGAGGTCAAGTCTACTGGAGCGCGTATGTCGGCACAATACTCCTGTCGTTGATGCGGGCACTTACCTCGACTACTTTCCAGAGCTGGCAAGGCTGAAGAGCACGCCTACAGATAAGGAGCTTGCGGTGGAAGTCACAAAGGCTGCGGACGCGGTAAGCTTATGATTATTACGCCGTGATCGCCATACACCCTTGTGCAAGCGGAGCAGGGTGAACTCTGTCGATCGCTGATAGGGTTCGTGCCACATTGTAGGTCCAGAAGGCGCGCGGCCACCTCGACCCTCTGCGGGCGGGCACGCCGCTCATCTCGCAAGAGGAGTCCGCGCAGCTGGACGCAGATTGGACGCGGTGGAGGAACGAATGGGTACGAAGGCGGAAGATATTCAACACGTAGGTCTCAGCCGCCCGTTCCAGGGCGCGGCCTCAGTGCGATGTCCATGGAGCTGATCATCCGAACATTCAATGTTCATCCCGCGCGGCTGTGTCGCATAACAGCTTCTGGTCCCTTGCGACAGACGCGCTCACGCCACAGCAGGCGACGGAGCTCGGGGAGGACCTGGGGATCGAGTTCGACACGCCCGAGCACGGCACGCTGGAACGGGGAGTGTTGTGCGCGGCGGGGAGTGTGTTGGGGAAGAGACGGCGGTGAGGAGTGTCTTGTGTCGAGTACGTATGAATGAAGAGAGATTGATGCTGGGCTCGCTTGGCCGGGGGAGCTGGGCGCTGCGGGCAGGGGGCGGCACGTGGGAGTGGTCCGTGCACGCCCGAAATAGGGCAGGGGAGGCGGTCGTGAAGGACGCGGCTATTTTCGGAGTGCGAAAGGGAGGTATATTAGGGGCTGTGCGCTGTCTGGCCGACGCCAACGTCTCTCTGTCTTCGTCGTTTCCCTCTTCCTCGCTGCGGTCCTCTCCTTCGACCGTTCTCCTTTAATCATCATGTCCCCCGTCGCTCTTTCAGCCCTCCTCGCCTTCGCGGCAGCCTCCACCGGCGTCCTCGCCCAGGACAGCACTGCTACCTCCTTCGTTCCCCTCGCCTCCAAGGTCTTCTCTTGGGACGACCTCGTAAGTATTCCTCATGTCTGCGGCTCGAACCTGGTCTCAAAATCTCCCCGCGTCACAGCCCTACCAGGCCGACACCGACGACCTCGTCCGTGGCCGCCAGAGCGGTTACAACCGGTGTAACTCTACCACTGAGGGCGCCGAGTCTCTGTGCCAGACGGCGGTCATCAACCACCTTGATGGTAAGTTTTCTAGTCCGTTCCGGGCGGACATGATAGAATTCAACTGTGGTCCGCAGACTTCTGCCTGTGGGCGCCCATGCAGCCCGACACCACCATTGGTGACTCGGAGGGTGAGGAGGTCGCTTGGTGCACCAAGAAGGGGCACGGCTCGCGCCTGATCCCCGCTGGCGCCCTTACCGGCGTGCAGCTCACCAAGACCCCTGGCTACATCCAGGTCGTCGGCTTCATCGACCAGACGAAGATCAACATCCAGTCTGGCGACGGTGGAGGAGAGCTTGACCCCCACGGTGCTGATCTCCGTGGTAACCCCCTCGGTGGTCTCGTCTACTCGAACGCGTTCGGCACCAACACCGACAACAACACCTACACTCAGGTTCACGAGTGGCACAAGTACGTCCTACTTCCTGTGCGGTAAAGAACGGTTATTGATGGTGCGACGCAGCTTCATGGGTAGCAACTCCTTCTGCTTCAAGGTCTGCGATCCCTCCGGCCCCAACGCGGCGGACCTCTGCCAGCACATCTACGACCGTATTGGTGTCTCGTACAACTGCCCCACCGCTGCCCAGGACGGCACCTTCGAGTACTGCGATGGCGACAACCAGGACCCCCCTGGCATCTACACTTCGAACGGTCAGGTTGTGACCTACACCCAGCCCGCTGAGTCGCTCGGTGTTATCAGCTCGATGCCGTACGACCCCAAGGTCCCCGCGTCCTCGAACTGTGTCCAGATTGCCTCGTCTGCTCTCTTCACCGACCTCGCTGTCGCGACCGGTGCTGCCAGCAGCGGTGCGTCTGGCTCCGCGACCGCGTCTGGTGCCTCTGCCACCGCTACCGGCACCAACAAGGCGAGCGGCTCGGGTACCGCGACCCGCACCAGTGCTTCCGCTGGCGCGTCGTCCACCGGTGCGGCCTCTGGCAGCAACGGCGCGGCGGCGTTCGGCGTCTCCGCGATCTCGACGCTCGCGGGCGTTATGGCCGCTGTCGCGTTCCTCGCTTAATGGCCTCTCGATCTCGTTCATGAAGTTCACGAGCGGATGAGGGAGGATGGCGGGAGGACGGGCGGTGAAATCCACGGACTTGCGCGTAGCTGCTACGTTGAACTACATCTACCTCATTCACTGTAGTGTTCGGACTACCTAGTATCACATCTTCTTGGCTGTCATTGACTGAGCCAGAGGCATACCCATTGCTACTTTTAATACCACCCGGTCTTGTCTCATCTGAGTCGGTCGAGCATTCCAGCCATGGCATTGACTTCTGTGTGGTGTAGATGAAGACGTGTGCGTCTCATACCTGGTCGTCTTCACGTGTATCCTGACGCGGGCGCTGCAGGGTCATGGGAATCCGACTATCGACATCGCTATCACTATCTCTATCGATGGTATCCCAGCCTTCTACATCAACATTGCGCCAGTCTGGTCGAAGGCGAGGTCGTTGTCATTTAGCCCGCCTGGTTTGTTTCACTCTGCTCTACCAGATTCTGTGCAAGCTAATCCAACGCCCTGCAGACCGCCCCTCGACGCCATAACCCTCTATTTCCTATCTGCGATGGAGTCCTGCCGGATTCCCATCGAGGTCTGTGAAGCAATCATGGACTCCCTCCCTACCTTGCTCCCCGGTGTGCAGGACTTCTATGAATCCCGTCGTAAGACATATGGTACGCTATACGCGTGTGCTCTAACCTGTCGCGCATGGCGGATTCGGGCCCAGTGGCTCCTCTGGGCTTCCCCCCATCTGTTAAACGAACGTCGCCTCGCTCGTTTCACTGCCGTCACTCGTACAGCACCAATACCGCTCATCGTCACTCTCTGGCTACATCGATCTACTTTCGTAAGGTCGACCGAGCTTTTCATGCATACATTCCCCAATTTGCGACAATTGGTCTTTCACAGCACAGACTTCACTTGCGGACCTCCCCTCTCTATCCTTCGTATGCGTCTTCCTTTCTTCGCCAGTGTCACTGTTCTCCGGTTATTATTCTGTCAATTTCGCTCGTGGAGGACCATGTTGGACGTAGTGTGGGCTTTCCCGAACCTCGCCACGTTGGAGCTAATGGGCTGCGAATTCAAGTACGCACGCCTTTCTACCTGGGTCGAAGGACCGGAGGATTTACCGGCAATTTGCAAGTATTTGCGAGCGTGTCAGAAGCTCACCGAGCTAACACTGGGTCTAAAGGATGTAAGTCGAGTCCTTCATCAGCGCCGCCCTAGACTGTCCGTGTTTACGACCTGCCATTCACATAGAGCCCGGCGCCGCCGTCATTCACCGGAGCCGTATTCGGCAATGCTGTTACGGAGTTGTACGTCAAGCTTGGGAGACTGTGTACGTGAACAGCTGCTTGCTGCATACTCAGTGAAAACCATATTCTAATTCCTCGCTTTCTCCAGACTGCGTTGGCTTCAGCCGCTTTCTCGGCTCGAACTCGTTTCCTTGTTTACGCTCAATCGCGATTCAGGTCGAGTCCCTTGAAGGAGCCAATGTCCCAGTCCCCGGCGAGCCATATCTGCACACCATTGCAGCGACTCGCACGGTGCCGGATATCCTAAAGAAGATCGTGATCTACCGTGGCGATCACCACTGCGAAGTGGACACCGAGTGCTGCCAGGTAGTCGTTGGCACGAGCGAGGAGGTTGCCGGCTCCCCGCAGCGGCTGTCGGCGCTCTTGTCTGGGCTGGAGGAGCTCACCATCCGCTTCACCCGTGACCGCAAAAGTAAAGACCCGAGCCCGTGCGCTGCATACATTCATTCTGTTCTACCTAGCATGCGTAAAGTCCTTCGATTTGAACATCGCGAGGCCCATTCTGGAGGTCCTTGGAAGGAGTACACCTTACCACTTACCCAGTGATTTGCCCCCATCGCCCACCATACATACCCCTACTCCTATTCGAGTTCCCTACTTTCACGCTGTTGTCTAGCTTGGTATACCGACTCGCCATGTACGTGACGCCGCTCCCGATGACTTTACGGTAGAATTTTCCACAGTATGCCTTGGACAACACTCCATGCTATACGTATTCCCCCTTCTCTATGCCACATATGCTCGCCTACGTATTCACCCCCTATGCTATCCACATTCATCCATGCTTACCTCCACTGCGCCTAGACATACCCAACGGGATTGCAAGCCCGAGCCTGTGATGCGAAGATGCCACCCGGGTCCCGGTCGGATGCGCACGGTGAAGCACTCCACGGCACTCGGGGCGTGCTCATGGGGTAGGACGCGCACGTCGCCATACACGAACCCTTCGAAGGAGAGCAGACCATGCGCGGCCGACAGTGATAGACCCCGCGCACGGCTAGAGAGCGAGGAATGTCCGCGACTGCGAGGCCGGCATGATGCCTGAGCGGGCGAGCAGTGTCGACTGCGTCCGGCATCGGCTTGATCCCCCCACAGCGCACTAGTCCCGAGTAACCGCGAGGCGGCGGGTACACAGTACACGGGGCGATAGGCGAAATCCACGAAGAGGCCGACTGCGCGATTCGAGCAGCAGGTGTACGCGATGTCCACAGGCTCAACGCCGGGATGCGCGAAGGCGTACAGCGATCGATCGCTGGTTCGATGCTCGCAGAGAGAGGGGGGATGCTGCGAGGGCCTACAGAAGTGCGGGATGCGTGGTTGCTTGCTACCGTGTATAGTCCAAGTAGCGTCGCTCGGCAGCACGCGGCGGCACAGACAGGAATGAAGGAACGCAGCCGTCGAGCAAGGTGCGCGACCACCGCGAACAAGGACTCAGACGCGCATGGTCGGAGGACCAGCGCGACGGACTCCGCGACTGCGAGATCAGCGTGTAGCAAAGATCCCCAGTCTGAGGGGCTATTAGGGCTAATCAGCATCTCGGCCGCACCGTACGCATGAAGGTTCGGTGAGCGGGGCATACCCGGCGACTCTCGGTACATCGCGCAGACTCGCGAACCCCGACGCGGCCAGGCCATCGACTCACACTGTTCCCGCAACGTCGCCTCGAGGGTGATTTCCGCCGGGCTCCAGTAGCCTGAGTAGAAGATCTAGGGTGAAGGGACATGATGTGTTGCTGAACTTGAGTGTGGCCCATCGATACAGACCTAATTCGTACGTCTCTGCATCAGGTCGCAGGGAGGTGGGTGCCAGTTCGCTGAGGTCAAACAGCGAGTACCGTAACCCATGGGAGGCCAGAGTGGGAGTTCGAGGAGAGGCGCGCGAAGCACCGGTTGAAGTTGCGAGGGCCATGCGCAACTGAGAGTCGATGGGTCGCCTCTTCGCGCACATAGAATCGAAAGTCGTCACCAGAGACTGCGCAGATTTGCATGCGTGAGCAAAGGGTACGTGATGGACTCACCTAACACTTTACACCAGAGGGTGTTGGGGTCGCCGCCACAGGTCTTGGTATTCTTCGGGTATGTCAGCAAGAGGGCCAGACGGCAAGCACAGTGCCCCTTAGAGAACCTCTCGCGGCGTAAGTCCCCCACTGTGCTAGGTAGAGCAATAAATCGAAGCGAGGGTGACATCCTGTCGGGGTGTCGGTGCGTTCCGCGAGCAAGTCCGGAAGCGAGAAGGCGCACCCGGACGCCGACGTCGTAGTAGTACGCGCCGTCATGCGGGCATCCCGGCGATGACCACCTCCGGACCCTCGACCAGCACAATTCCGTGTCGTGAGACAGACATGCCTTCTGTGCAACCTCCGTACGTACTACGCTGGCGACGACTCGACAAGGGGTTGGCAGGTGAATGGTTGGCACACTTGGCTGTGAGAGAGAGGATGAGCCTACTGTTTACGAAGATGTTTGTAAAGATGCCCATAATATGGTGCGAACATGTCCTCGTCCGACGACAGTAGACGTGTTTCCGACTTGTCGAGGAAAGTATTGGCAGCGGGGAGTACTCGGTCAGAACGAGAGCGTAAGTCGAAAGAGCGCCTATCTCCTGGACCACGGGCGCTCGGTCTCCTGAGCGATTTTCTTCCTGCTCGTCACTCACGCTCACTCGTCGACGTCGTGTCTCCGTCATCGGCCTCAATGATACTAGCTTGTCTTCAACCCATGCAAGGTCTAGGCGAACCCCTCTCTGCGGTGGCGCCATCCAGAATATCATGTTTTACAGCTGGAGCAAATGAACAGGATACTCGCCTCGAGCTCTGCGCCCCTACGAATGACTAGGACTTCGAGGTTGAGCTGTGTGTATCCTTGGTGAAAGTCCCACAATTAGTACGTCGTTGCTTTCGAGTAGTCAGACTGGCGCGACGGACGAAGGGTAGATCCAGCGACGGGTGAGACTTACGCAGACTGACGTCGTTGGTCGCTATCGCGTGCTATCAAGCTCGGTGGCTCGGGGGCGGACAGGGGTGAGGTCGTTGTGGGCGGGAGTCGAGTTTAAGCCGGGCGCGCACCCCACGACGGTGGATCGAGGATCGCCGGTCCCTGGGAGAGCTCCAACATGCATGGCTAGGCGGGCGGTGTTCGCTCAGCTCCCTCCTGCGATACGCGGCGAATGGGCGCGCGTGACGGTGCGGGGAGCATCGGTAGCTGCGAGAGGCGTCCGTCCGTCGCGCGTGGCCCAGACAGGCGTCGTTCGTAGGAGGACTGGGGACGCTCGATCCCTGCCCGTGGACGGGCACGGCGGGCGTCACAGCCACCGTCTGCGGGAGAGGATGCATGCGTGGATGGAGTCGGATATGGTAAGGGAGAGTCTATATATGGGCATGACGGGAGGAGGGGAATCAGAGGGCGAGTGGGGGCGGAACGTTCTGCTCGGGAGCTCTCCACTCGCCGTGACATCGACCAGGCGAATGGCTCCGACAGCGCCCGTAAGAGCTGCTATATCTCCCCCCACGGCCCCTCGCGACACCCACCCACCTTGCACACAACGTCCCGACGATCCCGCTGACAGAACTCGCCTTCTTCCTTGTTTCCCTGTCTGTCCCTTCTCCCCGTCCCTACACTATAAGCCCTCCGACGCGCGACCGAGCCGTCCTCTCTTTCACTCCCGCCATGGCCGCTTACGATGAGTACGTCTCTCCTTTTGTCCCTTCACTCCCGCGAGCTCACCATCGTCTCCTTCAGCGTGTTCTCGTCAATGCCTACTCCGCTCCCTGCAGACAACGACTCGCTCTTCGACTCGTACATAGATTCGAATGCTTACCTAGATCAATCCTTCGTACGTATTGCTCCTCCTCGTGCCAATAATCTTGATGCTAATGTCTATCCAGTGCTCCAACTTCTCCTGCTGCGGTCAGACGATCCCCGACCTCCACCATCTCCTCGACCACTTCGAGGAAGAGCACGTCCTCCCGCTCCCTCTGGATGATAACCGGCCCACCTACTCGAGCCCCATCTATGCACGCCCCACAGGCCCTCATGCGAGCTACATCCTTAGCTATCCCCAGCCAGACCCGCCTCTCCATCCTGCTCCCCTCCCCATCTCGTCTGCCCACGGCCCTCTTCGTGCCATCCCGAACCTCAGTCACGTCCCAGATCTCATCCACTCCCCCGCATCAACAGCGCCTCCGTCCACATCGTCCTCCTGCATCTCCTCCCCCGTTCTCGGAGAACCATTCTGCCTGCCGCCCGCCCTCTTCTCCTTCCAGCCCTCTCGCGCGCGGACGCCCTCGCAATCTTCTCGCCGCTCGCATCCGGCCGACGCTGATCTCGACAACATACTGACGCCGAGCCTCGCGCGCTCGGGCATCGGCCCCCAGCGCACCACAAAATCGCACCCGCGCGCCGACCCCCTCGCGCGGAGCCGCCCCCTCGCAAAAACTCCGGAACGCGCCTCCGCGCCCTCCGCCCGCAGACGTGACGGCCGCGAGAAAATGTACAAATGTCCGGTGAGTACGGCGATTTCGCGTGCCTATCTGCTATGCTCGTCCAGTCCTTGTATTCGCGCATCTGCCCGAAAGCTTGTGGGCGCCGACGCTCCAATGTCCGCTCTATGAGCGGCGCGATGCGAGCTCATCCCCGCGTGGCGTGCGCGCGGCCCCAGCCATCTCTGCGCGCCGTTTTAACACATGCTGACGTATGATCCTGCCCACCCGCTCTTCCATGAAACCGCGACCGCCGACATGTGCGCCTCCCCACTGATATTACACCACTCGGATCACCCATCGGCCGCACCACCCCTCTTCCCCGCATCGATCTCCGCGCCCGCGCCCGTCCCCGCGCACGCAACCCAATCACCCCGCGAACCTACTCCGCCCGTCCCATCTCGCCCGCACGCGCCGTACAGCATCCGGGCTGCACAAAGGTTCGTGCCACGCGCCCGCCGCCACACTGACACACCGCACTGACGCTGACGTTCGTTCCCCGCGCTCAGTCGTACCTGAACCCGAACGGGCTCAAGTACCACCTCGAAAAGGGGACGTGCACGAACGCGGAGGTGCGCGCGCGCGCGCCGCTCCCGCCCGCCGTCACCGCTGCGGCGCTCACGCCCCTGTCGACGCCCGCCTCCCCGAGCGTGTCGACGCTCGACTCGGTCCTCGACGACGACGAGGCGGACGCGTTCGAGTGTCGGATCTGAGCGCGCCTCGTCGCACGCGTATCGCAAAACCACAGACGTGGCAGGATCCTCTTCCGCGCCATGTTCGCTTCCCGGATCTCCTGGCGGACGCGGCATCTGTAGGTAACAGCACCCCCGCCCCGTCTCGACCGTACGTACGCGCCCCCCACCTTCCCTGCTCCCGTCGCCCGTCGCCACACCCGAGCGCGCGCCCGCCTGGCTCCATCGCGTAGGCCGATTATCCCTCGACTCCTCGGCGCGAACCACCCGTGGCGTACGCGCGGCGCCGCTTTCGGGTCCCGGTCATGTGGCGGCGGACGTGGGTGATGCATCATTTCGTGTAATAATGTGTAAATGTATATACTTGTATCGTAGACGTTTGTAGCATATGCAGTGCAGTTGGCCCCAGTCTCTCTTCGTGGCGTGACTCGTGCCCGAGCGCAGAGGACATGTACGGTATGCAAGGGTGAAGGCGAGTCGAACTCGCGTGTCGTGTAGAATGGCCGCGTCGACACAGACACCGTAGATCCGCGGAGCCAAGGAACGTCGCCCAAGCGAGAGCGCGTCAACCACTAGCTCGAGACGACCCTGACCGACGTACGTTTGGCCAGTCCGGAGTGTTGCCTTTCCTCCATGGGGCGTAGCCGCGTTCCGAGACCCGGGTGCAAGACGGCCCATAGTCGGCCCACTGGGCAACCCGCACATCTCTGCCAAAACGCCCCAAGGCTGCCGACACTATAAAAACGGAGCGAGGAACCGAAAGCATGCCAAGTACTACATAGCGCGATACGACCCTGGACGTATGTACGTCCCCAGCACTGCCGTTTCCGCCGCGGGGGCGCAGTGGTAGACGCGTTACGACACCCGGAGGCAAGATGTACCCAAGTCGGCCCAGCGCATCCCTGGGACCCTGGCGGGCCGACCCCGACGCGAAGGCGATTCCGGGGCGACGGGGACGCGAATGCACGGAGCTGTCAGGTGCTAGTAAGACGCATCGGAGTTCAGGTGTCGTCGTGCAGCGTCAGGCGGGCTGGTCGGATGAGGCCCGAGGCCCGAGTAGGATGGCGCCAGCGGCAGGGCCCAAAGATGGTATCCACGAAAACCGGGAAACAGGCCGCAGAGGGCACACCCTCGGACGCGAAGGCAGTTCGGGGGCCAGATGTCGGATCATGCATGGTGTGCGCAGACGCCGCGCCGGGAGAGCATCGTCGTCGCGAGGGGACGATGCCAGCACGTTCGCGCTTCACAGGGAAGTGGGGAAGAGCATCGGCGTCCAGAGAAGTTGGGCAGAGCATCGACGTACTCAACATCGGGCCGGGAGATCGGGGGTGTACGTGTCATATTGGGAGACCGCTAGGGCAAGTGTCGCCCGGCGGTAGTGAGTTAGATGAGGCCCGAGGAAGGTGACGGCAGCGGCAGAGTCCAAAGATAGTATTCACGAAGTCCGGGAACGGGTGCTTGTGTCCCTTGCGGCCGAACTTCCGAACACGAAGGTCGTTCAGCGGTCGAATATCGACGACCACGACCATGCATGGTGTGCGCAGACGCCATCCCGGGAGAGCATCGTCGTCGTGAGGGGAGGGTGCCAGCACGCTTACGCTTCGTAGGGAAGTTGGGAAGGACACTGGCGTCCGTAGAAGTTGGGCAGAGCATCGGCGTCCACAAAATCGGGCCGGGAGATCGGGGGTGTACGTGCGATATTGGGAGGCCGCGGCGAGCATTTGGAAGGAAGTAATGGGCCTGCCGATGGCTTGTGGTTGCGTTCGTCCCGGCGGCACTGTACGCGCGTGCGTTCGAGGGTATTCCCTAAAGTGTCTGTAGGTTTTGGAATATGTCAGTTAGGCAGCCGGAAGCCAGGTCGCAGCATACCTGTTGTCAGAAAGCGTACAGCAAAGACTGGCGCTAGCAAGAAGGAATGTCAAAACGGAACTCGACGCACCAATTCGTATACACAACCACTCGTTGGCCGACAGCGCGTCCCGCAGCGGACGCGGTGCCCGCGTACGCAGCCAAACGCAGCCAGACACAGAAGCTCCGCAGCACCTCCAGCAGGCAGACGAACCAGGCCTTCCGGCCATCCAGCGCCTCGCCGCCTCCGAACACAGCATGCCCCGCACCATCGCAGGCCCAGCGCCGAATTAGGACCTAGAAAGTACCAGGCGTTGCTCCCCTCGCCCGAACCCTGAACCCGCCTCTCGCGTTCCTCGCACCCGAGGGTGATCCAGACCCCGTCCAGGGCGTCCAGGGTCGTACGCGCGCAATTGGGCATAGGCACGGGGACTTCTTGTGGGACGGTGTTCGCGTCGCGTCTTCGGAGGCTCGGAAACGGCCGTAAACTGGCGAGCTGGGTGTGCGCGGTGCCGTAGGTGGCGCGGCGATGGGCCGTGGTGGGCTGTGGGGAAGGTAGTCAAGGACTCCGAATGGCCTTATGGGAGTGCCGACGAGGCCGAGCATCGAAAAGGCTAAAGTCTGTCCGATGCCTTCCGCTGCCGCAGGGCGCCGAGCGGAACGTGCATGCCAGTGCCTCCTGGCTACGAGCAGTCCTATGCCGCGGAAGCAAACACGACACACAAGTACGGAAGGAGTTTCAACCAAGTTGGAGCACAGCACTTGAAACGGCGTACTAGCGTGCGCACCTAACAGACCTTATTACACCGGTGGCGCGATATATTCCCGCTGCCGCCGGCGTGGCACAGCACCTCCGTCGGCCTGGGAAGCGTCGAGGTGCTTATACCGCAATCGTCGCGTCTAGTCCGTCTAGAAGCAGGTGCACCGTGCAAGGCCAATTCAATGCTGTGCCTATACGGGACGTGCTCCAAGCCACTTACTTCGTATAGTTTGATCGCCGTGTCGTGCCTCGGCTTCGCAGAGTGAGTGCGCAGTTGCACGGTAAGAACCAGGCTGCGGTGTGTGTCCAGTCGACCTGGTCCTCGCTGCGGGTCGGGGTGGGATGCAATGCGTGCGTCGCGGGTTGCAGTGCGCATGCGGCGCAGCGCCAAAAAGCCCGACATCTCTGCGCGTTTCACACCTGAGGCCGGGATATCCAGTCTCAGGCTGTGAGCGGCGGACGCGGTCCCACGATGCGAGCGTGCACGACGCACCTGCGATCCCGGCGCACCAATGGCCAAGTGCATTGCTCTGTAAGGGCAGAGACGAGGCGCGGGTGGCGCTGCGCAAGGGCGGGGATCTGTCATTCAAGCTGGGGTGTGAGATATACACGTTAAGGCCGGGATGGCGCTGCACGGTGCAGTCCAAAAATACAGAGTTCAAACGGCCTACCGGGTGGCACAAAGTCAGAGAGCTTGTAGAGTTCACCAGTGTTTGCAGGAGACGGGGGACTGGCAGTGGAGCTGGAGGGTTCCAGGAAATGCCGCCATTGCACCTGGGATGCTTGGAACATGGAAGTGTGAAGACGTCCGCCTCGTTGCTGTGCCTACGAAATGCCGGAATATCGGTGTATGTTAGTCGCAAGGCACGTATGGCGCGTCCCTGAGGACGCATTTACCCATGACAAACACCGGAACGACGCCCAGGGCGAACACTGTCCGACGTCATCGACAGTCCTGACTTCCGCACATGCATGGGCCTGCCCTTGAGGAACGGTCCGCTCCAGCCAGAACTCGCCCAAGAACCTTCAAGCTTCACGTCAATGCCCACACCCCGTCCGCAACAACCACACACCGCTGCATCCGCATATCACAAGCCAGCCTCCCGTCGCCCTCGCCCAGCGCAGCCTCCACCCCGTCGGTGCACGGACGCCGGCCGCCTGGACGCGACGGCAAACATACGCGCATGACACTCGCAGATGCAGCTGAAACGGCGGCAGACCGCCACGCGCACGCGCGCCGACCGTTCTCGCAGGGACGCCCGTTGCGCGATCCGCAGCGCGATCGGTCTCCAGCACGACGCAGGCCTTGGCCAGGACGGGGTGGACCCACAACACTCGCTTGCCGCGCAGCGATAGCCGAGCGCGTGGCCATATGCCTCCGTCGCTTGCCTCGGAAGAGCCCCAGCGCCGGCGCGGGGCGGCGGGGGCGAGGCAGCGGGGGCGTGTTCCGCGCTGTCAATGTACGAGATTGAGACGAGACGAGGCTTGGGGGCGCTGGACGCGGGCTCGACGCCGGAGCTCCTATCGCGCGCGGGTATGTGTAGGGCACAACTTCAGGCCATGCAAAGACGTCAGAGGGACAGCCGGCCGGTCGGCCAGTGCATTGCATTCGGTGCGCGACGGAAGACTCGAGAGGCGGTCGAATTCGTGATCGGGGACTTGGGCAGAATTCGAAGAATTCGCAAGGCCTTGCGCGATCGGGGGCTTCGCGTTCCTTCGCGTCGTCGAGCCCGAACGCACACAACGTGGACGGCACCGCGAAGCGGGGCGCGCGGATTGGCGGGGGGCTGCGTGATTGTATTTAGGCTTCTTCGGGAAGGCAGGCGGGGCCCTCCCACAGGGCGCGCGGGCGTGCGCTCTCATGTTGCTGGTCACCGCGAGAGTGCGTGCGGGTGTTCTGCCGGGCGATAAGATCACACGATGGGTGTTGGCGGGAACGCGCGAGGGCGTGTTCGTTGGCGGGCGCACGCGTGGGACGGGGAGGCGACATAGGGCTGCTCACATGTCCGGGCGCATTGGGGGGTGGCGGAAAGGGGGGTGACGGGTCGCGGTGGGCGCCGCAAGCCGGGGACATGCTGGGGAGGTAGGACTGACGGCGGTCGAATTCGCCACAGATTGGGCTTCTAACCAAGTGGAGGATGGAGCGGAAGGACAGAGCGCACGGAAGCGAGCGACGGAGGCAGACAAAGTGAGACATCGGACTCCGGAGGTACTTACTTGCAGCCCCGCGGCCCGTCCGGCGAGCACGGTGGTGGGCAGGACGAGGAGGTGGGCCCGGGGGCGGGGGCGGGGTTGCTATAATGGGGATTATCACGCACGTAAGTGGTTGGGCGCGTCGCGATATCATTGGATGCGTCTAGAGCCTGGAGGGCGTGTCGTGAGGCGGGGAGCGCAAGCGACGGCGATAGGCCTCGGATGGCCTTCGTAGCGCCTGAGGCGGGAGTTCAGAACAAGCTCGTCGCTCTTCAGAGGTTCCTCCGCCGTGCCTTGTAATCAAGACAGCAGCGGCGAGCGCAGGTTCAGTGCCTTTGGGTGCGCGGGCAGACCGCAGTTGCTGTGCCGCACGCCCGCACTGATTGGATGCGGGGCCCCGGAGGTTGATATCGGCGCGGACGGACGGACGGATTGGGCGGAACCTTGGGGTGTGCTCTTGGAGACGTGCGGTTGGAAAGAGTGTTGATGCATTGCACGACAGCGTTCGGCCAGGGGGCGGGCAGAAGGCGAAGACGTCAGCGAGTGTGCATGCAAGCCGGCCATGTTCTCGGATGTCGGCGCTGCGTGCAGATTGGCCCAAAATACAAAGATGGTGACGCGGGGAGGTGCACAGGGAGGCGAGGGTTCGCACTCGGTCGGATCACACAGCGTTTGTTCGAAGGCGAGCGGGGCGTTTGAAGTCTGGTTTGGGCGACAGGCTCGCTGCATGCATTCACTCGCTCGACAGCAGCGTTGGGGTGTGCCTGCGATATGTTTGGGAGGGAACGCGTGTGGGTCATGGGAGAGCGGGCGGACGCCTCGCGCAGAGCTGGACTGGCATGTGATCGTCGGGGAGAGCCGGGTCGGGGCGGGAACAGTTCCTCGGGAAAATCGCATTGGGTGACGGTCGCCGAAAGAGGCAACGTGCGGAGGCCGGGCCGTCTCTTTGGCCCAGGGACGGGCGTCTTGTCCAGGCGGGCGAATCTCAGACTGATCTGGTCTGCCATCTGCCTCCCTCCCTCCCACTCCGTCCACACTCCGTCCTCCTCCTCCCTCCTGGACCCCATCATCTCCCCCTCCTCCCCTCTCGGAGGACTCTGTCCACCCCTCCCCTGTCGCCCCGCTTTTTTTGCGACCTTCTAGCAAGAGCTCTCTTCCGACCGTCTTCCGGTCCTCTCTGCCGGCGGTACCTTTCCAGGCGACATACCCTCGCCCGACGCCCCCTTGCATATCGCCCTTCTCCTGCTGTACATCATAGTCCGTCTCCCGGCTTTCTCTCTCATTGCGCTCTCTTTCTCTCGCTGTACCATTACGCTCTGTCATCCTGGACATCCTCGACACAATGCTCTCCTCCTTTCCGTCCCCGATCTTATCCGTCGCCGCGGATGTAGTCAAGGACTTGGAGGGGGAAGACGCCCTGTGTGGCCTTTGGATATGTGCGTACCTCCGCGACGCTTTGTTCATCTCCTCCGAGCTCACCTCTTCGAACAAAGTGTTCACCAAGTGCAAAGAGTCGCTCAAAGACGGCCGTCGTCTCGAGAACATCTCTTGGCGTCTTTGGTACCGGGAGATGGCCTCCGCTCAGTCCTCTCCTGCGTCTTCTCCTGGCTCTTTGTCGCCATCTCTTTCAGACCGAAGGAGCCCCTCTCCCATTACTCCTATCTCCGAAGACGGTCTCGGCGTTCAGCAGTGTATGCATTTACTCGCCCTCTCCGAGTCAATAGCGGTCCATTGCTGACCAAACTCCCTCTACCAGCACATCTATGCCAGGCACCGCCTACACCTTCCACTGATATCTCGCAAGCATTCTCCTGGCACGGCAACCACCCGCCGCCGAGTGCTTTGTCGGGAGGGCGCCGCCTCAGTACTATCAGTACAGTGAGCGCCCCGATGGAACGGCGCAAGTCCCACTCCAATATCGGAGTAGGGAAAATGATCTTGGACATCCTTCCTCGCAAAGTCGACGTCGACAGCGAGAAGAAGCTTGCACGGCACCCCATCATCGTTCAGCCCAAGCCTATCGTCGCCTCGCTTCCCAGTGTACATCTACCCCCCAGCTCCTCCCAGCCGGGCGAGACATCATTTCCCCGCGTTGTGGTCGTCAATCCAACCCCGCATCCGACGCCGCCGGCCACTCCTCATCTGTCCCACCCTCCCAATCTGACAGCTGCCGCCCACACATCCACACATCTTCTGCCGCCCCTACCGGCACGATCCCTCGTATCGGCGACTATCGTACCCATGCCGGCTTCGTCGCAGCAGTCCGTTCCGCCTACCGCCGCACCGACGCCGCAACCGCTGGCTGCTTCCTCGTCTACGTCGAAGCAGCCTTCGGCTTCGGCAGGGCAGACCGCTTCCAAGACCAAGGCATTCAATGACGAGACGCTCAAGGCGTCTGACCGCCGGTTCTTCCTACAGGATACTGGCTCGCCGGAGGTGGAGTCCCCCGAGCGCGCACCGTTGAACTCCTCGGAGACCAAGCCACAGAGTCCGAGCAGCGTCACGTCCAGTCACGCGAAGTCGGAGGTGGCAGGTCCCAGCGCTGCTGCGGCGAAACGCCCACGCGTCCAGGTGCGCAAGAGCAAGGAGCGACACGTGCCCGTCAGGCCAGCGCTGCAGCGGCTGCATTCGCACGGGGTCAGGCAGGCCTCGCAGCAGAAGAAAGCTTCCGCCCCTGAGCCGAAGAAGGCAGCGTTCAACATTGGCTCGACGTCGTCCAACGGCTCCCGCGGGGGCCCCTCGACGAAGGCGCCGAGCCAGAATGGCGACGCCGTCGTTCGGACGCGGCCATCAAGCCCCGCGCCTCCCGCGAAGCAGGCGCCCCCGCCACAAGCTAGCACTAGTCGCGCGGGGCCGTCGCAACAGCGGCGTGGGATCATGATAAGCACGTCATCTGAGTACGACACAACGGACACCGAGAACGACTCGGACTGGGCGTCCGAGGCAGACAGCGGGGAAGAGCGCAGCAAGGCCAAGAAGGGCAAGACGAAGGCGCAGGCGGCGGAAGAGGCGCGGTTGCGCGTCGCCGCGGAGGAGGCCCAGCGCCAACGCGACATGTTCGCGAAGGTGCCAAAGCGGTCGTACTCGAACCTGAACAGGGCACCGTCTGGGCTGCTATCGCAGCTGCTCAACCCTGATCCGGGCATCTTCCCGCCCAACCACCCGTACCGGTCAACGCGGTCGACGCAGGATATGTCGCACCTGGCGCGGCAAGCTCCCGCATCGAAGCTGCAGATGAGCAAGAGTTCGGTGGCGGTTCCGCTCGCCGCGCAGGTCACTGCGCAGGCGCCCGTCACTCCCGCGGAGCCTGCTGTTCGTCCTGGAGGCGGCTATAGGTTGAAGGGCCGCCCGCAAGAGGAAGAGCTGGAGGACACCGAGAGCGAGGACGAGAACCCTGACGATACCATCCAGGTCTCGCGGAGTCTCGCCCAGCAGAAGCTCGCCGCTCTCGCGGACCCGAATCGGAGGCGGAGCTCGGATCGCGGCGGCTTGCTCTCTCAGCAGAAGCCTCAACAGCACCAGCATCTGCCTCAGCACCCGCACCCGCAGATGCAGCAGAGGGGCGAGCGATCCGGGTTGACCGCCGTTGCGTCAGCCCCGATCCCGCTGAATCACCCGTACAACCTGCCCCCGCCCGCGCCGCCGATGACACCGCGCACGACGCGGCGCCAGATGCTGCAGACGGAGCTCTCGGAGAGCTTACGGCGGAACCTGCTGTGGGAGCGGCAAGTGAGCAACAGGAAGCCGCGCGGCGTGCTTGGCAACGCGCTGAGGCCGATGACCTCGATGAACGGGGACGGACCGGCAGCCGCACAGCAGCCGCCTGCATCGAAGCGTGCCAGCACGGGCGATCCGCAAGTCCAGGGCCAGTTCCAAGGGCAGCAGCTCAATACGGAGGACCATGCTGAGCGGCGGCGGGCAGCAATGGCGCGGAACCGCAGCTGGGCGGACGACTACCACTATTCGGGGTGGTAATACTCGCCCCTTGTACGTGCGCTCGCGCTCGTGCCCAGTTCGCGTCAACAGCGGTGGGGTCGCTCCACGGTCCTGCCGCTTGGTATATAAAATCTCTTTCGGGTTTCCTTCATCCACGGTGTACTATTATCCCCCGCATCTTCATCTTCAACAACCACAACATCCCGCATCCGCATATTGCTCTGCTCGCTGTTTCCCATGCGCCTCGGCGGTCTCCTCTCGTTCACGTTTATTCCCTGCTCGGTCCCCTGGTCTCCGGCGTCGCGCATCACACTCAGCCACTGGCAACCCGGCATTCAATCCATCATCGGTCCCCCGTCTCCTCTCGTCCGGCTCCCCTCATACGCATACGCATCGGTCTCGTTCGATCCTCCATCGCATGCGGTCTCGACGACGTCGCAGACTTGTACTCTACTTACCCTAAGGTCCGTCCTACGCTACGCTATCCCCCAAGCCTATCTCGGCCGTCGCACACGCAGGGCCGCCGCTTCCTCTGCTCCACGGCACTCCGGAGTGTCCCCACACCCTGCGCCCGCGCGCCGGTCCCTCATCGACTTCCCGCGCTCTGGCAATGGACGTATTCCCCCTCCCCATGCATATGCATATGCGTTTCGTGCTCTGGAATGTGTATCCCCCTGGCCCCCCGCATGCATGCACGCACGCGCTCCGTGACCCGTCGCATTACATAGTGTGTATATATTCTGTACTGGTACTGTCTGCGTCCGTAGTACATATATTCGCCCTGGCTAATGGTATTCCGTCGTCGCGCTCGCCCGCTGCGTGTTTATCTCATCCTTTTCCCCGCAAGTACGTGTTCCGGGCCCCTATGCACTACGTGTCCGCCCGTGTACCTTGATGCGCGATGCGTTGGGGCACTGGTACGGTGCGCAGGTGCCGCACCCCAGTGTTTGCGATGGTCTGGATGCAAAGGCAGCCGCTATCGCGCCGGAAGTGGTGATCTCTGGCATCTGCGATTCTGAGAAGCTGCTCGTCATCCAGGCAGCGCACCCGAGCACGAGTGCGGATTGGCCCGCGGGAGGCAGGTGATTGCGGGCGTGCACGAACGCGCAAACGTGTTCTCACCTCCGCTCCGAGGCCTTCGTGGCCCCCACGGCATCGCGCAGGGTCGGAGACATGGATCGACTCGGACTCGCAGCGGCCCCTGGCTCGCGCTCGTCGGAGGAGTCATCGAGAAGCTTCGCAGCCCGCCGCCGCGACTCCGCGTCGCCTCCGCACGGTGCACGGGGCGACTGTGCAGGACCCCTGAAAATGCCTATAGTAGGCCGTCCGGTAGACGCCCATGATTTTGGCCCTCCGTGTCCGGTCGATATTTTCGAGGTTTTGGCCTAATTTGTCCGGACTCGCGACCAGGATGCCGTTTTTGCTCGGTGGTGTCCGGATTTTCCGTCCGGCCCCTTCGGGGCCGGGGAGGTGTCCGGATTTCCTGGCCGGCCTCTAAAAACCGCAATTTTTTTCCCGGCGCGCCGCCATCGTCTTCAAACGGACATTATTTTGCGATTTGCAGCCATTAGACGTCCAAATCTACCTCTAAAGTGAGGCTGGAAGGTGTGCCCAATACAGAAAATCTCTAGGGATAGGATAATGCGTATGCAGTCTCGAAGCGCCCGCCGAATTGCTACGCCGCGTTCTAACATACCTTAGCCGAGAACTTACAAACGTCAAGTACACTACAGTGAGTAGTAAGTCCTATCAACAATGGTTCTTTCACGGCTGATAATGATGGATAAGCCGGGAACCCCGGAGGCCGGACACCCCTCCTAAGGGGGCCCATCAGTCTGACCCCGGTGGTGTCCGGACTCTGGGCCTGGCCGAGGGAGCCCAGAGGCCTCGCTGTCCGGGAAGTCCGGCCGGCTAGGTGACCTTTTGAGGGTCATTTTGTCCGGACTTTGACCCATCATTTGGCCAAATTTTCTCAAACGCCGTCCGGATGACGAGCGTCTACCGGACGGCCTACTATAGGCATTTTCAGGGGTCCTGACTGTGCCCATTCAGCCGAGTCAAAATGCGGTGCGCGCACGCCCCGATAGCTGCAGCAGGCCCGCTCGCTCGGTGGTGGTGGGTCGATACTCGATTATTCACCGCGCGGACGAGATTGGCGCGGCGGGGGCGAGAGAGGGGGATATATACGGCTCGCAGGCGCCGGGGCGATCGTGCCGGGCGAACGCGTCTAAGCATCCCGCTATTCCCGCTCTCCTTCCTCCTCCTCGTCTCTCCTCGACTTTCTCACTCGCCCGCGCCACGCTCCCCCCTCCCTGCCCGTCTCCTCTCCGCCCACCCGACCACCGCCTGCAGCGCACCCACACACAATACACGGACAGGAGCAGCCGCCGATGTCGTCGCCCGAGGAAGACTACAATGACGGCGACTCCGCGCAGAACGCGAAGAAGCGCAGGATCCAGCGGGCCTGCGACATGTGCAGGCGCAAGAAAAGTACGCTCCCCATCACGCCCGCTCCCATTGGTCCATACGTACTCACCGCGCCCGCCTCCGCCCAGTCCGATGTGCGTACCCCTCCGTGCGATGCCTCCTTCTGGGGCGGGCCGTGACCTCCTTCCCACTGCACAGGCGACGGCGCGACGATGCCCAGCAACCGCTGCTCGAACTGCGTGTCCTACCGCCTCGAATGCACGTACATCGAGGCCGCGAAGGTGCGTGCGCCGCCCGCATATCCCGGGCCCGGACAATGCTCAGCGCCCCCGGACTTCTGTAGAAGCGTGGGCCCCCCAAAGGGTGAGTAAGCCTGCAGAAGTGCGCCGCAAGGCGGATGAGTCATGCGTGTCCGTTCGCAGCTACGTAGAGAGTCTCGAGACCCGGCTCGAGAAGATGGAGAAGTTGCTGAACAAGGTGCGCTTCCCCGTCCCCTGTCCGCCCGTCGCGATCGCGCGGAATAGTGACGCCACGGCTGCTTAACGCCTGCTCTTTTTATTGCGCGCGTGTGTCATCGTGTGCAGCTGTGTCCGAACGCGGACTTCACGAAAGAACTTGGCGGAAACTTCGACCGGGATGCATGGATAGCTGACCGCGAGCGGAACGGTGAGTCTTCGGGTGCAGGCGCGGGCAAGTCGGGGTACGGCATCCCAGGCCAACCTTCGTCCTCCGTGATTGCCTCGCCACCCGCGCTCGCCACTCCGGCAGGCGTCGACTCGGACGACCTCGACCCGAGCGACGATGAAGTCATCGCGCAAAGGAACATAGTTGCGAAGCTCCAGAAGATGTCCGTGCACCCAAGCGCGATGCGATATCACGGCAAGTCTAGCAGCCTGCTCTTCATACAGACCGCGATGGACCTCAAACATGAGTACGCGGGCGTCCACCTCCCGCCGACGGTTGACCCGGAAGCTCACAATGTACTGCTTCGGCGCGATCAGCTGCATTGGAGTTTGCATCCCGTGCGTGTGCGCAAGACGCCGATATAGCCACCCTGAGTTGACACACGGCCGCGCAGTGGCTGACTTCCACAGTGCACGACGAGATCCCACCACACAAGGATTTCCCGCCCCCAGATCTGCTCGACAAACTGGTCGGGCTGTACTTCCAGTACATGAACTGCTACATGCCGCTCCTGCACCGGCCGACGTTCGAGCAGGCGATCAAGGAGGGCCTGCACCTCCACGACGAGGGCTTCGGCTCGACCGTGCTGCTCGTGTGCGCGAACGGCGCGCGCTTCACAGACGACCCGCGCGTGCTCCTCGAGGGCTACGACACAACGCAATCTTCCGGCTGGAAGTGGTTCCAGCAGGTGCAGATGGTCCGCAAGTCGCTGCTCGCGCCCCCGCGCCTGTACGACCTCCAAATATATGCGGTACGTCACCTGCGCCCGCGCCGCAGTGCGAACACGCCCTCACGCCCGTCCTTCCCTGTTCCGTCTTCTATCCGGACGGTGATTCGCCGCCGCACAGCTTACGGCGAGTTTCCTGCAAGGAACGTCTGCACCGCAAGCGTGCTGGACTATCATCGGAATCGGTATCCGCATGGCCCAGGATGTAGGCGCCCATCGGAAGAAGGTGTACAGCACGACGCCGACGATGGAGGAGGAACTGTGGCGGCGTGCCTTCTGGTGATGCTCGGATTTTTGGCGGGTGCAGATCAGCCACTCACGATCGGTTCACGCTGACAGGACTCTTGTCGCGATGGACCGACACGCGAGTTTCGCCCTCGGACGGCCGTGCGCGATCCAAGACGAGGAGTGAGTACCGCCCCAACCGCCCAGACATCAGGATCACCCTTCCGCGCGGTCTGACTTGCTTGCTTACCCGGCCCTGCGCAGCTTCGACCTCGACCTGCCGACGGAGTGCGACGACGAGTACTGGATGCACCCGGACCCCGAGCAGGCGTTCAAGCAGCCGCCGGGCACGCCGTCGAGCATCGCGTTCTTCAACTGCTACATCCGCCTGCACCAGATCCTCGCGTTCGCGCTGCGGACGATCGTGAGTACCCGCCGTTTGCGTGTCGCCGCGAGCGCAGTCGCCGAGAGCTGACGAGTCGCCCCGGCCGGTGCGCGTGTACCTGCTTCGTCGTATAGTACTCTATCAACAAATCGAAGGCGCTCCTTGGCTTCGTGGGGCAACAGTGGGAGCAGCATATCGTCGCTGAACTCGACTCCGCCCTCAACAAATGGATCGACTCCGTCCCTGACCACTGTATGTCCCTTCCGCCCTATCGCTCTGCACATCTAACCGTGTTCACGCTTGCGGCGCAGTGCGGTGGGACCCGAACCGCGAGAACGTGCTCTTCCTGAACCAGTCCGCGAACCTGTACGCGCACTACTACCAGCTGCAGATCGCAGTGCACCGGCCGTTCATCCCGTCCCCGCGCAAGCCGTCCCCGCTCTCCTTCCCGTCGCTCGCGATCTGCACGAACGCCGCGCGCTCGTGCATCCACGTGCTCGACCTGCAGTACAAGCGCGCTGGGGTCACGTACTTCAACCAGATGTCGCTGTTCACTGCTGGGATCGTGCTGCTGCTCAACATCTGGGGCGGGAAGCGCTCCGGGCTCTCGACGGACCCTGCGAAGGAGATGGCGGACGTGCACAAGTGCATGAAGATGCTCAAGCTGCTGGAGGCTCAGTGAGTGCTGTATGATTTTACCCTGTCACCGCTCGCCGCTGAAATTCGTTGTCTTACAGTTGGCACACTGCTGGGCGACTATGGTGCGTTTATGTGACATGTATACGCTTTAAAGCTACCAGCTAACATTCAAAATGTAGGGATATCCTTTACGAGTTGGCGTCTGTTGGAGACCTCCCGCTCCCGCAAGCCTCGCCGGCTCCGAACAAGCGCGAGCGTGACTCAGACAGCCCTATCGCGACTCCCAGCCACCACGGCTTTGATTCGCCACCCCCGTCGGTGCCAGTAGACAGCACACGCCCGATGGTGAACTGCAGACGCACGGGTCCGAAGGAGAGTACTTCCCTCGCCTCCGCCACTTTCGCACAACCGCTGCGCACGCCATCGCAGTCACAGCCCGCTACGTCCGACTCGGAGAAGATCGCCGCCACGCCCACTCCGAATGCTGGCAACGGCGGGAGCTCGTTCTTTGCGCTCCCGGTGCACACCGAAGAGCTCGGTCGGCTGCCGCTCCACCCTGGTTTCAGCGGAAACTACCCGCAGGAATGGGCTCAGGGTGCCGCGCCGGCTCAGCAACAGCAACCACAGGCTCAGCAACAGCAACCACAGCAGACACAGCAACAGCAACAGCAACAGCATATGCCACCGATGGCGTCTTCCTCCGCTCCACGGACCCCAGCGCCGGGAGCTAGCGGGAACCCATTCGACCCGCGTGTGTTGTCGATGTTCAACACGCCCGGACCGTCAGGGTTCTCGGAGATGTTCGCGACGCCCCCGCCGTCCGCGGCGACGGACGGGCCGGCCTATCCCAGCCCGTTCGTGCAGGAGATGCACACCCTGGCGGCAGCGGGCGCTGGGGCCGGGGCAGGAGGGGATGCGGCTATGTCTGGAATATCGGCGCAGGAGTTGGCGTTCGCAGACAATACGCTGGACATGTGGTCGACCGCCCCAACTGGCTTTGAGTGAGTCCTTGCTTTGTGAAGCGCCTTTTTGCGTGGCCGCTGACCAGAGGTGTTTGTCTGCAGGTGGGCCGACTGGGGTACCTACATCAACAATGTGAGCGGGATGGCCCACACGCCGGGGTCGACACAGCCTCCGGGACCAGGGGCATAGGCTGTGGCTCTGCCGTTAGCCACAGCGAGTCGGTACGCTTCATGGCCTCCGCTCTGCTAGATTACTGCTCCCCGTTATCCGCCTCCGCGTTTTGTGTTTCTGCTCACCCCAGCTCTGTCGGCACCGTCTCGTCTCCATTTACCTGTAGCGTTAGATACCTGCCTGAAGGCCTGGGTAATTCCGTCCCCGTCCCCGTCTCGTCTCCTCTTTCCCCTGCCCCCGCTCATCTATCTTGTCTGCACTGTATCCCTCCGCATTGTGGGTCGCTGCGTCTCTTTGTTCCACTGCTGTCCCCAGTCGCCCGCGGGCGGCTGCGCTGTATTCATACACCTAGATCCCCGATCTACGACGTTTGCGGTTTCACAGTGCTTGTTGCCTGCTTGGGCCTCCTGCGTGTCTTGTCGTTTGATCCGCGCCAGGACCCGCGCCCCCGCCGTGGCTTTCTTTGGAGGGGACGGTCTTTCATTCGAGACAAGACTCGAATGTGGCTGACGGCGGCTGCATTCTTACCTTGTTAGAATGGAGGCTAAAGTGAGTCTAGTGAAATGTGGATAAATGTCGCTCACATGAGAGCGTACAGAACACCTCCCTTTTCGCCTTCGCCTCATCGACACCGCTAGCTTGTGGCCATCCTCTACCACGACACCACTATCGAACATACCACATCATCCTACACCAAGTCTAGACAAATGTCTCCTAACTCTGTCAACGACGACGTCCTTCTCCACATCCTCTCATACCTGTACGGACACGACGCGCTCAACGTAGCGCTATGCTCGAAGCACCTATACGGCCTCGCCCTACCGCGCATCGCCGCCGTGGCTGGGTGCGGGAGCCCAAGAGAGCTGCGTGCGCTTCACAACTACCTGTTCTCCGCTTCTCCGCCGCGCTCCCGCTTCCTCGAGGAACTCGGCATCTTCGTGCCCACATTCGACTACCCAGAAAGCACAGTCGCAACCCTCGGCTACAGCGACTACTGGGAGTTCTCGCAGGCGCCCCTCATCGGCGACATGCTCCTACACTCCCCCCGCCTCCGGCACCTCATGCTCGAGCGGCTGCACCCCTGCATGGCCGCGGACGCGCGCATCGCACCCGCACTCGGGGCGCTCGAGCGGCTCGAGACCGCGGACTTTGCGACGGTCTCGGATTGGACGTGGGCGCGCCTGTCCGAGACGCCGCTGAGCACGAGCCTGCGCACCCTCCGCCTGTCGTACTTTTGGAGCGAGGACGACGACCTGTCTAGCGATGGCGAGACCAAGACGCTCCCGCCGCTCCTCGGCGCGCTCGCCCCGCTCTGCAACCTGCACACACTCGAGCTGTGGAACTTTGACCCCCCTCCCAGCGGCCTTCCCCCGGTGGTGTTCCCATCTATACGCGACCTTCGGATGGCCGCTGCTTCGCCAGGCTCGCTGGAGCTGGTCGAGTGCTGTCCCGGTCTGTCCAACCTCGAGATTTCGTTCCTCCACGACGGCTCGACCTCCAATAGTGACCACCTCCGCGATGGCCCGAGGTGGCCCTCGCTGCAGCGTCTGACGCTGTTTGGCCACATAGAAATTGGGACCGTCCTTCATCGCGTTAGTACGGCGAACATCGTGCGGATCGCAAACTCCAGTCTTACGCTTTGCCCCGATGGCTACAACATGACGCTGATCGAGAACCTGCTCGCGCTCCTTCGGCACACATCGCCCGTCAGCTTGTCGCTCCCGATAGCCGCGGAGGAGATGCCCATGACATTCTGGACCCAAGTGCCGGCGCTGGCGCCGCGGTTGCGGATACTGGATCTGCGGATAATGTTCGCAGCGTTGTCGCTCGAAAACAAAGCTAGACTGGTGCGGGTGACGGTTCACCTTCATGCGGGAATAGGTGACTGAATGTTTGCTTTGCAGGACAACATCCACGACACGTTGCTACCACTGCCGCTCGTGTACCTGTCGATTTCGGTGTCTACGGTGCCGCCGCCTCGAATGCCCTTAGGGGACGATATGGAAATCGACACCGAGCCGAATAAACAGCTTCGCAGAGATGCGGAGCAGCTGGAGGAGTTCCTTGCCTCTTCGATAGCCGAGTTGCCAGGGAAGCTTGCGACGGTCATACCCTCCTTGCGGTTTGTCACAATAACTTCCGGGGAAGCCAACGAGGCAACCCTGCCAGCGTCACCGATCGATGGGGACACGGTGGACCCCGGAATACCGCGACCATTAATCCCTAGTACACAGATTTTGGTCAGGAATAACATCCCGACCCGGTACTGGCAGGTGTTGCACGACGGCGGGGGTGGGTCCAGCCGGGGTCTACTGGAGCTGTCGGCGAGTGAGGGGGAGCGGATCCGGACACTTGCTGACGATGCTATCAGGCTTGGACATACTATATAGTCATACATGTGTACCTAATTTCCTATCTGAGGTTGTCAGTCTCCGGGATCGAGGCAGGGTCGACTTCAGCCAGCATTTGATGAACACTATGCCTACCATTTGAGGTCACCGGTGTCGGACGTGCGCTTACTACGAACCTAAAGCTGCGGTCGCGCCGATTCTCACCGGACCACGAAGCTATATCTCTCTCATCCTTGCAATCGCGGCAATTGCATTATTTAGGAGTAGGACCGTATGCTTTTCATACTTGCAATTGCTTACTGATCTTGTCTCTCGTCAGAACTTGAAACAGAACATGATCTTGCTCAACGACGACGTGCTCCTCTTGATATTCTCCTACATCCACGGAGGCGACGCGCTCAACGTCGCCCTCGCCTCGAAGCGGTTCTATGAGCTCGCAATTTCCGCTGTGGCCCATGAGGCATCCTGCTGGGAGTTAGGAATGGTTCGCCAGCTTTGCGATTATATGTTGACGCACTTAGACTCTCAACCTCGAGCTCGCCACCTACGTGTCCTCGTTTTTCTGCCTACTGCGTTCTGGAATCTGGGAAAGAAGGCGAAGGACTCCGGTACCGTCTCGCTCTATGGCGCCAAATCCCTCGTTGCGGATGTCCTTGGAGAGGCACGCGGGCTCCGTGTACTACGATGGACAGATAATTTCCAGGATCTCTTCAGTATCGACCCGGGCCGTCTCACCGACGTCATTGAGTCCTGGAAGCACCTCACCGTTTTGGAGCTCAATATGGTCGACGACGATATAATCTCCACCCTACGATCTGTTACAACTCTCACCGTGCTGACCTTGCGAGGCTTGAAAGCGCCGGAACCCGGACAGGAACATCGCGGCATGCCCACATTGCTGAAGACGTTGGCCAAGCTTCACCGCCTTCATACACTCATCCTAGATCAATTCCGCAGCCCAAATACTTCGTTTGAAGCCGCCGACGGATCACGACCCGTTGCCCGGTTTCCATCTATCACCGATCTCTCGCTGAGCGGCTGTTCCAAGAGCTGTTTGCTTCTCGTGCAGCAATGCCCTAGCCTGTCTAAACTCACGGTCACTCACACTGCCTACCCTCGGCCCTCCCAGACCCTGCTCCCCCCTGAACCTCTCAGCCCGCGCTGGCCTGCGCTCCAGACCCTCGCGATATCGACGCGAGACTTGCCGTTGTGCGGCCTCTACCGGTTGAACAATGTTCGCGAATTGCAACTCAAGGATGCGCCTTTTGAAGACTCATTTATGCCCATCATCCTTCCTCTCGCCTTGTCCGTCCTGTCCCCACTCTCCATTTCCATCATGACCAGCTTCAAGGTGGACAATAGCCCCTCCTGGGACGCCCTAGCCGAATCTCAGCCGGGGGTGCGCGTCTTGGATATCGTAGTCAACCCACAAATGCAAAGGCCCTGGTCCAACGTCTGGCATGTACGTCGAGCATCGGAGTTCCGCATCAATACCTTGCTGATTAAGTTTCTCAATGGTAGGACAACATTCCGAGAGCGCTCTGTTGCCTCCCGCTGATGTCCCTCCGGTTAATTGTGTGCTCGCCATCCCCGTTGGGAACTAGGTTCGCAGCGTTCGATGAACCTACGCGGATGCAGACGACATATCGTCGCCTTGCGGCGATCCCGACTCTCTCTATCTCGACTCTCCCTGGGAAGATATTCGACGCCGTGTCTACAATACGTGTCCTCGCCATTGCCGAAGAAGTGGAGTGGGTTGATCGGCGGGAGATGGCAGCGGGCGGAGCGTCCACGAAGTCTATGGCACTGCGTCTGTACATGGAGGACAGAACAGAGGACCTCCCCGGTCGGGAGCGGCATCTAGAATGGGGTACTCTCGATAGGGCGCAGTTTCGCCTCCATTGGTGGTATCGCGCTTCCCCGCGGGAAGACCCTATGCCAATCCCTGAGAAGGAAGGCGAGCGGGCATACGCAGCCATCTTGAGCGCGTGCACGACCGCAACTGGCTCGCTAGCTGCAACGGCAGACTCCACCGAACGTGAGCGTGCTAGGATATTTTCGCGCGTGATACTGGGCTGATGTATACCTGATCCACAGAGCTTCTTGCATCCATGTCTCTGGAATAGGTGTATACACCCTGTAAAGTATTAAATGGAGTGTATCATATGGTCAGTATGCTTCATATATGGGTTATAGAGGAGTTGATGCGACAGACCATTCTTCACAGCTCAAGACTCAGGCCACTGATGTTACAGCTCACAAAATTCGATGATCCGAAGGATGCTAGATATCCTTCCTACCTCTCCATCTTTCGTACATATGTATCGCTTATAGAGAGCGCCTCGTCCACGTATTTGTAACCATGGACTGGCGGAACGTCGGAGGTCGGACTGGGAGCGTCGCTCCTCTACATGCGAGACCGTTCTTCCTATTGTCAAGTTGTTAGTCACCAAATTTGAAGCAGGCTAGACTTTAGTCGTCGGTATTCAGTGATCACTAGGCCTGCCATTTGAGGTCACCGGTGTCGGACGTGCGCTTACTACGAACCTAAACCTGAAGACCGCAGGTACTGCGGCCACGCCGGCTCTCACTAGTACTACGAAGCTGTGTATTCTCCTCGCTTCTATCGCTGCAATTTCCTTCTTGAGTATGAACAGGTACTTCCATAGTACTTGCAATTGCTTACTGATAATGTCTCGATTAGAACGACATGAACTTTCGAATTTCGCAGCTCAACGACGACGTCCTCCTCTTGATATTCTCCTACATCCACGGGGAAGACGCGCTTAATGTCGCCCTCACCTCGAAAAGGTTCTACGGGCTCGCAATACCCGCTGTGGCCCATGAGGCATCCTGCTGGGAGTTTAGAATGATTCGCCAGCTTTGCGACTACATGTTAACGCCCTTGGACTCTCAACCTCGAGCTCGATACCTACGCGTCCTCGTCATCCTGCCTGCTGCTTTCTTCGTCGTCCAAAGGAAGGGCAGAAAATCGGGTACCCTCTCGCTCTACGGTGCGAAATCCCTCATTACAGACGTCCTCGGAGAGGCCAGTGGACTTCGTGTACTACGATGGACAGCGGATTTCCGGGATCTCTTCAAAAGCGACTCGAGCCGTCTCACAGACGTTATGAAATCCTGGAAGCACATCACCGTTCTGGAACTCAATATGGTCGACGACGAAATAGTCTCCGCCTTACGGTCCGTTACAACACTCAGGGTGTTGACTTTGCGAGATAAAGCGTTGGAAATCGGGCAGGAACACCGCGGATTGCCCACGTTGTTGCAGACATTGTCCCAGCTTATCCACCTCCAGACACTCTCCCTGACTCTTTTCCGCGGCACAGATACGCCATTGGGAACCGCCGAAGGTTCGCGGGTGACTCCCCGGTTTCCCTCCATCATCGATCTCTCGCTAGATGCCTGTTCCAAGAGCTACTTCCTTCTCGTGCAGCAATGTCCCAACCTGTCTAGACTCGCGGTATCCTACCCAGTCGACATGCCACCTATCGGGACTTTTCTCCCCCCTGCAAATCCGGTGCCGCGCTGGCCTGCGCTCCAAACCCTTGCGATATCGACGCGAGACATGTCCTTGTGCGGCCTCTATCGGTTGAACACCGTCCGCGAACTGCGGCTCTGGGACACGCCGTTTGAAAACTCATTTGTGCCCACCACCCTTCCCCTCGCCTTGCCCACACTCTCACCACGTTCTATCTCCATCGTCGCTTGCTTCAGGGTGGAGAATAGCCCCGCCTGGGATGTCCTGGCTAATTATCAACCCGGGGTGCGTGTCTTGGATATCGAAGTCAACCCACAAACGTATAGGCCCTGGTCTGACGTCTGGCATGTGAGTCGAGTCCCGGAGTCCCATATGTCATAATACCATACTAATGATAATCTTCCATGGCAGGACAACGTCCCGAAAGCGCTTAGTCGTCTCCCGCTGATCTCTCTCCGTCTGATTGTTCGTTCACCATCTTCGTCTGGAACCGGGGTGGAAGCGGCGCTCGATAAGCCTACGCGAATGCAGACGACGTATCGCCGCAAGGAGGCCATCTCATCTCTTCCGGGGAAAGTTTTCGACGCCGTGCCTACACTACGTGTTCTTGCCATCGCCGAAGAGGTGGACCAGATAGGCCGACGGCCGATGGCAGTGGGCGGAGCGTCCGCGACGCCCAAAGCGCGGCACTTGTACATGGAGGACCGAACGGAGGACCTCCCCGGTTGGGCGCGCCATCTGGAATGGGGTACTCTCGATAGGGCGCGGTTTCGCCTCCATTGGTGGTATCGTGCGTCGCCGAAGGACGAGCCTATGCGGGTTCCCGAGAAGGAAGGCGAGCGGGCGTACGCAGCCATCTTGCGCGCATGCACAACCGCAACTGGCGAACCAGCTTCGACGGCGGACATCGAACGTAAGTTTGTCCTCAGGCCCCATGCGCGATACTGGGCTGATGGATGTCCGGTACACAGAGCTTCTTGCGTCCATGTCTTTAGAATAAGGGATCGCATCGACACCCGTCTTGTGGCTATCAATTGCAGTGTATAATATGGTCAGTACGTTTCTTATGTGCTTCACGCTAGAATACATGAGTAGATGTCGGCGTGAACCCACTAGCGCACATACAAGAAATACACGGAGCCTGTGCATGGGCATGCATCAGCGAGGTTGGCCGAGGCATGCCTTCGCTCATCACCCACCATCGCGCAGCAGTAACGAGGTCAGCGTAGCCGGCCTGCCATGGCTTCGTTGCGCGCGATATATGCTAAGTGTCTTCCATGCGGTGAGGACAAGGCACAGCAGCTCGTACGCGATACCGATAGCGGATATGACGATGGGGACTGTGGAACTGTGTTAGTGACGCGAAGAATTGCTATATGGGTGAAATGTACCGTTGCGAACCCTGTAGCGGTCATCGAAGCTCAGTCACAGCCTTCAGTCTTTGAGCTGGTGGAGTGCGTACGTTAACGCCAGCGTCTCCGTCTCGTCGTCCGGAATAAACACTTCGCATCTCCATATAGGCCATGGTGCGAGGACGATCCTCAAGTGTAGAGCAAGGAGCTATGAGTCACGCGTAGAGTGTCAGCGTGTATAAATCTGGTTAGGACATGGGATAGAACTTACCACCGGTACTACATTCAGGTTGACGAGTCCTAGAAAGAAGACAGATATCGCTAATGGCCAGTTGCGGCCCCAGATTGCGAACATGCGCGTAGCGACGGAAGCTATGCCGTGAAGAAAGTAAAGTGTCAATCCAGATAACAAGCTGTCATTGCAATCAGGTCCAGACCTGATATCTTAGCAAAGTTCAGCAGGTTCATCAAGACGGCGAAGGTGTAGAAGGATTCGCAGCTATACGTCCTGATCTAAACAAATTTTCAGAGTGGGGAAATTCGGAACATACCTTCGAACTGTGTTTGTAGGTCCGGAATCTTGGGTGAATCGCACGGTGAAGAGGGCGACAAGGGTTAGATTGAAGAGGAAACCATAGCGCGCCAGCGCATAAAGGGCGCTCGCGAGGGACAGACGCGACTTCCAGAACACCCGCACTTCCGCAGGGATTGTGATGATGAAGTCATAGTAGAATAAGCCTATCTGCGGTCAGCTTTCAGCGGGAGGTGTAGATGCACCCAGGCGTACATAGGCTCGAGAGCAATGTGTAAGTTCCTGCTACGACCGAAGGCTCTGCAGGAAACAACGCACTGTGTCATGTCAAACGTCAAGGGCTGTCAAATGAAACGATACCGTCTGTACTCACCTCCAGTCCACTGTTCCTACTGCGGGCATTTGTATGCAAGTCTTGACTTACAAGGTAGGACGGCTGAGCGTGGTCAGAGCTCTTGTCCCTAAGGCAGCAGTGTTTTGCTCGGCTCGAGCGCGTGTCGATAGTCGCTATATGTGAGAGATGCAGGACTGCGAACCTCGGAGGACGGAGAAAGAGAACCCCATCTCAAGGCGACGATGGCCGGTAGAATCACAATCACTGCGCTCGAGCGCTGCGCTGGTGGGCGCACTGGCAACGGCATTCTCGCACAATCTTGCCCTGCCAAGTAAACGTGGTGCAGCGGTGCGTAATACTGCCTCATCGTGGGGACAGAACAATTGCGAGTCTCGAACTGCGAGATCGTAGCATTCGACAAGAGTTGCCAAGCGGTAGGAGCGGTCATCCTGCGCTTCTAATCGTTGCGAAGTATCAAGACAGCTGAGCACATACAGACCTTCGAAAATGAGGCCTGAAGGAAGTGGATGAGATGGTGGTCATGAAGAGAACGAGCCTGTGTCTCCGACTCGACATCCTCGCGTGGCCACGTGGATGTGGCTATGTTACCTTGCCGGCCTGTCTGGATTGGGAAAGTCCTCTACTTCGACCTTGACGTCCACACCCATCACGCCCGCGGCCGTTCGCAAAAATGCGTCTCCAACATTTCTCGCCGCCTATACAAAACGAACTTGTACAAGCCTTGCAAGGCATCGGCATCAGGACAGACACAGACCTCCTGCTCTCTGAAGATCCTACGAGGATATTCACGCGCCTACAGCAAGACCTCGGCATCAGCCTCTTGGACTTCCGACGCGCTGTAGCGAAAGTCGCAGAACTGGCGTCTGCAACCCATACGTATGGGGATAGATTGTTAGAGCAAGAACTCAAACGACAAGAGGATGTCTTTGCAGATGAGTTAGAGCAAGAACTCAAACGACAAGAGGATGTCTTTGCAGATGACATGCGCGTCGGTGTCCCAACGCTCGACGCGTTACTGGGAGGGTTCAGTCCTCCCCGTGTCATAGAGGTCTCTGGAGATAAGGGATCAGGAAAAACAGTATGTAGCTATACATCCATTTTACATCAAACACTGAGATTTTGAACTGCAGGCGCTTGCGTTGCAGCTTGCGCTACGGCACCTAGCCCAAGTCAACGACTCGAGCGTCCTCTGGATCGATAGTAATGGGGAGTTTTCGCCGGAAAGAGTGTCCACGATGCTAGAAAAGATGGACGGCGAAGTATACTCCCTTCCTTGCGCCCTTACCAACCATGCCCGTCTGATCGCCATTCTCCAGGTTTCGCTCACCATTCTCGAACGGCTACAGGTCTCGCTAGCTTTCGACATTGAGGCCGTGCACGAAGTACTAGAAACCCTGCGCCAAACCCTGTCTTCCCGATCAAGCTACAGCGAACTGCCAACCACGCGCTGCATCGTGATTGACTCAATCACACCGCTGCTAGGATCTATGCTGAGCGCGACGTCTTCTCAAGGTGCGCTGAGGCAGCCCTGACGCGCGGCTTACCGCAGTTCGTGCAGCTGATCCCGCGCACCTTCGCTAGGACATGCAATTATGACGACGTTCATGCGCCAGCTTCGAGCATTCGCAGACTCGTTCTTGCTCACCATCTTGGTCAGCCACTCTCACTTTCACCTGGGGAATCGCTATTCGACCTCGTAACTCTCCATAGGTCATCAACTCCTCGACAAAGATCCTCCCGAGCAACCCAGAGACGGTGTTCGAGACGGCGCGAAAACCAGCGCTCGGCCCATCTTTCACATTCATGGCCGATGCAACGCTGTGGCTCTCTCAACGCCCCCCTGAAGAGCCTCAGGCCGACGACGACAGCACGATGCACGTAGCAGAGGTACTCCGTTCGAGGATATCGGTGCGTCCGGTAATTCGATTCGGTGGAACGGTACTGAAAGACCCCCGCAGCGCTCGAAGACGTGGGCGCAGTTCAAGATAAAGGATGGCCTCCTGTTCAGCGTATAGACGGGTGATCAAGATTACCCTAAGCTACCTGTTCGTCAGCGGATCGAGCGACCTTCAGCATTTATCCAAACATTGTCCATGAATTCAAAGACCACTACCGATCGTACAATACTATATGCTATAGATAGCCCCCTGACAGCCGCACGAGGCCTCAGTAGTACTCGCTGAACCTGCAACAGCAACGTCAGTCAGCCTATCTCACTACACAGTGAGATGTGGAAGAACACACCTGTCGGGCATGAGCACCGGTGCGAGCAGGCTCCACATGTACAGAATCATGCAGATCCAGCTCGACACGACACGCATCCACATCGCGACCTCGGACCGCCCGATGTACACGTCCTGCTCGTGGTTTGGGTTCGAGTCAGGCTTGACCACGTTCCTGCAGTGCATGCATGAGCGTGTATGCGCGGGGAGAAGATGATATGGGACGTACCAGTCGGTGAGCAGCATCGCGACGTACATGGCGCCAATCGCGAAAATGACGTGGAACCAGGCGTACTGTCGACCACGGAGATGTTAGAACTCAATGGTAAGGGCAGAGCGTGAGTGGGCGTACGTTGTAGCGAGTTCCAGAGCGCTCGTCGTCTCGGGAGTCGCCAGTGACTTCATCCTCGTCGTCATCCTCCATCTCCTCGTCTAGAGCTGAGGCGGGAATAGCACTGAGATCGAATAATTAGTTGATAGATACAAGAGCATATGCAACTCCGCTTACCCAGCTTCAACGGCCGCGAGGAGAGCCTGGTACCGCGGAGTCTCAGTCCTCCCAGGTTGCGTGCTGACAACTCCAAGCTCCGCATGATGCTCGCCCTCCGTAGGAAGCTGAATGAGACCCTTCCTATCCTTGCCCACGAGCGCCCGGCTCTGCGTCGCCGCCCGACTAGTCGAGTACGCGATTGCGAGGAACGTGAACGCAGCGCCGAGGAACAGAGTGGTGTACTGCGTGCCGGAGCCGCGGCGCAGCGGGTTGCACGTCTCGTGCGCGTGGTTCCCGATCGCAGACATGATGAGGTACGTGCAGTAGACGGCGACCATGCTCGACTGCGCGAGCCCCGAGCGCGGGTTGTACTCCTGCACCGTCGGGTGCACGCACATGATCGTCACGAGCACGCAGAGCGCGAGGTTGAACGAGATGAAGAAGCGGTTGAGTGTGCACCCGGACGAGGCGAAGAACGCGTAGAGCACGCCGGTGAGCGCGATCGTGGCGACGTACATGCCCGCTGTGGAGCCGATGAGGATCCATTGCCAGAGGTTCGAGTTGGACTGTTCCCAGTTCTCGAGGCAGGTTTCGGACCAGGAGTGCGCGAAGTCAACGAGGAGGACGAGACCGAGGAGGATGAAGATAGTAGCACCGATCATTGAGACGTAGTTGCCCCAGAACATGAAGAAGCCGTTAGGGATGAAGAAGGACACGACGACCAGAACAAGCCAGAAGAGGGCTTTGGGACCCCACCATCTACGACTTGTCAGTATGGTAGTATGAAAGGCGTCGATGTTCTCACCCGTTCTGAATGGCGGCGCGCTTGTCCTTGGTGTCTTTCACACCAATGAGGGATGCACTGAGGAAGAGGTGGAACAGCGCTAGTGCGAAGCAGATACGATGAACCTAGCTCCAAGTCAACACCAATGTCAGCGGAGAGGAGCGGTATACGCACTGCAAGGACCCCATAACACTTGTCGCCTTCACAGTCCATCTTCAGGTAGCCATGGCTCATCTTCTCGATTTGGTCAATGATTAGCGGCGACTTCATGAGCCATGCTAGCATCGAGTTCAAGCAGAAGATCATCTGCACACTGCAGTCAGTTGCAGCTCTGTGCTTTTCACGAGTATACGCACGGCGAAGCCGACACGAGTCGCAATGGAGGAGTTGCAGTTGCATGACTTGCAGAACATCGAGGCTGCACATCCTTAAATTCAGCCATACAGAGCCGTCTTGGAAGACCTTTAAGGCTTGCCTGCAGTCGAAGTGAAGCAGAAGGCGAGACCAGCGAGACATGAGGAGGCCACTGTGCCAAACACGCCAGCCAGTGGTAAAGAAAGGAGAACACCCATGATGGGCAAGGTGGTCGAGCAGGTCGAAGTGCAAGGAGAGTTTCTGGCCGTTGCAGCAGCGCCGCAGCCGAGGAAGCCAGAGGAACTCGCGCAGCCCTCTCGCTTACATAATCACACACTTATAGCGGTCCGACGGTCCGGCACTCCCGTCTGCCCTTGAAGAATACGCCCGACGAGTCCAGTTCAAGCGGCCACTTGCCACAGTCTTTCGATGCATGCATGAATTCAACAATACAGGAGTTCGAAGGCACATTACAGCCTGTGATGGTATGAACCTTCGTCACCGGAGATAAAAGACGCGATAATCTGAGCAGTCTCCTCATGCGCCTCGATCGTCGGAGTGCTGTAAGGTGTCTAACATCGATATCGCAACTATATGCTTTGAAGACAGAAACCACTCACTGTCCAACGCCCACCAGGGTCCGCACGGGAGACATGTCAAGGTAGCGGGCGATGTCGCTCGGCTTGACCAAGAGATCCTCGTCGCCACAGATCGCAAGCACCTTGGACTTCGCCTGAAGTGCCTCCCAATCTATCCTCGCTCCCCCCGCACCGATGTCCCGGTCTAACGCGCGGATCGCAGCGCCAAACGACACGCCGTCCTGGGCCAGCGTGATGGCACGGACCGTGGCCACCGCGAGCGGGCGGGAAGCCATGGTCGTCTTCCCAAGGACCAACGGGAGTGTGCTGCCCGTGACGGAGGGCGTCCCGGCCGTTTCGAGAGCCCCCGCCATGCGTAGGCGTATTTCAGATGTCTCGGGTGGAACTGGAGTGTGGGGAGGACCACCGAGAAAGATGACGCGAGTGACGCGTTGGACCGCAGGAGACGCCTAGAGGAGCCATCGGGTGGTAACGATGATCCCTGCGCTGTGCGCGACAATGACGAGAGGCCCCGTAGGCGCCTCGACGGAGACGAGCGCATCTAGGTCGACGAGCATGTGCGAAAGCGAAAGGGGGACGTTGCCGTAGTCGGGGAGAGGGGAAAGACCGGAACCGGCACGGTCGTAGGCGAGGATATGGGCATCCGGGAAGGACGACAAGAGTGGCTTGACGACGGGGTAGAAAACGGCAGAGCTGCTTCCTAGGCCGTGGATGCAAACGATGGTCTGTGTAGGTTGGGCCGCACCGGCGATTTGCCAACACTCTGTGTAGAGCTTGGCACCGGTCGAGACCTCGAGGAGTTTGGTGACGGCTTGGGGTTCGCCGGCAGACATGACAGGGTAAGCGTGAGGGATTTGCACGCGTCAATGGGTGGTAGTGCGTTGAGTAAGGCTGAGGAGCCCTGCTGAACATAAGGATATCTGCGAGGGTCCCTTCTTCCAATGATTCGATGTACCTCACCATAGCGCCGATGGTACGAGGGTACACCTACTGTGCTGTGCTTGTGAATAAGGGCGCTATGAACATGGTATCATCCACACGCTGGCCGGATGCCGTAGAGACGCGCAGTTGAATCAACTCGGAGTGATATCAATGCCGATGGCAATTGTGGCAAGGTCTGCTCATGTCAGGTTTATTGTGATGTTCAGCGTATCGACGGCTTGAAAATCATTACGTGCTCACCCATGTTCACCCTTATATGGGGAGTATTCCAAAGCAGTATGGGCCTGAATAATCAGCACTTCGCAATGGGTCTTACCATCGTTGACCGACGGGCGAACAGCGAACATGCGCGTGTGGGACAGTGCACGGAGGGGGGAGAATAACATAACCCACATACATAACGCGATATAATCCAATCGATCCAGTCCGCGACCCTGCAAAGCCCTCTATCTTCACCGCTTGGAGTCCCGCTTGAAGTAGTCACTGTTAACCACGGTGCCCTGGATCATGTCGAACACGGTCTCCCCGAAACCGAGGTATCGTTCCGTGACCGAGCGCAAAGTAGGCTCGGAGATCTTATCCGTCTCCACCCTGGGTGAAAAGTCGGTTCATCCGTTCAACAGCGACTCATGCTAGGTAGATAGACGTACGTGAATCCACTCGACCGTCTCACGCCCGCCAGAACCGTGGAGACCAATGCGGCGTCCACTGCGTAGTGAAACACCCTGCCGAACATGTTGTTCGCGCGTTATATGCTGGCGGAGTCGGCGGTTTGCGATATGGAGAGAATGGCAGTGGTGTGTAGTAGATGAAGGAGTGGTGGCTGCCGTGTCGATATCGTGTGCCTCAAGAATGTCTGCTGCCGATGCGACTCCGCATGCGGACGGCAAGGACTCTGAGGCGAAGGCGCGCGATAAGTGTCGCGCAACAGTTATTGTAATAATATATTGGCGCATAACCCCCTTATCGCCTTAAACCATCGGCTGCCAGGCCCGACCTCTCTCGCAGGCTGCAGCTTGCTCGCAGCTTTTCCTCATCGCCATGACCATGTCGCCTACCTGGATTCTTTTCCTTCGCTACTCGTGTGTGCAGGGTCTCGAAACCGATACTCACACCACTCTGTGTTGAGAAGGCTATCTGCGCAGCGTCTCGTCTCCTCAATTCCGAATGGCCAAGCTTCTGTCGCTGTGAAATCTTCCTACCGGCGAGGCTCTCGCCATCCGTGCTTTTGGTTCTCGAATGCCGCAGGCTGTATCTGATCCTGGCTCATCGGTGGGTATGCTACATATGCTTGGAGGACTGCAGACGACACGGGTGAGCGATTGGCCAAATTGGATCACCTGGTTCCACTTGAAGCCACCGTTATGTAACCGCGCGTGGACACACATTCGTGCCCCTCGCGAGCTGCCGTACAGGCGGCATACATGAGGACAGCCTTCGTGAACGGACCCGGCTCTCTATATATCTCACATTCTCTTGACTCTTGACACCAACTCGGTTACGACAACCATGGACTACTCTCAAGAAGTTTCGCATTCCACTCTACTCGTCGTGCGCGCGGACCAGCCATACAACGCTGAACCCACCGCCGCCGCCTTGGTCGAGTTCCCTATCACGCCCGAGGATCTCATCTACTGTCGCAACCACGGGCCTGTGCTCGAGTACGACGACGCAACCTTTGAAATTCGGGTGGAAAACCCTCAGGGGTCACGCACCTTCACCGCCAAGCAGCTACGCGAAATGTTTCCTCGCGCGGAAGTAGTTGCCGCTTTACAGGTAAGACATACAATGACATTCACGTGTCGGCTACAGCGCGAGATACGACTGATCGCCTTGTAGTGTGCAGGTAACCGACGGAAAGAGATGGACCAAGTCAAGAAGGTGCATGGCGTTCTCTGGGACGACGGCGTCATATGCAACGCGCGATGGGCGGGCGTCCGACTTCGCGACGTGCTGCAGGATGTCGGCGTAGACGTCCAAGCTCTGAACGGCTGGCACGTCTGCTTCACGTCGCACGTCACCCCCTGTCAAGACGACAAAGACTACGGGGCGTCCATCCCGCTCACGAAAGCGATGGAAGAGGACGTGCTCCTTGCGTACGATGTGAGTATTTTCTCGGAGTAAGTACAACGCCATGGACACGGCTGACGGTTCGTCAATCAGATGAACAACCAACCGCTCTCGCCAGACCACGGTTGGCCCTTGCGCGTCATCGTCCCCGGGTATCTCGGGGCTCGATGGGTGAAATGGGTGGACACGATCTCCCTCTCGCCAGACGAGTCACCCAACTTCTACCAGCAGCGCGATTACAAAGTCCTGCCTGCTGAGGTACGGGAACGACCGCGGCTCCCGTGTTGCGCCCGGCTAACTTCTGTATTATTCTCAGGTCGATACCAAGGAGAAAGCTGCGCCCGTGTGGTCGAAGTTTTCCTCATTGACCACGCTCCCGCTCAACTCCGTCGTCGGGTCAGTGACACGCAAAGGTCCCGACGCGATCCTGGTAAAGGGCTATGCAATCTGCCGCGGCGATGTCCAAGTTGCGAAGGTCGAAGTGACCATCGACGACGGCAAGACCTGGCACGAAGCCCGCATCACCTACCAGGAGGGCAGGTGGAGCTGGACGCTCTGGGAGGCCCTCCTCGAGCACGTCCCCGAGTCGGGCGTCGTGTACAGTCGGGCCTCCGACGAGCACGGGGACGTGCAAGCGCGGGAAGGACAGTGGAACATGCGTGGGGTTGCGTACAACCCGTGGGGCATGGGCAAGTGGTGAATTCCGAATTGCTGCTGCGGGGCTTACGTCTGGCTCCCTCCTACATCCGATATGTCTTCCTGCTTTCCCTTGCTGAGCTCTTTTCAATTCGGAATAGAATATCTTTGGGCTATAGATGCACACGCAGGACAGCTGGCGTTCCGTCTCCGACAGTGGCGTACGTACATGTGCGGTCTTTGTCATTCCATTCATGTACGTTCAGGGAAACCGAGGTGAGAGAGCCCTCTTATGCCCAGTGTTGCGTGAGTTCAGCTGACCATTCGTCGTTCAGACAGTCTGCACGCCCGACGCTTCTTCGGGGGAAGGGCATGTTTCATATGGTCTCGAATGCCCTGGACAGATGGAATTCGGAATGGTGCCCAGCGCTTATGTCTCAAGAAGACGAGGGAGATGCTTCTATAACTTTGAGTTCGCCTTCACGGACATCCCTCGCTGGAAGCGTGTGCTATTGGCGATAAGACGGCGTTGAAGCTAGGAGTACACCCTTCTTGCTCTCAATGTGACGTCATTAGGTAAGCCCATTTACATATATGTATTCTCGGAAAGCTACTTAGACTTCTAAGGAGAGCAAATATTAGGTCAAGGAAAGGTTGGAAACGATCACCGTGCTAGCTAGGGCCTATTGACAACGCATATCAATAATTTAGGATGGCCAGGCAAAGGTGACGATGCCCACATATTCGGTCACCCGGTTAGTTGTCTGCGCGCACAAAAAGTAACCACTGAATAAGAATGCAGAGTGTTCAATCAGCTTGCCTACGGATGAGAAGCATTGTCAGCCAATGACGACATTTGTCTCAGCTATAAAGCATGGTGAGTGCCGTCACGCAGAGACTAGTATGCGCAGCGCGCAGGCTAACCGCGAAGTTGGACAAGATATGTATGCAAAGTATCGGAGAATGAGGCATCCCATGGCGTCAGAAACCCAGGCCCAACAACATCCTTTCGTCGGGTATCGATACCAGGCACAACACCGGAGGCCTGAGGGCGAGGTCTTTCGGAGGCAAAGTATGTACTACATTCTAGGGCAGCGGAAGAGCGAATGTGCCTGAAAGCCGAGGTTCCTGCGAGCGTCGCAAGATCTACGGCAAGTACGCAAGTGGCCGGGGGTGTGTATTGGACGCTTCCGCGTACACCCCTTGAAGACATTCGGACGCTCGTGAACTCTACTGGTGACCTTTGGTAAGTCCCCATCGCCTGCCTGCGTAAATTCCGTCTCATGTATGTAGCGCAATGCATAATGCATACGCTCGTCCTGTCGTCAGCATTTCAAGTGGAGCCTCAAGAGAGAGCGTACACAACACAACATCCGACCGTCTTGCCCTGTGCCACCCCAATAATGTGGCGAGCTTCCGCGCTCGGAGAGCAGCCTCCTCCCGCTCTGTGCGAGTGCCTGTGTACCTGCATTCCGATGATCTTCTTTGGTGCGGCATCGGCATGGACGTCTCGGCAGCGCTGGCATATAAGCACATAGAACGCACGCCGGAGACGAAGGAGCTAGACCGTCCTGCGTATCCGACTCGCTGCAAAGATGGCGCCCTACTGGCTTACGTCGGCCATCTCTACCTGGTTCTTGAGCACGCTTCAAGCCGCCGCGTTCGACAACTCGCGGTCTGACAACGTACGTGCTCTCGCAGATAGACTGCGATCGCTTTCCCTATCTGACCAACGCTTCGTGTCCGTCCGCAGCTCGCTGTGTGAGGTGCTCGTTTAGACGTAGACATCAGTTCCTTTAACAACTAGCATCTAGGTACTGGGGTCAGAACTCCTATGGTGCAACTCACCTCAGCGATACTGCGAATTGGCAGCAACAAATCGGATTCTACTGTCAAGTGAGTCAGACGCTACCGCAGCTCCTAACGGACGTTCACTGATCATAACTGTCACTCCTACAGGACGACAGTATCGATGCGATCCCTATCGCATTTTTGAACGTCTTTTCTGACACGGGCGGATATCCCAGCATCAACATCGCCAACGTACGCCGCCTTTCTCAACTTTGAGCTTACATCCTACCTCTACTGACATGCTCGCGCCCAACCCAGATCTGCAACGTTGACGACGACGGCGTCTTCACTGGGACGTCCCTCGCGAAGTGCTCGTTCCTTGCGTCCCAGATCGAGTTCTGCCAGTCGCGCGGCAAGATCGTGACGCTGTCGCTCGGCGGGGCAACGGGCGCGGCCAGCTTCTCGTCCGCAGCGCAGGCGCAAGCGTTCGGCGACACGATCTGGAACCTCTTTCTCGGGGGGACGAGCAACATTCGCCCGTTCGGTGACGCCGTGCTGGATGGGTATGTGGTCACAATCGCGCAGTAACGCTCGTGCTCACCGCGCGGTACAGCATCGACCTCGATATCGAGGGCGGCTCGACTGTCTACTTCGATTCTTTCATCAACCGTATCCGGGCGCTCGCTAGCGGTGCTAGCAAGCAGTACTATGTTACTGCTGCCCCGCAGTGCCCGTACCCGGATGCGTATCTCGGCACGTAAGTCATCTCTGCTCTACGGATAGTTAGCGTATGCTGATCCGGATGTAGGGTTTTGAACGCGGTCGCCTTCGACGCCGTCTACGTGCAGTTCTGTGAGCCCACCGTGATCTGACTCACGCAGGATGGGTTGCTCACTTTGCCGTCAGACAACAACTGGTGCGGCCTGCAGAACTATGACAACATCTGGGCGTGGGATTTCGCCTCATGGTGGGTGCCGTCGTCTCCAGATGTCCACAATTCACTAAAGTATGTGTTAGGGATACGTGGGCGAAGACAGTGGCGGTGAACTCGAACATGAAGGTCTACATCGGAGCTCCCGCCTCTTCGACCGCTGCGGGCGCGGGGTACGTCGATGCCGCGACCCTCGCGAACATCGCACTGGAGACCCGCAGCCAGTACTCGTCGTTCGGCGGGGTCATGCTCTGGGATGCCTCGCAGGCATACGGTGTGTTAAAGACGTCCCTGTTAGTTACGCATCACTGACTTGCGATGATACACGTCTAGCGAACAACCGCTTCGACACGCAGATCAAGAACGCAATCCGCATCAGTACTGGAGGCTCCAGCTCGAGCAGCTCGTCGTCCTCCACACGCGCGTCGACTTCGAGCTCGCCTGCCTCGCCTTCGAGCTCGCGGGCCTCGAGCACGTCCGCGTCGACCACAAGCTCTCGCGTCTCGACCACGTCTGCGCCGTCCACGCGCTCCTCGTCTTCAAGCACGTCGCGGAGCTCCTCAAGTTCCACTCGGGCATCTTCTACCACATCCCGGTCGTCTACGTCTCAAAGCTCCACTAGCACCCGGGCTTCTTCCACGAGCACCAGAGCATCCACGAGCACCTTGCAGTCCTCGTCCACATCCCGTGCGACCAGCACCTCTCGCACGTCTTCTTCTCCCGCATCACGCAGCAGCTCTACGACTTCGTCTGCTGCGCCCACGGCCACCGGCGGCGCGTGCTCGGGTGTTGACGCCTGGCAGACTGCCATCGCCGTACGTGCCCCACCTCCCCCCAGAGCGACCGCGCGCATATGCTAATCAGACGTCACTGCAGTACGTGGGCGGCAACCAGGTCTCGTACAAGTGAGTGCACAGTGCTCCGCCGGTCTTGTGCCCGCCTCTCACGCTCGCTTGCGATCCCAGCGGCCACCTGTGGACGGCGAAATGGTGGAGCTACAACGACGTTCCTGGAGGTGCGTTCTCGACCGCGCCGCGCGTTCCTGTCGTATAATTGGCTCACCCCGCACCCCCGCAGGCCCTGCGGGCGTCTGGACGGACGATGGTCCCTGCTGAATTTAATCGTATCCGTCGAGCCGGGTGCCTCGGACCCGGAGCAACCGTCAAGGCCTCGACTCGGATGCCAGACAACCTGTTGTGCTGATGAACGTTCACTCTGAATTGTTGATCGCAGGTGAAAGTGTTGTGCGGTACATATGGGCGCCGACTTCTGTAGAATGAATACTCCACGCCTCATGGCATGGGCATAGATCTTTCAGGGGGCGGCGCGGCGGCGGACGTTTGTTTTCGCATCTGCAACAAGCTCCGTCCCCGTCTCGGCTGAGGAAACTTTTCTGAGGCGCGGCGTGCGGAACGGCCGGGGAGAGCTGAAGCGGCGCTGTCCGTGGCAGCAGTGCCGAGTGTCAGAAGCGCTGTAGGCGCCTAAATTCGAGGCAGCACCTTCCTACTTGACGACGACAAGCTCAGATCCCGTTCTGGTGCTGAACAGTGTTTAGCTCTTGTCAGCGGACTGGCCAGCTGATCCTTGCCATTTCCATCGTGCTGCGACCTGCGAAGGCGGGAGTGCACATGCACGACATGGCACCGAGGTGATAACAGCATGCACTGCATTCTTGGACAACGTTTTTCTGCCACGGCGACGATATCCTCGACCGGCCTCGGTTCGTTTCCGCGCGTCCAGTCCCCACAGCTCTACGCACAGGCCGGCCACTCACCGCCCCGTCTCTCAGGAGGCAGAGACGAGATGAATCCCGCCCCGCAAAGATGCTCTACATATCTCCCAGCGCGTGCGTGTCGCGATGGAACGGCACGCCGGCGACTAATCCTAGACCTCGGAACCCCATGTGCCCGACTTCTGACCTCTTCTGACCTTCCGAAATCTTAGCCGCGCAGCACAATCGAGTCGCATGCCGTGCGTATCTGCACCCCGGGCCTCCGAGCTGCTTCTCTTGATCCCGCGGGGTGCACCTTCGCGATATCGTGTGCAGCCTCGATGGATGTGATCGCTCACGGCATTGTCTCGTACCCGCCTCCAACACGAGTTTATACACCCATATGTTCAAAGCCCGCCGCGCCGCATGGTGCGCATCTTCGCATACCCTCTTCTAAACCCTCGCTCGCTCGATATGGCTGCCTATCACCCGATATAGGGCTGTCACCGAATATGCCGAACATACGACGACGCAGGCAGATGGCGTTCTATCAACCAGAGGCCGCCCCGCCATGCGGATCCATCCGGTCACCAGTGGCAAGGTTCTCGGCGGCACGGAGAGAGCTTCATGGCCTTCGCCGCGCGCGTTCCTGCGTGTTGGCATTATGCGGCGCTCTCCCGGTGCGGGACGCATCAGGCCGTCTGGCGCGAGGCGCAAGATAAAAGGCCCCGTACTTTTTTGCGGAGGCCCAGAGCTCGCCTCCCCAACCGTCCTCGATCAACTTCAAGCAGTCGAAGATGGCGTCCTTCTGGCTTACCTCGGTCCTCTCCGCCCTCTCCCTCGGCGCCCTCCATGTCTCCGCGTTCGACAACTCGAGGTCTGACAACGTACGTCCGGCGTTTCGTCCTGCATGTGACTTCATCTTACTGACTATCATCACAGCTTGCAGTGTGCGTGTTGCATGATTAGATCGTGTAGGCACATGTCGCTTACACCGATCAACCTCCTTCAGGTACTGGGGCCAGAACTCGTATGGCGCTACACACAGCGACACAGCGAACTTCCAGAAGAGCATTGCAACGTACTGTCAGGTAACACACATGCTACTCACACCAAACCTTACTACATGTACTCATGCACCGCCTTTCAGGACGATTCGATCGACGCGTTGCCCATTGCGTTCCTGAACGTATTCTTCGGTGCCGGCAATGAACCTTCCATCGACCTTTCCAACGTCAGTGCATTTACCTCGCCATCACGGGATTCTTTACCGACGCAGTGTTTGTGCAGATCTGCAGCAGCGTCGACGACCCGGTCTTCCCGGGCACGAGCATGCCCGACTGCAGCTTCCTCGCGTCCGACATCCAGTTCTGCCAGTCCAAGGGGAAGATCGTCACGATCTCCCTCGGCGGCGCGACAGGCGCTGCGAGCTTCACCTCCGACGAGCAGGCTGCGGCCTTCGGTGACACCATCTGGAACACCTTCCTCGGTGGCTCTGGAGCGATCCGTCCGTTTGGCGGTGCAGTCCTCGACGGGTGTGTACTATCTGGATACCCAGTTGCGAAGAGACCACACTGAACATATCTCAGTATCGACCTCGATATCGAGGGTGGTGGAACGACGCACTTTGCTGCGTTCGTGAACCAGATCAGGTCTCATGCTGCCGGGGCCAGCAAACAGTACTATGTCACTGCGGCGCCACAGTGTCCTTTCCCTGATGCCTTCCTCGGCACGTAAGTCGTATTTGCTTTCAGGAAGCCCAGATACCAGTTCTGATGTGTCTTGGTTGAAGCGTCTTGAACGCAGTCGCGTTCGATGCGGTCTACGTCCAGTTCTGTAAGCCGCCCGCCTGCAGTCACAAATGCTCTCTCTAACACCTACACAGACAATAACTTCTGCGGCCTGACCAACTTCAACAACCCCAACGCCTGGGACTTCGACCAATGGTATAACACTCCCCTTGCATCCTGGGCAATCCTGCTCAGACTTCTTCCAGGGACACTTGGGCGAAGAACACCGCCGTGAACAAGAACGTCAAGATCTACATCGGCGCCCCCGCCTCGCCCTCGGCCGCCGGCTCAGGCTACGTCGACGCGACGACGCTCGGGAACATCGCGATAACGACGCGCAGCCAATTCCCGTCTTTCGGCGGTGTCATGCTCTGGGACGCCTCGCAGGCCTTCGGTGCGTCCCTACGCCACTGGGTCTGCTTCCATACGAGCCTCTCTAACTGGTCCACTTCTTCTTCACTGTAGAGAACGACCGGTACGACGCTGCGATCAAGAACTTGATCAGACAGGGTTCGGGAGGCGGCTCGACCTCTGTCCCGGTCACGGTTTCGACCAGCTCCGTCCCGACCGCGCCGACTAGCGCGCCCCCGACCACGACCGCACACAGCACGACAGCAGTACCGACCACGACCGCCCAGTCCGGCAGCTGCGCCGGCGTCGCCGCCTGGGTCAGCAACGTCGCCGTAAGTCCCCCTCCCCCATATCCACCCCCTTCGACGCTGACGCGCGTGCGCGCAGTACGAGGGCGGAGATACCGTGATCTTCAACGGACACCTCTGGACGGCGAAGTGGTGGAGCTTCGGAGACACCCCCGGAGGTAACGCGGTTCTCCCTGCGTCGCGGCCGAGAAGCTTAGCTTACTGCGTGCTCACCGCAGGTGTCGCGGGCGACTGGACGGACGGCGGCGCGTGCACGAGCTTCGCCGCGGCGGTGCCGACCGCGCACGTCGCGGCTGCGCCGGCCACGGTAGCGAGCGTGCCGACCGCCAGTGCGTAGACGGGTCGTCCGAGAGGGGAAGGAAGAGAAGAGAATATGTGTGTATCCTTATTGGAGACTGGAGACGACGCGTCGGTCTTGGTATTTATACATCAGTCGATGCTGGCTATGTATACGGGGTCTGTCCCGCCGACTGCTTATGTGCTCCGCTGTATACGACCTTACGAACTGCAATTGTACTCACATGCGCATGCATGATTATCATCCACTGTGGCCCTTGCTGCGACCGAACCGCGAGTATACCTGTTAACTCCTACCATAATCAACGGCCGCGTAGAAAAGGGGTATCTCATTCCATCCTTCCCCTCAGCCAGCTCAGCAGCCCCTTCGTACCTTCCCTCTCCCACACGCGCCTCGCGGGTATACGGAATCTGCACACACTGATGAGCTTCCCGTCCCGCACAAGCAAATTGAAACGGCACTTACACATTGCCGTCCACCAAGAACACGTCCAGCGGGAGCATCCCCAACTCCGGAGGTAGCTTCCCGATCTCGTTGTCCCGCAAGTCGAGCTCCTCGAGCTTCCACTCCGGAACCTCCCTATTCCCCCTAAACCGCTCCGCGATCTCCTGGAACCCATCCAGCTCCCCAAGGCGGTTCCCGCGCAGGCGGAGATGGCGCAGGCCCTTGCGTGTCACCGACCCGTCCTCAGCAGGCGTATCAGCAAGGATCAGCGCAGAAAGCGCGTCCTTCCCGAGAGCGGCAGACGTAAGCGCGTTGTACGACAGGTCGAGCGTGCGCACACTAGGGAAGAGCTTCGCGAGGAGCGGCAGGAGGGGCTCGTTTGTACGCTGCCCAAAGTCGTCTGCGCCGTCCTCCCCAGCCCGAGAGACAGGCACGTTGTCGGGGAGGTTGCAGTTCTCGAGGCTCAGTTCCTCCAGCCACGGGAGGCAGAGACCCGCCTCGGCAGCGGCGGGGAGGCTGAATGAGGGATCGTTCCGCCGGCCTGTGAGGATGAGCACTTTGAGGGTCTGCGCGAGGGGCTGTGCGGCGATGGCGCTGAGTGGGAGCGTAGGGGTTGGGATTGCGAGTGCGAGCTCTGACACGGAGGTCGAGAGCTTGCCCCACGCGGGGGAGGCGAGTGAGAACGAACGGGCGTGGGCGGCTTTGGATGGTGGGGCGGAGGAGGGAAGGGTAAGCGTTTGGTTTGGCGCGGAGTAGTACTGCGGGCTGGCGAGGGCGGAGGCGACAGTGCTGGGGGTATGTGCGGGAGCGGGACTGCCGGTGGGGGAGGGAGTCTTAGGCGCGGCTGGGTTCGAAGGTGCACCTTTAGATGCGGCAGCAGCTACTGCCTCTGCCCGCGCTCGCCTGCGTGCCCCTACACTCAGGAGACCTTGCTCGGCATCGATCTCCCATTGCTCCTTCTGGACCACGACGGGTTTCTTTTGAGAGGGGAAGTGAGCTGTGGACTGTTGACTCGCATTTGACGATGCAGCCGAGGATTGAGCGTTGGCAGTCGCCTGCGCGCGCATACGCCGCTTGGCCCCCTCGGTCAGCAGCCCTTGCTCTGCCTCGATCTCCCATGGTTCCTTGGTCGCCTCCGTTGTTTTCACATTCGACTGCGCAGGTCCTAGGCTCCAGGTATCAGCGGGACCAGCAGCGCCGCGGCGGCGGACAGCTGCGCGACGCTCAGCCTCAATCTCCCAAGACTCCTTCACCACCCTCTTCCCCAGAATCACACGTAAGACGCCGTCGGGTGGTTCTTGGTTCGTGAGGTCAAACTGCAGAGTCTGCTTAACGACGTTCGGAGTGAACGTCGCCTCTATAGCAGGGAGGGTAACGTGCGTCTCTTCCAGGTCCAGAACCTTCAGTGCCGGGAACAGGGTGCCAGAGCATGTCGCAAAGACGGAGACTGGGAAGCTTTCGTCGCCGATGTCGGCACGCTGCATGTGGAGTTCCTTGAGCCGCGCTAGCCGCCCCAAAGAACGCATCAGGGAATCGATCCTGCCCAGAGGGTTCTCCGAGAGGTCGAGTTTCGACAGCAGTGCAGGGAATCCAGAGCCATCCGAATCGTGGTCGATGGAGACGGCGGACAAATGGTTGTGGGACACCTCTAGCGTAGTGAGGCGTGGTAGGGGCTCGGTAGCGCGGCTGATGCTCGTTGCGAAAAAGTCCCCGCGGGTGTCTCGCGTTCGGCCCAGAGGGTTCGCGCCCTCCTTGGCAAAGGGCGCGCTGAACGGAAGCGCAGTGAGAGCATTGTGCGAGAGATTGAGATGGGTGATGTTCGGGAGGGTCCAGAAGTTGGTAGGGAGGGAGGTGAGCTCGTTCTGGGATAGATCAACGTTCGTGAGCGCGGTCAGATCCGCAAAGCTGTCTGGGAGCGTTGTCAACTTGTTATTATGCAGCTGAATGATGGACAGTAAGCATATGCATAGACTGCGGAATTATGACCGAACCTACATCGACAACCTTCAGTGAGCCGAACATAGAGAGTTCTGGCTGCAGCTCCAGAATCTCATTTGACCACGCCTTGAGTATCTCTAAGTCTTGAGCTTCGTACCACGACGGAGCATGCTCGCTACCCTTCCTCTTCACTCCTAGAAAGTCGGTAGAGGAAGCGGTGGTGATGGGTGGCTCGACCGGTACCGACTTCAGAGGCTCCGGCTTGATGCCCAGATGAATTTCGAAGAGCGCGGATGGTAGGCAGGGCAGATCGCGAGATGACAGGTTGATGGCGCCTTGTAAGAAAGTCCTTGAATGATAGGTATCGCGCGTCGGCTACAGCGAATATGAAGCTGGAGTGCAGACATGTCAAGCAGGAATTAAAGCAGGCGCATATAGCCACTTCGGAGAGATCAAATCGACAAGGGTGTTTGTTTGATAGCACACAAATGTTCCACCGTCCGAGCAGTTCAGCCACAGACCATCATTCGGATGTCATATTCTTTTCCATGTAGGGTTACACGACGCTGCTTGACATGCCTGTACGACAGGTATAAGAACACTCACCGGAACTGCGCCCGCGCTCAATGGTCTCTTTGATAGACCATCTCCCGAGATCGACGTCCACTACAGACGGCTGGTTGAATGTATGCGGTGAGGCGTCCTCCAAGCCCGCGAACTCCCCACTCGCGGACGCAACTATCGTTGGTTTCGCTACGACTTTCTTAACCTCCGCGCGCTTCAGCGCGATCTGCTCGCGGATGCTCAATTGCGGCAGGGGAGGTGTTGGGGGTACATCTTCGTCCGGAGGCAATGGTGTCGTTCTGCGAGCTGGAGATTTTGTAGGTGATCGAGGAGGTTTGAGATTCTTCAAACTAGGCTTCGAGCGCAACGTCGTCTGCGGACGCGGACTGGGAACGGGTGCAGCAGACTGTGTTCGTACACGAGGCTTGGCGAGCGGTGTCGGCGTAGCTCGGGCGGATGGAGAGGGTGAGGAAGGTTTCGTGAAAGGAGACTTGGCGCCAGAGCGCGAGGATGGCTGAGGAAGACGAGACATGACCACGTCGAAAGCGTTCGGGGTTCGAGGAGCAGGTCACTTCCAGTCCAAGTCGCGTAGGCGCTCATGAGCGCGTTCGGCGCGTGCGGGCGAGACGACCCCGGATGTGCGCTCCCGGGGTCCCGCAGCGCCACGTGGATTACTGAGCGCCCATTCTGGGCGAAAATCCGACTGCCCGCGAGACCCACCGTAACGCTCCCGCACGGACTTCAAGACAGATCTCAAGGCCCCGCCGCCCCTTCAAGCCAATGTGAGTGTTCAGAACCGTTCATACGACCCGTCGCGATAGTTCGGAGGAACGTTGGAGGGAAACGGAGGAGGGGATGAGGTTGGATGGACGCGAGAGGAGACGGATGACGGAACTTTGGCCTGGGGACCTCTGGTCAGACGAAGAGCTAACGACCTGCACTACAGCCGGAGAAAGTGCGACAGTCGTCTCGCAGTGAGTAACTCCCCTTGTATCGCTGAACCTATAGTCTGAACGCCTGTGTTCGCGCAGCTTCCTACCACAACACCCCGTCCGCCCAGCATGATCATTTCGAAGCCCCACAGGCGCATCATCTACGAGTCCCTCTTCAAGGGTCTGTACTCTCCGCCTCCTGCGTATACGCTCGTGTTTTGAACTGGAACTTGCTGGGATTTACAGAGGGCGTGTTGGTCGCCAAGAAGGACTACAATGCCCCCAAGCACGAGGAGCTCGATGTGCCTAACCTGGAGGTCATCAAGGCCATGCAGAGCCTTACTTCCAAGGGCCTCGTGAAGACCCAGTTCTCCTGGCAGTGGTACTACTACGTCCTCACTCCCGAGGGTGTTGACTTCCTGCGCGAGTGGTGCGTTTCTCGAGTCTCTGTATCTGTCCTTGTTCGTGAGCACCCCTAATATCTTCCCCAGGCTCAACCTCCCCAGCGAGATTGTCCCCTCCACGCACAAAAAGGCGGTCCGTCCCCCCCGCCCTGCGCAGGTCCGTGGTCCCGGTGGCGATGGCGCCTACCGTGCGCCCCGCGGCGACCGCGACGACTACAGGAAGAAGGAGGGTGCCCCCGGAGAGTTCAGGCCACAATTCGCCGGTGTCGGCCGTGGTGCGCCCCGGGAGTAGACGCACTCTGTCGACGATCACTAGGAGCAGCCGCCGCCAGTCCCGGGCGTATCTTTTTTCGCCATGTCGGTCACAAACAAGAGGGTACGCGTCGGAGGGCAGGTCCGGGTTGGCTGTTGGCTGGCGCCGTGGGCGGCGGTTCGGCTGGCTGCTTGCTATGTAGGAGAGGTGTTATGATATCGCTGCCATAGGTCGCAAAATTGTAGTATGAGCATTCCATGCCCTCGCTTATGCTATGTTTACGCTGCTCTCGCCCTCACTTCCGGCCCTATGCTTGACACGCGTGCCAAGTTAAAGTAATTGGCTCGGTCATGAACAAAGTTGCCGCCGGGTGGCGTGTTAGAGACAAGATGCGGGCGTCTATTGTGGTTTCGAACGTCATCACCATCCGCATCCCAGGATCATACTTGCTCTATCCGCAGTCGCCTAGTTCCCAGCAAGCGTCGTTGCAAGCACATGGTGCGCTCTCGCTAAACGGGCAGACATATACGAGCATACACCCAGGTGCGTGTACCCGCAAGGCAGCGGCGGGGCCAACAACGTCGACAAGTGCACCAATGCTCGTTCCTTCGCCACACAGACTCGTCGTACTCCACACACAGTACCTTTCCAAACCACTTACATGTCGGTGAGTCGAATCCAACGGCCCATGGTACATATAGCTAGTCCTAACATACGCTCCATGGTACGCAGACGTCCATTTGAAAGTTTTCGTTCAAGAATGCCTCCAAGAGCGGTCCCACCGCCTCGAAATATGCAAAACAATGCTCAACGCGACCCCACAGCGCCCCCACGCGCTCCCTTCAGCTTCTCCTCCTCATTTCTCACGATGGGCACGCTCATCGCCTCTTTCGTGGTGCTCTGTACGTTCGCGTCCTACGCGAGCACCGAATTTGCGCTCGTCTCTGCACAGCCAGTCTACGCACTTTACCCCTCTTTCTTCGCCGCGATGGTCGTGGGAGGCGCCTGCGCCTGCATATGCTACTGGCCGACGATGCTCGCGGTGCTCTGCTTCCAGATACTCTTCGACACCGACATCCGCAAGGGCGGGACCCCGCCACCGGGCGCCCAGCCCGCACAGCCTCCCCATTACGGTGAATTCGTGATGTCGCTGTTCCACGACGCCGCGAACACAATTAAGCTCGCGCTCGTCATCGCGCCCGTATATGCTATGACGTTGGGCAGCTCAAGCGAGGCGCATGTCGGAAGTAGGGCGCTCGAAGCTGCAGCGGGCGGGCAACTCGCCGCCGCAATCATGACCATGAGGATTATGGTGGTGGGGATGCGGGAGATATGGGGCCTAGTGCCATTGGTCGTCTTCAGGCTGGATCGGGATGCGGGGACATAGCGGCTTGGGAGTTTTTGGAGGCGTTCTGGGACAAACGAGGTACGACCGTGTGTATCATCTCTGTGCGGCGGGTCGGGCCCTTCTACTGTTGCAATGCTTCTGCTGACTACCATCTTGTCATTGCAGTCAGCACGCCGAGCTCACCGCTACCCATGCTTTTTTTCAACCTCCCCTGAGCTCACCTGAGCTGCTGCGCGCGGGATGCCATTGCCTGACAACAGATCTTCGAATTCTATCCACACGCCCTTTTCGCTTCCCATCTGGTATACTTCGCGGAAGGGTTCACCCGCACCCCTGAATTCGGTGAGAACTGCCCACCATGTGTATCGTACTCTATTCTCTAGTCTCCATATTGTATCCTAGGTGCTCACTCGTAGGGCGTACCCTAACTCCGGATTGGGTCGAGTTCCCTCAAGATTGACTTTGTGCGCCATCGACGTGTATCAACTTCCAGATCGCCAATATCGTGGTCACTAGTCGGGTATATACCCCACTTCATTGTTGACGACAGGCCCGATCAGTTCCCCTGACGGCGCGCCCAACGGACAGCATCTGACATCTGCTGCAATCGACCAGTATTCCATATTGTGGTTTCTCTTTTGCGCTTCTGTTGAGGCTCCGTGTACTTAGAAAACGACGCAGAGACATCTGATGTAGAGGCTGAAAATATAGATGTCGCAGGAGCACAGCATACAAGCATACAAGCATGCTAGGATGAAACCCCCAAAGTCGAAGAGCTATGTACCACCGCGGTCGTACCGGTGAAATGCAGGCGCCTGCAACCCATCACGCATCATACCAACACCGCATCTGCATAGCCCATCCTTCGTCCACACCTGCCACAGGTGGAGAATTGAGCTGGGCCATCCCGACATATCAATTGATGCTGTTGGTATCACGCCCGATTTGGCCACCCGCGACATCATACCAGCATGTCCTTCAGGTCCCCCGCCCCCGAGCCCCCTCCCGCAGACGCGTGTCGTCTTCTCACCCCCATCTCCCTTCGTCTTCCCTCCCCGCAGCCTGCGGCAGCGCACGGCTCGCTCGCCTTTCTTCGTTCACCCTTCGTTCTTTACCTCCCGGCTGGTCTGGTTCTGGAGCTTGCTCGAGTATCCCGTCGCTTTTCACGTCTTTGAGTTGTCTTTGTCTCGCCTGGTGTAGGAGTAAATGCCGGCGATGTATCTCACACGTACGTCCTGCGCGCAACCGGTCTGCGGGGCATTATGCTTACGCTGTTCTTTGACTGCGTCATGCAGGGAGCCAGTCGGACATCTCCCAAGATCAGGAACATGTCGAGCTGAAGATCTTCCTCGCCTTCCAATTCACCGGCGCCATCGGTCTTCTCGCGGTGCTCGTTACCGCGCTGTTTGCACCCAAGGTGTACAGGCACTTCACGTGGCTAAATTTCTGCATTACCTGGTTGATCTACTGCATATCGTACACGCTGCTGTGAGTCGCGCTCAATTCTCGAGTGTGGAGGACAGCGCTCATACGTGTTCCGATCGTGTAGCGCTTTCAGTGGGCAGCAGACGAGGGCAGCAGCGCCCGATTTCCCGCTATGCCTCACGCAGGCGTGCTTGATCTATGCAGCACCCGTACTGTGGGTTTGCTCTGCGTACTGTTCCTTGGGAAGTGCTAACGCATATGCTAGTGTCTCGATGTCCACCTTTTCGCTTGTGCTGCAGCTGTACTTTACGCTCCGCAACGCACTGCGGCCTCCAAAGCAAGCTACTCAGGGCAACTACCTGCGCAACGCCTTCGTGAGTCTTCTCAATATGACCGTCGACGCGCACAATGTGCTCAAAGTCGGACTCTAGCTGCTGCTCGCACCATACATTGCGTGGCTCGGGTTCGCCGTCGCGATCCTCGTGGTAAGTGAACACAGGACATTGCACCGGAGCCTTCGCTCACCCCGCATCTAGGTCGGAACCAAGAACCCCCACGCTGTTCAGCGCGCGGGCGGCCTGGTGTACTGCACGATCAAGACCGCACCTCCGTGAGTCGGATGTCCGGATGCGTCTCGGTCCCAGAAGCTGATGCTGTTCGTCCGCAGAGGAAACGTCACAGCTATATGCGTCGCCGTCATCCTGTTGGTCATGGTCGGGCTCGACAGTGCGTACATCCCTCGTTCACACGCAGAACATTGCTAACACTGGGATTCCACAGTCTACATCGGTACCGTACTGTACAGGAACTGGCGCGCACTGCGCGGGTCCGATCACCCCGGGGCGATCCCGTTCTCGCTCATCGTCCGCGTTTCGATCTTCAGCTTCTTCTGCATCGTGGGCATAGGGTACGTCACTTGCCAAACATAGACCAGATCTTGCGGACGGGCGATGCTGACGGTGTGCTGTGCACTGTGCAGCTGCGCGTTCGTGTTCCTGTCGAACGTTTCGTTCTTTGCTGGCAATACTATCATTGCTCTCAGTACGTCCCCTGCGCTTCGTGATACTGTTAACCTTGCCGCTAATGCTATCCACAGTGCCTCTGATCGCCTTCCTCGTGTTCGGCACACAGCGGGTAAGCGGATCTTACATCGGACCTTCTCCCAGATGAGCCGGAATCTAACCTCCGACCCCTGTAGGACATTATTAACGTCTGGATGTTCTGGCGGCGGTGAGGACGCCCGCGGTCCTCGCTTTCAATGGACGTTCTCGCACTCCTTTCAACTTCTCCCTTCTTCGCGCGTGTTGTGTTAAATAGTTATATTTAAGGCGCGGTGTACTGCTGGAGGTATCCATGGTGTACTTATAGGCTTGCGACCCTCTGCGATTGATTCGGGAGGGGCCGTAGGTAGCGGACTCACAATGACATGGGATGACAAAAACGTTTCTGGATGCGCGTGCGAGGGGCGACTTGTAGGTTCGAGTTTGCTCACGATACCGGTCTTCTTGGAGGTACGCCGTTCTTTTCACGCATATCCGGATTTCCTGCTGAGCGTATTTGCAAACTTGTAGTAGTTTCATAGACAAACCACAAGTGACGCGGGGCATGAGTCATGCATTTGAAGCATCGCGCTATACACGAGGAGCATGGCCGGTATTTGGCTCCGGTGAGATGTATGGTAGCCTCACACGCGTCCTGTAAATCGTCTATCTGCTGTTTTGTGGTAAGCGTCAAAGCTCTCCAGCTGCAGCACACTCCGCAGTCTGACTTCCTCGACGCCGTATAGGTCATCTCTGCCCTGCTCTGCGCCACAGCATAGGTTCCCGAGCCCGAAGATGCTGCGGCCCCGCTGTGGCCACCCCGGAACGCCCAAGGGCGCTGTTTCACGCACAAATTCGTGAAATCCGGATCGTATGACATTACGCTTTCCCGACGTTGATCTCCACAAGTGGGCGGGTCGCTCGCGGAGGCCACAAGGAAGCCAACGCGTAAGCACGGCTCGGGCCTCCCGTTCTGTATAGAGCCGAAGATTCCGGATTTCAAGGTATGGTTGCCATCCGTGTAATACGGTATCCGCCGTACGCCGTATGTTTCGGCCTTCTAATTGGCAATAGGGCGAGCGTCATCGTCTTCAGGGCGGTAAACAGGTGATTATATGGGCAGTGTGTGAGCTCACTTTCGTTGTATATAGTCCCCACGGTCTCGCGGGATCATTATCAACCCGACCTTCATGTTCCGCACGCGGAATGCATGACAGTGGGTCAGTTCATTGGAGGTGCGTCATATGCGATGTTTCATCGGGAGTTCCAGGATTGAGGATGCCTCGTGATAGTCAGTTGCTTCCTATCAACGGTGGCCTCATCGAAGGCAACTACACGTTATTGTCATCGACATGTACGTCTCTTATGCTATGCCGCTTTTGGCTCGACTAACTCCGGTCTTGTGCAGGTGTCTTCTACTATGACTATCTGCTCACATTCCCTACTGAAGTGCGAGTCTTTTGGAGGCGCCAGTGGAACCTCGCCACGATCTACTATTTCTTGATCCGCTATGGATTTCTTGTGAACATTACTCTTGTCGCTATCTCTAGTATTCGCTTCACCCCGAACTCAGGACCTGTGCTATCAGCATCGAGGTGAGGTTTTTTGAAGACCGATTACTGGCGTACCTCACTAAACCCCTTTATAGCTGCGGTGCCTTCTTGTACGTTGCAGTCGCACTTGGCCTTCTGAACTACGCCGTCGTCTCCGGTACGCTATACGCAACACAATTTCGGGGTCACACTGACTCCGCATAGCGTTCGTGGCTACGCGCATGTATGCCCTCTGGAATTGCAATGTCCGAGTCGCTATATGCCTATTTCTCCTCGGGTTGATCAACCCCAACGCTATGACACCCGTAAGTGCCCACTCATGCTCGTTCCCGTGTGGTGTTCACCTCCTTTACGTCCGCCCCCCAGACTCTGATATACCAGATGCGAATAGTAATGTCTCCCTGGCCTGTATGGGGATGTGAAAGCTACATCCAGGATTATGATGACGATTTCATAGAATTTGCGTACGCTCTCTCGACAATTTCCACTGTCCACGTCTTCTTGTTGACGCTCCTTTCTTCTAGGACACAAACGCGTGAGTATACAACGGACGAAGGGCGCATTGTGCTGATCAAATTTAGTCCCCATCATCGTATCTTCAATCGGCATCGCGTACGAGCTGTTATGCCTTCTCTTGACCGCGCACAAGACCTGGAGCTTCTACCTCTCCCGCCGAAGGTCCGGCAGTCCTACCACTTTGGCATCCTTGCTGCTCCGCGATGGTACGCTCTACTCGCGTTGTCTCAACATTCACGCCAGCTCAACACCGTGGTAACCCCCCGTCGGTAATTGCAGGATCTCTCTATTTTGTGTCCGTACTCAACGAAGTCGACTGCGGTACGTTATGGTTTACTGACACAAACCCCATCATAGCGTCATGGCCGCGCTGTCCTTGGTGAATATCGTCGCTGCCGTTGTAAGTTTCTCGTTCTGTATCGAAGTTTCTGCTGATGTTCTTACCTGGCCGCCTGACAGATTCCCGGCACTCCCGCGAACGTGCAGGTCAACGCAGTCTTCGGCAGAGCGTGCGTGCAGCTCTGAAACCCTTTGCAATATTCTGACTATGGGTCTAGGCTGACTCCAATTCTCACCGCGCGTTTCATCGCTCATTTGCAAGAGGTCGACAGAGGCGACAGGCACGATACAACGTTGCTCGAGCCTGACGCTGTGCTCGATGCTCCGAGCCATCGGCGACGCTCTCCCATGGTCCGCCTATTCACATCTATTGGTGGTAGTATAGGGTACCCTGACCACGATAATGTCGATGATTGGCACACATAATTCTTCTCTCACGATGATGCTAGAGCGATCTTGAGGTCGGCAGTCGAGTATGTGTGACGGAAACGGCAATGTGGTAGCCTTTTTGGGCGATTACACGAGAGGATAACGTAGTCCCTGCCCAATCAGAAGCCGAGAAACTGACCCGTCCTGCTCATCTCCCCGCGTCCTTCGTCTTCGTCTGCCTCTTCGGTATCGGCCAGCTCCCTCCAAAACCAAACCGCGACGACAACGCCGCGTGCGCTGCCTCAAAGTCCTTCGTTCCGCTTGACGTCCTCGCCTCCTCCTTCTCGCTCGTCGACCGCTTCTCCTTTCTCTTCTCCTTCCCCTCCTTTTGTGGTGCTGCAGCTGGTGGCAGTGGTGACTTCGCGAGGCCTACGCCATACTGGGATGACAGGAGGCCAAACGCGGCAGAGAAGTCCTTGGGAGGTGATGATGGCTTCCTAAGCGGCGTGGATGAGGATGCGCTCGACGTCGTGGTCACGGAGACCAGAGAGGGTGAGATGAGGGTAGACCCGGATGATGAGCTGCTCGACATTGTCGGTGTGTGCAGGGTGGGTGATGTATGCAGCTGAGTGTGTGGTAGTGTGGCAATGGCTGCGGGGCGACTGGGCTCGAATATGAGGTCGTGCCCATTCGCCCCTGCAGCCTTTATGCGATCAGGACTCTGCGCGCACAAAGACCTACATCAGGTGCACAGCCTGCGTGAACAAACCTTCGTCTCATCTGTGACTCGAACAAATGCCCTACGACCACGCCTCCGACCCGCGCAACCAGGCCATAGGCACGCCATGCACCGCCGCGTCCGAGGATGATGATGCACGACTCGGTCCCCGCAGCCGCAGGAGTCAGCACCATCAACTCCCGATCACTCATCGTGGGACGTGGTCTGGACGGGTGATATTGTGGGGTACAGCACACGCTGATCTATGTACGTTCCAGGCGCACCAACACCAGATTCGGGTGAGACAGCTCGATAACACCGGCCCCGGACCCATCGGAGCGCTTCTGACTCGAGGATTTCCCCGCACCAGGTATGTGCCTATGGTCGCTCATGCATAACCATGTTCGGATCACAACTAGGTACTGCTATGTACATCTGTAACACTGTTGGCACTGCCTCTCAGATGCAACTCTCGCTCTCCGGTCAATGGCTACCTTCCGCCCGGAGTAAGTGCGTTCTCAGCGCCAGCCGTCACGGTGCCCAAATCACGGAAGAGTTCACTGAGTGGTAGTGGGTATAGGGCATTCTCCTCCAACGCGCCCGCCCTCGGGGCCTCACCGTGATGGGTACTGTTATCTGACTTGCTTTGTCACTCACAGGACGTGCGGTGGTCGCTAGCCAGGGCGGGCCATACCTCGGCGGTCGAACATCACGAATACTATCACCTGCACGCACCCTCGTTCCCAAAGCTGATTCTCCTGCCCTTGTAGTTGCCCTGGGCAGAGGGCGGGCTCCATGTGCAAGCGTGTCGGGTGATGGAGCGCGGCGTCGTGATGGGAATCGGTTCGCGTCCACGCGCATGGATTATGGTAAATCGTACGAGCCTCGAGGTGCTTTGTAAGTCGAGCTCCTACCTCAATACGCTTAGGTCGGTCACAAGGGGACGGTCGATAATGCACTCACAACTCATTGAGGTAGGGTCAGCTATCTGGACAGCCGTATGCATCTCGTACTCAAATATTCCTAACAGGATTCGTCGTTCCTCGCGAGGCTGAAAGAGTCTGCCACAGACTTCGGTGCCCACTATGTCAGTGCAGCGGCCAACTTTCAAGAGACAACCAAATCTACCATTGTATTACGAACATACTCATCGTGTCCCAGCTATAATCCAACACAAGCTCTCGCCACCACCGAATCCAAGGCCCAGTCGTGCTCGCTAACCATCCTGACTAGTTGAACAGCCAGTACATTCCCAGATGTCGGATAGGGAAGCTGGCCATATCGAAAGCCACCACCGCGCCAACGGTATGCCCAAGGTCCAGCGCGCTTGCACTCTCGAAAGGCAGGGCGCGCAGCACCATCCACCCAGCGACCGCGGTGAACAGCGCCTGGAAGAGCATGAACACTGCGTCGTACGCCGCGTCCTCGAGGGCGCGCCCCACCCCAGCCCAGGTCCAGCGGGGCTTGCCGAAGACGACGGTGTCGACGTCCCGTACACGCTCCCGCTGGCTGTGCGTCGCCTTTGCCTGGCTTGAGGCTGCGCAGAGGAAAGGCAGCGACAGCACCGCAACGGCGAGCTCCAGCGGCGTCGCCGCACCAGGAGGGACGCGGATTGCCAGTGCTGGGTCGTGCGGGCGGAAGAGGCGAAGCAGAGTGAGTCCGCTTTGGATGCAGCCGATGTGCACATAGACCATGCTCAACACGGCTGCGATGGGGAGCAGAATGCCAAACGCCTCCGAGAGAAATTCTGCGAGGCGTTGGGGCAAGACGCGCGCGAAGCGGGGCGGCGTGTCGTCGAACATGAATGGCTTGTCGCGGCGGGCCACGATCTCCAAGGCGGCGGCGAGAAAGTCTGGGGATGTGGTAGTGCTGGGCGCGGTGGAGGATGGTGGCGAAGTGGCGGGGGGTAGCGTTTTCTCGTCGGATGGTGAGTCCGAGACGGTGTCTGCGACGGTCGCGTGGGTTGGAACTGTGCTCTCGAAGAGCTCAGTGTCGACGAGATTGGGTGATTCGGTGGCCATAATGCTGGGAAGAGGTGTTTGTGTTCGATGATAGTGGTGGCGTGCATTGAGTGAGGACGTCTTGCAACCCAGAGACAGGTAAGTACTCGAACCACAAACGAGGAAGTGTTATATACTCACTCGGTTTCCGTATGGCTTATAGGAGGACTCGTCGAGGTTCTAGATGAAGGGTCGGTTAGAGGGCTCTGCGTGTGGGGTCTGATGTTTTTCTGCGAAGACGACTCGGACACAATACATGACGACTTCACAGCCGTTTCACCTCAAGGACCAGGTCTTGGCGGTGTAGAAGGCGCACAGACATAAAGAGGTTCCCTATCCGAACTCTTATTGTTCATGGCCCTGGCCTCCGCCGGTGCGGGCTGGCACAGGCCATCCGAATACACTAACCGATCGATATTCCCGGCGCGCATCGCTTGACCACCGCCCATGGAGCCTCGTGGTACCAAACCCTTCTATCCCACAGCGCCCGTGCGGTCGAGAAGCCGTTGAGACAAACGGATGTATATGTTTGATACTCGGGCTTATTGTTGTCATTGATGTTTTACACGACCTGTCCTCACAAGGAGACCGCATGACTGGGGCTGTGTAGAGATGCTGACATCTCGACAGTACGGAATGGCTCTGAGGGACCGCCGCCGACCACTCCCAATGAATTCGGTGAATTTCGCAAGCCACCGTACAAGGGCCATGTGTATAATGATAGATAATACAAATGCGTCGCATCCATTAAGGTATCATAATACCACGTAGAAGACATTAGCGTTACAAGTCGTTCCTACATGTCCAGTACGTCAAGGCCCAAGAAGCAGCTACCAACCGATAGATGCGCCAGGCATCCGACTCGGGGAAGTGCTGCCACAAGGCCACCCCACCACATCCGCTGCCCTAATAGCTCTTCAGGCATAACGCCGTGCAGTAGAAGATATACAGCCGGTCATAATAGCTGGGCACCGAGGCCGCGGCAGCGACGAAAGCCACACGCATCGGGTCTTCCATCACGGTGTCGAGCAGCCCAAGCCTCAGCACGCCCCGCGCCGCATCCCCGGCTATGCATCCCCCCAAGAAGGACGTCACCACCGCGCCCACGCTGATAGGACGCGCGAGCATAGACACGAGGCCGTCCAGCAGCATGCTGAGCACGACGTAGACGGCGTCGCGCTTGACGTGCGCGACGAACCGGGCGAAGACGCCCTGTTCCTCGAGGTGTTGCACGAGAGCGCGAGGTTGCGACAGAACCCAGGAGACGTATGGGCGTGCGATCGCGATGAGGGCCAATGAAATCCGCGACGTTCTGCCGGCAAGCAACCCGAGGGAGTGTGCGGCTTTTGTGGCGAGTTGGTAGCCAAACTCGAGTGGGATGGCTTGCGCGGCGATGAGCATGGCCATGCTCCACAGTTCCTCGCTCAAGCCATGGGTGTGTGGCGGGCTCGTGGCGAGGTGTGCCAGCCAGAGCGTGGCAAAGATGCCTGGAATGTAGAGGGCTGGACGAGGGTGCAAGAGGGACGGAAACGTGCTCTCTTTGGATGCGTGGATGCCCGAAGAGTCGGTGGGGAGGGCGTCCAGCGTTCCCTTTTGTACAGAGTCGACGTCGAGGGACGCCGGGATGGAGGGGGATGATGACCGCCTATGAAGCAGAGGAGAGCTTGGCACGGTGGTGTCTAGGGTGCGAGCGCGCGCAGGGCGCGACGACTCGACGAAGACGGAGAAGACGGGAGAGTGTGAGATCATAGCTTGGAGGCCGAGGATTCCTTGATTAAGAGACGATGCAGAATGTAAGGGGATGTTCTATATGGTGGCTGTAAGCGGGGGTTCCAATGCAAGTAAAGATCTTCCTAGAAGTCTACTTACTCGTGAGAGGTCGTTCGCGGGCTCGCGTCGTTAGTGTGCGTCGTCTGGTAGGGGGTGAGGTCTGAGTGGCGAATTGGCTGGCCTGCAGCGGTATAAATGCAGCAATACAATAAGAGCGGAACCCTACGTCGTGAGCGCCGGCTTCTCGTATGTCTGGTATAAGGCTGCGCAGATGTTCAGTTGCGTGTGTATATTCATAGCTGTGAGCGTCCAATACTATTGTTTTTGAGTCTTCGTGGTGAATCGAAGCAGGCTCCTGTCAAAAGTCCTTCCTAGCATCGTTACCGGCATGCATCGCCTGTGCCAGCGCCGCTATCGGCCAACCGCACGCTCTTGTCCTTCCCCTATGTTATGTCAAGCGGCCCAGGCGGGAAGCCCATGAAACAACGACCTCTTGCCAAAACACTCACTGCGCTGAACATCCGATCGGGTTTCGCTATTGTCATGGGAAGGTGGGGATGGTGGTGGTACCTGCTCAGAGTGAGCGGATCTAGATCTAGATCGCTGCCTGCGATGACGCATCTGCTCAAATGCACACATGGGCGCTTGCATAGCAGCAGACGGCGAGCGGTCTCTCTTTGTCTCAACCACCACGAAGGCGGCAGCACCCGGTCAAGCAGCCTTGGGCACGCTTGCGTAGATCAAAAAGCACATGCAGCTACTCGACCTACCTGACGACGTGCTCATTCTCATCTTCTCCCATCTTTACGACAAGCATGCGCTCAATGTCGCTCTCGCCTCCAAGCGTCTTGCAGAACTCGCGCTCCCTCGCGTCGCCGCGGTAATCAACTGCTGGAAACCCTCAATGCTCCGCAGGCTACATGCTTACATGCTCGACGACCAAAATCCCCGCGCACAATATCTCCAGCACCTGACGGTGGAAGTGCACACCTTCGGTGAATACGACTCCGACGCGTCTGATGATGCATCTAGCGTTCATTCCGACGACCACACCTACTATGCTGCCAATTTCTCGCAGGCAAACCTCCTCGGCGACCTCCTTCTACGTGCACAAAACATATGCGAGCTCTCGATGGAACGCTTTCAGCCATGCCTGCTCCGCGACCCGCGGATCGGCACCGCCCTCGCATCCATGACTCGCCTGGCCAACATACGACTCTCCACGCTCGGGGATGGCGCGCTCTCCATATTGGGCTCCTTTGCATCTGATCTTAGACGACTCACCCTGTCGTACTACGACGATGACGATTACCCTCTTGAGGGCGAAACCCAAACGTTGCCCCCGCTTCTCTCCGCCCTGGCTCCCTTCCGACATCTCCAAATCGTCAAGCTATGGAACTTCACGCCATCTATTTCGTGGGGAGATGACTTCGATCCCCCACAGTTCCCCTCGATCACCTACCTCCGGCTCTCGGACTGCACTGCACCTGCGCTCGACATGGTCGAGCTCTGCCCGAACCTGTCTACGCTGATCTATTCCACCGATTTTCAGGAGTTCATTGTCGCACCTGTACGGCCACGTGCGGGGCGTCCCTGGCCGCCTCTCAAACGGCTCACGCTGGGCGAGCACGAGGACATTGTCAGCGTGGTGGATCGCCTGAGCCACGTCGAACTACTCCAGATCAGCGGCGAGTTGCGGGTACCGAGCTCTAACGATAGCGAAGATATCACGCGTTTTATCGATCTTTTGCGTGTCACGTCCCTCAGGGAGCTCTACCTCTCCGTCGTGGTCCCGAATACGCCTATGGCGTTCTTGCACACGATCCCGCGGGTCGCACCCAAACTACACGTTCTGGAGCTCAAAGTCAGCACACCAGAGCCTCACCTGGAGTACGCCGGCTGGCTGGTGAGTCCTACTCGACCTTGTGCTACCTTGACTGTTTTCTAACGCTGTCTCTTCCTCAGGACAACCTCCCGGAAGCGCTCCACGGCCTACCCATACAGAGCCTGCGCCTATACGTCCCGCGGCTTGGGTACGCGGGCGTTCAGCGCTTCTATCCCGCCGAGGTTGAGTACGACGACGCGGACGACAAGGCGTCGCGCGCGGAGGCGCACATCATGGAAAAGCGCCGGGTCGAGTCCATGCGCGCACTCCCGCAGCGCCTCGTGGACGCGATGCCTGCGCTGCGCTGCCTCGCCATCTTGGACGAGGGCCCGAACGAGGACAACCTGGAGGCGAGCTCAGCGGAGGACGAGGAACGCGTCTCTGGTGAAGGTGCAGAGAAGGAAAAGGTGGATGGGGAAAGCGATGGGTCCGAGGCTGATGCCTCAGAGACGGGCGCCCCGGTGTATGAGTGGGACGAGCTGAGGCGGACGGATTGGATCCGGAACCACCAGTGGTGGCGCGTCGTGGACGGCGCTGAAGGGCGGACACTGGAGGCGACCTCGGTGGACGAAGGCGACCGTTTACAGCAGAAAATCCTCGAGCAAGACCCTCTGGGCACTGTCACCGGTGCGTCATCGTCGCGAGGCACATATCATGGATGGTGCTGACTTGGTCATCAGAGAGTATGCACACGTTATCCGTATAGCTATCAAATGTTTTCTGGAGTTGAGAGAGGCAGGTTGGCCGTAGTCGCCAGTCACCGAAATACGCTTACATGTCTGCTATTGCGCAGTGCTGACCCACTCTGAATCCTGCAGGGGTGCTCAGTTTCCGAACTCTCTTTCACCGCGAGCCTGAGGGAACCGCACGATTATAAGGGACCGTCTATAAAATTTGAACTGGTTTTCGAATGAGCGAATTTAAATTAATACGGCCACAGATGCTCTTTGAAACGATGCGCATAACGCTCGAGCTGGGTCTATACAATCATCGATCTCAACATTACGTCGGTGATATAATACCACTTCGGTAAAAGATGTGCTCATTTTTAAGTAGCGTGGGCGTAGATTCTCGCCACCTCCGTTACCACCCCTCGTGCCTCCACGAGCTCATGATGGTAGGATTTAAGAACATGAACGCGCCGCTTGTCACTCGAGCGTTCAGTAGGCATTACCAAATTGGGAGAAATCTTGATCCAGTGGCAATATAAGCGCCAGAGCCTAGACCACGCAGTCAAGTTGTTCGTTTCCCGCCTGTTTGCTCATGAGTGCCTCACTCTCTGGGATTCGACGTTCGACCGCCTTTCTTGTGCTTCGGATACATTACTAGGATCATTCTGTCTGGGAAACGCACATAACATCAGGAATACCTTTGCATCGGCGCCCGAACGACATGATGCATGAGGCACAAGACTCGCTTTCCGGGGCTCTGAACTCGTCTTTCATGTTCATCGTCCTCCCCTTTCCCAAGACTTGATACCGACATCCCAGCTCTCTTCGAAACCAGAAAATACGACACTCTATGATGGCTCCATCTGCAGTCAGCAGTGCGCTCGAAGTCGAGGAAATCCTAGGTGCAATATTTCGTCATCTTTCGCCCTATGCTTGGGATCGTCAAGCGATCCTCGTCGCACCCCATCAGCTCAATGCTACTATCGGTAAAGACTTCTCTCACATCGGCGTGGAGAACTCGCCGTGCGCAGCGAATCAGCGTGCACTTGTACAATCCTCCCGGGTCTCCCGCGCCTTCTCTGGTCAAGCCTTGAAGGTGCTATGGAGAACGCTCCCGGATCTACTGTACCCGCCAGACGTTAAGCGAAGCGATGTAACCCTAGATTAGGGCGTGGGAAGGGGGGTCAGAGGCGATGGGTGTCCGGGGACAGGGGGACATAGGCGAAATCGCTTTCTTCGTAGCGCCCAGACTTCAGCTGTCGGTTTGCGACTCGGAAACATGGCTGTGATTCGCACTCTACGACACCTCTGTTGCTTCCTGTAGCCGCAAAAGTAATACAACATGCATACGCATTTGCTGTGGGCCTCAGGACGGCGTGCACTTCAACCAGCCGTGTTCTTTCTCCGTTGGCTTCTCTCGCAACATGGACTCGTCGCTTCTCCAGTCCAAACTGCAGTGCTTCGAGAACCTGGTCACGAAACTTCCCGACAGTCTTCCTCTTCGCTCCGCCGGGAATGTGCTCTTTGGCGTTGACTGGGAAGACCTGCCAGACCTGGGTTATCCCGGTGCAATCAACAGGTGTTTCGAGATCAACTGGGGCATGAGAGCCCTCGGGATTCATATCACTGAACGTGGCGACAAGCTCAAGACCACGTTAGCTATCATTAAGCAGGCCCTCCAGGACATGTCAGCGAAAGATGACTGGGCTCTTGTCGGACTGTGGCTTGATACTTTCATACAAGCATTGCAAGCGGCCATTCCTGAATATGCGAAGTACGTGAGCTTGTCAACCCTCCGAATATATACAAGAGCTCATCACATTCAACTAGTATGGAGAATACATCGTTGGTATCATCCACAGGACCACGAAATGTTCAAGCCATTTCAGCTGCACCTACAATGTACGTCTTCAGGCAATGTCCCGCGTCCATCGGCAGCTGCTTAGTTGACTTGTAATATGCATAGTCCAGCGGCTCGACCTCGACCCAGGCCAGTAAATGGCACGAAGCTCACGCAGACTCGCCTCTCATTCCAGAAAATCTCGGCTGAGGAGTACGCCGAGCAGGAACGCGCAATGGATGAGAAATTGAGCGCGCGTATTGCTCACGACCTCGCGAAGGAACGCCTGCAAGCTGAGCGTCGAGAGGAGATCAATCGCGCCTACGAACGGGAGAAAAAGCGTCAGCAACGCTTTCGTAAGCGGTACGATGAGCGTAGAACCGAGGTGATCGAGATCGAAGACGACGATGAAGACAGCAGCACCGCAGGCGGCCCATCCGGGAACACAGCGAGCCCGGCGGTGCCTTCTGCACTCACCAGCTTCTCGGATTCCACTGAGGAGTCAGCTCGCAGTGAAGTGAGCACAGTGTCGCTGCCTGCGGAACTGACGGTGAGTGATGGGCTCAGTTGCACGGCCTAATGTATCGATGCTGCTTTTTGAGGTTCATACTGATATTTGAACTCATGTAGAATGCGTCTGCGCTTCGGCAGCAACTCGCACAGCGTGCATGGGGTGCGTCTGACACTTCACATCGGCGTGAAGTCAAGCAGAAGCATGCCGCGAAGGTCGCAGCTGCTCGCGATCTCCCTCCCCCTTCGGCCATGGCGTTCCGCATGAACTGGCAGCAATATCCATACTGGCTCAAGATTTCCGGTGCACAGACGAAGCTATTGACTTGGTCGCCGACAGAGATCGTGAAGTATCTCCACAAGACAGATCCAGAGCTCTTCAACCCTCTGCACCCTGCGACGCTTGCCAAATGGATCGTCAGCGATGAAAATGGAGGCAGAATGTGGTCGCCAGCGGTGTTAGCTCGTGTCGAGGCGGGTAAACGTAGTGGGGCAACTTCGCGTTCGAAGACATTGGTACGCTCGCGCGTTTGCATAGTATGCATGTCGCTGATTCATATCTCGCAGTCCAAGCATCCCCTTATAATATCTGACGCTGTTGCTCACCTCCAGGCGCTGCGCCTCACCGGTGTCGCCGTTCAAGGTCCGCTCGTCATGACTGTCCTGCGGGCACACATTCTACACAAGGCCCCCGAGCTTCTCGCCCCTGGATCTAGCTTCAAGCTCTCCGAATCCTGGGTGCGTCGCTTCGTCCAAGATGTACTCGGCTGGAGCAGCCGGAAGAGCACCCGTACTGCACGCAAGGTCCCTTCCAATGCGGCGGACCTCTGCGAGCTGACCTTCTTGCGCATGGTCTTCGCTATCATGCTTCACAAGATCAAGCCTTCGATGATTGTGAATGCAGATCAAGCAGGCGTCCTCCTGATGCCGTCGGGTAAGCAGACATATGAAGTGAAGGGCTCAAAGGATGTAACTGTGCATGCACACGACGAGAAGCGTCAGGTATGCACATTTATCGCTCACGCTCACACTGTTCAGGCGCATTTTCTGACTATAGCTCCATCTGTAATCCCGTTTCCATTCTTGCCAGATGACCATCGTCGTCGGCTCGTCACTGGACGGGAAGCTCCTCCCGTTCCAATCTGTCTGGGGAGGTACTACGAAGGCGAGCCTACCCTCGAGCCAAGCACCCCGTCGGTCCGAGGCAGATAAGCTCGGATTCGTGTACGCCCACGGCGATACGCGCCATTGGAGCTCCAAGGAGACGACTAAGAAGGTGAGTGATACATCCGATGCATAGGTGATTTTGATATGCCAGACCCGCTGATGACATCTTGCCCACACTGTAGTGGGTTCTCGAAGTCCTAGATCCTTTCATCGCCCGGCAGATCGAAGAAGACGATGAACTCTCCAAGGACTCGAAGGCCATACTTCTCATTGATGTATGGCCAATTCACATCGCGAAGAAGAGCCTCGATGATTTCCTGCCATGGATGAAGGCTACGCACAAGAACATCATCGTGATCTTCGTTCCAGGAGGATGTGAGTATACTCTACTCCGCTACTGTTTCAGAGCTCATTTCCTTCTGATTCAGGTACCGGACTGTTCCAACCCGCCGATGTGGGACTACAGCGGCTCGTCAAGCACATCATAAAGCGGTCTGCTGTCGACTTTCTCGTCGCTTCAGCTACTCGGAAGCTCGCCGCCGGAGAGAAGGCAGGTGACATCGCCCTCCCTACGGACATGCCTACCCTACGTAACGGGTCCATTGCATGGCTCGTCGATGCGTACAACTACCTCAACGGACGCCCCGATATCATCAAGAAAGCATGGTTGAAGTGCGAGGCGAAGCATTGGAACTTATCGTACGAGTCGCTATCGAGTGCAGCAGCGCGTGAATACCTGCAGACGGTCATGGCCACAAACCGAGAGTTCGCCGCTGAGTTCGGCAACCTGGACGTCGTGACAGGCGACATCGAAGGGGAGGCCGAAGGGGAGTTAGACGAACACGATGACGATCTTGCCCTGGGTGTTGACGCTGTGGCGAACGCATGCGTATCCCCTACCTCATCAAGCACGACTCCACAGACATCCACAGGCCCCAGGTCTGTAGTCGACATAGGCTCGGGCGGCGAGTTTTTGGACCCGACCACTGAACTGGACTTCGAGGATCTGAACGACGGTATGATGGCTATACATCGATGTATACGAGTAGTATATTGTACTAATCACCGTGCACAGATATTCGGAGGCCCACTGCGGGCTCAGCCTCCTCATCTGTGGGCCTGCCACCTCCACCACCGGGCATTCCCATCCCACAGTGCCCGGAGTCTTCAACAAATGCGCCTGCTCCTTGCGGGCCTCTCACTTCCTCCGCCGCCGGTGCCCCCAATGGTGCCCCAACCCTTCCACCGCCGTTACCAGCCTCCGAGCCCACAGATGTTCGGCAACCCACATACCTCATGGACATCGCGGTGAGCGGCGGCATGAACCATGCCGCACTCTGTACACCTCAGCAGCTTCGGGTGACGGACAGGCGGGGCAGTAAAAAGGCCCCATCCGGGGCGCCCAAGGCCGTCCCGGACCCCGCTGCCCAAGGCGGCCCCGCGGGTAGCTCTATCGCCACAGACGGAGTGGTGGATCCGGGCCCGAGGCGTAAAACAGCCAAGCGGAAGCAGCCCGACAGTCGTAGCTCTGAACAGCAGAGTGCGGGGCCATCAAGACTCATGATCCGTATTCCTCCTCGTCATCCATAGCGGCACATGGTGTTGTAGACAGGTTCACTGGTTACAAAGCTCTGAGGGGTGTGGGCGAGACTCGGAGACAGTGGGATGGGACTCTGGGGCGGGGCCAGAGACGGCACTCTCCTTCCCAAAGTGGTATGTTAGCATCTTAGGTAATAAAACATATCTGCATTTGGCATATAACATTCCGAGGGGACTCAGGCGATGGAGGCTCGGGGACAGGGGGACAAGCGCCCATATAGGCGATGCGATGGGGGCCTGGGGACAGGGGACATCGCTTAACGTCTGGCGGGTACAGTACAGCCGTTGCAGCGTCTCCTGGATGCGATGGATTTCTCTTACGCTGATTGTTATTCCGGGATGCCGATACATGTGAGTAATTGAGTTGTATCGTCCACATCCCAAGCTGATCGTACACGCACAGACCTTCACAAGTGTGATCCAACCATCGGCACATACGCAGGAATGGAATCGCTTTCGGTGGTACGCTTCTTGCGTAGTCCGTGTTCGCGCCATCATCGACCACAACGCCCTCGAGCTGTGGTCGGACAGAGGGGGCCCTCCTCTGCTTCCTAGTCTGCAGAGCGCACGTTTTCGCTTCGATCCCCGCTGCGTCCAGCGCATGCTGCGCTTGCTTTCGGCCCCCATGCGCGACCTCACCCTCGACTTCGACTCGCCCAGCCACAGGGCTTGGGACGGCTCGCGAATGAGCACGGCAGACATCTTGTCCAACATGGCCACACGGTCCCCCGACGTCGAGGTTCTGAACCTCACGTTCAGAACGTACCCGCAGGACGTGTGTCCAGTTCTTCCCAAATTCTCGTGCCTCCGGGTCCTCGTCGTCACCGGATGGATGACGCCTTCGCTGCACAAAGCCATCGAGGCCCTCAACCATCTCGAGACCCTCTATGTCAAGCTGTACTGGGCACGCGCGGAGGCAGGCATGGAAAGCCTGCAAGTCCGCCGCTACGTCTCGGTGAAGACGATCGTCATCCTCACGCTCTCCGAGCCGCTCATCTCCGCGTTCCGATCCACCGAGTTCCCCATGCTCGAATGCGCGCGCCTCGAGGTGTGGCCGCACTCGAGCGACGCCACGGAAGGGCTCACCCAAGCCATGGAGAACCTGCGCAACCACGCCTCGCGGCTGCGCAGCTTCTACCTCACCGCACGCTCTGCGACGGCGCACGGCGACCGGCCGCCGCCCCAGCTGACGACCGTCATCGGGCCGCTCCTGCGCATCCCGATCATGGAGAGCCTGTCCATCACGCTCGAGGACAACTACAGCTTCGCGCTCACGCGGGACGACATCCTCGCCTTCCCCGCCGCATGGCCACATATCACCACGCTCTGTCTCGCGCACGCGCCGCTCGCCACGTCTAGCCCGCCTCCGTCCATCAGGGTGTTCTTCGAGCTCATCGCGGCGTGCCCTCGCCTCGAGACGCTCGTTCTCTGCGCGCGATTCGACTGCGGGGGGCGCGGCGAGTGGCAGGACGTGTCTGTCTCGCCGCATGCCACACTGCGCGGCCTCTTCCTTGGGCTCTTGCTGGAGACGGGCTCGTACAACCCGGAGCGGACGTGGCGTGCGCTTGCTGCCGCGGTCGATCGCGCGGTGCCGTGGATGGACCTGGACCGCAGACTCGTCAGGGCTGAGGTTGTCGGGGCGCAGGCGGTGGAGACATGGCGCGGGGTGGTAGGGCATATTCGGGATCTCCGGAGTGAGAGTGCTGTGCACGCCCCCAGTTCCCCCGGATGGTGAGAAGGCCCTTGGTCTCTGTAGGTGGTCGCTATACCGGTTCTCGACTCTAAGACTTGATCGTCCGAGTATTCAACCCACGCCGTTGGACTCAGCTCGCAATTATCAGGTACGTATACGTACCCGCAAGCTTCTTTCATACGCTCATCTACAGAAACCACTTTTTAGCCGGACTCCAGTGCTCGAGGCGATGTGGGAGCCCCGTAATTGCTGTACTACAAGTGTAAATTTTCAGATCTTCGCTGAATCTCACACCCTATCATGAAGCGCAACTTCACACACCCATCGCCAGACAGAGCCCCTATAAACATGTTGATGAGCTCATATGAGGGTCAGTGGGTGTGTAGTCGCCACATGCTTTGTCGTGCTTGTCGGCAGCTGTCAGCAGACGGTCAACAATCCGAATTTACAGCGTGCAACTTATCTCAACGTTTAGCTCGATCTTCACCGAATATCGCTCCCAGGGTGACATAGGTTCATATTGCTGATTCTATCGAAGGACATGTCGCAAACCACATATTCCCATCGAGATCCTATCCCGTGAGTGATATTGAATACAACCTGTGCTAGCTATCGCACGCCGAAGCTCATCTTCGAGTCTCTGTATTAGGTTTCGTCGTGCGCAATCAGAGGGGACGAGTCACATAAGAGCCCGTATCGTACTGCGATCCTCCCCGCTAACCCCTTGTACTCAGGTTGCGTGTCCTCTCTTCGCCCGTCATGGCAGCCTGGGACATCTACGCAGAGAAGCTCTTCCCTCTAGGATATGGACATCCCCTGTGGGCACCAGGACCCTCTACGGAGTTTGGCGAAGTACACATTGGCGACGTCGGATTCTTGCTACCGGTCCGATTCCGCTTCCTGTTCAACTGTACACTCGCACCAGGCGATCTGGTCAACCAGAGAGGCACTCCAACCCCGTTCGAACCATTTATGATTTCGATAGGAGCGCTGGCAGAGATCCCGAACGAGATCACGCAGCCGCTGCTTCAGAGCCAAGGCATGCAATCAATCTCTGTTGAAGGACGGGGTTCCATCGGGTGAGTGATCTTTGAGCTAGTTCGATGAAGGCATGCATCATTCAACAAAATTATGGTCCCCAGCAGTCCGAGCACCCAAGGAGGCGCACAAGCTTCGTTACGCTACAAATGCTCCCAACAAAGCGGAGCGTTGCTCATGCTGAAGCAAGCAGGCCATGCGACACGTTTAGATTGCACACGTGCTATCCAGAAGTACATGCGCCAGAACTTGGAACACTGGCATCTTTTCGCGACCGAAGAGCTCGGCATCGATCTGCGCGACAGCGATCTCATCTTCGTGAGCGGGTATATCAAGACCACGATCTGGGCCGAGGCCGCGTTCAGCAGCTCGACCACCGACGGCGAACTGAATATTTCCGCTGGCGCGTCGCTCCCGGTAGGAGCATCGGGCTCGTTTTCTGTGGAACTATCGAATTGCCAACTTCCTCTGACCTTCCACCGCCACGGTCCCTCCGGAAGGGCCATGGCCGAGCGCGCACTGGGTTCCCCGGCCCTTACGTCCGACACGAGTGCCGCGGACGCGTTCGACCAGTGCATCTTCCTAAACTACTTCAGAATGAAGGGCAGGTTTCTTCGGAAAGTCATGCGCGCTGCCGCAGGCCCTCATGAACTTCCAAGCCCACCTCCGGATGACCTGCCAACAATTTTCGGTGACACACAGAGTGGACAGGTGCGAGCGAGCGACCTCAATATTCACAACATGTCTTCCCATCGCTGACGTAGGCGCCGTGGCCCTCAGGCATTTGACCCAGCATCGTCGATCCTGGACTACATTCTTGATGTAAGTTGATATTATCTTCATGATGCTTATCCTTCTCACTGGGTCCAAAAGCGCACGGAGACAGTGGACGTTGCATGGGTATCTGATCGGGATGTCAGCCGAATGCTGCAGCTCGCGGTACGATCTTGACCTCACGCCGCCATTCTCAAGTTGATCAACTCATGCACGGTTTCTGGTCGATAGATGTCTGATGATCCTTCCTCTAAGAACACCAATTCAGAGGAACATAAGGTCAATGTGGATTTCCCTGAGCCGGGCACGGCAGCGGCTGTTCCATACGCCTATATTTTAACGGATCAAGGACGTACGTTTCCCTTCGAAAAGGCTCCTTATTTGCTATTGGGGACATATTCTGATGCGCTTTTAGTGGGATCACTTGCCTGGCGGTCACTGGATACAGCGGACCAAGAATTTCTACACTCGTCGTCCGTGGTCGGCGAAATGGCAGATCTAGAAAAGGGAAAGCAGCGAGACATGACTCTCTCCACGGCGGCGTCATACGTATACAGTCAGGAGCCTCCGCACGCTGGACCATCGACCGCTACGCTCTACTTTGACGATCATCACCCCCATCAAACGATGACGAGCAATGAAGGCTTATACAGTCTTATCGGAGGCAATCCTGACCAGATGATCAGCCTCGACACGCTCGCTGACCCTCCCCCCGGCCAATGTCCTTCAAGTTCATACGCGATGCCCGTCCTGATCATACTCGCTATTCATGGTAGCCCCGACCGACGGCTCACCTTGCTAGAGATCTACAGTGCGTTCGAGGATAGGTTCGAGTGGTACCGCCAGAACACGCAAAAACTTCAATGGAAAAACAGTATCCGCCACAATCTATCGCTGTACAGGTGCTTTCGGAGGATGTCCAAGCCGGTCGGCGACCCACGAAAAGGCAGCTTCTGGGTTGTCGACTATGTGGCGGGTGCGGGCACGAAACATGTGCGAAGGCGTCCCAGACCATCCCAGCACGAAGCGGCCAATGATGGGGGTCACAGCAGATGCGTTACCTTCCTGAACAATGATAATGAAGACAGGGCCACCACCGTGAACGACCCGGGTGACAAGGGAGACATGACCATCATAGGCGAAGACGAAAGAAACCCTACGATCATCGCCGGTGACAACGAGGGAGACATCGACCCCGCACACAATGACGATAATCGTGTTGGCGTCATGGCCGATAACTGCGACTCGAACGACGACGCCGACGACGATAGCGATGCCGAAACTAGCGACATCGACAGCAGCAACAATTACGACAGCGACTTCAGTGTCGAATCGCGCCAAAGTGTTGCAATCCGAGCTGTACCGCTCAGCCGTGCCCATGCTTCAAAGCTGCTTCGGTATTGGAGGCGAACCAGCCCCTCGACCACTCCCCCTCGCTCGCCTAGCACGTTGACCCGGCGACCAGCAGAGTCTATGTGGCGCTCGAGAAATGACTGAAGAGAATCCGCCAAGTCGCGATCGACCGTGCGTAGCCTTCAGTATACACCTTTCGGACCTCGGCCTTAACCTCACACTCAGCATCCTCGAATACCGTGCCATGCCAGTTATTTCCGTTCCTACCAAACTATCATGTTTATCATTTACCGCTCGATGTAGACTCGAATTTCTCGTCCAAAATCTTCAATGACTACTACAAGCGTACCTCATTGACTCGCGTTAGTTGGACTGGCACCAAGTTCTACAAAGCCGTAGTATATAGATGACCATCGGTACATTCATGTCTCAAGCACCATGTGGTGGTAGTCCGCACTGGTTAGACTCGAGCTCTTCGTGAACTGGCTTTAAGTTTCGTCTGAGGCGGAATACAATCGTGTACTACACTGCCTGTCAGGATGCATAGGACCCTGGCAAGCCCACCAAGAGCTCATATCCGGTCGGAAGCCCATTTGGGCCATTTTCGGGGGTCCAAAATCCGGCGATTTTCGGTGTTTTTCACATAAGTTTCCCCCGGCTTCGCCGGATTCGGGGATTTCTGGCATGTAACATCCAGTTCGGTGTACAGAACGAGATTTTTAGTCAAACCACCGCCTACGTATACCATAGCGTTCACCTAGCTAGCCTGACACGAGTTCCGAAAGATCTATACTACGCCCTTGAACACTCCGATGCCGGTATACCACTTTCCAAGCTCGACTTCTCGGTCTCCGCGTGCTTCTTGCGCTTTCTTGTCTCCTTGAATACCCCATCCACGGCTTTGCAGAGGGACGTCGAATGCCTTTCCAGGTGGAGGAACATCTCGACGAGCCTGTTACAGGAGAGCGGACACAGGAAGCTCCGGAGGCAGACAGAATGCTTGAAGCAGGTGAGAGGGTGTGGAATCCATATAGAAAGGGTGCAATGGATCAGTGTTGGTGACAGTAGTGACGAAAAATGAGTTTTGAGTCGCCGAGCAGCGAACACTTGACTCTTTGAAACGCAGGCTAGAGTAGTGTTCAAGTGTTGTATTCCCATACTAGTCGGATATCGCAGCGCTTCTATACATTTTGATGGACTAAAAGTTCGAACTAGTAAAGGTTATAATGGGTTTCGAGTGGCGACACTAGTGTGATTTAAAGTAGTTCAAGGAGTTTGGTAGGCATGCTTGATAAGGCGCGCGCGCGGCTCCAGGCAGACCTCGGCCACCACATCTACTTGGGGTCCCTGCCGGCCCGCTCGACGCCTGATTTTCGGGGGTTGGCGGGATGAGACCTGCCTCGCTGAGCGCAAAATTCGGGGCATATCTAGATGTAGCTCCCGTCCCGAGGACCAAGATTTTCGGGGGTTTTGATAGAAAAATCATGTAACTTTCGGGCCCTTCGGGCCCGTTTTCGGGGTTCCTGGGATATGAGCTCTTGGTGGGCTTGCCGGGGTCCTGGATGCATAGGCGCCTTCCATCCCGCGGGTTTTCCCGGCGGCGAGCGGTAATCCGAATTCTGGCCTTGCCCGACTGGTGCACTATCCTCGTTCTACGAACACCCCCATCCTCTCCCAAAAGCCCGTACGGTTCACATCTCGCCCAGCATGAGTGTCCTACGACCCTTCCGCGCGACCGATATGTTCAAGTTTAACCACATGTGAGTAACCTTGACGTATTGCGCACTCTGAGCTGATGAATGGTCTCCGGCCAGCAACCTTGACCTGTGGACAGAGACCGTGCGCGCGCAAGCTGTGACTTCGTTCCGCATAGACTGATCTCGAAGGACTGCAGTACGCCATCAACTTCTACCTGGGCTACTTCTCCCGCTGGCCAGACATGTGCGCGGTCCAGGAGACACCGCAGGGGCGTATCATGGGCTACGGTGCGCCTGCCTCCCCTCTCTCCCCATACCACAGCTCACCCCCTCCCCCGCACCACACAGTAATCGGCAAGGCCGAGGGCTCCGGTGCAGAGCGGCACGGGCACGTCACCGCGCTGAGCGTCGCGCCCGAGTACCGCCGGCTCGGGCTCTCGCGCAAGTTCATGTCCTGGCTCGAGCAGGTGTCGGACGAGAACCAGCGCGGGCTCTTCGTCGACCTCTACGTGCGCTGCGTGAATACCGCCGCGATCACGATGTACGAGGGCTTCGGGTACAGCGTGTACCGCCGCGTGAAGGAGTACTACAGCAATCTCGGGCTCGGGCTCAATCCAAGGGATGAAGAGGACGGATTTGGTACGTGCTTTTGCGTTATATGCCGTGGGACGGGTGCTCATGGATATTGTGCGTGGACAGATATGCGAAAACCGCTGTCGCGAGATCCTATGCGACGGTCTGTACGGGCGAACGGACGAGACATCACCGTCAGTGCGCACGAAGTACCATGATGTAACAAAATCTCGTCAGTCTCGCTGTATATATCAGATGCTCATCTCAAACTTTGCGGAACAATCATTCCCGTCAATCAAACGCAAGGTCAGAGCCAAGCAGAATCCCAATAAATTACAGAGAAAGCGGCCCAGTCACGTATGCAGCAAGACAGCCACCTAGAACGGAAGGAAACCGTCATCAGCACAATGTCCAGCACCCAAGCACCGTGTAAAGATCAGGGGGTGTGCGAGCGCGTAGCTCATCACGGAAAGCCGGACGTAAGTCATTCTCCTCCCCGAGTGCCCGGCAGGAGCGAGGCCCGCCGTGCTTTCCGAAGGGTCGTATGGCCCCGGCAGGAAGTGTCATCTTCTAGAGACAGACAAGATACGAGACTCACCCAGATCATAGTACGGCAGTACTTCGCATGCTTCATTCCTCTTCCTCGTCTGTGAGCTCCTCCCCTGGCCTAACACCGAGGTGCTGTTCGAAGCCTGCTCTGCGCGCCCATGCCCGACCATCCGTATATGGTTCAATGCGGAGAGGCACCAGGAGTGTATATAACGGACTGCGAGCGGTCAGCGAGCAGCACAGTCCGGCGACAGAAGCGAGGACTTACTATCCACTTGGACCGACGTTGAAGAACAGCTCCAAATTCTTTCTCCAGCTATCGGCAGGGATATTTAGCCTCGTAATATGCTCGTTAATGTGCTTACACTTACCCAAGGTCGTACGAATTGATAAACGTCTGTGCACAACTCGTCAGCTACTGCCGTATACAGCCCATTCCATGGCGGACGAACCTCTCCCCGCTGGCCTGCAATCTTGCGATACTGTTCGTGGTCCTGCGTCTCGACCGAGGTCTCCCCAGACGCGACCATGTACAAATGCCAGCCCGCCATCGCAGAGACGGCGAGGCACAGCACGACCGCGAGGATGTATATCATCATAAACATCATCGGGGGCGCGTAGTATAACCACGGGTCCTGCAGTACAGCGTCAGCATCGCAGTTGTGTGCGGGCGTGATGGCTGCGTACGTTGAACCAGCCCAGTGCGAACATGATGTGTCTCCAGCCAAGTGCGGCGTAGAAGAAGCACGCGACGACCAGGTAGACCCTGCGATGCGACGGTCAGTGCCTGATGAGCCAAAGAGGAACGCGAAACGCACATGAACAGCACAAAGTGTCGCTCATTGTATATGCCCACGCATTGGTTGATCCCTGCACGAAGGCGGTTCAATACGACCCACGCATTCGTTCGTCCGCTCTGTTGCACTTACACTACATACACATGAGCACTTGCTAGATATCACGAACGCGCACGAGAGCACTCACCGGACAGTGATGGTCATACTTCAGCACGCAACGGCCGCATATCCTGCAGTGATGGGACCTCTCACAAACGCACCTCAGCACCTCCCGCCCGCACACCACCCCACCCAAGCACACGACGTACCTCCGGCCGCATCTCCCCGCACTTCCTGCACTTCGACGTCTCCGCCCGCGTAACATGCATGTCCTCCGACCACCGCACGCCCGTGAGTGGTGGGCCGCCCGCCGCCTCCCGCCGCCTCCGCGCCCACAGCAGCCCAGTGCCCGCCGCACGCGGCGGCTCGTTGACGAACCCGGGCGAGATCGTGCACACGTAGTAGTAGTGCGCGAAGAGGTTGAGCGCGATGAGCAGGCAGACGGGCGTGGTCACCCATGGCCAGGCCAGTGATGGTTGGATGACTTCGACTGGTACCACGGAACGTGTCAGCTGCGGATGTGCGGATATGCATGGGGAGGTGAGGCGTACAGAAGCAGAATACGCCGAGCGAGAGCAGGACGATGGCGAGGGTGACGAAGACGGGCCCGGCTGCGCCTGTGAGCCTGTCCCCGGCGCGTTCGAGCCACTTGAAGCAGCGGAAGACTTGTCGCGTGCACCACTGCGGCATCCCAAACGCCGCTAGATACGTAGAGTAGAGTTATAGACAAGAAGGGCGCAGAGGCACGCAGGCAGTAGTGGTGATGTACAAACCGGAGTCGGCGGCATGACGCAGACCAGGAGCGCGCGTCTCAGGCTCCGAAGCTGCGCGCGCCGTGCACACGCCCAGGAAACACCTCCAACGCTTGTGCATTGTTAAGCAACAGACGAAGAGATGGGTAAATATCCAATACAGAGTACATATTGCGACGATTAAGCCTCCCGTTCCTAACGAGCGGGGGGTTCAAGTCCGGGCGCAGTACTACACACAAGCAGCTCTTGGTGAGAAGGTCACGGTCGACAAACGAGATGGAAGCAGCCAGGCACAGCGACGAAGGGCAGGACAAAACGAAGCGGCAGCGAACGAAAAAATGAGAGGACAGACGGCGGGATATTACTACACTAGGATGTATGTTGCGCACGGTGTGGCCCAGGTCACCTCCCCTTGCCGGGGGTGTTACCGCGGCGCGGCGTCCCTGGAGGTTTGCGAGGAGTCGGCGGAGGCACCCCAGTCAGACGTCGTTCTGCCATCCCTACAGACGCGTCTGTCGCGCGCTGGACCTCCCGAATGGCGCGTCGCGCGGCATCGCCGACTTCCGTCAGCGGACGTTCCGCGTCTATACGAGATAGTGCACGGAATATGTCTTGTGGGTCGGTCGCGGGTGGCCGGGGATGGGTTGGTGGGATATACGATGAGAGCGAGGTGGGGTCTGTCTGGGAGGCTGACGCTGTTGGTTGAGAGCGCGATGCAAGGGAGATGTTCAGCAACGCAAATCGTCGATCAAGATCGGCCTCGGCTACCCGAGTGGTCTGGAGGGCGGCGTTTGCGAAGTTGTGAACCCGATCCATCTATGAGAGCATAAGCAGTGCATTGAGAATGGTTGGAAGAACGACGCACCGTGTACTCCAGCTCCTGCAGTCGACCGCTTAACGGATTTCTCTTGGACGCCTCCCCCAGGACGATACCCCGCGCCAGTTCCAAGCTCCCATGCGAGAGAAGCTGCTCAGGCAAGTCCCGCCGTTCCACATCCCAGTCGTCCAGGTCCTCCGCCGATGCGCGCTCCTTGCCCTTTGCTTTCCAAGCAGCCAGCGCCCGCTTCCGCTTCTCCATCTCCGCATGGACCGATTTCCTATGAGAATCGTACGAGTCTGATAGCTCTTTCCACGCGTCTGCCTCCTGTTTCGACCTGTGTTTCATGTCAGGGTTAAACGCGGAGGGTACAGTTGAAGAGGCCTGTGGGAACGCACTGTTGTATGTGCCCGTTAAACCGCGCTTCTCGCATCCGATTCTTCACGTTCTGCTCGTTCTCCTTCAGAGGCCGCCCATCTCCACTCTGAGAGCCTGCACCACCATACACGTTGGTGTCGACCTTCCTTTCTGCGAGCATGCGTATCAGGCTCTCCTCTGTCCGCTTCAGAATGTCCGCCTGGGCGGATGATAGCGGTGGTGGGTCCTTGCCGGAGTTTGTGGACTTTCGTCTTGATGAAGACGCTTGGGGTGCTTGGTCCGCGAGTTCGTTCATGGCTCGATTGGAGCACCATATGAGCAGTTGGCGTGCGCGCTGGGGTTCGGGGAGTTCGGAGTCGATGTGCTTGAAGAAGCTCGCCACGGAGACGGACGTGTGCGGGTGCGCTGCACCGCGTTGAGCGGCCGATCGAACATGCAGACAAAGAGGGATATGCCACTCACAGATCACGCCGGTGGCCTCGTAGCTGGAACTGATGCGCTTACCGCGGCTGACGGAGCTCCTCCTCCTGTGCCCCGTTTCCCCTCGCATAAGCTTGTTCTTCTCGATCTGCGGCGTCTCCTGCTGGGCTACCGGCATCACGGTGTCGATGTTCCGGCGAGAGGTCGTGGCTGGCCGTGGAGTGCGAGCGGGAAAGTCGAACGCCCCCGATGCAGCGCTAGCAACCTGCTCCGCTGCCTGTGAGCGTCGCCGGAGCGTGTCCGCCTCCGACTGCATCTGCCGCACGTCCTCGTCCACCTCGGGGTCCGCACGCGTCGTAGCATACACGTCCCGGTCCTTTGACTTCCCCACCGCACGCGACGAGCCATCTGCGCGCAGCTTCTTCGCGGCGGGCTTTGTTGATTGTGATGCCTGCGGCTGGACGGACGGTTGACGAGAGGCTGCGCGGGGCTCTGCCGGCAGAGGTTCAATGTGGAGCGTGCGATTCGCCTGCGACGGGGCGCGCACAATGACCAGGCCCCCAGGCTGCTCCTCGCCATTAACTGTTTGCGCAACGCGTGAGTGCCATAGACGCGTCGTTCGCACGGATATCGAACACTCACTCTTGCGCTTGCTAGAGGGCCCCGCTTTCGAGTTCTAGAACAAAGAATATAGCGCGTACAGTTGGGACAGACGATCGGTACGCACCTCTCGCTTGGGCTTCTTGCTTGTGGTGGTCGCGAGCGGGTTGGCTTCCTCGGTGGCTTTCCGTTTAGTCGGCTGTGGCTGAGTGGGTATCATGGGTGTTTCTAGTCTGATGGTGGCCGTGCGCGAGCCGTTCATGTGCAAAACGAGTAAGCGCGTGTCGGGTGGGCGGCGTCGCGTAGGTCGTGCGGCGGGGAGGGCGGGAACGCGCTCGCCGACGCGCGCGGTGGTGAGGGCGCGATGTTAAACAACAGGCGGGCGGAGCTCCAATCTCTTTCCCACACTGGCTCACGTCCACGCGTAACATTCCCACGGCGTGACCAGACTCACAGACGCCCAACGCGCGCCTGTCAGCCACGGGCGCTCCGGACGCTTGCCGGCAAGACGGCACGATCGGAAAGCGGCGGGGCGCCTTGCCGCAGATGGAATGAGTCGCCGGTGATTGGTCCCCCCGCGCCCGGGAGGAACCGGCACGCGGGCTACTTATAATCGAAATTTGAGCCAGTGCCTTCGTCACAACTCCCCATACCTCCCGCTCCTCGCAGCCTCTGTACCACCACACCCTTAATCTTCCTCTCACGACCCACTAGACTCTAGACATGTCCTTCAAAGCAGGTACGACGCGTCTGACACGCCTCCGTCGCGACGAACAGCAAGCTCACGGTTTGCGTTGCAGGTGACGCTGGCAAGGGTGCGGGCCTCTTCAAGACCCGTTGCGCTCAGTGCCATACTCTTGGTGCTGGCGAGCCCCACAAGGTCGGCCCCAACCTCCACGGGTGAGTACTGTTCCTGTCCCAGGATGAGTGACTGAGGCGCTGACGTGCGGCGGAATTCAGTGTGTTCGGTCGTAAGACTGGCCAGGCGGACGGCTACTCGTACACTGCTGCGAACGTGAACAAGGGTATCACCTGGACGGAGCAGACTCTCTTCGAGTACCTCGAGAACCCCAAAAAGGTGCGTGCTGTCGCCACGTCATGACGCCCTGCTTCACGCCCATGCTCATCATGATGGCGTAGTACATCCCAGGTACTAAGATGGCGTTCGCGGGTCTCAAGAAGGAGAAGGACCGCAACGACCTCGTCACGTACCTCAAGGAGGCGGTAAGTGTTCAGTAACTCTCCTCGTTGTCAAGTTGCTCATGAGCATTATCTTTCGCAGACCGCATGATCCCTCTAGACGGACTTCATTTCTCCCTATTTACGACTACTGTACACGGTTCACTATTGGTCACACTAATGTAGACGACCGCGACATCGTGTCCTCTGCATCTTCTGCGCGCACTACCACCACCCCTCAGCAATACGATACCTTGGATACTGCATTTGAGAGGGAAGTCAGAAACCGCTGTGAGTGGTTGCTACTGATCGCAGTACTCAGTACTCCCCTGCAGCATCTTGAGGGATGTTTGATTCTCTCATGTACATGCCAGGCCACAGATACACGGGGGTCTTCGCATACCGCGCGGAGGACCGTGTGCAAATGCGCCCAACGTCCTTGTGAGTTGGCAATCTGAAAGTGACGTCATGTCCAGACTGATACGGGCGCTCAGTGGACTAGACTCGAGCAACGGAGGCGACGAGAAGGACCTCGGCACAGTCTTAGGTGTAGCAAGTACGGGTACCGCTCGCCGAATTCAACAGAGAGTATCGACAGAGATCCCGGTAGATGGTCTGCAGTGCTGGAGATATGAGACTACATCCTCTCAAATTCAACGCAGGACCCGCTCGCGCTGTTTCCCGAGGTTTAACGTTTGAGTTCATAGCCTTCTACGCATATCGCGCCTCACAGATGTGAAGCTCCTTGGGCACCGTCTTCTACCTCGGCTCTATCATGTTCTCCCATCTCAGACTGGCTTCACCCATTCGTTGCTGGGCTTAACAACGTGCCTACCTTGTCGGATACATCCCCAATCTCACCAAGCCTCCTTCGCCAATCTGCCTCCTCGCGCTTGTTGCCGAGTTGAGGGTAGGCTTGAGGACCTCAGCATCTAGTGCGTCCTATACTCTATTCTCTCCAACGTACCTAACCTTCCTAACCTGCATAGCACCAAATTGGCGTCTCGTGGACTGGCCGCACATTGCTCTTTTCACGAAAAATCTCCGTACGGCGCCAATCTGGCTCGTTACCACACTTGTGTTCGAACACCGCGATCACCATCAGTCAGGGGAGCTCTTCATGCACGCATTCCCTAATCTACGCCTGTTGTCATATTGGAACGTGGACTTCGAATGCGGACCTCCCCTCGCCTTCTTTCGGCTGCGGCTTCCATTTTTCACTAGTGTTACTGTCCTGCAGCTGTGGGGCTGTCGCTTCAGGTCGTGGAGGGCTATGCTGGATGTCGTATGGGCCTTCCCGAACCTCCACTCGTTGAACATATACTACTTGCCACCGAGGATGCCTGTCATTGTAGGAAGCGTGGATTTATCCATTGTTTGCCAGCACACACGGGCGTGCCGAAACCTCACGAAGCTTAACATATGCGCTTTCCTCAAGGAGGAGGCGAGTCAAACCTCTCTCTCCGACATTAAATTTCACACTACTTACGACTTACTATAATACAGCCTCCTTCGCGTCTGATCCATGGAATGGTTTTTGGTTGGGCTATCACTGAGCTGAGGCTCGGGATTTCCAAATTTTCGGGTAAGTACAGCAACTACGCACGACAAGAGAAGCTAACAGTATGATTAACCCCGAGTACGTTTTCTCAAAGCCGTCGGTCATTTTTCGACAAACTCGCTCCCTTCTCTTCGCTCAATCGTGGTCTCACCTCCGTCCCCAGCCAGCCCCCACGGCGAGCCCGGTTCATACCTTCACGCGATCGCTGCGAGTCGAACGATGCCTGGAATACTAAAACGGATCGTGATCCAGTACCAACACAACCGACAGGGCAGCATATGCTGTCAAGCAGCAGTAGGCCAGAGCGAAGAGGTGAACGGCTCTACAGTGCGGCTGCCAGAGCTCCTATACGGCTTGGAACAACTCACGATTCGCTTTGAAGATTGCGTGGACTCTGACGGAGACCATGTTTGGCATATGTCCGTTCCGTTTTGCCCAGCATGCGGCGAACGTCGTGATTATATGTGGAAGGAGTACAGTAACTCAGAACACATCCATCGTTCGTCTATAGTTCCGTTACTTGATCTCCCATAGACCGGGCTAGAAATCGCCCGAACATCCGCATATACCTTGGCCCGGGTACGCCATACTTACCCGTCCGTCACTATGCCTATACGTATTTATTCGCCAACCCGTTACGTATCCAATCGCTGCTGTAGATAGACGTCTAAACAGTGAAGCTTCCGACCTGCAGCTATGCCTATGTATTTTTTCAAATGTCTACCTGGACCTGATTGGAAGCGCACGGCGACTCGCGTGTGGGCACCCGCCGCGCTTGCAGAGATCGACGTGAATCCATGCTCACATGCAACTCACATGCACACAAAATATCTACAGACATACTCATGCGTGTTGATTCATTGCGTTCCAGTTGTAAGTGATACAATCACCCGAGCCCGTACTAATACACTCTAAGTGCTCTCCAAGCACTCTCCGCCAGCTCGTCTAGCGAGATAAATACCTGCCTCGCGTCATACCATGGCCGAGGCGCCCTGGTGCAGTCAATGCACCGCCCGATGAGATGAGAAAGAAAGAAAGAACGCAAAGTCGCGCCAGAATCAGAGCCGGAAGAAGCGCGAGTACGCGCGGGGCTTGCCGGGTGTGGCTTTGCGGCCGCTAGCCTGGCTGGACTTCGCGGGCGCCGCGGCGGTCGTCGTGTTCGAGCGCGGCAGCTGCTCGGGCGTGAGCTTCAGCGCGGACGCCGTCATCGCGTTCTTGATGCCGAGGTCGAAGCGCGCGTTGTCTGTGGTATCGGCCCGGTGAGCACTAAGCAGGAGCGCACACGGGGGTGAAGCGGCAAGGGAGGAAACGCACCATGTGCAGTCGACGCGTCCCAGAGCATGACGCCGCCGAAGGAGGAGTACTTCGCCTGCGCGTCCGCGACGTAGTCCGCGAGCGTGCCGACGTCGACGTAGCCCTCGCCCGCGGAGTCCGCCGAGCCGGGCGCGCCGATGTACACTTTCACCTTCTTGTTCGCGGACTTCGTCTTCGCCCACGTGTCCCACGTCGCGAGGTTGTAGTCCGAGGGCTGGTCGAGCCCGCAGTAGTTGTTGTCTGCGCGGCACGCCGGGGTCAAACTTTGACATGCGTCACAGGGGGTGTACGTACAGAACTGGACGTAGACGGCATCAAAGGGCGCATCGTTTAGCGCGGCGCCGATGTATGCGTCAGGGTACGGACATTGCGGGGCCGCAGTGATATAATAATATCTGGTGCGATGATCAGCGTTTGTATCAGCGGGCCTTTACGACTGTAGCCGCGAACTGTCGCACATACTTGTTCTTGTTCGTGACATCAATAACAGTTGTGGTGTTCTTAGCCTTGTCGGCGTGGGTGGTCGTGGCGTTGGCGTGTCCGTGTGTGGTGTTCGCATGCAGGGTGGCATTCGCGTGCGCGGTAACGTTGAGCGCGAACGAGGTGGCGTTGAGAGTCGTCTCGCCTGCGTTAGAGCGGATGCGGTTTACGAACGCGGCGTAGTGTGCAGGGGTGCCGCTCTCAATGTCAAGGTCGACTCTATCAAACACAAAGCATCGTTAGCGTCTAGCAAGCGCTCTCCGTGCAATGGCAGCCTGGGTACGTCCTAGGCACGCCCGGACGCGGCGAACATCTCCGACGAGGGTACGGATAACACGGCACTCACCCGTCGAGGACCGCGTCGCCGAAGGGGCGGATGCTGCTCGAGCCACCGAGGAAAAGGTTCCACACTTGGTCCGCAAAGCTCTGCGCCTGCGAGTCGGAGGAGAAGCCGACCTGACCGGTCGCGCCGCCGAGCGAGAGCGTGACGAGCTTGCCCGCGGCCTGGCACGTCTTAATGTCCTTCGCCATGCTCGTGCAGTTCGCGAGGTCCGTGCCGGAGAAGGTGCCTTGGTCCCATTGGTTGCAGGTCTAGATAGGGAGAGGGGATCAGAGGCGTGCAGCGCGCGGGAGCAGGAAGGCGGGAGAGTAACGAACGTTCGCGAAGTCGATGACCGGCTCGCCGCCCGTGCCGCGGAAGATGTACAGGAAGGCGATCGGGAAGACGTCTATAGTGCTGTCCTGGCAGTAGGAGGCGAGACTCTTCTGGTTACCGGAGGAGTCCTGGCCCCAATAGCTGCGGCGGGAGCATTAGTCGGACATGTCTCATGGAGCGCCACATGTGGAGTGCACGTACACAGCAAGCTGCACGCAGAACAGATATCAGACACGAGATGCAAACGGGTGGGGTATAAGCTCCAACGTACATTGTCGTTCCTGGTGAGGTCGAAGGACGCGACACGCTCCACCAGGCCGAGAGAGAGGATGAGGCAGGCGAGGGAAAGCACGCCGCGCATAGTGAAGGTCATGGAAGTCATCCTGCAAGTCGGGGCCGTGAAGAACTGGGAGGGACGGAGGATCACCTAGAGTAAACCTGGCCGGTTGCTCTGCAAGTCCTTTATACCCCTGCTGCTTCGCAGGGCTGCCGGCAATCATCCCGTCCTTTCTCCGTCCCTGAAGGCCCGTTGACCGCGAGTAGTCCGCAGGTCGATGCGGTCCCATAGATCTTTTCGGGTGTCGCCTCGTCCGGATTCTGCGTGTGTTTGTTTCGTGAAAAATTTCTTTTGTTGAATGAGAGTCGTCCCGCGTGGGTGCCATCAGTGCGAGCGCAGAGTCCGGAGTCGTATTGTGGCGCTTCACTTGTGCCAATACGCTAACCATAAGGAATATCGCGTTGTCAACGCCAACGGGGTTGCGGGGAGATGCTCCGTGGGAGGGCCGGGGTACCCGTCCGCGCCTCCAGGCCTCGACCGAAGGACGACGTGGCGGATGCGCGACGCCTCGATCAGATGACAATTGACGCTTCAATTCAGCATTCTCCAGCATAGATTATAGCACGGTCTTCGTATGGGGGGGAGTCACGATGAGCATGTTTCGCATGCACTTACGGAAGATCATTGCGAGAAGGCGGACCAGATGACGGGTGAGAGCGCATGAGGCGGCTTCGAAGGCACCCTCAGAAACCCGGAAGAATCCTGAACAGTCCTCAGAAGATAGAACCCGCAGCTGCTGGGCGCGAAGAACAGACAAGCAGAGACAGGAGCTGGGCCAGGCGCATCAATGAACCAGTGAGGTTGATTTGTCCGAGAGATGTCCCTGGATGGCGCAAGGTCGGGACCGCAAGACGCCGGAGTGGATATGTTTGGGAATGGCGCCCATTCGTGGAGAGCGAGTTAAAATAATTGTGGGGCGAGCGCCAGACGCCAGGACAGCTGTCGGACGCCAGTGGCAGATAGTTAGCATTACGGTCCGCAGTGGAAGGATGGACAGTTACAGATGGGGGCTCGCCGTTGCAGCTCGAACGCGCTGCGAACGTGCCGTCGATGATAGCCCGAGTGGGAATACATAAGCTCAATGTGGTGAGACTTCCGGGATCAATCTCACTCCGTAGAGATTCCAACTGTATACGTGCCTAAATGAGCAGTGTCAACCTCAAAAGTGCAGACATGGCGGCGTCCACTGTTTTGCGTATGATAAGAGCGGGGCGGACTTACAGAGACTCCACATGCACGAGGACAGGGCACATGCGGTGTATGCTCAATGCGGATGCAGCAAGTCGCTCGACCGACCGAGGACGGGCCGACGAACTTGACGCCATAGTGTTCGAACCACGACGCAGAGGGTGGCCGCACTCTTCTGGATACCAATAGGGTTGCACCGCGGGGCAACCGGAGTGCAGTTCCAGCACGAGCCTATACGCTGGAAATTTTGGCTCAATGCCGCTCCGAGAACGCTGGGATTGCTGGCCCTAAAAGCGAAGATGAGTGCGAACGACATACTAATGCTCCAGGATGGCTGGGGCTAGGCTCGGATAACAGGCCACCTGCGTGAGGCCCAAGGTTGTGGATCTCATTGAGACAAATGGCTCCCCCTGAAAATGCACGACTTTCATTCAGAACGACACGCATACCGGCACATTCTGAGAACTTGAGCGTCGGTTACAGGTTCACGAAGCGTCCATTATGAGGGAGATCGTTGTATAGCAAGTAGCGTACAGCCGTTCTTGTCGTTCTGGGGACGTAGAGTTAATGCGCGTATTTGCGCCGCTCAGTATCGGAGTCTCGGGGGCGCACCTCAATCGAATGACATCCGGTAATGCCTATGAGCCGTTATCCATAATATGCCTCTGTTGGAGGGCCGTTAGGCATGTATGATTACTTGGACTTGAGGCCTGATTATCGAGCCACAATATGCTCGAGTCGCCATTCTGACAAAACAATTGGCGGCATCGACTCTGCTGGTCAGAGCGAGAAACATGGCTGTCGAGACCGACGAGAGGAAAGGTTCAGAGGGGCGACTATAGACCGCGACATGGAGACGACGTCGTGGTTGCATTCAGGGCAGTCGGTGCGACCGTGACGTCGTGGTTCGGGGCAGACTCGGGCGCTTGTGCCGCACTGGCTCCTTGTCCAGGTCCGGCTCTTGCCCAAGCTGCTGCACCTTGCTTTGCTTCCATCACTACCTCATCCTCGCCACCCAATCTTGCCCCATATCATGGCTACCAGACAACTGCGTCCTGCTGAAGGATCGCGCACTATCACAGTGCAAGATAACCAGCCTCGCGAAGAGGAAACGCAGAGCGAGGCCGAGTCCTCCGCCGTCGGCACGCTCCGCCTCCGCGGTGCACCCAGGAATCGCCCGCGAGTCGTGTGGCGCGAAGACGTTGTGGATAACGAAGGTGCAGGCAAGAAGAAGTCGAAGAGTGCGTACCGAGCGACCTTGCTCCACAGGGTCCGCCCTGACATGATTTGCCGTCCATACAGTTTGCTGCATCTACCACAAGCCACGGCAGTTCGACGAGTCTTCTTCAGACGAGTCCTCGGACGATGACTCCGACTCTTCCTACGACAGTCGTGCCCCGAGACGTCATCGCGGGCATGATCACGACCATGACCATGATCACAACCACAACCATGACCACGACGATGGCGCCAGCCACGGAACGGCTACTAGGGATGGACAAGGCAGCGGGGTTGTCCACGAGCTGGAAAGTGATTCAGATAACGTGAACGCGTATGAGCGTATGCCTCGCAAGAAGCCCAAAAGCAACAGCGTTCCCCACAAGAAATGTGAGTTTCACCCTGCTCACAGTCCTCTCGTCTGCGCTCAGGGCTGACCATTTGTTTTTGTCCCACAGCTTAGACTCGTTCTACCGTGTCTCCACATGCTTGGACAGTGCATCGTGTGTACAATATAATTCTCCGACGACGCTGACTGTACAACTGGAGCCTCTTTTTTTACAATCCCGTATATCTCATTCCAACCCCAGTCTGCCCTTCACCGGCTCAAGCTCGAACGTATCCCAGAATTCCCTGCTATCCATCGCGCGTCCGATCACCTCCGGTGCGCGCGGGAGGGCTCTGATCCCCTCCTCGCGCAGCAATTCAAGAACCCAGCGCGGCTGCTTACCCTCCTCGCCCCACACCGCTGCCAGGTCCCACCAGTCATACACCCGCAGGTCCGTGAGGAGCCAGCGCTGCCCCACCGCGCGGTCGGGGTGCGCGTGCACCGCGAGCACCGCGCGCGAGACGTCGAGCCCGTGCATCATGTGAACGCTGCCCTGTACGTTTTGGAGACTGCGTCAGCGTCATGGACTCACAACAGGATGCAGCGAGAGGATCGCCCGCACCTTTTGTTTGAGCGCCTCCTTAGTCGGGGCGACGCGCGAAACCCAGTTCCGCGGCTGCCTTGGTCCACCCCAGAGTCCGCAGAGGTTGAGCACTGTCGTCGGTACTGCGGGCGCGAGTGCAAGAAGCTCCGTCTCCGCACTCGCGCGGTCGTTCGTCTCGTCGAACTTTGAGTGACGGTCGGTCCACACATGCCCCTGCGCGCGCAAGGTAGGCCCGCCCTAAGAATAATGCGCGTAAGCACGAGTCGCAGCACCATACATATTTCGGACGATCACGCAGAATGATTTTGCAGTACTCACGTCCCAAATGCCCGTCGATCCGAGCTGCACAAACGCCGTCTTCGGGCCCTCCGGGTGCGTCTCCTGGAACAGTTTTACGAGCCGCGCCGACGCGCCCGCGACCTTGATAGGGAACGTGATCAGCACGGTGTGCGCGTGTGGCAGTGCCTGGAAGGGCGCGGGGTTCGTCGAGTGCGGGTCAAACTCGAACGCGATCGTGCCGTCCCGTCCGGCGCGCGAGGTCGCGGCTTGCGAGATGCCGCGCTCCGCGCAGAGGGGGATGAGGAACGTGGACGTCCACCCGGCGCCGAGGATGAGGATGTCGACCGTTGAGCGCATCGTGGCAGAGGTCGTGGTGGTGCGAAGGCAAGGAGCGCACCGGTCAGAATGGGAACCCGAATTCTTTCGTGAACCACGATGTCGTAGTGGGCGCCTGTACATGGAGGCGGACTCCGATGGGTAACTAGATTGCATTGCGTATATATGGTAGTGAGGACATGCGTGTAAGTACTTTGCGACGACGTAGAAATACATAATGGAACAGGCAAGAAGGCACTCAGTATAAGCGTCCGGGTGGGCAGGGGCGGGTGTGGGGGTTCCGCCGTCGATACTCTATCATGAGATTTCCTCCATCTCGTCGTCATCCGAGTCGTCGTCGTCTTCGTCCATGTTGGCGTCTTCCGCCTTGACTTCGTACCCTACAGGGATGGGAACGTTCTCCGCTTTGATCTATGCCCAAGTCAGCACAGCACACGACAGTACTCGTATAAGCGAGATCCTCACCCCCTCTCCTTTGTAGTTGGCCAGCAGCTCCCACGAGCCGTTGAACTCTCCACTGCGATGGAGGAACGCAATCTCGCTTAGCACCTCTTTGAGGTACGCCTCGGGTTGCTGCGTGCGCTCGCGCAGGACCTTGATCGACCAGCGTTCGCGCTCCTGGAACGCACGGAACAGCTCGTCGAGCAGCTGGTCGCGCGGCATACGCGCCATGCGCTCGAACTGCCCTTTTTGCGGCTTCGGCTTCGCTTTCTGCGATCGCATAACCTGTGAGCTAGACATACGTAGACGCTTGCATGTATACGCACGACGAGGTTGAAGCCCGCATGGTTCTTCGCACCGCTCGTGAGCATGTTGATCTCGCCACGCCCACCCGGGTGTGCATCCTCGATCCGCATCGTCGTCCGCTTCGGCGCGTTCGCCGCGCGGTTCCGCTCCTTCAGCTGCCTTCGGTAGCGCTCCGTCAGCGTCGGGCGCATGTTGCACTCGTGCTTCACCGAGCCCGTCAGGATCGTCGTGCGCGCGCGGCTCGCCGTGCCAGGCTCCTTCTCGCGCTCCGCGATCACGATCTGGTTCTCGACGTCGTGGTTCACCATGTCCATCTCGTACTCGTCCGGCTCCTCAGGGTGCTTCGGGTCGGGGGGCAGCGTGAGCACGATGCGCGGGCGCCGCCCGAGCGACGACTCCGCCTGGTGGTAGATGCGGATGCTGGCAAGGTGCACGCCCTCCTCGTCGATCGCGGACCAGCGCTCCATCAGGTGTCTGGGGATCTTCAGAATCACGCGGGGCAGCAGCTGTGGGCGGGCTCGACGAGGCGGCGGTCAGGGTGGGCGCACCTTCACCAGCCAGACTTTCCCGAGTCCGGCGTCCATCATGAGCGGCTCGTCTGGGTCGGGCTGGTTGTCGTCGTCGTGCCCGCCGTTCATGGCGTCGAACTGCTTGCTGTCCTCATCCATGGCAGCGGCTTCCATTGCGGGCGATCGAGTAGAGGAGAGCTGGACAAGTTCTTCTTGTATAATGCGCAGTTAGATGAAGAACAAGCAGACCGGACAACAAAGGAGAGGAGGTGGTGGTGGATAGAGGACGAGCTGTGGCGACTCGCGAGCTGCAGCGGCGATGTGTAAGCGCCTGTGATGATCGGCCCGCGCTTCGGCACCGCACACCCGCTAAAGTTAGCCGAGTCGAAAGCAGAATCCGGGAAAGCATCGAGAGCGTCGTTGACTCGAGTAGAACGTGCCACGCATGCATTGTGCTGTCTGCTGAGGATCGGGCTGGTAGGATATATGTAAGTCGTAAGGCCGCGCAAGCACGGCAGAGCCCGCTACCGTCATTCTATTATATATAGTGATACGGCAACACAGTCACGGCACCTAGGATTTGACATCAAGTAAAGAATTGTGATGTCGGTACAGTATGATATCATCATAATTCACGAGATGAGGTCTTTACTATTACGGGTATCCTAATGTGCAGATATTTTCCGATGGTATGACATTGTACATTGCGAGTACATATGAAACAAGTCAGAGAAGACCGCGTGCCACAAAGAGACACAGTCGGAGTATCGCACAGATATATATGCGACATTGCAAAGGGGTTCACGTCGTGCAAAGAGAGTCGTGTCGCCTATTCACACCGAGCGAGGAGGAGGGTGTCGCGCGAGGAGTGTCAGGGAGTGTCGCGCCGCGTACAAATGGTTCGTGTCATGCACAAACGGGTTGCGAGAGGAGTTCGTCGTGCGAAGAAGTAGGCGTCGCGCCAATAGAGTCTAGTCGCGCCCAGCCTAGAATCGTATCGCGCGAAGGAGTTCGCCGTGTCCGCGCACAGATTCTGTGATGCCTCGTGCAAGGAAGAGAGCGTCGCAAAAAGGAGCAAAGCGTTGTGCAGGGATTAGGCCGGAGCAACAGCATTGTCAAGAGTCCATCACCGGGGAAAGCTAACACATCATATCGTAGACGGATAGCTGTGTATATGAGGGGGGAAGGGTGAAATGGGTTCTCGTACTACCCGTCTGCCATGTACTACTCACCTAAAACTATGGTAAGTGGAAATATTCTCGAAGTGTTTCATGACCGTGTCGAGCATCCCGTCGGCGTGATTCTCCCACTGTTCAGAAGCATACGCATGCTTCCACCTATGTATATAAGCTTTATCATGAAGGCAATCTAGGAGGATCGCAGAGGACCGTGACGCACTTTGACATTGTTTCCTTCTCGGACGGCGGCCACGCTTGCGGGACCCTATCATGCATGACGCGGTTTCCTGGCTTTTGGATGTCGCACATGAATGGTAGTCTTACCAAGGAGTGTACATCCGGCTTCGCAATGTTTTTTTTTGAGGTTGGAGGCCTGCGCACGAACGATAGATTGGCAGTGCACACTCAGCTAGCACGCGACGCGCGCCGAAGACTAGCTCATGACCAGTTGTTGAGCTGGGGCTGCTTGATCGTAGATAGACGGTATGAAATCTACGAGTTAATACCATGCACAGGGCGTGGCGGTTGTACCCCAAGCTCGACCCTCCGAAGTTGTGAGTGAGTGAGATGGGCGGGGAGCGTCTGAGCACTGCCAGTCAAGCCTCGAGATCAGTTTGGCGCCCTTGTTCCCACCGTGACTTTGAGGCGCCACTCGCATACAACTCGAGTAAAAGAAGACTTAGTATGCATGGGATCAAAGGAGTGGAGCTCATCTGGTAAGAATATTTAATCTTTTGCAGAATTTGTGACAGCATCTCCTCCAAGACCCGCTACTAGGTAGCGGGAATCTATGGTGTTCATTATTCAAGACGTCGTAGCGGGTGGTGATACATCTGTAATACAAGTCGAAGATGCGGGGTATAACTTAGGTCATATGGATGGAGCGAAACGAAGTGAGCGGAGGGAAGTATGCACAGCGCGAAAGTACCGGATGACGAAGAGGCGAAAGCGACCGGGAAAGGGAGTGCGCGACGAACAGAGCGGCAGAGAGGAAAGGGGGGAGTCCGGGGAAGCGCGAAGGCAGGAAGCGCGAAGGCACCCGGTGCATCAGCCGCGCAAAAGACGATCGACGTCGGGGGGAATGTCCGGAGGGCCGCATGGGCAGCTCACCCGTAGACGACACTGTAGATCATGACGTCGTCAGTATGTGGGGGCGTGTCCGATGAGCGCATGTCAACTCACCCTCTTGCCGTCGTGGATATCGGCTTGAAGTCTGTCCGGCCGGACTCGACGTAGTGTTGGAGGACCTGCGGCCAGTCCTCGCGCATGTCCCACGAGATGCGCGAGGGCGAGTCGACCTCGACAGGCATCACCTGGCTGATCTCGCCGCACTGGATGATGACGACGACGCAGCCGATGCCGCCGCTCTTGCGGCACCGCTCCTCTCGGCGCATGATGTCCTGCCCGACGAGGGGGTCGCTATCGGTCACGTACGTCCTCGGGACAACGTGGGCACCCTTGATCGAGAATCTAGGAAGTGATTGGCGTCAGACCACAGCCCGTGTACAGGTGTATAAGGTTCCCAAGTACTCACCGACGCAGGGAGTCCGACGCTGAGTGGCGGTAGTTGAGTTCGATCAGGAGGGCGTTTTGGCGGATGTTAGAGGGCACCCGCTTGAGCTGGAGCGCCTGGAAGCCGGCCCAGCTGAGAAGGGAGGAGTGGCCGGACACAAACTTCCGGAGGCCCTTAACGAGGCCCTCGTCCATCGCGCCGGGGCCGGGTTGCTGTTTCGCAGACGAGATCTGCGAGACGGTGTGTTGGCAGATGGGCTTGTGCGATGGCCAGTGGGCCTTCTGGCAATCCTGAGACTATAAAGACGGGTAAGTCACCGCGCTCTGGTATCCACCGGGGGCCGCCGTCCGTGTAAAGCCCCGTTACACGTTGATCGCACACTGGATGCCGCGTGTGATCAATGTGCACCTACGGTGGCACAAGTTGAGACACCGAAAGCACAATCGGACTTTGGCAACGATGTGCTTTCGGTGTAACATCTCGTTACATATGCGCATACCCCCGGTGTATCGCATGTGATGAGGCTACTCACGCAGTACTGGGTGATCATCTGGAGACGCGATCGGGCGGGTCAGTGAATGCGATCGGGACGGAGGCACTGGAGGGGACTCACGCAGCCACCGCAGAGTCTGAAGCGACCGATGTGTGGTTGCTCGACGGTCCCGCACTGGTCGCAGATGCGATATCCGCGCTGCTTAGGGGGCGCATGGGCCGGAGCAGTGAAGTAGTTGGCGGCAGCGGGTTGGGCGTAGACGGCAGCCATTTCGGAGAAGAGGGGGTGGCGGATTTGGATGGGTGAAACGAATCGGGAGTGAGTCGTGCTGACTCTGCCATGGCGTCCGCATTTTTATAGCACGCTGCATGGCTGGAGTGAATATTCGGAGGTGCAGATGGTGGTACGCGGAAGAGCAAAGTCGCGGCGCTTGTGGCCAATTGTGATCGGTCGGGCGTCTGAGGCTGCTGCCTGCCGGATCGGGACGCGATGCGCGTCTTGTTCTTTTGTTTCTGAACTCACGCGTCGAGCCTCGCGCCGACTCACTCCGCCGTTTATTGTCTCGTCCGCGTTCTCGAAAGTAATATCCCACCGAGCCGCCCCTCTACACAAAAGATCCATCGACAGCGTGCATACGCCGACGTCTCGCATAACAAAAAGCTCGGCCCGCACCACTTTTTGTCTTGTCTTCGCTCTGGCAACCACTCGCACTTCTCGAAGTCTCTCCGTGCCACCGCCATCCAAGAAGGATGCTCATGATGCCTCGAGTCGGCATCTATCAACAGTGCGGTACTGGTTTCGCAGGGTTCTCCGCCCCGCTCAATCTTCGCGCACTGGTGCTCAGGCGCAGATCCGAGTACACCTCAGGCTCACCATGATGCACGAGGCTCGACTCTAACTCGAGTGAGGGAGATTGCTCCAAAACTCCGTATCTCCGACCCATGGGTCCACCTTCGGCAGAATTGGGCATCGCACCTCCGCAAGTAGCCCGCCCCATACCCAAATGTAGCCAGTGGGCATCCCGAGAAGATCCATTCCGCGCCAAGGGAGGATTACGGATGCTGTAATCTGCACGAGACTGCGGTAACACGTTGACGGAATCTTGGAAAACTCACTCTGCGGCAACAAGACGCGCGTCGCCCGTACGCTGAGCGCTGATCTTCCAACAAGAACTGTTCAACGTTGAACCTACTACACGTAACACGCCGCCGGCTCTTCTGACACCGAACCACGACGTGCTGTGCCTCTTCCCCAACACCCGCCGTCCACCCATCACGCGTCGACCCCAGCCCTCGAACCTTGCACGCCAGCGGGCGGTGCGCCAAGTTGGCATACTGAACTCCTGCGAGGTACGTTCGCATCAGCCGTGCACCGCACGTATTCAAATTGCATCCATCTCTGGAACACCATAAAGCCACAGAAGCTCACAGGCCTCGGCGATGGCAGAAGCTTCGTCCGAGTGGCCAATGCAGGGTCGTGCACACTGCATAGTAAGTTCGGATAAGGCGTGGCGCGGAACCTTGGAAGACCGCTACAGACAGACAGAGGGAAGGTGCGGGCTTCTGGTAGGTTCGCCCAGTCCGTCAGCTGCGACGCGACACCACTGGGACTAGATAAGCTCGTAGCGCACAGCTCATCGTGCGCCGCGATATGTGGAGGCGTAACAGCTGTGCGAGTGTATGGCGTAACTGGTGGAGTAAAGCCTGATTCACCTGGTTCACTTGTGCTTGACGCGCGCTCTCATTGCAAGCTCCGGCTGGCGTTCACTGCTCTGATGCTATGGAATCTCCGTTGTAGACATGAGAGCGGCTGCACACGAATGGTATTTGTATCACTCAGATGGGCCATATAGTTTGCGTTCGCTGACGGATTTCCCCGACGCCTTAGCAAAACACGCCGCACCGTTTAACCTCGTGTTCAAACGGTTCGTAAGTTCTCCTTGCTGTGTAATTCACTCCGGTATCCCAGGAGTGAGGATCGTCAAGGTGCGAACCCCTCCGATACTTCATGTGTCATGGCACGTCTGAAGAGGGCCCCTCGGCTATGGGTATAGAAACTGAACGACTGTTTGTACGCAGGTCCGAGGCCGAGGTTCAAGCCGGCTTACATTCAGTCCTCTGAATCGGAGCGCTCCTGCTTTCCGTCCCTTCCACGAGTATAAAGCATCTCATGCGAATCATGCGTTCTGATGACGCAGCGTTCGAGGCGTTCGAGGCTATGTCCAAGATCCGTAATATGGGGCGTTCTCTTGGCGCCATTATGGCGCATTACAGTCTCGGTAAGCTATCAGGTGCCTCCTCTCCCAGGTTCACGCGATGCTTCGTTTGCATTTACAGCATCATACGGGAGCCAGTCTATGTGCTCGACACTATATTGAAGGTATGAGCCGCTGTGCATAGCATCTATGATTGGACCCACTCAGCGCTTACGCGAGGGCGGGGCCGGCGGCGGGATGTCGATCAGGGGAGTGCGGGGTCGGGGTGTTCCCGATTAAGCGGAAATCCGACCGCGCCAAGTTATGTCAGCCAGTGGGCACGGCCCAGATCTCGATGGAAACAGTCAGAACTTTTCCGCGTCAACACATACCCACATCGCGACTATCTCCGGCGTCGGCCCTGGTCAAAATGTCTATAAGCAAAGCCGCCAGCCGCGTTCCGCGCGGACACTCCTCTGCATCGGACCACACCTCATCATCGCCCGTGCAGGCCTCCTGACTCTTAGATCCGCCCACGTCTGGTACAGGGCCCTCATCCGCCTTCCGCCATTAAAATGGAAAACCTACCACCAACCCATTTCCTCAACCTTCCGCGACCAGACGTGTTTGTGCCGACGTTTGCCGGCGCACCAGACACCTCTACCCTCGCAGCGCATGATTTCGACGTCGATACCCGTACCGGTTTCATGCCCCCAGAACCCCCTCTCGTCCGTCTTCCGAGCGCATGGGAGCCATGGGAGGTCGTGCTAGAGGACGCGATCCAGGACAAGCTTGAGCACGCAGACAGCCCGGAATTGTCGGATGAGGGCCAGGCGACCTCTGAGCGATGGCGCAACCGGGTCCGCGAGGTACGCTTCCCTGGCTGCCCTCGACGGGCCGCGGAGCCGCTCATGCTTCGCCATAGCTCCCGATACTATCCACGGCCGACCTGAAATCGTCCGAAGTGCTGCTCCGTCGGGCCCACCATGTCCTGGCATGGATCATGCATTTCTACGTCCACACCACCCCGATGACCGTGCGCAACATCCATATACCCCCGCCCATCACTGTCCCACACCTCCAAGTCTGTGCGCAGCTGCAGCTCCCACCCGTTCTCACGTATTCAGACGACGTGCTCTATAACTGGGCGTTCAGGACATCGCCGGCTCCGAACGTCCCGTTCGTCCCGAAGCAGCAGCTGCACAACCTGCGCTGTCTCACTCTCTTCACGGGCACGCGCGACGAGGAGGAGTTCTACCTCTCCTCAGCACGCATCGAACTCCGCGGCGTCGAGGCACTGTCCATCATGCGTGCGATCATGGACGAGGCGTTCGCGGGCGACGCCATCGCCATCCGCCGCATCACGGCATACCTCCGAGCTCTCGCCGGCGTCATCCGCGACATGCAGCAGCTGCTCGCGGGCGTGCGCGACGGCTGCGACCCGCAGGTGTTCTACGACGAGATCCGGCCGTGGTTCAAGGGCGCGGACTCGGACACGACCGGCCGCAAGTGGGTGTTCGACGGGCTCGAGCTCGACCCGACGCTCGCCGAGCCCACCGAGCTGTCCGGCCCCAGCGCGGGCCAGAGCTCGCTCATCCACGCGCTCGACATCTTCCTCGGGGTCGACAGGTACTCGCACACGAACTTCGCCACAGGGCGCCCGCCGGCTTCTTCCTCGCCGCACGCTGCCGGCTCCCCGGCCGCGCCCGCCTCTCCCACTACGGCGGCGTTCAGCTCCGCCCCAGGCCCACCTAAGGTGCCCTTCTTGACACGCATGCAGTCGTACATGCCACGCCACCACCGCGCCTTCCTGCGCCACCTGCAGGGAAACCCACGGCCGCTCCGGAGGCTCGTGGAGCAGTCGGACGACCCAGCCCTGCGGGAGGCGTACGACGTCGCGGTCACCGCGCTGAAGGAGTTCCGCGACGAGCATGTGCGCATCGTCGCGCTGTACATCCTGATTCCGTCGCGCAAGGCTTCGGGCGCTGCGCAGCAGTCGGGGGCAGCGCCGTTGGGTACTGGGGGCACAGACGCTTTCCAGTTCGTGCAGGGCGTCAGGGACCAGACCGCGGGGGCGTTGCTTGGCCATGGACGTCCGTAGAGCGTGATGCTTACATGAAATTAGAGCTACCATGTAATAGTAATCTTGAATCTTGGATGTACGATGGATCTGTAGCAGTCGCAAATTAAGTGAATCGCGAAGGTTCACGGTCTCGCTTCCAACCTCTCGCGCGTCATTGACAATATCCTTATCAACAAGCGGGTAATCTGTGGACGACCGGTAATCATGTATCAACAAAACACAATATGGAGGCCGATGCGATACACGATGATACACATAGTCGTAATCCAGGAGGTCTACCCTTCCCTTGGATGGTGTATGGGCTGATCACCCCCTCTAGACCGTCCGGCCGCTCAGGAGCATGCACGCTGGGCGCAGATGAAAGACCAGCAAGCACTTCGCAGCGCGATAGCAGACGGCGGCAATCCGGGATGCAAGATCGTACAGTGAGTGATACACGATTCATTGGGGGTATCCTACAGCTTCCGTACAGATACAGCTTCTTTTCGACGCGTCCATCCGGCCCATCCCTTACGTTTTCCCGAACGCCTACGCGTGGACCTTCTCCTGGTAGCCGGGGAGGATCTGCGCGGTCTCGTACTTCGGGTCGCCGCGGACAATGTTCTTCGTGCGCTGCCACTTCTGCTTCGCGAACGTCCACTCTGAAAACACACATGTAAATTACTGCCTCTCGAGCCGCCAGGGGGATTACGTACCCTCCATGGTGGGGACCGGGTTCCCGCTCTTCTCGAAGTCGTTTTGGACGAAGCCCTCGCGCACGAGCACGGGGGACTTGATCGTCGTGAGCTGGACGTCGTTGTGGGGCCTAAGAACGGTACAGTCAGGATGCAGTGTTGTCTTTATCTGACAAGCAGACGCACCTCGAGAAGTACAACAGGCCGAGGCGATCGACGTGCTCCTGGTCCTTCGGCGGCGAGACGACGCGGTGGATCGTGCTCCGGACGTACCCGCCCGTGAGGAACGTGAGCGCGTCGCACGCGTTCACGGTGAGCGTGCCGTCCTGTGGCTTCACCCATTTCCATTCGCCGGTCGCGTGGCCCTTGATCTGGAGCGCGGCGACGGGCTGGCGGAACAGCAGCGTCCACGAGCCGAGGTCGGTGTGGCCCTGCACCCACTGGCTGCCAATCTTCTTGTTCTCCTCCGGGGTGTACTTGGAGTACTTCATGTACCGGAGGTGGTCCTGTCGCCAGGGGTGTGGTGTCAGCACGGCATACACAGGTGGATGGAGGCGGTACGGAACAGACCTCGCTCTTGACATCATACTTGTGGATGTTCGTGAAGTAGTCTTCGGGGAGCTCGAGCGCGATGGCCAGCAGAACATGCAGAGGGTCGAGGACCTCGCTGTGCAACGACTGTAAACGCTGCCGTTAGGACGAGTTGTTAACATATTGCAGGCGAACGGCACTTACGCGGGCGAATTCTTCGATCTCGGGGAGATGCGCCTGGAGGATCTCAGGGTGCTCGTGCTTGAAGTCGCCGTTGAACTCTGCTCGAACGTCAGCAAGTGTGAATTATTATGCATAGGTATGAAGTGAACTAACTGGGGATGTTGTAGATTTCGATGCGGTCCTTCAGGCCGGACGCAGCGTCAAGGCTATGTGCACGTTAGCAAGGGAGTGAATGCTCAGGCTGATGGGTAGACTCACATACGGCGACCAGCAGGAACGTAGCCGTTGAAGGCGCCGTTGTCTGCAGAGGAAGTCAGTACATAATCCGGACGCGGATGGTATTATGAAATACTAACCAAGTCCCTCGGGAACATACTTCAACTTCTCCTCCAGAGGCAGCTCGTAGAACTGCTTCCCGAGCGAGAACTGACGGTTGACGCGCTCTTGGGGGATGTTGAAGTTCTTCACGTAGAAGAAGCCGTGGTGGCGAACGGCCTCGATGAGCTCGTTGGCGAGCTTCTTGTTGCCTTCCGGTGTTCCGTAAGTGCTAAGATCGAGCGTTACAAGGTCGGCCCAATCGAGATCCTCCTGTAGGTCCAACGGTCATCAACACCGGAACCGAACAGATAACATGCGGGGCGAGTGTGCGAACCTTGGTCTCGGCGACGTAATTGAAAGAACCAAGCTCAGGGACGGGAACGGGCATGATGAAACGATGAAAATCAAAGGACGGGCGTGGAGATGGTGAGCGCGGTGGGTGTGCAGCTGCTCGTGTCTCGAGCACCTCTTTTCAACCGTTTCAGCCGTCATTGGGGAATGGCCTGCTGAGGCGCGCTCTCACGCCGGATGGGAACAGGTTGCGACATCCTCCAGGTCGATGGTGGGACCCTGGCGAAGTAGGACGAATATGGCCTGTGACCAAGTCCCATGTCCGGTTGAATGCTTATCTGATGATAAGCTTGTCGGTGTACTCCACGTAAGTCATCTCCTTCGCTGACTGCGGAGGAGGAGCTGGTGGAGGCTCGGTCCGTGTACGGGGGTGAACGGTGCTCGCTACGGGCACTGTGCGAGCGTCGGCGAGGCACAAAGGCTGACAGATGCCTAAGAGGAGAACGACATCTCTTCGCCATCATTAGCCTTGCCATCAGCGAAAAGGAAGGGCGCCGTGTCTTACACTCGGTGGCAGGCTGCTGCGTCGGGGCCCGAGGGTGTCTCGCTGAGATGAGCCCGGCTTGCACTCGGTATTCAAAGGCAGTACCCTGTAGCTAGCCAGGGAATGGTCATAACGAATGAGAAAGCCGGAGTTCGTCCGCTACCACTTACTTTGTGGGCGAGTCGAAGCTGCCGGGGATGGTGATGGTCACGAACTACGAAGACGCCTCCGCATTTGGCAAGCGCCGCCACAAGGAACATGGGCGCTTCGTAACTTGACCTCTACCACGAACCTCTCCAGCAGCCTCGAGCACATACATGCCAAGTTCACCGACACCTCCATCAATGCAATGGTGTTCCTGCGTGATGGGAGTACCATCAACATGCGCGGCGCAGCGGTAGGAGCGGTAAGTGGAGATCTCGTTCAGGCGCTTCCAAATTGTGCGATCTTGCGTGCTACAACCTTAAGTAGCCGGGTTGACCATAGTGCACCATCCTGAGATGCCCGACTGCCGTCATGGTGTAATTTCAAGACCGCGCTATCGCTCGCAGCGCGAGGATACACGCTCAGCCGGTGCCTTGCTCCAACTCTTCGACCTACGACGAGCGGCCTCTATGTATACATAGGTCCGCGATGCTTTCACGGTTCCTTGGGCTGTCTCCTGGGCCCGAGTACGAGCGTGTTCCTACTGTCGACCCTCTGAGGACTGCCAACATGCCTTCAAGTTCTAAGATCGACAAGTCTTCTACGCCCGAGAAGCCGCGTTCCTGGACAAGCTACGTCTGGTGAGTCCCAGCTCGCTAACTCTTCGGCTTCGTCTAACCGAGCGGCTGGGTACAGGGACACCTGGGACAAGCCCGTGGCTGAGCGCCGCTTCCTCTTCAAGCTGGATGCGTGCCTGCTCACCTATGCTGCGCTATCGTACTTCAGCAAATGAGTACACTTCCTCTTCCCGCGCGGAAGTCTTGACTTATCGTTCCGCCTTCACGTACCTGGACCAGCAGAACATAACGGTAAGCACCGTTCATTTGGAGCCTGTATTCTTATCTGACGCGTACGCTTCAAGAACGCCTATGTCTCGGGTATGCAAGAAGAGTGAGTCGCGCGAAATCCGTTCTCTTCACTCATACTAACCTTCCGTCGTAGTCTCGGACTGTAAGATGCGCCACTACCAGTGGAAGTACGCTGGCTTACCGAGGTGCAGGCATGGGAACCAGCTCAACTACATCACGACGGCTTGGACATGCGGCTACGTCCTAGGACAAATCCCATCGAAGTAGGTCGTCCGATGCGCTACGTCGAACCCTTCGCGCTGACATCACTGCGCAGCATGCTCATCACGAGGATACGACCCTCGATATGGGTATGCACCCATCGTTCTCTCGCTCCTCTGCTGTCTGACGAGAATCCGGTTTCTATTATAGATACCCGCCATGGAAGTGATTTGGAGCGCGTTGACGATGGTCCTAGCGAGCGCAAAGAACTTTGAGACGCTCATCGTAGTGCGGTTCTTCGTTGGTGAGTAATATGTTAAAGTACTTAGGTGCCGCAAACTGAACGGGCTTTCTGATCAGGTCTTGCGGAGTCGACTTTCTATCCTGCCATCCAATACGTCATTGGCAGTTGGTATAAGCCCGAGGAGCTAGGAAAACGCGCGTGCATATTCCATGTAAGGTCGCGCTTCCTCGCGAAGGTCATCATGTGCTGACTCTACGTGCGCTTCAGACTGCAAGTGCATTAGGACCTATGTTCAGCGGCTTCCTACAGACAGTACGTAGGGTATAATTTCTGACTCAGCGCATGAGCTGATACTAGTGCTAGGGCGCATACAACGGCCTGAATGGCGTCCATGGTCTTGCGGGCTGGAAATGTGCGTACTGTATTGCGTCACTGTACATGCAGTCTCATTCTAACCTCGCCCTACAGGGCTTTTCATCATCGACGGGATCATCACGATACCCATCGCTTTGCTCGGATTCTTGATCATGCCTGGTACGTCCTCACCACACTCGCGACATGACGAAGAAGCAGCGCAGTATCTCATCCTCTGTGAAGATCTTCCTTCCAACACTCGTCCGTCGATGTTCTACACCCAAGAACAGATCGACATCGGCAAGAAACGCATGGCCGATATCGGAAGGAAGCCCCCTGCGCCGTTCACGCGGAAAAAGGTGAGGGTCACCCTTGTAGCGAGAGGACCACGCCCTTACGCCATTCCGTCAGGTCATCGGTTTCTTCACGACTTGGCATATCTGGACTCTCGTGCCGCGTGAGTGGTATCGCATATTCTCTGCATTATCATCTGCTGACTCTACTATCACTAGTATATATCCTGGTGCGCATGATCTTTCCGGGTGGCGGCTGCCGAGGTTAACGTTTATTGCAGTTCAACAACGGAGGAGGCGCCGCTAACTCCATGATCTTTTGGTATGTCGACCTCAGCCTGCATATGCGCGCGCCGCACGAGCCTAACTGATTTGATCTCCAGGCTGAAGAGCTTCAACACACGGGCCGGGCATCAAGTGTACACTGTAGGGCAGATCAACACTTATCCGCTCGGGATTCAGGCCACCCAGGTAGTCACTAGTGAGTGGCCCAATACTCAGGCCTCACATGCAGACGTTTAATGAGCATGCGTATAACAGCGCTAATCTACGCTTGGTGGTCGGATATCGTCGGAGCCAGGTGGCCCCCCATGATCTTCGCTGGAGTGAGTGTCTGCTTTGGCATCAGGCATCAGGCGTGTAAACCTCAATACTGATCGCGTCTTGGTAGACATGGAGCATGATCACATGCATAGTTCTCGCTGCAACACCTTTATACACGCATATTACACGGTACGTACCACTACCCTCGTTCGTTTTCCGTACGGCAAACTGACGTGATCGTAGACGTTGGGTCTTCTACTACTTCGTACGTCGGACTAGCCTTCCTGGGGGATCGTCTCACTGACCTATTCCTTCATCAGACCGGATGCAACGGGGGTCTATCCGGTCTCATCCTCGCATGGGCAAACGAGTTGAACGGTCACGACAACGAAAGTGCGTCGGCACCCATCATGTTCTATCTCAACTGCCGCTCACGTCCTCGTCTCGTCTACAGAGAGGTCCTTCGTCGTGGCGAGCTGCAACATGTTCGCATACGTGATGCAGGCATGGTTGCCTATGTGCGTCCGCCACCCCATCTCTGCCGCTCGCGCGTGCTGACAGCTTTGTCCTTCTAGTGTCATCTTCCCGCAGGTCGAGCAGCCACGGTACGTCGCCCATGCAACCGACCCTCCCTCTTACCGGCCTCTGATTATGCGCTTCCTCCCACAGCGTGTTCAAAGGAAACGTCGCGACCGCATGCATCAACTTCTCCATGAGTGCGTCCCACCTTTCGCTCCATACTCGCCCAGCACGCGCTTACATACCTCCTTCCCCTTTCAGTGGTGTTCGCGATGGCGACGTACTGGCTGTCGCGGCGGGACCAGCGCGCCGCGCGGAAGCACAGCGAGAGCATCCCCGGAAGCGACGTCTCGGACGACATCGTGCTCGAGGATGAGCTCGACCCCGACCTCAAGAAGCCGATCACGCCCGTGGATTCCACAGTGCTGGCGACGCTCGAGCACCGGCACCCCGCAGGCCACGTTGCTGCATGAAGGCGGCCACGCTGGTGACGGTAGCGATTATGAGGAATTCTGCAATCTTGGACTGGGACGGATGTGACGATGTAGGTGGGACGACGTGGCTGCAATGCGCAATGTATTTAGATACCGGCAATTTGATCCCTTTCTTCGGTGTCGACTAGCTTGTCCGATACGTAGCAGTGAAAGGCCTTGAGCAGGGTATGGATCATCGCAGGCGGGTCCGGCATGCGAACTTGAGAGGATATTGCGTGCTATTTTCTTTCTTCTCCGCAGCACATAAATTGTAACAACGTGTCGGAGACGTGTTCGAAGGAATTGCACGGTGACCACGTATGTCATGGGCCCGGGTACTTGTTGAAGGCACAACACCTGGGGCTGTGCCACCATGGGCGCTCGATGAGCGCTGTTCTAACTCCTTATCGTTAACCACCACACTTATATTGAACACCACGGTGGTGGCGAAGTTTCCAAGTCCCATCTCTCTCTTTCGGACCTCAGCCATTGCATGCGCCATGTTCTCCAGCTTTCTCAGCATGTTCTCCCCCAGTCAGGGTGCTCCCTCAGCGCTCATACTCATCCGCATTCCGGGTGGACGAGCGGACGCAGTCCTCCACATCGTCCCCGAGGACGGCACCATCGAGACGTTCTCCGTCACCGATGCCTCTTCCTCTAATAGGACCACCTTCCGCCAATACGGTGCCGTAGAGCAGTCCCGCGAGGAACTCGGCGTCGTCGTGCTCCGCGCCCTTCCTGAAGAATGGGACTTGGGCTTCCTCGACCGTGACGTACGAGCCAGAGTCGAGAAGATCATGCGCAGCTCGTCCATCTTCGGCGCGGCACAGAAGGAGCAGGCCGGCAGCGTCGACGTGTCTCTGCTGGTGGAGGAAATACTCAAGCCGGCGGCTCTTGACGCTATCCGCGCGATGGAGGGTCGTGTTCTTCCGAAGGATGCAGCCGTGGAGACGTACCATGTCTCTATCATCTACGTCAATCGCAAGAAGCCTGGGCCGATTTGTGGGGAGCCGAGGTCCATCATGTAATGGCCCCTGGCTATGTCCCGCATTATGACTGAAGGATATATGTGAGTACCTCTATCTCGATCACTTGCATCGCACTGACAGGGGTTTGCATCCTTTATGCAGCCCGCGGATATCCGCAAGCAAATGCCACACCGGGACGTATACAGTACCGGGTTATTTGCGATGTGTGCGTTCCCTCCAGGGGTTGTTGGGTATACGGCCGGGCTGTGGTGGTCTTGTTTTGACGCTGTCGCCGCAGCCATAAACAAGGCCACTGGCTAATGTATATCGGCGTGGGTGGGATGAGGTATTCAATGACTTTTGTTTTTGCCTTCGCACATACGCGACAAACCTCTGAACTCCTATGATGCCTCATACTTGCCTCTTCAAGATGACCAGCTTTTCGCTCCTCCGCATTTCCAGCAGACTGCCCAGCGTCCTCAGCCCCTCGCCTACTCCCGTTTTGAACGCCGCCTTCAAGCTCTCAACGTTTAATGTCCACCCATCGAACCCGTCTACGACTGCGACCGGGCTCCAGTGCTCCATCGCTTCAGGCGTAAGCGCAGGTATCTCGGCGATAAGGTGCGTGATCTGCGGCGCCGCGGCGAGTGCGTCAACGGAGAGGCCTTCCGTTTTGTTGTACACCCAATCAACCGGGCGCCCGAACTTAGACGGGGGAGCGAGCCCCGGCAGGAACGGCGGCGCGTGCGAGTGGAGGAAGAGGGACGCGCCGGATTGCGCGGCGAGGTTCGAGATGTGGACGTGCACTGTCACAAGCGAGTGTCAGCGAGGCGAGGCGGCGAGAGAAAGAGAGCGAGTACCATTGTGCTCAGAGACGAGGAGTTGGTTGAAAGCGTAAAGAGACGCGCCACCAGGGTAGTTTGCGCACGCAGAGCGCGCGAGGAGGAACGTCGCGAGGCAGTTCGCGCCGAGCATCGCGGCGACCGCGAGGTAACTTAGCCGACCGAAGAGGCTGCTCTTCTTTCTACTGATGCTGTATTCAAGATTATCAGTTGAGTCAATGGAAGGAGGTGCAATAGAGTTCTTGGGGACGTACAGCCAGTTTGCGCCGCGCGCGGCAGCGATGTTGAATGCAGGCACAGAGTAGATGACGAAACGCCATTCCTTGTGACCAAGCCCGCTGATGAGGAGAATAAACGCGACGTATGGCACCAGCAGTCCACGAATTCGCTTGTCGAGGACTACACCGAGAACCGACAGAGGCGCAGCAGACAGCAGCAGTTTCGGAAGATGTGAGCTGAAGTACGTGTGAAACGGCGAGACCTGGGCAAAGGAAATAGCTTTTTAGCGACATGCACAGCGAGTTTGCAAGAGTGTATCTTACACCCCATTCGGCGCTCTTGCCCTCGATAGCGTTGAAATATACACCATGCAATTCGGGCCACAGTGGCCATCTCTGCCAGAAGTAGGAATCAACTAGCACGGTGAGGGCTGCATGTAATACAATGAGTCCGGCAAACACGATAGCAAATAGAATTGACTGACCGGCGGACAGAGTACCAGCAATTATGCCGACTCTCAAGACATTAGCTATAGACGTGTACTGCCGCACGATGACCTGTAGCACGAGGGGCCCCAGGAGGAGGATAAGCTCCGAGCGGAATACCACGGTAGCGAAGGTCAGTATAGCGATTGCGCGGTGCACGTTCTCTTGAGAAGGTCGCGTCGCGTTAGGTGCCCTATCCACCAAGAGGTACAGAGCCACATTGGCTGGCAAACTTCAGGACACGGTCCCGTCAACTGGGGAGGTGAGACTCACCTGGCAAGAGTGCGAACATATTGGGGAGAGTACGGCCCATCCAAAACAGAAGATGGAATTGAGAGCAGGTCAAGAAGGTGAACAACACGCTGGTAGGCCCTCCAAAACGCCGCGAGATCGATCGACGCAGCAAAGACAGTCCAAACGCATTGACACTCGCCAGCGCGAGCCTAACTGCGACATGGTAGAATCGAAAGCTGAAGCTCGGAGAAAGGGTAGAAACGTACCTAGCACCTGAATATCCACCTTGTCCGTGACATGTCCCAGCAACAGCGCCCCTCGTATGAAGAGCTGCGAGAGCCAGGCAAGGAGGACGCTCCCGACGAAAGTGCGGGGTACGGCCCCGGGGAAGACGAAGTGGTCATACTTCGAGAATCAGGCGCGTGCTCATTCGAGGGCGACATACGTATCGCGCACTTTGTGAAGGTTCCCCGGGCGGACTCCGTACATGAGAACGTCGTGTGTCGCGTGGAGGTTGAAGCTTTCCTCGACCTTGGTGTACGGCGCGAGTGAGACATAGGTCCAGCTGGCAAGTAGGAGGATCGCATCCAGAGAGGTGCTCATCGTGGTGAAGGGTCAATAGCCAGAGATCATACAATTGTACGAAGGATACATCCAAGCTTGTACGATGGTGGTGGGAGGAGCAAGGCCACCGTCGGTTCTGGGCGCTTTCGAACTCTTGATAGATCTCAGATCTGGTCGGAAAGTGGCAACCCGAACCACTTCGTGAGTAGAGTGAAACATATCAATGGTACATGCACGATTTAATACAGAGCTATATCTAGTGAGTAACAGGTAGCGTTGTACGATCATCAACTAACACAAAGCTCAGGTCAAGTGTCGTGGCACCACAGATGTAAGGCTGGATCGTCGCTCTTCCAAGAATCCCGAGTCCGTGCTGTGGGCGGAGGGCGTGCCACATGAATAGTGTGTTTGAGAAACGACGGCGGGATTTTCGAAGCGCACAGTCGACAATCGGCCCACTGAGCCGGTCAGTGGCTGCCCTCGTTCGTGATCGATTGTGCGGAGGTCCAGAATGAATCGAGTGGTGAGGATGGGTGTGAGTCTAGACGGATGACGGAACTTGTCAGGATAGATACACTCTAGAACCAGGGTAGTACTTACGCTCTGGCAGTAGCATTGTTGACTTGCAGATCGGCTGGAAGCTTAAAGATTGACCGTATCAGTACGCTATACTCCAGAATTTGAATGGCGGTGATGCCGTACAGAGCCTGGAGGGATCTTAGAGAGGATGGATAGTCAGACCTGAATCGCTGATCAATTTATGCTGGAATAACGTACGGATGCAGCCACTATGGTAATCACAGCCAGCACAGTCAAAACCCTGCGAAAACTCTTAGCGCGTGCTGGCAAAGCTCTGAACAAGCACGGTGACTCACGCGAAGTAGAGCGAGCCTATCAATAGAAGTGGTGAGCTAGAGCGTCTAGTTAGGAGACGACGCCGGAGCTCTCACCATCATGCAGCAATAGTGCTGTAAGCCGAGTTGATATGCCTACTTTTTGTTGCTCGCGGTACAGAGAAAACGTCTTCGCCATCGTCAAGAGAAGACAGAGCAGCTCATACACGATGCTCACGGCGGAGGAGACAATTGGGACTGTTGCTCTGGCAGTTAGAGTACAGTCAACGTGTTGATCAAGAGTCACGAACAATATCTCAATCTGTGAGAGGAATGTAGATAGTCAGTATCATGCGACTTGTGCAAACAAGTGTAACGCACATCAGAGGCCCTAATAAGTTGGTATCTTGAGGGAGATAACTGATACATGAAATGAGAGTTGGGGGTCCGGGCAAGGCTTCGAAGCCGAACGCGAGCATCTATGGTTCAGCATGTCCCGTGAGCAAACTTATTTGGCCTCTAACCGTAGTTCTAGCGAGCCGTACCGGTGTCAGAACAGAGGGATTCAATAGCCCTAGCAGGAACAAGAAGATTCCGAGATACAGGTTGTGCGACCATATCGCGGATATGCGGAGGGCAACGAATGCTGCGATACGGGCATTCAGTATACACTCCTGCGTGAAGCCGCGCAATCGATGCAAAACTAACAACAGACGCACCGGAGATTATTGCGAAGTGTATCCCGTTCATGATGAGAATGACGTCTATGAGCGCTCGACAGCTACCACCATACATGGGCTCAATCCTCGCGACCGCAATCGTGCGTGACTGATACACCCACATACCTTCTTGCCGTCATTGCCGAAGGGCCCAGGTAGAAGGCTTCGGCCACTCCCAGAGTGATGACGAGCAGCGCCCCGTAGCGTATTACCAGGAAGAACCCTGTCGCCGGACTCCATCGACACCGCCAGATCAGCTGAACCTCGCTTGGAAAGGTGAGGAAGTAGTCGTAGTACAATAGACCTGGGGAGTCAACGCGTGTCCGTCAGCCACTGGCGATGAGAGTTGCAGGACCCGACGTACATGCACTTGATAACAAACAGTACTTGGGCTCCACGAGCTGGAGGCCAGATTTGCTAACAACGAGGCGTCAGACTGTGAGTGTGGAGGCGGTTGAAATAAGTGCTACCCACCTCCAATCGATACTGGGATCACTCATGTTCGCGGCAGGTCCAGTTGCGGTTCGGAGAAGAAGAGAAGGGTGCGTGTTATATATGCCTCTTCATAACACAGATGGCCTACAAACGCCGTCGCATGCGTCGGGGAGGGTTAACTTCGGAGAGGCGAAGGTGCGGCGCAGCGGTTGCACAGCGACATGCCAATGCATAGGGGAGCTGTTTGCTACCATACCCCGTACGGAAGTAGGTCGCGCCCGTCATCCCACGGGCCTTTGATTACCCGGGGGGAGCGTACAAGGATGGTGGATATGGTTGGCGCCGCGGCGGTGGTTGACCTGTATGGTGTTATGAGCGTCGCAGCGTGTGACCGGGCTGAAACGTACCAGTGGCGATGCCATCCTCGTTTCGCCGTTGTGGTTGCAATGATGCGATGACACTGTGGAGCGTAGGATCGCACAATGTAATAGGATTTGCAGGTTGGCGGGGGGACTGAACGGAACGAGCGGTGCTCGACACCGGGCGCAGCGATACCGTTAGTACAGCACGCTGCCAGCATTACAAGGAACCGGAGGATGTTCAGGATTGACAAATTTCGTCGATCCGGAGGACCACACGCCGCTGGTGATGATACGCGCACTGTATTTGACTTCCTATCCTGACGTGCACGGACGCTTTGCTTTGTGCTCATACAGGCTATGGCGTTAGTGAAGAAGCGTAATCAGCGTAGTGTAGATGATGGATGAACCGCGAACGAAGTCCTGCCAGTATTCAAAGCCTTATCAAGGCAACTTCGGACTGTTTTGGTGCAATAGGTTGACCTTTTGAGACATTGCGTCCGCACAGCTAGCCTTTTCCAAACCACAAGGATATTTCATGAGGGCCTATGACAAGGTTATGAAGACAGGAAGCACCCCAGGCGCCGTCCAGTGGCAGCGCGAGAAGCAGGGCCGGTCCAGACTCCGTCGCTTGTCTTGGTTCGATGATGGGATCAGCACCGAACTGAGAGATGAACCAAGGGCGTTTGTAGTCTACGCGCCCCGGAGTCTGGACCGCGTTAGACCGGTCTAAACGAGGCTACCCACCTTCTATATAGTACTACTACTTAGGGATCGCCCGTATACTGCTCTCTCTTCCTGCCGCCATGAGCTCAGAGGTCCTCCGCAGGATATGCCGTATCGTCACTTGGTACCCAGCATCTCGCTTGGTAATTTTGCTAACGTAAGTGAGGACGCGCGTGGCTTCAGCATACTCGGCCGGCCGAACGTACATCTGATTTTCGACTCTCCAAGCTCTGCTCGTCTTGGTCACTGCAGCTGCACTCATCTCAGGCCCTAACTGTCTATGTTCTTCCCATTCTTGGAGAAATCTACTGCTATGGAGTCACAACTATCTACGCCAGCGCATCGTGCGCTGCAAATCGACGAGGTCCTCACCGGGGTCTTTCGCCATCTCTCGCCTTACATCTGGGAACGCCAGGTCCTGCTTGCCTCGCCCGACGGCCTTCACATAGACTATGGGAAGGACTTCTCTCATCTAGCGGCGGACGCCCTCCCCCGTGCCGACAATCAGAAGGCTCTCGTGCAATGTTCTCAGGTATCCCGCACGTTCTGCCCCCATGCCCTCAAGGTTCTCTGGCGAACCCTCCCCAATCTCAGACCAATACAGCATCTGTTGGACTCGATGCAGTTCTCATACGCGGATTTGGAGTCGGGGACCCCGTACCATGTAAGTGCTGTACCTTGATCATTCTTGAAAGTGCTCTCAGCTCCTTGCCTTTCGCAGACGTTCCCCGCGCACATCGAAACCTCATCTCTCACGGCACGCAAGTGGAGACGGTACCACTGGTATGTCTCGTGCATCGTTGGAGTCCGCTCTGTAATCGACTACAACGCCTTCGAAGAATGGTCGGACAGGGGTGGCCCTCCTCTCCTCCCCAAGCTGCAGAGCGCTCGCTTTCGGTTAGATCCACGATCGATCAACCGCGCACTCCGATTGCTCGTTACCTCCGTCCGCGACCTTACCATTAACTTCGACTCCAGCGGTGTCCACTGGGAAGGATCGCCGCTGAGCACCGCAGATATCCTGCGGGCCGCTGCGAGGCGGGCACCCGCCACAGAGGTGCTCAACGTCACCTTCAAAGCGCCTCCGAAGGATCTGCTCCCTGTACTTCCCCAGTTTAAGCACCTCCGTGCACTGGTCATCACAGGGTGGATGACCCCCTCGCTCCATGAGGCGCTCGAAGTCCTCGAGCACCTCGAGTTGCTCTACGTGAAGCTTTACTGGACGCACCACGCCGACGCGAGCCTGCGCGACCTGCAACTCCGACGGTGCTCCTCTATCAAGGCTTTCGTTGCGCTCACGCTGTCCGAGCCCATCCTCTGCGCCCTCCGAATGACGGAGTTCCCCGTCCTGGAGCGCGTGCGGCTCGAGGTGTGGCCGCACGCGAGCGACGCGACCGAAGCACTCACGCAGATCATGGACACCCTGCACAAACACGCGCCGAAGCTTCACAGCTTCGTCCTCACGACGCGCTCCGCCGCCAAGCACGGCGACCGCCCCCCACCGCGGCTCGCGACGGTCCTCGACCCGTTCCTACAGCACGCTGCGCTGGAGACGCTCTCCGTCACCCTCGAGGACAACTATGCGTTCGCGCTGACGCGCGTGGACATCCTCGCATTCGCCGGCGCGTGGCCCAACATTGTCACCCTTCACCTTGCGCATGCGCCAGCCCGCAGCCCCGACGCGCTCCCGCCCATCGTGAGCGTGCTCGACTTCGTGGCGGCCTGCCCGCGGCTCGAAACGCTCGTGCTCTGTGCGCGGTTCGACTGCACCGCGCGCGACACGTGGCGGGACGCAGCGATTCTGCCACACTCGCTGCGCGGGCTCTTCCTTGGGCTCGACGCGGAGACGGGGTCATACCGGCCGGACAAGACGTGGCGCGCGTTGGCGGCCGTGCTGGATCGCTGCTTCCCGCACCTGGATGTGGGGCGTGATCTGGTACGGGCGGCGGTTGTCGGGGCGCAGGCAGTGGAGTTATGGCAGGGCGTGCTGCAGCATTTGAAGGAGATCCGGGCTGGGGGGAGGAGATCGCTCAGCCCGGAGTTGTGAGGCATGTACATGCTTTTCAAGATTCCACATATCGATTTCTCAACTTCTGCAGATACACCCATCTCAAATTATGCCGCACTCGTTCGGTGCTCATTCAACTGCTGTCAATTTCCATGTTCTCTGTTATGTTCGCTCTCAGGCTATCTTCCTAATGTAATATTAAGTTCACAATCTTGTTCTCTCGACTCGAAAATCACGCCACTCTTCGTCGCAACCGGCCTCGGCAATGAGTACACGGCTTCTATGTCTACCGGGGCTGACGATATGGTTCTAGACGTCGTTTAAAGAACAACAAACCGACATGAATCTCGTCAAAGTCTTCGGTGTATCGCTATCAAATTGCTATGGCGCCGGAGGAAAAATGTGCGTGTAACGATACACGGTGGCTGTGATTATCGTACCTCGGGATCCGAATCCAGCTTCTCGTGTACAAGGTTCTGTCCCGGTTACTGAATGGGGCTCTGCTGTCGGCTGTCGAGAACTGATAAATATCATAGCTTCCGCAAAATGCTGTCTGCACTTGACCTCACCTCCCCCTTCGGCATCTTCGACCCTGGCTATGGTTGCGCCATGGGATATCTACGCAGAAAAGCTCTTCCCACTCGGGTACGGGCACCCTCTGTGGATTCCGGAGCCGTCTCGTGAATTTGGCGAGGTCCAAATCGGCGACATCGGGTACTTGTCGGACGGTCGTTTCTGCTTTTTGTTCAACTGCATGCTTCCCGCAGGCGATCCGGTCAACAAACAGGGTACCCCTGCTGATTTTCGGCCGCTGGAAGTACCTTCAGGCTCAACAAGAGAAACCTCCGATGAGATAACTCAACCATTGCTCCAAAGTGAAGGCATACACTCCGTCGCTCTCGAAGGACAGGGTGCTGTGGGGTGAGTCTTAACAAACAAGCGACTGTCTAGAAGACTGATATCTGCTAGTACACTCGCCGGCAACCCGGTCATCCAGGGCGGCGCGCAGGCAGGTTTGCGCTACAGATGCACAGACCAAAGCGGCGCGTTTCTCATGTTGAAACATTGTTGCCATGGGACGCGCGTGCACGGCACTCTCGCCATCCAGAACTACATGCGCCAGTTCTTGCCCGATTGGCACGCTTTTGCCACAGGAACACTCGGCATCGATCTGCAAGAGTCTGACCTTATCTTCGTCTGCGGGCACACGAAGACTTCCATCTGGGCTGAAGCCGCATTTAGCAGCAAGACCACCGACGGCGAGCTGTTCATCGCGGCAGGCGCATTCGGTATCCCCGCGAGTGTGGGCGCTTCGGGATCGTTCTCCGTATCACTCCTTAATAACTGTCAGCTTCCTACGCTCTTTCACCGTTCAGGCCCCAGGGGAAGAGAATCAACGGGCGGGACTAGCCCAGGTATAGGGGAGTCGCTGGACAGGTTTGATCAATGCATCTTCATCAATTACTTCAAGATGAAGCGCAGCATCCTCGTACGCAAAGTCATCCGCGCAGCAGCAGGCCCTCACCAGCTCCCGGACGAGAAGGACGACCCAGGATCGAGCTCTATCTGTGCGGTTGATACAGAAATTATTGAGGACTCGGACGTCAGTCAGTCGTCAACCGGAGAGGCCAGTCGATGTGCTATCTCGATTACACCGGCACAGCTAACGAGGGCATGATGAGACTAGACGATATTTGATCCCGTGTCACAGGTCTTGGACTACATACTCCAAGTATGCTCTCCACTAAAGCGTGGTGGCCCGGATTTTCTGGGGAGTATCTGACTTAGCACTATGTAGCATTCAGACGGCCAGGCTGCTTGGGCATCCGATCGAGATGTTGTTGAAGTCTTGAAGCTTGCGGTAAAATCCATTTACTTCAGTTGTGACCATATCACTGATATATCCCGGAATCAAGCCCAGGCAGGGCCCGTCCTACCAGCTCTCCGCCCACACCCGGTTCAAGTCCGCCCTAGACACAGTCTCTCCCAGTATCACCACACTTGACAGCCGTACGTCTCGAATCCCTTTCAGCGTCTCGATTCATCAATCCCACGCACGCTTTAGTTTACCTCCTCCTGTGGTCCGGTAATACGGCTGTTGCCAACACGCCGCAGCGGCCTGAAGAGACCGGCAATGTTCGGCACTTGGAATTCACTCCGAGCAGTACGGTAGCGCGATACCACGCCCCTCAAGGAGGCGGTCATGGAGGTGGCAGTCTGTGTCCCGCTGCATTGGTGGTTCAGTGAAACATAACATAACCTATCTGATTGGGTGACGCTCTAGACTGGCGCATGCATTTCAACAATTTCATTCAACGAAACAGGCTTGCGAACATCCAATGGTCGGCGGTGGCATCGGGGCCTCAGAATGCCCCTGTATGGACTGCAAGTGTACAGAGTAAGCCCTATTGCTATAAGACACTTTTCTCTCTGAACGTGTGATGTCAGTCAACGGCGTTGAACATGAAAGGGGAAGCGCGTTCACTATCAATGAAGCCCGAGAAGTAGCTGCAGAACAAGCCTTGTGTAGGCTCTGCCGCGCGAGACGGTGATGGTACGGGATACAGATTCTTGATCGTGCTGGAGATGTGCGCAGAAATCCGCCTAGAACAGGCAAGTGTTCTGCAATCCTGGTTGATTTCAGCTCCCGAATAACATACTACTCCACAGTAGGAGTCGAATCCGCGTGGTCAGACATCGCAGTGCGACAGTCATGGACCGTAATCTCTGTACAATTCATTCAAAAAGCAACATCTCGGCACAAAGATCATACAGTGCACATTCCCCGGACGAGATCGTGCCAGTCATCGATGTCGCCTAGCGAAGGCGCGTACTACGATCACTGCTAGTGTTGTCCGTAATGTTCACGTAGCAGTCCCGGTGCGCACCGTGCGGTACCCCGAGCAGCAACTTATCAATTTGCTGTATGGCTGCGTCTAATGACTCCTGCGTGTAGACATCACGCGGAACTCGACCACGACAGGTGACTCTCAGGCTTGGTTCGAGCCCGACGTTCTGTGGTTTAAAGTTCTGTCCTGGGTGGTTTGGGCGTCCAACGAAGCCTTGCGGTCGATACATATAAACGACCGCGAGCTGCGGTTCCCTTTCTAAAGCCCCCCTTCTTCACTCGCTCGGGCTAGCCAGCGGCGTAGTGGCATCTGCACACGTCTCTATCGAAGCCAAAACCTCATCAGCGCTCCCATAACCACAGCCTGGAGTGAAAGCCGACATGTCGCAACGTAGTGCTGACCCTTTTGAGCTAGGATATTCCATATTACTGACCAATCGATGCTGTAGATTGGCGCATGGAGTTCAACAACTACGTTCAGCAGAACAGACTTGCGAACGTCCAGTGGACCGAGGCGCGGTCAGGGCCTGTGGATGCCCCTGCATGGACTGCAAGCGTATGGAGTAAGTCATATCACTGTCGAGGAAATGCTCTTTCTCACCGAGAAACCCTAGTCAACGGCATTGAATATGGACGGGGAAATGCGCTCAGTGTCGGTGGGGCCCGAGAGATAGCTGCAGAACAAGCCTGGCGCACTCTTCAGGCTGCACGACGCTAAGGCTTCCCGATTCTTGCTGTTCGGGAATGTCCACCTGGGACAGGTAGGTATCCTACAACCCCAGTTGATACAGAACCCCCATTAATATACGTATACCTCTTCATAGCAGGAGTTCCGACGCGCCGTCGGACATCGCATTGCGACAGTCGTAAACCAGAATTTCAAAACAATGTATCCAAAAATCAGCATCTTGACACAAAGATCATACAGCGTACATTCTTCTCATATTCCTCCTCTCCCTGGCCCGGTGCAGTCATGTCTTAGTTACCACCAGAGGCGGTACCCTCACGATACCACACGTCCAGACGCACGAAGTTATTGTACACCTCCCCGGACGCGAGGAGCGAGTCCTCGCCCGTCGGCCCGCGCGTCTGTGGGTGGATCCACGCCGCGAGCGGCGCGTGGAACTCGAGGAACGCAGCGGCTTCATAGCGAGAGTTAGCACGCAATAAAACTTGATCATAAGATGAGCCCGCGACGTACTGCCTGCGGGGTAGCCGTCGCCGATGGCGCCCGAGCCGCCATGGATCTTCTTCCGCGCGCCCTTCTCCGGGACGGAGAGGTTGTTCGAGTAGAACTGCACGCCGGGCTCTGGTAGAACGGGGTTAGCAAGAGTGGGAATCGACAGAGAGCAAAAGGCCTACGGTTCGAAGCGAATCCAAGGCGGAGCCCGCTCTTTCCGCTCGCGAGGGAGACGAGCTCCTCTCCGGCAGGGCCGTCGCGTGACAGCGCCGCGCCGACCAAGTCCAACTCGGGTGTAAGCTCGGATGCTGGAAGAACGGAGGGCGGCGGGGGAGCTGCGCGGGCAGAGAACAGGTAGAACTCATCTACATAACCATACGCAGTTGTCGAAGTACGTGTGAGTCATTGGGGGTGCCACAAAGAGGGCGTAAACGCGTACCGTAGCCTTGCTCGGGGAACTGTTCGCCAATGCGTCCGCTGGACTTCTCCGCGTGTGCATGGTGGGTACCCGCCACAGGGAGAAGAGTTCCAGTCGAGAGCGCCTCAGAGTTCAGCTCAACGGTGTGATCAGCCTAGTGTACGCGGAAATTAGTTCTCTACGAAGGCTGGCGGCTTTTCGTCACGACTTGCCTTGAGAGAAATGGTGTGGTCCTTGATAGTGAGCGGATCCGGACCATCTTGGAGCGACGCGTCAAGATTGAAGCCCCAATGCTGTCATGAACGATCGCGCGGATGACGCAAACGGCACGCAATGGTATGTTAGCAGTTCTCCAGAAGGCCGAGGGTCAAGGACGCACCTGCGTGAGGTTGATGGGCGTGACCTTCTTCTCGTCCAAGAGCTTGGCGCGGTAGACAATAAGTACGCTGCCGAGGTTCCACTCCTTCTTTCCATCGGCAGTTGGATTGGCCGGCCCTTCTGGCTGCGCCAGACCGACGAGAACCTCGATGAGCAGACGACCAGGATACCCCTCTTCGCCGTCCTCAGAGATGCGCTTGAATATGATAGAGGTTGGAAGGCGCGTCTGGATCGTGGCGAGCTCCGCCGGGGTGAAGAGTTCAGCCGTGGAGGGGTCTACGAGCGGCTCCCATGGATACTGGTCGAAGCCCTTTGGCCCGCCGTGGAGCGATACGGTCGGGGCTTCGTTGGGCTTGGGCGAGACTACAGAGTGGATTCCGTTGCGCTCGACCGCGAAGGATCCCACGGGAAGACGGTTGGCGTAGCGGCCGATAATTGTGTTGGTGTACTTCTGGGTAATGTGACCCGCAGGGTCCTCAGGTCCGATCAGGATGTCATGGGTCTGTAGGAGGTCAGCGGGACGTCGACCGTATGACTAAGTCGTCTGTGTATACGGACCTTGCCATCTGCCTGGACGAACAGACGGTGAAGGGTAAGCCCAGCGGGCAGAACCTAGAAAGGATTTCGGTGGCGTCAGGACGACATTCGAGTCAACATGACATCCAAATAAGTACACAGTACCTCGAGCGCAAGAGATGGGGTGAGCGAGGGAAGAGTGAGAAGTATGGGCGCAAACGACGGGTCTGAGGCGGCCATGACTGGAGACGGTGGGGGTTGGAGAGAGAGGACGGGACGGAAGAGTGGAGGACAGCGCGATCCCGCCACTTTCGACTTATTCCGAGAACATCGGACGCCCGGCCCGCCCGGTAATCTTATCTCCCGTTCCCCATCTCCGAGGTTTCTGCTGAGCACCTGCTCTCACTCAAGGCCTCGCCGATCCTCTCCGTTGTTCTCCTCTTGCCACAGCTTGTCCCTCGTACACACCCACCGACGTATTCAATTTCGCGTATCGCCCTGAGCATGCTATCTTCCTGGGCAGGTCGAAGCAAACGTGAGACCCTACGCAGTTCGAGGGAGTCTGTCGCGACATGGGCACTGCCGTACTACACGGTGCGGCCTGGTACTACGGCTCTGCGGTGAACTGTGCGGGGATAGCAGCTGTTGTATGCTGCTATATGTACAGACTTAGACGTTGACTTGTAAGCCGCAGTCCACTTACATGAAATGCTTACTCACGAGTGTATACCGGATGTTGAACGTTGAGGTCCGAGGCTCTGAGTCGATCGCGAGACGGATGGCGACAAGCTTGATCTCGGTGTCTCCGTTCACAACAACGGGTTTGTCGCCGGTCGGAGTATCGGTTCATCACTGGCCGGGGCCGCCGTTGCCTATACACCGTCGTGGCTACCTTGCTTGTCGCTTCATCATCTACCCTCCACGTACGCGATGGCGTCACCGTCAATAGTAGCTGACACATGCGTCGGTGCTTGTGAACTTTCCAGCCCGGAAGACTCTCGATCTATCTCAGCCTGCACGCAGCTCTCCTTTTTTCCACGCTACGGAGTACAAATACGGCGCCGTCTGACATCCCACATTCTGCGTCCACGGTCCCACAACCCACATCTGCTCCTCTCACACACCTCGACAACTTTCACGCTCACACCATGGCTCCGACTACCCAGAAATCTCTTATCCTGCCGGAGAAGCAGGGTCAGTGGCTCGTCGGCGAACAGCCGGTGCCCACCCCCGGCCCGAAGGACATTCTTGTCAAGATCACTGCCACCGCGCTGAATCCGGTTGACTGGAAGATCCAGGCGTACGGCTACTTCATCGAGAACTTCCCCTTCGTCGGCGGCACGGATGGTGCCGGCATCGTCGAGGAGGTCGGCTCCGAGGTCACGAACTTCGCCAAAGGAGACACAGTGTGAGTGTCATCGAGACTCACTCTGCGCATATGTGTACTGACATCATCATAGTGTCTTCCAAGGATGGTTCGAGAACCCGAAGGCGACTTTCCAGCAATACGCCATCGTCGCTGCCGAGATCGTCGCAAAGGTGCGCACTTCTTCGTGCTCAAGATCTGTGTACATCATATCAACTTATTTACTGCTGTAGGTCCCGAAGAACATTACCGCTGATCAAGCAGCCTCGATTCCTCTCGGTCTCGCGACTGTCGTGACCGGTCTGTACAACCACAACCCAAAGGCTAAGACCATTAGCTTCCCCGCGCCCTGGGAAGAGGGCGGCACCACCAAGTTTGCCGGAAAGCCCGCGTTCATCATCGGCGGCTCGTCGTCCGTCGGCCAGTACGGTACGCATATAGTCCATGTCTAAAGACCGCATTCGGATCTAACCAATGACGAACAGCGATCCAGCTCGCGAAGCTGTCCGGGTTCTCGCCCGTAATCGCAACCTCGTCGCTCCGCCACGAGGAGTTCCTCAAGTCCATCGGTGCAGCGCACGTCATCGACCGCACGCTCCCCGCGGCCACCATCGCGGCCGAGGTCGCGAAGCTCACCGGCGGCAAGCCGGTTGAGTTCGTCTACGACGCAGTCTCGCTCCCGGACACACAACCGCTCGCGTACGAAGTCCTCGCGCCTGGCGGCCACCTCCTGCTCGTTCTCCCGGATTCCGTCCCTGCGGAGAAGAAGAAGGAGGGCGACAACAAGACGATCGTGACCGTGTTCGGAAATGTGCAGACGCCGGAGAACAGGGAGGTTGGTGTCGCGCTGTACAGCCGGCTCACGGAGTGGCTCGAGACGGGCAAGCTTGTGGTACGTGTCTACTTGGTAGTATATATGCTTGATGAGATGTACCCTGACGCACCGTTCCTGTAGCCCAACCGCGTAGAGGTGCTTCCCAATGGTCTTGCCGGTATCATCGATGGGCTCGAGCGCATGAAGAAGGACCAGGTGAGCGGGACGAAGCTCGTCGCCCGTCCGCAGGAGACGGAATAAGTTGCCCCACCGCGGACAAACACTTGTAGAAGTCGCACCTCACTGTATTTTTACCCACCGTTCTCTTCATCGCTTTTGAGCTGCAGATTATCATTGTGAGCGGGTCTACGTATACGCGTGAGCGCCAAGCCCCGAGTTGGGCGTCTACGCAAACAGATCGCGCGTATCCTTCGATGTGTGTTTTCTTAAGACCACTGGCACGATGGCACCGAGCAGTGCACGTCCACAACTCCATACCCTCGCACTCCTCTGGCACACACCTCATCACCCACTAGGTTTAATGGGCTATGGTTGCTAGCTTCGTTCTAATATCTCATCTACGTACCAAGCGAATGGTCTCGCTCCTGCCAGTGGGTGACACGCGCAACAGACTCTCGTGTTCTCGTCGCTCTGATGCTGGGCGACAACAGCCATCTTCTTTTTGCCACTGCTACCAAACCCTAACTGCCGAGATAGATCCTGGCAGCTGCAAACGTCAAGTTTTCACCTATTGCCAATCGGAGTGAGCTCTAAATATCTCAGCGGCGCCGGGCGTCCAAAAATGGTTCCTCTATCCGTACGCAGAAGCCGTGTAAACGAAATCCTATATACTGAGCTACGCCTACAGGTCGGAAACTATTCCGCTTTGCGGACTATACCGACCTCGGAGTGCTGACTCATGCAAATGGCAGGACCTATCAATAGCCATGGTACATAGTGGGCAACTCGCAGTGGTTGCACATGTACAGAGAGCTGTGCACTCACAACTCGACGGTGCTATCAAAGACGGTCTCGAACCGCTCGCTATTACCGCCATATCTTAATAGAGGCAAGTTGTAGCGAAGACGCCGCATACATCGCAGAGAACGTACGTTTGCAAATATCCAGTGCGTCACATAGGCCGATAACACCGTTTATACCGATCATATCGTCGAACTGAACCCTTCGGAGGTGCTCTCAGCCTCGAACTACGTATTCGTCTCGGAAAATGGCGCGCTTTCCGGGTATGTAGTGTCGTGTGGTAGCCTACGCACCGCGATGCGACTGTCGGGATATCGGTCCATCACCGGACTACCATTATGTGCGCTGCTCTGGTTACCTTTCTATGTCGCTTTATCATCTAACTTCATTCACTTTTCCGATGGCGACACCTCTCACAGTCGCTGACACATGCAGAAACAGATCCTCGCAAACTTGCTGGAGCGGAAAATCGTCTGCGAGCACGGAGGTACAAATAGCCTCGCTGACGACGTTGTGTTGAACACACACCCCACGTTTGTCTCTCTCGCACATCGTCTATCTTCACTCTCACATCATGGCTCCGACTACTCAGAAAGCTCTGCTCCTCCCGAAGAAGCAAGGCCAGTGGATTGTCGGCGAACGGCCCGTGCCTATCCCTGGCCCGAAGGACGTACTCATCAAGATCACTGCCGCCGCGCTCAACCCTGTCGACTGGAAAATCCAGGCGCTCGGCTTCGTCATAGAGAACTACCCTTGGGTAGGTGGCCAGGATGGCGCCGGGATCATTGAGGAGATTGGTTCGGAAGTAACGAACGTCGCGAAAGGAGACACAGTGTGAGTGCCCGACTATACGACGCAAGGGTGTACTGACGTCGTCAAAGTTTCTTTCAAGGGTGGCCCCTCGAGAATACGAAGGCGACTTTTCAGCAATATGCCGCCGTCGCTGCCGAGATCGTCGCAAAGGTAGTTATGATTTGCCCGGAGGTACCTCACTCACATGGTTATGCTGACTTGTGTACTGCTGCAGGTCCCGAAGAACGTCACCATTGATCAGGCGGCTTCGATTCCCCTCGGCCTTGCTACTGTCGCTACAGGTCTTTGGGGTCAGCACCCGCAGGCCAAGAGCGCTGGCTTCCCCGCGCCCTGGGAAGAGGGCGGTGCCATCAAGTTCGCCGGAAAGCCCATCCTGATCATCGGCGGTTCATCGTCCGTTGGCCAGTATGGTATGCACACGGTCCACACCCTAGCTTTGCGTGCCAGCTTCTAACCAGGATGTGCGGACAGCCATTCAGCTCGCGAAGCTATCCGGGTTCTCACCTATCATCACAACTTCCTCGCTCCGCCACGAGGAGTACCTCAAATCTCTGGGCGCAACGCATGTCCTCGAACGCACGCTCACGTCCTCTTCCATCGAAGCTGAGGTTTCCAAGCTCGTGGGCGGAAAGCCGGTCGAACTAGTCTACGACGCGATCTCGCACGCGGACACGCAGCAGCTCGCGTACGGCATCCTCGCGCCCGGCGGGCACCTCATCATCGTCCTCCCCGACTTGGTCCCTGCTGAGAAGAAGAATTCGGGAGACAACAAGACGGTCGTGAGCGTGGCTGGGAGCGTACAGATGCCGGAGAACAGGGCGCTCGGGGTCGCGCTGTACAGCCGGCTTACGGAGTGGCTCGAGACGGGGAAATTAGTGGTGCGTCTGCATCCGAAAATATCGCTCCATGAAAGCAGTTTTGACAGTTTCAACTTGAAGCCCAACCGCGTCGAGGTGCTTCCTGGCGGCCTCGTTGGCATCATCGATGGGCTCGAGCGCATGAAGAAGGACCTGGTGAGCGGGACGAAGCTTATCGCCCATCCACAAGAGACGCCCTGAACACCACGGGCCATCACAGGTGGGTGTCTATACTGGAGTACCTACTAGTAGATATACCGCATGTTCGGTATACGGGAAAGCAGAGTGTTTGAACCTAGGCTTATGCGAGCGCGCGAGGCTGCTATACGGTCAGACGCCCATGCCGCGACGCACGTTTTGCCCATCAAGTCGCTCACCTCTGTATCATCGCGTTCGCAGGCTCTCCCTTGCGCACACTTTGTCCACACTCGATAACGCAGATGTATGTGGCACATATAAGTTCATCCCTTTGCCCTCAAAGTCGACCGTAGAACGCGGACTCTGAGGACGATACTGATCTCAAAGCTATCGCTTGGCCCTTCTCGCCGCTCCGAATCCGGCTTTGATCGGACTTCAGAAATCATGCCACCGCACATCTGCAGAAATCCCGCTCTTAGTACACCGCAGCTGTGCGTAATAAGCAGACAGCGGAATCTCAGCCTTAACGAGAAGTCCGCCTTCGCGGACTATGCTACTCGCAAGCCGACCTCGGGATGCTTACTCATACGGTGTCGCCTAAGGATCCATTGCCAGAATCTGGTATCGGGATACTCGCAAGATGTGCGCAGGACTGCGTACAGGCTGACTGTTCTATTTCCAGCACCGCATAAATACGGGGACGTTGCCACTGCTGCGTCCATTGACCCTCAGAGTTCAGAGTTCTTGCATCCCCTTTCGCACCCGGCCCAACCATGACTCCTACTACGCAGAAGGCTCTAGTCCTCCCAGCTATCAAAGGAGAATGGGTCGTCAGTGAAGTATCCGTGCCCACTCCCGGCCCCAAAGAGGTCTTAGTCAAGATCATCGCTGCAGGGCTCAACCCGGCCGATTGGAAGATTCAAGCATACGGTATCGAATGGGTCCCATACCCTTTCATCGGGGGGTCGGACGCCGCCGGCGTCGTCGAAGAGGTTGGCGCGGAAGTCACAAACCTGACCAAGGGAGACAAAGTGTGAGTGTAGCCTCCGAGTGTTCATGGTGAGAAGCGACCCTCATTCGCCTTCAGCTTTTACCAGGCCTGGTTCAACACCCGCAAGTCAGCGTTCCAGCAATACGGCATAGTACCTGCCGAGATTGCCGCTAAGGTGCGTGCTGATAACTACACAGATGTCGACGGCGCAGCATGACTGAGAACGAGTTCGCGCGTAGATTCCAGATAACATAACTTTTGACCAAGCGGCATCGATCCCTCTTGGGCTCAATACGGTCGCCATTGGGCTGTACAACCACACCCCGAACACAAAGAGCGTGGACTATCCCGCTCCTTGGGAACAGGGCGGCACAACGAAGTTCGCCGGGAAACCCGCATTCGTCCTCGGAGGCTCGTCCACCGTGGGCCAGTACGGTACGTATCTCTTTCGTTTCCTCATTTGCGTGTGTGTCTAACCTGTGTGTATGCACAGCCATTCAGCTCGCGAGGCTTTCCGGGTTCTCACCCATCATCACAACCTCGTCTCTCCGCCACGAGGAATTCCTCACGTCGATCGGCGCGACTCACATCATTGACCGCACCCTCCCTTCCGACACTATCCAGGCTGAGGTCACGAAGCTCGCGGGACACAAGCCGGTTGAGTACGTCTACGACTCCATCTCGAGCGCGGAAACACAGCAGCTCGGGTACGAGGTCCTCGCGCCCGGCGGAGATCTCCTTCTCGTCAACCCGCAGGCGATCCCTGCGGAGAAGAAGAAGACAAGCGACAACAAGAAGATCCTCAACGTTTTCGCAGACGTACAGGCCCCCGAGAACAGGGACGTTGTCGTCGGAATCTGGAGCCATATCACGGAGCTGTTCGCGACGGGAAAGCTTGTGGTATGTTCAATTTGTAGCGCTCATCGCAAATCATGCACCACTCACCGTACGTCACAGCCTAGTCGTGTCGAGGTGCTTCCCAACGGCCTCGCTGGTATTCCTGACGGGCTGGTGCGATTGCAGAAAGAGCAGGTGAGCGGCCAGAAGCTCATCGCTCATCCGCAAGAGACACCGTGAGGCGCTTCAGGAGGCATATACGTGGAATTTTTGTATTTGGAACATGTATACACCTTCAAAATCAAGTCATATTATGTTGTTGTTTTACCGGTTGTTCAACTTGATCGTGCCGCCAAAGAGGCCATAGCCACAGAAGGAAGCCTAGTAAATGTCAAGAACCAGTCCAGCATTAGTGAAACAGAGAATGATTGCAACGTAGTAGAGTCCATATATTGGAGGGACGAGAGCGAGAGCGAGAAAGTATGTGCGTAACGATGGCTCGCGTGGATGAGTGAAGGAGAAAATTGGGCGCTAGTTCATCCATTTTCGGCCGTTTGTTTGGCAAAGGCTTCTGAACCAAACAACGGCCTCAATTGGGCGCTTGTTGCGACTTCCAGCACTTGTCCACCACGACCAACACACGACAAGCACATGTCAAGTATCACAGGTAATATATCGCCATTGGCTAAACCGGGTATGTATGGCTACAGAAGCTCTGATATCGTTAACAGTACTACAGTGTCCAGCCCGAATCCATAAGCCACCGTTCAAGTCGCGAGCCTTCCTAGCGTGATGGCTCAAGCAGTCCCAGGAAACACATAGGGAAGAAGAAGTGCATTAGCACGGCGTGCATACTTTTGGTGACGGAAGACCATCTACAAAACACTTTCGCCTGACGTGGATAATCAGCTGCCCGTCGGGCGCGAATACCGCCCGCACAGACGTCATGTCCACATCCGACGGCGAGAACGCGACCTCCCATTCGTAGTGCGCTATCAAATTTGAATCAGCTCACGCCCAGATCCACACGCGTGCAAGAAAGCAAGTACTCACAGTCACTCTCCCGGTGCCATAGATCCGCGACCACGGACAGCCGCGCGCCCTTCTTCGCGCACACCGTCACCATCTCCGGAGCGAGGCCGTCGGGCAGGCGCACTACCAAGGTATGCTCCCCTGTGCTTGAGTGCACCCGCATCGGGGGTGTGCGCGCCGGTGAGGGCGTCCGCCGCGAGTGCGCGATAGGGGACTCCGGAACGAACGCCGACACACGTGGCGCGCTCGGCGTGGGCGAGTACAGCGGGGAGGGTGGGGGTGCATGAGGAAGTCCGGGGCTTTCCCAGCCGGAGCGCGATTGTGAGTGCGAACACGAGCGCGACATGCTCGAAGGATAAGAAGTTGCGGAAGAGGGAGTAGGAGGCGAAGGCGAGGGCGGCCGTTGGGCTGGTGCAGGCGGCATCGGGATCCTCATACTGCTTGGGATGCGCAAGAGCGGTCCTGGCGCTGGCGGAGGTGGCATCTCCGAGCTTGAGCTCGTACGGGTGGGGGCTGGGGATGGCATCGCTCTCGACGAGGCGATTGACGACGACGAAGACAGAGGTGTGAGTACCTTACCCGGCTCGGGCTCAGCCGCATATATTCCCTGCAGAGAATTGGGTTCCGGGGTGGTACTGGGGACACCGCGGAATGAGCGCACCGCAAGTGAGGCAGCGCGAACGGGGCAGCGAGCATGCGCCTGCGCCTGCGCCAGTGAGAGCCCGTGGAGGAGCTCGTCGGTCTGCCGGATAAGTGGAGACGCAGCGCGAGCAGGACGACTTGACGCGGGTTCCTGTAGTCGCAGCTCGACTTGGCTATGGACAAGTGAAAAGCCAGGATCGCCGAGGGCGTTCATGCTAGTGCTCGAGCATAGCCCGGGCGGACGCCACAGGGGGCCCGCAGACGGCTGGCGGCGCAACGTGTCCGCGGCGTCGTTTTCTGCTGGGAGCCATGAGTTTCTGTTTCGGCGCGCGTGATATGAGGTAACGAAGCCATAATCGCGGCGAACTCGAACATAGCCTGCATGCGGACTGCACGCGCGCGCGGGGGCTGCTTAACGCTAAGTGAATGTGACGCACCGTTCGGAGACCGCCGCGCTGGGCGGGGGCGGCCCAGTGCCGAGAGGCCGAGTTGCTTATGGGAGGGCGCGTGTGCCGATCCAGCGAGAAGCCCCAGTCCGACCGCGTCCAGCGCAGTGTCCTTGCCCGAGGTGCATAGAGCGGGGGTGTCATGGCAGAGCGCGTCCAGACCAGAAAGCGTGTTGCTAGACCGGAAGGCTAGAGGCTGACTGGCAGTGGAGAGCGTTACAGAGCAAGCACGAGCGCGAACGCTGCCAGAGAGCCGGCGAGAGCATGCGGACAGGGCCATCGCTTCTTGTTGGGCTCGAGGGTTCTAGTGGGCGGAGGCACTACCGGAGCGAGCGAGCGAACGGGTGCAGATGACGAAGAGAGAGCGAGCAACGAAGAGAAGCACGCGACCGCAGTAGAACGGGGATAGCTACCAGAGCTCGAGGAGGGTGAACGCGGGAGAGTTGCAAGCGGCAGCAGTGGAGTGCGCGGGCTCATGCGCCATTGGGTGGCTGACACGGGGGTAGTCAGCCGCCGCGCTGCGGGTTGCGTTCGTGACCAGCGCGAGGTAGGTGGATGTCCGACTGGGTTGTGCGGCGCGGGGTAACGGCCTCACATGATGACATACGTTCTCATATACGCCGCAAGCTGGCTGCCGGTTTCTGGGTGCCGTGGAGTTCCGCGTCCTGTATGGCAAAGGACATAGAATATGAGGCGCTTCTTGCCGTATGTCCGAATGGGATCCGCGCACCGTGCCTCGGACGATCTTGAAGTGATTCGTATTCTGCGAAGACATGAATGAGGCCATTGTTGGTGCCCTTTCGTGTCGCGCATAGTAATAGAATGCACCTAAAATGTAGAATGGACCGAGCTCTCCGAGGATGGTATTGCGGGAATATCGTCGTGGTCCGTGACCCAATCAGTCGTGGTCTCCTCCGTGCAGACAACGCGGGCTTGTTGTATTCCTGTTGCTGCGTCAACACATACGTAGTGGGAGCGAATGTGGAGTAGAGGGAGAGTAGAGGGGGATATCATCCTCGTAGCCTCCGAACGGTGCGCGGCCGAGTTTGCCGAGGTCCAGAGTGCCACTACGCACGCAGCGTCCTCCCAGGCGGCACATCCTCACGCGAAGTTGCTTCGCGGCCTCTAGTCGGTTGTTTCCGCCGCGCCCGCGGGCGTTCTCGCAGCGCGCTATCCCCACGCTACGCTAAACACGCAACTGACCCAGCGAGCGTAACCCTACCCGCACAACGGTAGGTTGCATCAGAAGCCCAGAAGCCCGTGAGCCGTATACTGGTCGCTGCCGGTTTGGGGGGATCTGCGCCTTGCGTCCGCACGGGCGGCCACGGTCAGGTCAGGCAGCTGGGGATGCGTTGGCGGTGCACGAGCGTGGCATCGCTCAGCTGACGCATAGTTCCTAGTAAACCTAGTTTCTCAGTAACTGTCCTGGCGGCTGACTGACGTTGAGCGTCGAACGGGAATAGGAACTCACCCCGGCGGACGCCTCCGGTGGTGCTGCGGAGCGAAGGAACGCGAGCGAAGGGCAGGCATGCGGTGGGAGAGGAAGATCACATACCGAGGGTCGTTCCTTGGAGTTGTGGGCGGGTGTTGTACTTAACATCGAGGGAAAGGGGTTCGACATTCCATCTTGCACGAGCTCCCACAGAAATATAGGTTTTCTGTTCTAGAGCACCGGTTTTCCGTGACCATGCGAGGGTGAGACTAGGGTTCCTTCCAAACTCGTGCCTAGATGGGCTATACGGGATTAGTGACCGAGGGTGGTTCTTGTGTATACTTAGCAGGTACGGTACCTTTCGAAGGCGGATACACCCCAGATAGGCGTTCTATGTGCAAGATACCGCAGACCGAAAAGAAACCGGCCGCCGTCCACCTGAGATAGCGAAGAGCGCCACGACGGTCATGCAAGCAGCGACCATTCAACGTCTAACAAGGCCTCTGAGCGTCCGGAGAGTGCCTCTGACCGTCGACGCGCGACGCCCGCGCAATCATCTGGTCAATGCCGCGACGTTAGAACCTCGCGCTCATGAGCACGCGCACGGCCACGAGGCTCGCACGAAGTCCCTGCAACACGTCGAACCCAACGCGAGCCGCCGCCTCGAGGCGAACTCTGTACAACAGCCTCCCTTCTGCCCGCGCGCACGCGGTGCACGCAGAATAGGCTCCTGCGTGCACGACGTCGTATGCGGCGGCAGAAGTCTCCCAGACAGGGGATATGAGCTGATAAGCTACCGCTGCGGCCGCTCCCGTCGGCGGAGACCTCTCCTCCATGCATGGCGCTGGCGTGGGCTGCAGGGGCGTGCAGGGAGTGGCTCTGCTTGGGGGCCCTGTGTACCGGTCGGGAGCCATCACCGGGTTGTAAATCCAGTTTCATGGTGGCTAGCACCGGAAGGGGGGGCGTGCCCCATATCGGAAACTGGTTAGGGCGATACTAACGCCTGTACTACAACTGTTCGCAGGAGAGTAAATGTTTGCTTTATTGCTATACGATGGACTCCTTACCTTCACTTCCTCTCTTTCTTTCCTTTGAAATCTCGTTTACTGCCTCCGAATCTGCAATTTTTGGCCTTAGTGGATACGGGTCGCGCGCGAGGCGCCGCGTCGGTCTCGCGCACGGCGCGAACAGCTCAAGGAACTATCTTATAGAGCTCATGTACTCTGAGGTTCCGCAACGACGCATGAAGCCGAGCCTGGCCGCGTACTTTGACACCTCTGTGCGGGGAAGTCTGGATGGATCACAGCCGTTGTCAGAATGGTACATAGGCCCATCGAAATGAACAGCCATTCAAGACGGCAATGCAAGGAGGACATGAGAGTACATGCCTAAGCCCGTGTACCTCTTGGCGGTACGTACTTGCTACCCGTCTCTCGCAAATTCGAAGAGGCGCCAAGTATCCGTAAGGTTTTCGACGGAGGCCTTGCCTCGAGCCTCTGATAGCTACATCCGCGCGCGAGGGTCAGCTGCGCGCGTATGTCCACGAGGCTCGCAGGGGTCGCACGCGTGAGAGGCATCATCCTGAGTGCACGGACTCGAGCAGAGGCGGACGCGTTTGATCGGGCGAGGCGGCGGATCTGTGCATGGACGGATGACCGGTGCGGTACGCGCGGAGCGCTACCCGCGCATCCCTGCATTTGGCAACGTAACGACTGTCGGTCCGAAACTATCGGCACTCTCTTGTGCGCCGCTCATCCACCTGATGGGATACAGTTGTATCCGCGTCGTGTCCGGGCATTCTGGTTCTGTGAGCGCAGAGGGAGCCTGTAGCTATTCTTGCGAGGAAGAGAATTCGTCTGGCCCCTGTGGTATGGCCGTCGATTGTCGCCGAAGCTATTCCCAGTGCGGTCGAGGTCGAGTTGTCGCGGTCATGGATGATGCTCTAGCAGTTTCGAGATAACGACTCCGTCTTCCAGATTGCAACATGCCGATTGCAACACCTCCCGAGCTCGAATCAGAACCCCAAAAATGGATGGCCAAGCCCGACTGGTCGGTAGGCACTAAACAGCTCGAGGCACTCCGCCCGGCGGATGGATTAGACTCGCCGTCGCCGTCATATTCGGGGTGCTGCTGCGCCCGCCTCGCCCGCGGCCGGCTCCGTGCTCTACTGAACGCCAGCGGCGGGACAGTCAACAGTCAGCGCGACTGTGCAGGTAAGAGCAGACTCGGCCGACGGCAGCGCACCTTTTCTTGGCCACAATAGCATCGCGACTCGCCCATGTGGTTGGTAGGGTCCGCAGCACCGTTATGAACAACCCCCGGAATCAGCACACCTCCTGAGCCGTCGCCGCTTGATATACAAGTTGATTGCTCTGGAACAACCGCGGCGCGGTGTAGAGCTTCTAGCGGTCGTCAACGGTCATGTCGCTCAGGTTCACGAGCTCGCTCCCTTGATCTTCACATCGCGCAGCGAGCAAGGAGAAAAGGCGGGGAGTCGTCGACGAGCGGGTGCCGTCAGCTGGCGTGCTCGTTGGAGCGGACGGTGCTCGCGAATCGCGCGCGGGAGGGCGAAGTGGAGAAAGGGGAGGAGCATCAGGAGGGCCGTGCGAGCGAGGGCGGGAGCGTGATCGATGCCCCGTGGTGGACCTTCCTCGCTGGTTCCAAGCCTGTCGCGCGCCGCCCATGGCGACGAACAAGCCCTGTCGAACTGTGAACGCAATCGCGGTGGCGCACGACACGCCGCGAGCCAAGGAGGACCTCAGGAGCCCGGCCGGTACCGCTCTCGGCGCGCCCGCGGCGGCAGGCGGCTCGGCGGGCGCGATGACGCGCACTGACACGGCGGACCGGGCACTCTCGGGGGCAAATCTGGACAGAGGAAGCGGGGGTCAGAGGCGCGCGTGCGCCAGATGCGGAAAAGTGGGGGTGGCGTGATGGCGCGACAGCGGACACCAGCGAACACCGCTTGCGCGCGCTACCCGAAAGGGGTGTGAAGGGTCCGGAAGAACGGAAAGGCCTGGACCTGCACCCGGAGGAGTGGATCGCGACAGATGAGGCAAAGGAGGCTGATCATGGGGCACGGCCGTGCGAGAGAGAAGCCACCCCGGAGGAAGGCCGCGAGCACCCATGGGAGCATGGGCGATGCGGGAAGGTGTTGGGCCTGAACTCGCTCGGCCGTACCCGTCTGACTGCGACAAAACAGACGCGTCGGCCCTCTGTGCGCGACGATGTGGACACATCCGAGATATGGAGTGCAGCGGGGAGGTGGCGGGAGAAGGCGGTGACAGCGACGGAGAGGAGTGCGGGTGATAAGGGGCGATCGGGAATCTGAGATTGGGATATGAAATGAGCCATACGGGCGCCTATGGAAGGCGGAGAAAGACGAGAGACAACAACGGACTTGCTGAGCCTCACACCAACTTGGCCCAGAAGCCTGTCGTCTGGTACGGCCAATCCCTTGTTGGCACTCGTATCAAGAAACTCTTCTCCACCGCCTCTCTCTCTCTTCCACCACCAACCTTATTCCCTCTCGTCTCCTCCCTCGACCTCGCCATGGACGTTGCTCAGGCCGACCCCGCTACCCCGCACGGCCTCGACTATCCCGCCACCTTCCTCGACTCCCTTCCTGCTCTCCGACCTCGTTCTGATCCTCACCCGCCCATACGTGCTCTGACTGCCTCCCAGTTCTCGGACTTGCACTTCGCGCATTTGACTAGCCATGCACCCGACCATGTCCTCTTCCCCTTCTTGCACGGACTCGAGGGCGACAACGAACAGCAGAACGCCTTCTTCGCCTCTTCGCGACCAAAGGGCGACGTACCTCGATACAGAGGCCTTGTCTGGGTCGCGTGCGATGACGACGAAGAAGACATCTGCGATGTGGACGAGCTCGACGACGACGATGATGATGACTACTCTTCCACCTCTTCTCTGGACTCATTCGGCCCTACCGATCTCGACGAGGACGTGCCGATGGAGCTCGACCCAGTTGTTGACGGAGCGGCGATGAAGGGCTGTCCTCCCCCAGATCCATTGGACAAGACGCCCGTATCCCCACCAGCCGTCCCTATCACCGCGGGCCAGCCCCCCTCGACGACGACCCACACGACGACCCACACGAAGCCCTCTTTCCTCACTTCCAGTTTCCGCCCGCGCGAGCTGTTGCGCACACGGATGGACGAGCGGGGCGTTGTGAGCGTATTCGGCGAACCGAAGATCCCGGATGGAATCAGTCTCAGGAACTTTGGAATCCAGGTGGTGAGTGTTGCTTCTCGATCGGTGGTTTCGGCCTCGTCAGTGCGGGCGGAGACGTCGAACCCGCGAAGGGGCGTGGCATGCGTTGGTTTAATTGTCGCACCCCTCCTTCTGAATGGAAGCGCCGTCGAGGGTGGGTCTTCACAGAAGGGGTGGCGTGCATGGCTCCTGGCACGCCGAGGGCTCCACGCGGACCCGAAGAGACGTCGCGGATCTCCCGCAACTGGCAGTCCCCCGTCCTGGTTCCCTGCGCGCATCGATGGCGCCTTGCCTTGCGCTTTCATGCTGGCCCAAGTCGTCGCGCGCGCGATACTTATTCATATTGGTCACGACCTGTTTGCTTATACGCCCGTAACAGCCAATATATGCGACCGTTTCGGACATCGTCGTTTACTCTCCGCGCGGCATGACCCGCACTGCGATCGCCGTCGCGGAGAAGTTCAAGCAAGCGGTTGAGATCAAGCTCGAGGAGCGCCGCGCGCGCTGCCCAAACCCCGACGCGCTCGTTGTGTACAATGTCTTTGTGCTTGACGCATCGGCGTCGGAGATGGCAGAGAAACTCCCCCACCTCGTTGTTCGCACTGAGGATGCCGCATCTTCTGGCGCTCACACAGATGGTACGGATGCGCACACCCTTGGTGAGAGTGACGACGCCACCCGCCTCCTCCGCGCGACCACCATAGACTTTGCGCAGCGAGAGAAGGACGAGATGCGCGATCTCACTCAGGCGTCTGAGATTTTGTCGTTCGTAGACCCCGAGTCCGGCCCCGATCCTGACGTTCTTGCGGGCTCGAACACTGCGACTCACTGGGAGCCCTCTGTGGGCCAGATCTTTCTGGGCAACTCCAACGACGTTCCTCTTCCCCCAGACCGTCGCATTCGCATGCGCACTCTGCGCGGCGATGAGGACGACGAAGACACGTTTGACTGGCGGACGAATGACCCCAGTAATGGCTACGGCTATGATCTCTGCATCGAGTGCCATGACTATGCGCCTTTCCCTACATCCGCACATCTACGTGCGGCTGAGGAGCACCTGCGTGTTTTGGAGAAGCGTTGGGTAGAGCGCTGCGTCGCCGAGGCGGACGGCGCCGATCCGAAGGAACCCCTCCCACCACGCCCACCGCCAAGTGCTTCCTACGTTGTCCATCTTCCATTCCCCAGCTCCCCAGCATCCTCTGTCGTCACCGTGAACACGCTCCTCCCCTTCATCTCCTTCCTCGAACGACTACTTCAGCCCTTAACAGGCGCGCCGCTCACGTACGGCGTTGCAACAGAGCAGTTATCACCATCTCGCTCGCAGCACTCATACGATGGGCATAGCAGGCGGAATACGAGCGCTGGGTTCATGCCCAGCTCCCTTCCTCCCCCAAGCTCATTCCCAACATCGTTCTTCCCCTCATCGCCATCCACACCAGGTGCATCCTACACTCGCACACGGTCGACCTCAGCCACCTTCCTTCCAGCCACCTCGCCATCAACTCCCGTTGCCAACGGTTCAGCATCCGCTTCTCCGGCTCCCTTGCGCACACGTCCCGTGAAGATCCTCATCTACTCCGCGGACGGATACACGGAATCGTCGGTCCTCGCTCTGTGCATTCTGATGGCTATGCGTGGGATCTCGCTCCCCGAGGCCTATCTGACCCTCCAGGTCGAGAAGCGTCGGAGCTTCTTCGTCTACCAGAGCGATCTCGGCGTACTGAGACGTGTCGAGGCGCGTCTGGAGAAGGACAGGACGGCCCAGAGCCAGAACCCGGCTACCGCGTCGTCATCGACTGCACTGCAACGACAAGTTCCGAGCCAGGGCGAAGGCGACAACGCATCGGAAGCTCAGAGTCCGCAGGGCTGGGTGCGGTCTCTTGGCCGCGCAGCAGCGAAGTCCGTGTCCTTCACGGCTCCTGCCACGGACGACCCGGCGCACGCATCGGCAGCCGTGAGTGCGCTCGCCGCAGTCCATCCGACGCGGACACGTTCCGAGTCGGAAGCAGACGCTGGGATGCAGACGCCAACGCCCGGGCGACCGCGTGCACACACCATGCCACCGTCACGGGTACCTCCATGGAGGGACCACCAGGCGTGGTTCAACGACGCGAGGTTTGACGGGAGCTTCCCAAGTCGAGTTCTCCCGTTCCTGTACCTCGGCAATTTGTGAGTGTTTCCTTAAGCACTTCGCCGGCGGCAATGCTTATTTCCGTGTGTCCGTGCCAGGAACCATGCTTCCAATGCGTTCATGCTCCATGCCCTCGGAATTACGCATGTCGTATCCGTGGGCGAGTGTGCCCTCGTTCCTCCACCGCACCTCGACGCTGCGAACGCCGCCGCGGGCACGATGGCGTGCTCTCTCCCCAACTCTGGCGCCCACTTCGTTCCTGGCAAGGGTCCTGGAGGACAGGGGTCGCTGTGGATCGAGGAACGCGAGGGCCGCATCAAGGTGCTTGACATCAAGGGTGTCTGCGACGACGGGATCGACACGCTCGAGCCACAGCTGCAGCCGATCTGCGACTGGATCGACAAGGCGCGCGAGGAGGGCGGGAAGGTGCTCGTGCACTGCCGTGTGGGCGTGTCACGCAGCGCGACGGTGGTCATCGCATACGTGATGAAGCACCTCTCCCTCCCGCTCGTTGACGCCTACCTCATCGTGCGCTCGCGGCGGCTCTCGGTTCTCATTCAGCCCAACATGCGCCTGCTGTACAACCTCCTCGGATGGGAGGTGAAGCTCGCGCGGGAACGCACCGACGCCGCGCTGCCCGAAGACAAGTGCGCGGGTATGAGCGATCAGGAGAAGCAGGAGAAGCGGAAGACGCGGCTGCGGTGCGAGCTCGCGCGCGCGCTGAACTGGCCGTACCTCGCCAAGGAGGTGCACGCACTCAACGAGAAATACCTCCACTAGACGGGTCTGTGGCGCTGGGTGTGCGTTGTCGCGCGCGGACTCATGTGTTGAGTCTTCGCGCCCCACTTTTCCTTTCTATAGGACCGCTGTTCCTTACCCCCACCCCATCTTGCGCCCTATGCTCTTCTTCCATTCCATTTCGTTCCACCCCTCCCGTACTCAGGCACCTATGACCCGCGCTCGCCCCCAACCACAACACATGTACGACCACGTTGTAATCATTGTACATTCTTGTAGCATCCCTCTTCCGCGCGCCCTTCTCGTGTACATGATCGTCCCTTGGCCCCCCGTTTCGTCTCAACGTCCGGATCGTCGCAACTCAACTCGTCTCGTCTCGTTCCGTCGTACCTCGTCTAGCATCGTCTCTCCACCTAGTCCTATCTCCGCTCTAGTTCGCACTGTCTGTACACGATTATGTATATGTTTCTGGATTAATGCCACGTTCAATTCCTGCTGTCCTCCACAACTTCGCGATAGACTAGACTTGAGAGGCTTGATAGACTGGTGTTGCGTGAAGCGCCTGTCCGATGCAGCAGACATCCGGCGGCAAATTTTGGTGGTCGATATCTCTTTCCTCGCAACGACCACTTACTCAAACATACCCTCAAACTCATGCACAATATTTTCTTCGACCTCCGACCATCCAGAGCTGCAGTGCTGCCTGATGATATTCTCGGTGGCTCCCTCTATGGCCCAGTTGTTCCGCCTTGTCGTCGAGGCTCTGATATCGTCGCGGACTCTTCCGATGCTAAGCTTCCGGTCCTCTGTCACCTGAGTGAGGAATAATTTGGATCGATGCCTCTCAGCTGTAGTACGCTTGCGTCTCGACTTGGCGTACCCTGGCGAAAGTTTCCGCAATCGTGGTCCTCGACGAGGCTAGTAAGCTTTCTCATGCGTTTTGTATTGGGTGAAGGTTAGAGTGCCCTGCTCGATCACCATGCTGCTCACACGCGGCGCATTCTTGGGAGAGTACGTCGACGAGAAGCATTGCGCCACAGCCGTCGTAGATGCGGCACCTACTAGTGCTGACCAACATGAGTATATTTTGCAGGTCTTCGGTGGGTAGATGTGCATTTGCGGGCCTTCGGGTTCACACGTCGCGTCGAGAGTTCGTCGGCGCACACTGGCTCGATTCCCGAGAAGTCCTCAGCCTCCTATCGTGCTCCGGAAGCTCGCCACGCCAAACCTACGAACTCGGGACGAAAATAACGGCCTCCTCTGCGCATGCGCACGACATCTGTCGCCACCGCGCTCACGTGTGGCGCCCGCCTATATAGTACTCCCAATTTAAAGCCGCACCTTCCCCTGTTGAGCCTGCACGACTCATTACACTATACGGCATGTCAACCCCAACACAGCAGAAGGCTTTATTGCTCCTCGCCAAGCAGGGCGACTTCGCGGTACAGACACGACCCGTCCCGACGCCGGGCCCGGGCGAGCTCCTCGTGCGAAACGAGGCGAGCGGGCTCAACCCCGTCGACTGGAAGATCCAGGCGTACGGCCTGTTCTTGAAGGACTATCCTGCCGTCTTGGGAACCGACGCCGCGGGGGTCATCGTCGCCGTCGGCGAGGGCGTGCCAACGTGGCAGGTCGGAGACAGAGTGTTCGTCGAGGTTTTTTTTGCGGGAGCTGAAACGGTGCTAGATGACGTCTATCTGCCTGTAGGTTGTATGAAGGCCGGCAGCACATTGACCGAGCAACGTTCCAGCAGTACGCTCTAGTCGATGCCGACTTTGTCGCCAAGGTTAGCGTTTGAACATAAGCTACGCTACGTGTTTGCTGACCAACATACTGCGTACACGTGTACTAGGTCCCGGACTCGCTCACTTTCGAACAAGCGGCCTCTATCCCTCTCGCGCTTACCACCGCTGCAGTAGGCCTATACAACCAGGCGGGTGGGCCACGGTTCACCCCGCCGTGGGTTGAAGGCAGCAGGTTCAAATACGCAGGGCCTATAGTAGTTATCGGCGGATCTAGTGTCGTCGGTTCTCTCGGTGCGCCATCTACGCAGGATCTACGGGACTCACGCGTGAATAAAGGCTCACGCACTATGAAACAGCCCTCCAGCTCTCGAGGCTATCCGGATTTTCCCCCATAATCACGACTGCCTCGCTCAAGAATGCCGAACTGCTCATTGGCTTTGGCGCCACCCACGTTCTCGATCGGAACCTGTCCGCTTCAGCGCTGCGCGAACAGGTCTTCGAGCTTGCCGGCGGAGCCGTATCGGTCGTGTACGACGCCATCTCGCTCCCCGAGACGCAGAACGCCGCATTTGATCTCCTCGGCAAAGATGGAAAGCTCCTGACCGTCCTCGCGCCCGCGGTGGACGAAGACAAGCAGAAGAATGCGAACGGACGCACAGTCGTCACCATCGCGGGCCACATACTGCGTCCGGAGAACCAGGACTTTGGACGGGGGCTGTTCTCCAAGTTGACCGGCCTGCTCAAGAACGGCGATCTCAAGGTATGCCCTTATAACGTTGGAGTGCGGTAGCGCTGACGCGGTGCTCGCAGCCATTACATGTCGAACTCGAATCCGGAGGCCTCGCGGGTATCCCTGCTGGTCTGAATAGGCTGAAGAATAACCAAGTGAGCGCGAGCAAGGTTGTAGTGCAGCCACAGGAGACGGCGTAAGAGATTGTAAACGATGGGCCCATCTGTACATGTACTACCGTGTATCTTCTCCTGTCACAGCCCGTGTGGAATAGCAATCAACGAACATCACCGCAATACGCTGTCTCATTCAAATGTCGCTTAGGGGAGATACAACACTCTGGCTCTCGGTGGTTATCATCCAGAAGATTCATCATAGCTGCTTTCGAAACGTATTCAAGTATTCATGCATCATGCTACACAACATAGGTAGAGGCTGATACTCTCAGCCCGAGATCCTGACGCCACTCCCTTCGACGCCATCCCGACCACTCAAGGAGTTTCCTGAGGACGCGCAACCAGCTTCTTCGCGCTGACCTCGTTGTTCTTTAGGCGTTCTAGGCCCGCAGGTATGCCCGCAAGTCCGTTGGGGACGATCTCGACTGCGTTCGGCTGCGTTCGTCGTTAGAATGCGCGGTCGGCTTTAATTGGATGGTATCGGCTTACTTTAATGAGCCCCTTCTCCAGCCACTCCGTCAAGTGCTCGAAGAGCTCCAATCCGGCAGCTTGGGTATGCGGGAAGGAAATGCTGCCGCGTACCATCACGATATGCTTCTGCTCTCCGTCCTTCTTGAGCTCGGCCGGGATGACGTCGGGCAAGACGAGCACCAGATTCCCGCCGGGTGGAACAGCCCTGTACGCGAGGACCTGCGTACTGGGCTCCGAAACGCCGTCGAAGACGACCTCGAGTGGTTTCCCGCCCGTGAGCTTCGGCAGTTCCGCCAGAATCGCGTCGGCCGGGAGTGTCCGATCCACAACGTGAGTCGCTCCGAGAGACGTGAGCAGGCTCGTGTTACGTGAGGACGCCGTGGTTATGATCGGGGAGAACCCGGAAAGCTTCGCGAGCTGGATGGCTGCGTGTAGCCCGATTAAAACATGATCAGAGAAGCGAGGTGAGAGGAAAGGTATGCTAAAGCCTCACCGGACTGCCCAAGGGAGGTCGCGCCGCCGAGTATGAAAATGGGCTTCCCGGCGTAAGCGGTGCTTCCGCCGTCTTTCCAGAAAGGCTTCAAGCGCAAGCTTTCCTGCTCACTCTGCTGATTGTACAGCGCCAGAAACGAGGTGACAAGGGCCGACGTGACCGTAGCCGCCGACTCGAAGCCAATATTCTCAGGAATCTGGAAGACAGTCAGAACCCAGGAGATCGCGTAAATTGCCAATGTCATCTGCGACTAACCTTTGCAGCGAGCGTAGCTTGGACGAGACTGTTCTCCTGGAACGTGCCGTATCCAGCCTTCATAGGTCGTGCGCCTTGGAAGAGGCTAGCAAAACGAAGTGCAAAGCCATCAGCATTCAATACGCGTTTCATAATGCACAGGAGTGGACTTACACACGGTCGCCTTTCTTGAAGTTCGAAACGTTGGTGCCCACTTCGACCACGACGCCCGCGCCGTCGCTCCCTGGGGTGAATGGATACTCAGGGACAAGCCCGAGAGAGGCGAATTCCGGCAAGGCGACCTTCCAGTCGACGGGGTTCAGTCCGACAGCATGGAGTTTGACCAAAATGTCGTTGGGGCCAGGACGAGGGATGGCCGTCTCGCCTACGATGTATTTCTTACCAGGGGCAGGCAGGACGAGCGCTTTCTGAGTGGCTGTTGTGGTAGACATCGGGTTGGAGATAGTAGATGTCGGTGTCTGGTTCGTTGAGAACACTCGGAATTTCGAGACCGAGATATTTAAGGCGTCAATGCCCGACCTCCCCTGGCAGTAGGATCCGTGAAGCTGTCGATCGTGAGTGCCCGAAGCGGTCGCAACGACACAGCTCAACTCGCGGTTCACCCGCAAGACCCACGCGCGCTATGCCGATATCGGGAATTGCGTGCATGCCATTAGAAATCCATCAACCATGGGACACCAACCGCAGCAGATTGTGCTCCCAGTGGTGGACTAGAAGGTGAAGATGTTTGTCAGAAATTGCGACTGAACGTCTAGATATGAGGCAATTTGAACCTGGATCGAGTTGACGGAGAGCGAGGGGAGTCGGGTATGTTCGAGGGTATGTTCGGGTACCCTATCATAGATAGTCATATCTACCGAGCGACGCGGCACTCATGGCATGCGGTGTCGCCATTCAGGGGGCATCCCGGCCGGCAGCACGAAGCGCATGTGTCGTGATCTGTAGCGAACTCGGGTCCACTCATGAGATTCGTTTCTCCTCTTTAAAATGGAACTTAGACTCACTGTTCGAACTCTTAAGCCATGCGGTAGAAACAGCCGTAGGCCTTGCCAAAGAATCTGAGTCGGCGTGGAGGCGACGTGGACGTCGAAGTCCGAGAACGGTGGACGCACTGCCACGACAGCGCGCGCTTCGAATTTGTCTGTGAGCGTTTGCTACGCAGCAACCACGCAGTGTCACCACTCCTTCTTCACCAAGACCACTGGAAGAACCTCCTCATCATTCTTGATCCAATTCTGGAATAACTCACAAAATCTCTGTGTAACTCAAAACAAGCTCCTTACAATAAGTTCTGACATTGGGAAAGATTCGTTAAGTAACCACTGAACGCACAACGCAGTCGCGGCGTAACTTGATGGCCAAGTTTGACTATTCCTCAGCTCTGGAAGTTCACGGAGTTTCTTGAGGCTTAGCGACAAGCTTCTTGGCGCTGACCTGGTTGTTCTTCAGACGCTCCAGGCCCCCTACAATGCCAGCGAGTCCGCCAGGGAGGACTTCGAACGCATTCGGCTGCAGCAGGACGAAGAAAGCAATGTAGGGATTAGCAACGGACACGGACAACTTGGTAGCGTATTGAACGAACCTTGATAATCCCCTGCTCGAGCCAGCCCGTCAGCCGCCCGAAAATCTCTTCGCCGATCTTCCTGTGCTGGGGCAGGTGGACACTCCCATGGATGAAGACGATGCGCTTCGCGTCTCCGTCTTTCTTCAGCTCGGCCGGGATCTGGTCCGGCAGAGCGAGCGCGAGTGCACCTCCAGGTGCGAGGACTTGGTACGCGAGGGACTGACTCTCCGGGCTCGAGACGGCATCCACGGCGACCTCAAACGGCTTCCCGGCCGCCACCTTCAGCACTTCGGCCAATACCGCGTCAGCGGAGAGACTACGGTCAACGACATGAGTCGCTCCGAGCTCGGTCAGGAGTGCGGCGTTGCGGGGAGACGCGGTGGTGATGATGGGGCCGAAGCCGGCAAGCTTGGCAAGCTGGATAGCTATCGTAGCGGATGTTGATGACGGTCAGCAAATGTCGGGCGAACGGATAGTCGAGTATACGTACAGTACTGTCCTAGGGACGTCGCGCCGCCTACAATGAAGATGGGCTTCCCGGCGTAAGCATCGTTGCCGCCTTCTTCCCAGAAGGGCTTCAGGCCGAGGCACTCCGTCTCGGCGTACGGGTTGAAGAAAATCAGAGCCGCGGTGCCGAAGGTAGCGGGGAGGGTAGCGGCGGCCTCAAAGCTGATGTTCTCCGGAATCTGCGATATTTGTCTCGTATCAACATTGTATCGGGCGCGAAGAGGACACGTCTACTCACGTGTGCGGCGAGTGCGGCGGTGGTGATAGCGTACTGCTGGAACGTCGCCTGTGCGTTCTCCCTCATGAAACCTTGGAAGACGCTGTAGGATTGAGCCTGATCAGTACATGTCCCTTAAGAATTGACGTCCATAGAGCTTACATGCGGTCTCCGGTTGTGAATTTGGAGACGTTCTCTCCGATTTCGACGACGACACCAGCACCATCGGTGCCGGTGATGAACGGATATCCAGGGATCAGCCACGAGAAGATCGGCGTAGCCACCTTCCACTCGAAGGGGTTGATTCCGGTAGCTTCAATCTTCACGAGGACGTCGTCGGGACCAGGGCGGGGAACAGCAGCTTTGGCCACGGTGTACGGCGAGCCCTCTGCGGGGAGGACAAGGGATTTCTGGGTGGTCGGGATGGTGGCCATGGTGCGGTAGTTTTTGTAGTGATAGACAGGGATGCGTGTGAGGAGCTCTTGGTTATTCGTTCGTTTGAGTCGCTGGTGCTTTATATATGACCGCATATAGGTCCTCCTGTTTGCGACTACATCTCAGTGTGCTCAGAGCTGCAGCTCGAATGCGACACCGAGTGCATGTCCATCTTGCCAATACTAAGAGGACACGTCGCCTGAGAAATGCGTAGTGGCTCTGCAACTGGGCCCGATGGCAGTTGATGGAGCTAGACTGTCAACTAGATGGTGAGCTAAGGCACGCGCGCGATGGATACGTCCGTACCGAGCGGTTCAGGAACGCCCAACGCTAGATGAAGCGACGCGCGTTCAGTCGGCATACCGCCGCGCATCGTCCTGACATCCTGCGGCAACGTATGCCTCCTTCGTTTGCGTGATAATTATGAGGCTGCGATATGGCTTTGCTGAGTCATGCTCACGCGCACGGTCGAAACTGACCCCTGTGAGCAAAATCAACGTTCATCGTCGAGACTGACCTCCATTCATGGGGGCACATGTTGTCCCCTAATCGTATTGAGCGTATCGCGTCTACACACGCAAGGATTCTCGTTGTCGAACTGCGTACGACGATGCTGTGCACTAGGATCAAATATGATTTGCAAACATGTTAATACCTGGACATTCACCCCTCAGGCGGTTTCCTGCGGCCTCACAATCAGCTTCTTCCCGCTGACCTTGTTGTTCTCGAGCCGATCAAGGCCTTCTGGCGCGCCGGCCAGACCTCCTGGGAGCACCTCCACTGTGTTTGGCTGCATACCCGAATTCCACGGTTGGTTAGCGCAGGTTACACGACGTCGCAGACTGGATCGCACCTTAATGATGCCCTTCTCCAGCCACTCCGTCAACCTCTTGTACAGCTCGACGCCACACGCCCTGTTCTCCGGGGTATGCACGTTTCCGAACACATACGCAATCTGCTTCTGGTCGCCTTCGTCCTTCAACGTAGCGGGAATGACGTCGCCTAGCACGATGACTAGGCCGCCTCCAGGGGCGAGCGCCTGGTACGCGAGCGGCATCGTTTCCGGAAGGGAGATCGCGTCGTATACGAACTCGAGAGGCTTTCCGCCAGTGAGTTCGGGGAGTTTCGCGAGTATGGCATCGGCCTCTAGCGAACGGTCGATGATGTGCGTCGCGCCGAGGGAGGTCAGGAGCTCGATATTGTGAGGAGAAGCAGTAGCTATGATGGGGCTGAACCCAGCGAGCTTTGCGATCTGAATGGCTATCCGCGGTGCGTGAAACATGAGTATACGGCAATCCACGTATGAGATAGGGACGTACCGTACTGTCCAACGGACGACGCGCCACCGATAATGAACGCTGGCTTTCCGGAGAACTCTGTGTTCCCGCCCTCTTCCCATACCGGCTTATAACGCAGTGTCTTAGGGTAACCCGGATGTTGATTGTAAAGAGCAAGAACGACCGTAGCCAGTCCAAGAGGTATGGACGCCGCCTGATCGAAAGAGATATTCTCGGGGATCTCAAGACGTGAAGTTGAGTGCACTTGTTCTCAACAGCAGCCCAGTGTAGACTTACCAGCGCTGTAATCTCCGCAGGTACAATGCAGAACTGCTGGAGCGTCGCCAGTGGGTTCGTGAACCAGCCCTGGAAAACGCTACCTCGGCGAAATCCCACGTCAGAGACGTTTCCGTAGAATGCACGTAGCCGCTACTCACATTTTATCCCCTTCCTTGAGAGTCGTAACCTCGGCGCCGACCTCAACGACGACACCCGCACCATCCGTGCCGGTAATGAATGGGTACTCTTGGATGAGCCCAGAGAACGGCGGAATCGTAACCTTCCAATCGATCGGGTTGAGCGCCGCAGCTTCCACCTTCACGAGAACGTCTTTGGGGCCTGGTCGCGGTACTGGCGCATCACCGACGCTATACTTTCCACCTTCTGCGTGAAGCAAGAGCGCCTTCTGTGTCTGGACAGTCGCCATCTTTCGCGGGAGAGATCGTGATCGAGGAATGGCCGCAGTTCCCTGCGCTGCGGAGCAAGATATATATGTAGACAACACGCCTTCCCACCAGGATGAACGCGGCCCGGATGTCTGTGTCTGTGAATGAGATTCATCAGCACATGGGTATGTCTAGGTGTCCGTATCTGTGCGTGGAGTGAGCGAGGGAACGTGCTGACAAAAAGAAGCTCGGCACTTGTTTCCGTCGGCGAACGCAATTATATCTAGTCAGTCCATTTTGATCCATCGAACTTCGATAGATTGTCTTGCACGGTTACTCCCCCCAATTTAATACTCGACAACTCAAGAGTGGCCTCGTATGAGATGTTTTCTCACATACGACTTACTGGTAGTCTGGCATATATAGCTACGTGAGCTGCAGCCCCAGGTAGTAGTATGCCCCATCAAGTTCAGTACGCGAGAGCTATAGCTCGTCTCTTGGATCCGACTCCAAGTTGTTGAGAGGTATTCACTGTCAACTGGTGCGCACCATGTGGAGAGTCGCGAGAGACGTCGCATGCTGACTACGATGTCCGAAGTAGGTGCCCACATGAGATCAAACACAAGAGGAGTAGACGTTTCCCAGCATGAGAGGTTTGACTGGTTCAGTTGAAGAGGAAATGGTGGTTGAGCTCAAGCATCGTCGCGCATGGCAGGCGGCGCGTCCGGGCGACTGTGACAATCCCGCCACCGTGATCAATCACGGATGTGACTCTCCGTAACACAACCGAATATGGACTTCATTTAGCGCTCATGACCTTACCGACAAACCTCGACGACGCCGTGCGCCGTCGTGCGGTCGCACAAATCGCAAGTAGGCACCCTCTTGGGAAGCGTCATTGCTGCTTGTGTAACTCATTTGCACCACCATGGATGCCAAAGCTCATGTTTGAAGTATGTTTTATTGTATGCTAGGTTGCAGGACCTGTCGAGCTAAAACATCGGCAGTTATAGTTGACGTACGCTCGCTTGGCGGCGGGGCGCTCATCGCTCGATAGCGTTCGACCAGTATGAAGTGGCCTATGCTGCGGTTCAACTCAATTGAATGGCAATAAGGTTAGGTTGATGGCTTGGGGTGAGGACCATGCTCAAGACAGGCGTTGCGCCTCGTTCAGCGGCGACGCCCTCCTTTCGCCCATGTCTCCCTCACCGCCGCAGTCTTTTACCCTCAGTGCTGCGCTCAAAGTAGGTACCTAGATCCTACAAGTTGGGCCAATCGTCTCACACAACACAGGCTTGCGCCGGCTCCGCAAGCTCGAATGACATAAACGACAAGCCGCTACGAGTCCTCAGTCGCAATCCCGGCGGGGTGTTTGAAGTGGTGCCATTCCGTGGTCAGCCCTATGTGGCGATCAGCTACTGCTGGCCAGGGAGCCCTACCTTCCGTCGGCTCAGCACGAGCAACGAACCGACTCCTGTACTCACACCAAGCGGCCTGGTCTCTTCCCAGCACTTCTCGCTTTTCATCTCCCATTCAGCCCACTCCTACGATCCCTCGCTCGCCGTTTGGGTGGACTTTCATTGTATCAACCAAAACGACCTCAACGAGAAGACTGCGCAAGTCGCGATCATGCAACGCATCTATACCGGAGCCAAACTAACATTGGTCATGCTGGAAGACGTCGCGCTCCGCCCAGAGGACCGTCTCCTTTTCGCTGCCCCTCGAGCTACGAAGGAGTCCTTAGCCCTAGCATGCCATGTCCTATCTGCCCGGTGGTTCTCGCGCGCCTGGTGTTCCCAGGAGCTGGTTCTCAGCCGTCACGCCCACCTCTATGTGCACGACCTCAGTCAAGAAGGCCACTTCGTCAGCATTCCGTCTGATACTCTTTGGCACATCATCGACAGTGCACGGAATCGCGAAGCTGCTATTCCCGTCTTCCCCCAGCCACGTGGTTCCCTCCCGGATACCGCCATGGCCAAGAGCACCTGTGCGTGGGCGTTGGGAATCGTCCATCGCCTCGGATGTAGTGACGACTACGACAAAGCCTCCCTGCTATGCAATCTCGTTCGCTTCATCTATCGGTTCGCTTCCCGTCCCACCGCCTTCAATGTCGATTCTCCCATAATCCGCCTCAACGTGCTGAAGATGGCGAATATCATTGCATTCAAGCGCCGCGACTTCTCTCTATTGCTGGTCAATCACGGGCTCCACAATCCACTTCGCGGACATGTCGGCTTTGGATGGGCAGGGGAGCCGATCGAAGGTGATAGAGCGTCCGCAACATATGCTCTGAAGGACTTTCAGGCCGAAAAGGATCCGGGCATCATGCTGGACGACTCCGGGCTCATTGCGCGTGGCTGTCTCGCTCGCGTTGTGCAAGAGCACACTTGGGAGCTCCATCGAGACCCAACAGGTCGTTACACTCGGGTCGTGTCCAACGGCTCTCACGTGCACCCTTCATGGACCTGGAGACGAGACGCCTTACATCTGCGAGATCTTCTCGTCGCGCTTGCATCCGTTGGCGGCCACGGATGGGACGATGCTTCGCACCACGCTCGCATCGTCTTCGCATACCTGCTGTCCATCGACTACGATCTGCAACCCGAACCCATCACCGGCGACCTGGGCGCCCGGACGCGTTCTCTCCTCTGCGATCTCTTCTCTCTGAAAGACATTGCAGCCGCGATGAGCTTCGTTTGGCGCGCGCCGGGCCTGGCGGCGTTCAGCACCATTCGCCTCACTGACGGTAGCGTCCTGCTCGTTAGCGGGAACGTCTCAGGTTCCCTAGTAGGCCGCCTCCTCTTCCAGCCCTATGTCATCCGGCCCACGCTCTTCTCCCCACCAGGCGTCCTGACCGCCAACTCCCTGGTGCTCGAGAACAGACGCTCGCCGCAGGGAGTGCACCGGTGCATAGGCTGTGTCCGGGGTCTAGGCATGATCTCGGAGGCAGATGGACATGGGGGACAGATCCTGTGCATCGCCTAAGTGTATTTACGTCTGTCATACAGGGTCTGCTGCGGTGCGTCTCTGTAAGTATTTGCATTCGATTTCCAAGGAGCATGACCGCGGTATTGCGGTCGCGGCACAGCCTCAAGCACCGGACAGTACTCACGGCGGGCTCTTTACAGAGGTACGAGGCTTCTGGTGCTATCTGATCGTATGGCAGTACATCCAACTGCAGTGGATGTCTCTTGTGTGGTGCGCATGGCAGATGCCCAGACGTGGGCGTATCTGTCTCGGCATTACCATCTACAGCCGCCCGAGTGGTCGACTTCCGCCGCTGCCCTTGCCACACGAGTACAGCGGTACAAAACAAAGCTAGGAAGGCAGCTGTATAACAATGTCATAGTTCCGAATGATGTCCACCATCCGCTGCTATAAAACAATGATTCCAAGTACAAGGAGGCCTTGGTGCAGCTGCCTCATGTACATGTTCGGAGCGCCGATTGCGGAGTTCCCACCATCTGTGCATCGCTTGTCCCGTTGATCAGAAGAATGACACGCTCATATAGTCTGACACCCGAATACAGGCGCGAGGCCTGCTGTACTCGTTGCCACGATGAATAGAACCTTAAAGCTGAGGGAGTGGAGGAAGTTACTTCTGCTCCCCCACCACTACTCACTCGAGCCCGCCACTACTCTGTGCATGACCATCGCCTCCCAATGCCTCCAATAGCGTCTCTCCTCCAACTGGCAGCGCGGCAAGTCGACAGCGGGCCCGTCATCTCACTGCCGCTACAGGATACGAGTTTTACGCTCGACTCGTCCGGCGTCGCCGGTTTCTTCGGCGGAGACGGTGCAGTGCAGGGTATGGCCACCGTCCACCTCTTTGAGGGCCGTCGCTGGTTCGGGTGGTACAATACCCCCGGCTCGTACGAAATCGCGAAGCAGTACGGCCAGCTCGCGAAGGCGCGCCTCTGGGACGGCCTCTTCCCTGGGCCGAACCGCGACCCCGCACAGCTCTTTGGGCTCGACGGCAAGTCTGGCCCCCGCTTTCTCGCGGCACACTCGGGCTCCGTCATCCAACGCAGCGGGCACCCCGCGTACCTCGTCGCGCGCAAGGCACAGAGCATTCCCCCGGAGGAACGTACCCATGTCCGTTGCACCCGCCGCTCGACCCTCGACTGTAACGTCACCACAGTAGACCTCCGTTATGCGCCTCTACCCGAGGAGCAACCCCACCGCCGCAAGAGCAACCTCCCGCTGCTCGCGCTCGTTCCCATTGTCACCAGTGTTGGCGCGTGCGTCCTCTGCGCGCTTGTCGCCGACTGGTGGTGCTTCGCGAGCATTGCCTCCGGTATCCTCGCTAGCGGCGTCGCATGCTTCGTGATAGGCTCCGGACAGCTCACTTTCACCCACCCCCAACCCGCTACGGGGGCGCCCCCCGGCGACGGCGTCCTGCTCGACGACGAGGGCATCATCGTGCTGCGCGGGTGCGAGGACGCAGTTAATTCTGTGACGCGCGGGCGCTTCTGCCTCAAGTTCGCGAGCGAGCCCAAGTACAGCGGGATCGGCGTGTGCTCCGTGGGGCTTACCGCGCAGTTCCTCGTACAACTGCTGCTCATACCGCAGGGGACGCTGTTCGGCCAGGTCATGTTCGTCGTCACGCTCGGCATTTCCTGGATGTACAATGCGTACCTGTCGGCGCTCGAGAAGGAGGACATCCAGACGGACATCCTTGTGGACCTCCTCCGTTTGCAGGAGAACCAGGACGTCCAGAAGTTCGCGCTCGGCACACGTACGGCCCAGGTCGTGTTCACCGCGCTCCTGCTGCAGCCACGCGAGCCGGTAAAGACGCCCCGGCCGCTGAAGCCGTACAGCCCAAGGAAGCTGCTAGATGAACTCCTCCCCAACGACACGCCTGTATGGGACCGATGGAAGGATGCAATCGTGGAGAAGCTTCGTGCCGAGCAGAGCCTAACGTTCGGGGATGCGGACTCGAAGGTGGAGGGATTCACGCCCGAGGACCAGGAGCTCTTGGGCGGTCTCTTCAAGGACGCCGAGGAAGCATACCACGGGTGGAAACGCGCGTGCTTCGATCTAGACGCAGATTCTGTGTGCAAGGAGAAGTGAGAGTGTGCCATACACATTTCGCAATGACCACGTACGATAGTACAATCACCCCACGTAGATACATACAACAACTTACGGCACTATACATACCCACATACGACTCGCCACGCATTGCTTTACGTTTCTTGTACGAATCCAACACCAGTTATATGATTCGAATGCCTAGCAAATCGCCAAGGGTCGGCCAGAATTTTGATTAGCACACGGAATGAGATCAATTGACTGTAACAGTTGCAGTCGCCCGATGTTGAGGTTACACCTTCAGAAGGGCTGCCAGGAGAAGCTACGGTCAACGAGACTGAGGCAGGGCCAGGTGCTTGGCACAGAGATCTTCGTACAGCCAGGGGAGACTGTATTATGATTGCATGTCGCGATGTTTTTGGCATAAGTTTCGAAGCCCAGCGAGTCCTGTCATGGTGGTTTGAAAGAAGAAGAGCGTAGCAGCCGCGACACATTCAACGACGATTCTCATTACGAGCCAGGTGCCTTAGGCAGATTATATACTACACCAGCAGCATGAGCTTGTCACTTTTCTTCTGTACTTTGAGGTAGTCACAGTAACTTCTCACAATCTTTTGAGCCGGCCGTGTACACGAGTTTGAGGGTAAGTTTTCAGGACTCCTGGTGTTTGTGACAGTCATTGCACCTTTCGGATCCCAGAGAGTGCTAAGGGTTTCGATCTATTGACGGAGCATTAGCCACCGGCGCCCAATCAATGCATACCCTTCCACCGCCAATGCCTCCGCTCCTCGTGCAGACACAGGCAGCATCCTCATGCACCATGTTCCGGTAGTTTTGTCATATTTTCTCCCCTCGAGTCGTCGAGGCTGGAGCGGGATCGCTCCTGGTCGCTCTCGCTTTCCCGGGTCGGACCATCGGCGCGCTCCAGGGTCGACGGCCCGGAGGAAAGTGACGACATGACCGCGTCCGGGATCTTTCTCCCGACAACCATCGACGCTCTGAGGACGATAATGATTGAATTTCGCCGGAATACCTCTTCTCAACCCAACCACGACCATGGCGGCAGAACTACCCATCCCGATCTTCACCTCCCTTAACATGGCGTTGCCAGATCTCCAAACGGCGGCGGCGGAAGGGTGAGGATATCGGTCTTTCTACAGATGTGCTGAACTCACGCGGGAAGCCACCAGAGTTCGCTACGACTCCATGGTCAAAGAGTATGAGAGTCGGTTCGGTCATAAGCCTACATATATCGCTCGTGCACCCGGACGAGTAAAGTACGTCGGATCGTTACGCCTTGGATCGAACATCGCTCTGACCAACCATGCGCCTCCTCAGCCTCATTGGCGAACATATCGACTACGTCCTCTTCGGCTGTTTCCCTGCTGCGATCGAGCGCGACATCCTCATCGCATGTGGGCCTTCGCAGTCTGCGTCGGGCACCAGCACTCCCAGCTCGCACCCACCCGGGGGTGTGAAGGCCGAGAACCTTGATCCCAAGTACAAGCCGCAACACTTCGTCCCGAAGTTCAACTCCGCACTCGGTCCCTCCGCAGCAGAGGAAGCGGACGCAGCGAGCAACGTGCATGCAGAGACGTCATGGCATCTGGACATCGATAAGCGCGAGTTGCGCTGGGAGAGCTATGTTAAAGCTGGCTACTATGTGAGTGACCCGTTGAATCCCGGTTTCGTCTAAGCATTGAAGAAATTCTGTGGTATTTGTCATAAGGGCGTGCTCAGTCGATTCTTCTCCTCGACGACAGAGCACCCCGTTCCCGTCGATTTGCTCGTCAATGGCTCTGTGCCCTCCGGTTCTGGATTGTCTTCAAGGTAGGAATACATCTGAGGTCGTGTTCGTTGCCGAAATCTGAACGTTTAGGAAGTGCCGCGATGGTAGTGTCATCCACGCTCGCGTTCCTGGCCGTCAACAACAAGCTGGAAGGTATCACCAAGGGACAGCTTGTCGAAATGTCAATGGAAAACGAAAAGCGGGTCGGAGTAAACAGCGGCGGGTACGTAGAACATGTGGTATCCTTGACCGCCATACGCTCATATCCATGTTATCAGACTTGACCAAGCAGCGTCGGTCATCTGTACCCCTCACTCCGCCATTTTTGTAGACTTCTTCCCTCGTCTCTCTGCCGAGCCCATCCCTCTCCCAACCCCTCGCACAATCCCGCGCGCCGTCTTTGTTTGTGCAAACTCGCTCGTTGTGAGCGACAAGGTCGTCAGTAAGTAGCGTTATTCAGCTCAGCCCCGCATCACACTAAGCATCTCGCTGCAGGTGCCAAGATCCACTACAACCTCCGTGTCGTCGAGACCCTGGTTGCTGCACGTATCCTTGCGAGTCGTCTCGGGTTGTCTCTCGGCCCCTCTGACCGGCCCCGAATTCGCGAAATATTCTCGCGCTGGCTCGGCTCACCCGAACTCGAGTCCAGTCCAGAGAAGGTGAAGGCGGGCCTAGAGCGCTTCCTTCCAGAGATCGAGAAGCTCAAGCCGTCGCCGGAAGGTCGCCCCGAGGGCGAACTCGGTGTCACGATGAAGGAGATGGTCGAGTGGAGCGGTCTCACAGAGGCGCAGTTCCACCAGGTGTACCTCTCGTGGGTCGATGGTACGTCTCGCAACCATGAATTTTCTAGTTCCCCTTGCTGACGCGTCGTAATAGTCGAAGCCGAGTACTTCCAACTGTACAAGCGCACGCTGCACGTCATCACGGAAGCGATCCGCGTGCTCGAGTTCCGCGAGGTCTGTCTGCGCGCACAGGCGGCCGAGGGCGAACTGCCCGACGACACGCTTCGCGCGCTCGGCGCGCTGATGGACGCGTCGCACGAGAGCTGCTCCAAGCTGTGTCAGAGCTCGTGCCCCGAGGTCGACCAGCTTGCGGAGCTCGCCCGCGCGTCTGGCGCGTACGGCTGTCGCATCACCGGCGCTGGCTGGGGCGGATGCACGGTGTCGCTTGTCGCGGAGGACAAGGTGGACGAGTTTATCGCGAAGGTTAAGGAGGGTTACGCGCCTTACAAGAATCTGGAGGGCGACAAGCTACGCGAGGTTATATTTGCGACGAAGCCGAGCTCTGGAGCGTTTGGTCAGTCGTGATAGATCGGGTGGATGGAACAACACTGACGTGATTTGTTCGCAGTTTTGAAGCTCGAAGAATAAATGCGGGGGAGAGCTTGAAGTTAATCCATTGTATGTATAATGCTACACATCTACAAACAGCGACAGTCGACTTCCCGGAGGCAAGGAGGAGCGGAGATTGGTCAAGGTCAGCTAACACAAGCCCATCCAACTTAACACGTCCACTCTCCTTCCAATTGGACTTTAAATGATCTGGATGACTGGTAAGGATACGTGACGAGCTCTAGTAGGCAGTAGGCCGAGTAGAGACGCGGGTAAACCGACCGTCTGACCTCACCCACATCCGGGCGATGTCGCTATCCATCGTTGGGCCCGAACCTAAGCCCGCTCGACGACAATATACAATCCGAACGTTAAGCGGTCCCCAACTGGAGCTTTTGCTATTGAGATGGTAAACCCAGGATATTTTTACAGAAGCACCAGGCAAGCAGCATCCCGTGAGTTCCATTCTCGACCACAGCCCGTCACCCCCTTAACATCTTACAGCATCCTCCAGTCCGTGTAGAAGCTTCCCGACCCCACACTCCCGGGACCCGCCCCCGATTAGTCAATACAACAATGAAACGACGTCTTTGGGGAGCTGCAGGAGGTTATAGGGCGAAGGTGTATCGGAGGAAACAACCTCGCGCGCACGGGCTCCCTGGAGAACCCATTGAGCGCCATTGATACTCGCAGTAGCGAATAGGCTTACCGTGTGGATGCTAGCCGGCTGCGAGGGCCGGTAGCGTGCCAGTATGACATGGGCTGAGGATGTCTTGTCTCGACCGTGCGAGATGACACCAATACATAGGCCTGCCAGCACGCCAGAGGGCGTGGGGTTGCGGAGCCTAGTTGTGCTGATCATTGAGAACATATTATCTAGAGAACAGCGACTCCAATCACGGACGCACCATGTGCGAGAGACGAGAGGACCCGATGTGTCCGGGACTGTCGCTATCGGTATGAACAATCGAGTCATGTACCGCTCGTCGCACGCTTCTCCGTCCCCCGTTTGGCCGCGGTACGGGTGTTGAGAACCGCTTTGCAGGATAGCGGCGGAAATATAGGCACCGCGGGCACCGCAACCGTCGTGGCCTTTCCACCAGCGACGTTCGTAGACGTCGAGGACGTCTTCTTTTTGTTGGAGGGCACCATAGCGCGACGATGCAGGCAGCGAGCCATGATAGTACGAAGATGCCACGATCGAGGAGGTTGTCTGTCACTGGTCAGGTCTGTCACTGGTCAGGTTACAACGTATCGTTGTGGGTTTATATTTGACCGACGAGGTGAACGGGAGATTGAAGCGAGGCGTCTGATCACAGATTGAACATCAGAAGGAAGGCCACGAGGCTACCCCTGCGGCGCCCTGCGGTGCGTGTCAGACGGCAATATGACATGACGGCATCCCGCCAGACAGCGTCTGGAGAAAGCGTTGTTGCGTACGGGTGTCGTTCGAACCTTCGAGGGACGCATCGATCCATGGGGCGTAGTGCTATTCTTGACAGGAACTGGTACAGTCTGACACGCCAAGGCTAGCAATATATTTAATCGAAGGTGCACAAGCTGGTCTCGACTCTTGCTTTCAAGGACACTTGTCCGAAATGTGGTTTCGACCCCGTCTAAGCTGGTTGAGGTACACCAGAATCTCTGACTCGAAAGTCGAGACGCGAGCGTAGTTGGACTGAACCCTGTATCGACGACACAGCTCATTCACTGACTCGGATATGCCATGTCGGTATCATACGGACGTACCTGCATGTGAGCTCGATGCCCGGTAACTCGAGGACAGGCCAAGGCCCCGGTATCGGCTCTGGGTCTGGGTCAAGAGACCAGTAACCCCAAGGACTAGGGGCCGCTCCAGACGCTAGCAGGGGCCTTTGATGGAAGAAGACGCGGTCCGATTGGACCTCCGAGTCCGAGTTCACTAAGGCTAAATGTGTCGGATCAGTTATATCATATAGGTGGAATACTTGCATTGACGTACTGCGCCCTGACATGTACGATGTCGCAGAAAAAGTTGCTGTGGCATCGTCTTCGTCACAATCAACCTCTGCGCCTGCGTAGTGGAATATCTCCTCGACTGCATACACGTCAGGCCCATGGCTAGACATCAGCGAGTGTCCAGTAGGTCGCTCACATAGCACGACATCGTGGACTTGCAGTCCATTCTCGCTGGCGACCCGCTCGGCGTGGTTCCAGAAAAAGTCATGGTACTCGCAATCATCGGGCAGAGTCCTCACGACAGCAATATCTTCAATTCTTTCTTCACTGCCGCGAGAGAGCTCGAACTCGTGACTGTGAAAGGTTGCCGTCAGTGTACGAGAGCGTGCGGGCATAAATGCTGCTTACACCGCAGTTTTCTCCGGCCAAGGGTAATCTGTAGCAGGCCGCCAATCGCCCCCTTCCAAGCGCGTAAGAAGGAATGTTGACAGCTTTCCGGTGGGCGTGACTAGGTCGTATATGTTACCAAGCCGGACAAAGACCTCCCGTGCGCCTTCACGTCTCAGGTAACCGTAGTCACCCCATTGCGCATTTCCGTGGTCTTGGAATTGATGAGAGGCCCATATTTTGGCTAGGTTAGACTGCAAAAAGGTCTGCACTGCCGAGTCGACCCCGATGTGCGACCTGAGCTGGTTGAGTAAGGCCGACGCATATGGCACTACGTCATCGTCATTCGCATAGTCTTCTCCTCACGTATTAGTGCGATAGATATTTCTGTGAAGGGAAGATACGAGACTCACCCCTCCCGAGAGACAAGGCACCACGTTCCTGTACGACGCAAATATCCTGTTTAGCACTCGCGTCAGAGATTTCAACCCGCGAGCGCACCTCGTCGTACAATGTTCGTAAACACGACTGAAAGCAGCCCAGATTGGAATCATGGAAGTCGGCGGCATCCACGATAAGTCTTCCCTCCTCGTTGAGCATTGCGGATGGCAAACAGCGGTCGTGGCTATGGCACTAGACCTTGTCTGTCAACATCTTCGAGTTCACCCCAAGCACAAAACAACCGCATACGTCGCTGGCCGAGAAACCGAGGCCCTCCATATAGTGGAAAGCGTTCTAAACCAGGTACAAGCGCTCTCAGAAGGATTAACGAGAACATCAGATGAGCATCCCTACCTGGTAATCCACTACCTGAAACGAAAGTCTGTAGTTCAAAGGGACCAGTCGTGACGCATTACATAGAACGGACGACTCACGTGTTGCAGCCACTGAAGGAGGCGAGACTGGATATTCTTGCCGAGATACTGGGAAATCAATGGAACTACACCTGTTCCGTGACGAAGTACCCGGTCCGCAGAGGTCAGCGGGGACTACGACAGGGCCATGCTACAATTAGGCCTTACCTGTGTCCATCACATAGAACCTCTCTTGCAGAGAAGGATGGGAGTACCCGAGGACTTGGGCGATGTAGGGATGGTATCTACACATCGAAATGAACGAGTGTTATGGCGAGAGTGAGCGATAATGCGCGCTCCATGGCCAGACAACATACATGTTCGGATAGTACGTCAACAATGATTCCTGATGTCGCGGACACACGAAAAGAGGCGTCAGAAGTACCGCGTAGGAAAGCCGTACGATGTAAGCCAACTCACCTGGACTTCAGCAGGTGTTCGGATTGTCCGAACAACGATGGCGCGCCCTTCCCATCGGCCGTCCCACTCCTCCCCGATGTCACGACCGTCAACGCGATGGGTGCCCCGAACTTTGAAGCATCGAATATCATTTCTGCGGAATAAACGAAGCTGTGGGCGCATCGTTAACACGGGTTTTATCGAGACGTCCAATTGGGGCCACACCTGGGTGCTGTCATCATAGACGGATTGTGAAACGGCTTTCATGCGCAAGCTAATCAAACACGCAGTCTGAAATGTCTCGTAGTGAGCACCGCGACAACACCTCATCGAAACAACCCGTACATCAAACGCGCGCCACGCAGTTTCGATTTGGTGTGTGCGATCCTCGAGCATCTCTGTGATAGACCCTTGAAGAAAAAACCGGGCGAGTGGTTTCCGGCGAAGCTGTAACTCGACATCTTGTTGAACACGAGTTAGCAACCTATAGCATACATATGTATAAGCCAGATATCCATACGACTCCCAACCCACTCACGAGCAAAGATCCCGCAAGTTGTGCCGTAACTTGTCGTCTACTGCTTGCGGATCGGCAGCGACTGTCTCTTCGATGTGACGTAAGAGCTCAGACATGGATCTCGCAAGGCGAACGAATTGTTCCCTGTCACCGCGGATTCTCTATACGCATGTGTCAGGCACTGGCATGGGGTACTCCTTCGACACGGGTTCAAAATGCGAACCTCGATGGTTTTGGCGATTCCGAGCGCGATACCGATGACGTCTCCCATGAGTGGGATAACAGCGATAGCATGGGAGGTCTCTTTTAACACCTCCAAGCCGCTTATCACGGTCGCCAGAACGTCGCTAGGGGATGTCTGACGAAGTAAACGAAGGGAGGGCATGGTGCTATGAGGATCAAGGAGTCGAGAGCGACGTGATAGAAATGTAGTAAGACTTAGCCTCGGGAGACGAAACGAAGCCACTCACTAGGATGTTTGGTGGCTCTGAGAGCCTCTGACTCGTAGCAGATCAACTGCGCGAGTAGCGAGTACTTATGGCATCTACATGTCTCGCGGGTTTACGTAGGTGTGCAGGACAGCGCGCATCGCTATGCAGCCGCACGCGGCTGCAGCACTGCCCCCGTGCGGAGGAGGTACGATGCCGACAAACTCCGCTCAAAGGCTCAAGCGGAGCCATAGCGCTTGTTTATCGCTTACAGCCAGTCCGCCCGCATGATAGTCGTGTGGTACATCCAGGAGAGTGAGACTGAAAGGCGGTACTTGCGATGCGATGGTTGGAGGATATTTTTACACTTGGTATGGAACTGCAACACCCCAGAGAGACCCTCAAGCATAAACGCGCTCGTTCCAGCCGGGGAGAATCTGCGCATTCTCGAACTTCTTGTCGCCCCGCGCGACGTTCTTCGTGCGTTGCCACTTCTGCTTGGCGAACGTCCAAGCTGTGAGTGTTGACCAGTCAGCGGGGTATACAGTGAGACGCGAAAACCCCACTCACTCTCCATGGTGGGGACCGGGTTTCCCGACTTCTCGAACTCGTTCTCCGTGAAACCTTGCTCACGCAGCACAGGGGACTCCTTGATAGTCCTGAGCTCGACGTCGTTGTTGGGGCTGTGAATGTCCGCGTCAGTGGTTTTCAACGACCACAATGGCTTTTATGTACCGAGAGAAGTAGAGGAGGCCCAGACGATCGACGTGCTGCTGGTCCTTCGGAGGTACGGCGACGCTGAACATTTGTAAGCAGACATGTTATTGCCGATGTGGAAAGATGCTTACCGGTGAACCGTACTCTTCACGTAGCCGCCGGTGAGGAAAGAGAGTGCGTCGCACGTGTTGACAGTGAGGGTACCATCGACGGGTTTGACCCAGCTCCACTCGCCCGTCGTGTGGTTCTTGATCTGCAGGGCCGCGACCGGTTGACGGAAAAGCAGGGTGAAGCTGCCCAAGTCTGCAAGGCGACTGGTGAAACCTCTGATCGGATGCGTAACGGCAGCTGCGTACCGGTGTGGCCGCGTCCCCAAAGCCCGCCCAGCTTGTCGTTCTCTTCGGGCGAGAACTTGGTGTACTTCATGTACCTCAGGTGGTCCTTTGCGGAGGTCAATACCGGCCCATAATGTGCATAGCGAGGAAGATGACTGACCTCGCTCTTGACGTCGTACTTGTGGATGTTCTTCAAGTAGTCCACTGGGAGGCCGAGCGCGATGGCAAGAATCTCGTGTAGCGGGTCCAAGACCTCGGTGTGGAGAGACTATATGGCACATCAGATCGGATGCAGACAGTCACAAGGATCATGGGAGACTTACACGAGCAAACTCCTCGACTTCCGGGAGGAATTGCTGAAGCACTTGCGGGTGGTCGTGCGTGAAGTCCCCGTTAAACTCTGGTACGATTAAATCAGATCAGTGGATGCGCGGGGTTGTGTAGGTAAATGAGTACTTACTGGGGATGTTGTACACCTCAACCCGGTCGCGGAGGCCGGAAGCGGCATCGATGCTGCGAGCGCTACCTCAGCGCGAGAACTCAGCACGCTACTGTGAGACTTACATGCGACGCCCCGCAGGTACATATCCGTTGAACGCGCCCTCGTCTATAACACATCCCCGTCAGCACCATAGCCGTGACCTTCATGTAGGAGTTCACATACCCAGTCCCTGAGGGACATACTTGAGCTTCTCCTCGAGCGGGATCTCGTACAGCTGCTTGCCGATGGCGAACTGACGGTTCACGCGCTCCTGCGAGATGTTGAAGTTCTTCACGTAGAAGAAGCCGTCCTCGCGCACGGCCTTGACGAGCGTCTTCGCGAGCTGCTGGTTGCCCTCCGGCGTACCGTACAAGCTGAAGTCAAGCGTGATCAGATCCGCCCACGGGAGGTCTTCCTGTTACAGATACCCCAGGATCAGCACCTGCCGATCACCAAGACAGAGGAAGCGTGCGCACCTTCGTCTCCTGGACGAAGTTGTAGGAACCGAGCTCGGGGACTGCGACGGGCATGGCGGAATGTGGTGAGTGTGAGAGGCGTGTGCGACAGGGTACGGTTAGATCACGTACCCGCGCACGGCCCCGCTTTATACACCCGCGGCTAGCGAGAAGCCACAAGACAAGGATACACACAACGCGTAAGGAGAGCGAGATTTCCGCCTCATGAGGGCCTGCGATGGTGTGCGGACGCGCGTCGGACAGGGGCCTAGCGCGTCCGGACCGGGGGGAAGTCGTCTTGCGCAAGGCGAAACCCTGGTGGCGTGCTTTGGCGACAATGTCTGCGAATTCAGTTGTACTTCAATGGGGGTCGCGAGAGGTAGATAAGAGCGGCCCCCCGTGATGATACTGAAGGGTCAGCAGTGCCCGAAACCGCAGTAGCAGGTCATCTCAATGTTCAGACAGACGAGGTTTTGGTATACCCGAACCCTGATATGGGCATGTAAGATGTTAAACGCCTCGGGCCAAAACCGGGCACGCCGTGGTGTCCTATACGGGGGTGTCCAAAGGAACGTTCTTCATAGTGATTGCTGAGTCGCCGACTCAGGTAGTGCGGCATCAGAAGAGATGTCGGACACCTGTTGCTGCCACATGCTGTAGTATAGACCCCCTGCACGCATAAGCTCTTCATGCGTGCCCTGCTCGACGACCTGGCCGTCCTTCAGGACAAGAATCAGATCTGAGGAACGCAATGTCAGTAGGTCGTTCGGGGGATGCACGGAAAACACTTACCGGACTCCACGACGGTGCGAAGACGATGCGCGATGAAGACGCTAGTGCGCGCCTTCTCATACAGCAGGCTGTTCACGTTCCGCATCAGCTCCGTCTCTGTGTGCGCGTCCAGCGCCGACGTCTTCACAAGAAAGTCAGATCACGGTTCACGCAAACTTGGAAGTACACTCACCGCTTCGTCAAAGAACAGAATCGGTGGATCCTTGAGGAGCACCCGAGCGACCGCGAGACGCTGCTTCTCTCCGCCAGACAGCATCAAGCCTCGCTCTCCGACCTTCGTCTTGTACTTATCAGGAAGCCGCATGACCGCTTCGTGTACATGCGCCTTCTTCGCTACCTCCATGACCTCCTCGTCGCTTGCGTCTAAACGACCATACCGGATGTTCTGCAGCACATCTGAGTGGAAGAGCGGCGTGTCTTGCGGAACAACGCCGATCGCACGTCGAAGTGATGCGATCTGCAGGTCGCGTATATCTTGCCCATCGACGAGAATGCGCCCGGATGAGGGCTCGTAGAACCGGAAGAGTAGGCGGAAGACAGTGGACTTTCCGCAACCCGAGGGACCGACGAGAGCGACCCTCTTCCCAGCGGGAATGGTGAACGAAATGTCGCGGAAGATAGGGCGGTATGGGTGGTATCCGAAGCTGACGTTCTCGAAGGTGATAGCTCCGCCATGAAGGTCGACCGGCTTAGCGTCGAACTTGTCCTGCAATGCTTGTCAGGCTCCGGTATTATTCCCCAAGGAGCGCGGGGCCTACCTTTGGCGGCTGGTTCTGCGTCGTCAAGTTAAATAGGACCTCCATGTCAAGAAGACTTTGCCGCATCTCGCGGTATATGGTTCCGAGGAAGTTGAGAGGCAGCGAGAGCTGGAATACTAGCTGGTTGACCATTACGAGATCGCCAACCGTCATGGTACCTATCCCACAATGTGAGGAATGAGAAGCAGTAATGCGAGCGTAAATACTTACCGTTTATCACTCCCTGGGCGGCTAGGAACATCATCATAGTGAGAGCACTCGAGAAGATGACGTTCTGCCCAGAGTTGAGGTACGCTAGCGAAGTCGCGATCTTGATCGACGCTTTCTCATACGCTGACAGATGCTTGTCGTACTGCGCGACTTCGTATTTCTCGTTGTTGAAATGCTGCAAAGCTTGTGGTCAGCGATCCGTTGGACGTGTTCTACTACTTGAACATACCTTTACAGCTTCGTAATTAATGAGAGAATCGACCGCGACCGTCGCAGCTTTGTTGTCCGCGCTGTTTGCCTCTCTTCGAAAACGTGTTCTGTACCGCCAATATGAGTGTGGTATTACCCCTGGAGTACACGATCACTGACCTCCAAGACGTTGTGCGCACCGTAAACCAGGTATATGCGGCCATGGTCACCAGGGTAATAGCTGCGAAGTCCCATCCAAATTTATACGTCTTCCGAGGTGTCAGATGCACTGTACGCAGCAGACAGGGCAGCAACGCACCAAAATACCACAAACAAGCGAGATTTCGAGCGCTGTGGGAACTATGCGGAAGATGATGGCCTGAAGGAGGAAGGTTATTCCCCTGTCGAGTAGTCAGTGCGCGTTACAGATAATGACACGGTAGCGATAGGCATACTTTGTGCCTCTGTCAATAGCACGGGTCAGCCCACCCGTGTGTCGAGACAGGTGGAACTTGAGATCGAGGTGGAGGAGATGTTCGAATGTCTGCCTTGCTACCTTGCGCACTGCGCTCTGGCCCACGCTCGCAAACGTTGCGTTGAGTAGTTCCCCAGACAACGTAGCACCAATACGGGCCGCGCCGTCTACGCAGCGTCAAAGAATGAGAACGAGAGACGCCGTCGAGATGTCAAGTATCTCACAGCCAAGGATGAGAGACCCTCCGACAATCCAAACAGTTGAGCCAGCAGTGATGTCGACGTTGAGCGTGTCTATGATTTGCTTGAATATCAGTGGAACCTGCACATTCAGCAACTAACCCGTTTCATTAATTTCCCACTCGTTCAGACGACCACATCAAGAGCACGTACTTTGCCTCCGATCAGTAAACCCAGGCCGAAGAGCACGCGTCCACGGGTATTCCAGTCATCCTTCGGCCATAGGTTCTGCGACATCCTACGAATGATATTCCAGTCTCTCCTCCGCTGCTCCGCCTGGGATACGTGGACTGCATCACCCCCGAGGTCCTGCTTCTTAGGCTCTGGCTCTGGCTTGGGGGGTTGCGGTGGGGTCGTCTCATTCGTTGGTGGCTGCTGCGCCAGGTTCTGATAGAGGCGTGCATATGTGCCTCTACCTGGACTCCACGCGTTGTGAGGACGTAGATGATCCGAGAGTGGGTTAAAGGCGCGAGAAGATGGATGTGTGCCCAACTGCCGAGTCCATGTCGGAACAACTTTGAAAGGTTTGAGCAGACAACGGCGACAGAAGAGTGCGGTCATTGCCAAAGCTTCGCGACCGTACGAGACTCTAGCTCATCGAAGAGGTGGAAGGGGTGGAAGAATAGCGGGCGATGGCAGGAGAGGACATGCTGTTTAATTCGCGTAGGGCGGGTGGGTTGGCGTGCTCGCGCAAGCGCGAGGCTAAGCTCACAATCTTATCTGATAAGATTTTCTGCTCCTCCGGAGCCGGAACTCGGCCGACGTGCCCCGGCGTCCTCCGAAGCTCTCTCCGCCCGCAGCCGGCTCATTCACCTCGACTCGGAGCTCCCACATTGCACGCTTTCGCCATATCGCCCGAACGTGGACAAGGCAGGTCATCGGAGGGTGAGCATAGGATGGTTCGAGATCACTCGCAAGCTAGGTTGCAATTGCATTGCATTGCATTGCAATGAGCAAACGCCCACGGAGCGTCGTGCTGAACATCTGTATGAATAGGGCGGGCCACGCCACGGCTCAGGTCGCGCTACAAAGCACCACCAATATGGCAGCCACATCGCCCCCGAGTCAGCCACGGTTTCAACATGTAAGCTGTGTACTTCACGTCAAGTTCGCGTCTATTATCTCCGAGCCGCGACAACGGGACTGACGCCAGAGTCAGCGCCTTACAACATGGGCGTCGCACTAGTATGCCATATAAGCACTATGCAGCACACTGTGCACGACTGCGTCTTCCGGTGTTATGGGATCACCCATGAAACTAACCTAATCTACCGCGCTTGGTACGTTACATACAGTGACTTACAAAACTATTTCCAGAAACGGTCACTCGGCGCCTTTTGCTGAATATCTCGGTAACGGCTGCGCGTAATGCTACGATTCAAATTGCATTAGGTAGACATATGTCTTGGCTTTCTATAGGTACTTGTTTCATAAGAATCGGGTGCGAACTTTCAAAGATATGATATGTTCTTTACCCACATCTTCTGGAAATAGTTTTGTAACGCGCATTTTGGCAGGGAACAACTGGGTCGTTTTTGGCCAAGCGTGTTGTGAATGTCACATGATACTGTGGGAATATATTATATAATGTTTACTGAGGTGATGCCACATCAGCGCTGCTGGAATACTCCTCCACCTCTGCCACCACCATGCCCCCCGCACTCTCTGAAGCCACTCGCAACACCATCATCCAGC